GAACCGGAACTGACTTGTGCCTCACGTTCTCGCAGCCGCCAACTACGCGCAGCTCCCAGTCAACGCGCCGCTCAACCTGCCCGCCAACTTCCAGCGCGACGGCACCATGGCGTTCCACAACCAGGGCGCGCGCCCCAACTACAAGTCGACGATGCAGAAGCTCAGCTACAAGCCGCAGCCGTACCAGTTCGACAAGCACGAGCAGTTTGTCGGCAACCTGTGCGTCGAGCTGAGCGAGGTCACCGAGCTCGACTTTGAGCAGCCGCGCCAGCTGTGGGAGAAGGTGTTTGACGACGGCGCGCGCAAGCGCTTCATCGGCAACGTCGCCGGTCACCTCGGCGGCGCCAAGAGCGACGAGATCAAGCAGCGTACCCTCTCGGTCTTGTGCGTCTCTGCCTCTCCCTCTCTTTTCCACCCCAGTGCCTCGTCGTCTCCCTCCCCATCGTGGTCGGGGCACTTTCCCTCTCCCTCTCTTTCTCGCCTCTTCCGCCGTCACCTTCTGTATCGCCGGTGCACGTACTGACGTCTCGCTCCTTCTACAGCAACGCCATCCACCCCGACATCGGCTCCGGCATCGCCAAGGCCATGGGCGTCTCGAACCCGGCGCCCCTCAAGGCCCTCCCGGCGTCCGAGGCGCTCGAGTTCCGCGCCAACATCAACCCGCAGGCGTAAAAGAGCGCCGCAGGTTGGTCGACCCGCTTGCTGCCGCACGAGGAGGAGAGGAGGCGGTCCCGCTTGAACTCGCTGTCGTACACCCCCTCTCACTCTCGTCCTGTAACTACTCGATTTAGTGCACGCACGACGCTCGCCTCGCACAGAAAGGCAGAGGAGAGCGACACAAGTTGCACTGCAAGCGAGAAGAAAGCGTCTACTGCAAAGTCGAGCGCGGCCTCGTGCCCCTCCTCGCCCGCTCGAGCCTCTCTTCGCCCGGCCATTCACCTCATCGAGAGCGCCTGCGCCCTCAACTTGGCCTTCTGCGGGATACTGCGGAAAACGTCGCAAACGTCGCTCTTGTGGCACACGAGGCGGCCGTCGGTCGAGCACCTCGTGCGGGCGCGCAGCTCGGCGCAGAGGTCGTCCTGCGAGCGCTCGATCGCGAGGGTCAGTGCCTCGCGTTCCTCGTCGACGGCGCGAACGAGAGAGGGAAAGAGAGAGAGGGAGGACGCACCGGGTCGACCTGGGAGAAGAGCGGGTGGCTGAGGAGCTTGGCCCAGCACTTTTGCGCGAGCCACAGGTTCTTCTCGTCCGAGACGGTCGGCGGCCGCCACGGGATCGGGAGCGAGCAGCTCTGCTGGGAAAAGTCGCACTCGGCGCACGGGATGCCGCCCTCGGGGAGCGCCGGCGGCTCGTCGTCGTCGTCGTCGCCCGGGCACGCGTCGTCGTCGTAGGCGTCGTGGGCGCGAGGAGGTGCGCCGGGCTGGGCAGGACCCGGCGCGACGCCCGAGCCGGCGGCGTCGGCGCCGTCGATCATGGACGTGAACAGGGGAGGGAGGGCGATCGAGTCGGAGAAGTCGAACGGCGCGTCAAAGTCGAAGTTGAGGTCGTCGAAGGCCGGCATGGCCGTGTCCACGAGAGGAGCGGCGGTCGGGACGCTCGCAGGGGCATGAGGTGGAGCGACAGTGTCGAGAGGTTGTGCGACTGGAGGAGGAGGCTGAGAGGTTGAGACGGGCGTAAAGTGTGAGGGAGAGGGGTTCGGGTCGGTGGGGCCCGAGGTCGGGGTGCGGCTGACTGCCGGCTTGACGTCCTCGGGCGATGTCGTGTGGGTGGGACCGGGAACGTTGGTCGTGGTGTCGACAGGCGCCGGCGTCAAGTCGTGATCGGGCGCTGACGGTGCGGTGAGGTCGACCGTAACGGCGGTGCGCGGCGGGTTTGCGCCTGCTCGAAGCGCCTCGTTCTCGGCGAGCAACCTGTCTCGGCGGTCGAGTGAGCTTGACGCACTCAGGTCGAAGCGAGAGGCGAGGCGAGGGACGACGCACCTGCGCAGGATCTCCTTGAACGCATCGAGCTGGGCCTCCTGCACCTTGACGCGCTCCTCGAGGTCGGCCGTGTGCTTCTCCTTGCGCTCGCGGAAGGCCCTCTGCGCCGCCCTGTTCTGCAGCTTGCGCTTGGCCTCGGCGTCTAGAGCAGGGTTGTCTGCGCATGGCGAGGAAGGTGTGGCTCGAGGGTCAGGGACGGGACGAGGGGTCGAGACAGAGCATGAGGATGAAGGGCGGACGCACCCTTGATGTTGTCGAGAGGCTCGGCGATGCGCTTCCTGCCGCGTTTGGTCTTGGCCGGCTTTGACGCGTCTTGAGGGAGCTCGGCGGCGGGCGGTGGAGGCGGCGTCGGCGCACGCTGGAGGCGCGAGGTCGAGGGAATTGGCGGGGGCACAGGGAGGGCGAGCTCGGCTAGCGAGAGGCTGTCGGTAGCCTGGCTGAGCGCGTTGGCTGTCGAGTGGCCGGGCGAGGTGCGCGAGTTCGGCGATGAGGACGAGGGGGCGAGGTCGGCCCTCGGGAGGACGAACACGGGCGGCTGGTGCGCTGCCATGGCGAGGGCAGGGTGCTGCACGCGTGCTGCCTCGCTGTCGAGCTCTGTCCGACAGGCTGCAGCGGGTTGAGGTCGAGGTCGCCCTCGCCGCCTCCATCTCCGAGGGCCGACTCAACTTTCGCTCCTTCACCAGCTCGTCCACCGCTCCGGGAGGCTCCCGAGCGAGCGTGTACAGCCTCGAGTGCGCTCTGTCGTCCCGCACGGCCGAATGGCCGCGTCGCCCGCGGCCTCGCGCGCTCGCCCGACCGCCCGACTCGGCTTCACCGCCAGGCTCTCGCGACTCGCTCGCGCTCATCTGCCCCCGCCCGCACTGCCGCGGCCGGTTCGTCGCGCACCAGGCCAGTCGTGTCTGCGCATCTGCGGCCGGGCGCACCGCCGCCGGGGCTTCTTAGTCCGGTTCGCAGCCGTCGCAACCAAGGGCTCATCGACCTGGAGCAACCAGATTCCCACGCATCGTGGCGGCCACGCCGTGCCTCGTCCTCGATCCCCTGACAGTGCATCAGTCCTCAACGAGGCCGCCGGACGTGCATCTCTCCGCGTTCTCATTCGGAAGCTTGCCTTGCTCGCTCCGCCGGCGCTGCTTCAGGAAGGACTTCCTCGTTCGCCCCGTCGCTGCTCGTCGCCGACTCGGCGAAGCCAGCGGCCTCGTGCCCACTCGCACGCGCAAAGTGCGCCGTTCCCGGCGTTACACATTGCGCGGGTGTGGAGCACGAGCGGCTCGATTGGCCGATTGACATGCTGCGGTGCGAGCGCTCCTCCGTCGTCGGCCTCTCGTCGTCGTCGGCCTCAAATCCGTCTTCCTCGACGCCCTTCTTGGTTCTTCCTCCTCCTCCCCTACCTCCTGCACTCGTTCCCTCGACGCTCGACGATGCACGCGACGACCGTCCTGTGCGCTCTCCTCGGAGCCAGCCCGGCGCTGGCCCACATGTCCATCTGGTGCGTTCATCTTTCTCTCTCGTCGTCCTCTGCATTCTCTGCAGCAGTCGATCGTCGTCGAGCACGCGCTGACTTCGTCGTGACCCATGTCGCCCACTCTCGCGCAGGTCCAAGGCCATGTGCGCACCACTCTCTCTCCCTCTCTCTCTCTCTCTCGCGCGCCTCGGTCATCGAGAAAGACCACCTTACTGACCCTGTCCTCCCTTTGACGAACAGGTACGGCGTCGGCAACGGTTTCTCTGTGCGTCTCCCTCTCCCTCTCGAGGATGCATCGACGACTTCCGGTCGGTCGGCGTCACGACGAAGACGACCGTTCGCTAATCTCCTCCCTCGTATCGCCTACAGTACGACGCGGGTAACCCTGTCGTCCCCATCGGTCCGGGCCTCGCCTCGCAGGACGAGTGGTGGTTCAGGGGCCCGGCCTTCCGTGCGCTCGCCCCGGCGGCGAGGAGCGACGGCGCGGTCGAGCAGCTTCCCGCCGGCGGGTCCATCACGTTCGAGATCGCCTGTCACGTCGACTGGACGTCGCTCGGCCGCACGCCGACCGTCCCGGGCTCACGCCTCGACGCGTGCGTCTCCCCACATCTCTCGACGACCCTTTGGCGACGAGCTCACGCTCTTCTTCGTCCGCAGTTGCCCCACCGACGTCGGCGCCTACCATGTGCGTCCTTTCTCAAGCCCGACGGTACTTGTCGAGGCACGTTCTGACAATCCTCGAGCGTGATGCAGGCCGGCGACCCGTCCGCCTCCGACATCGACCGTTCGCTCGTCTCGGGCTGCGCTCTCGGCATCGCCGACGTCGACGACATCTCAAAGGTGACGATGGACAACCTCGCCATCTTCAGCGTCCAGCACCAGTGTGCGTCGGCGCTTTCTCGACCTCGTCCCGCTCGAGCGCGACCTTCCTAACTTCGACCTCTTCCTCCTCGCGCCCTTTTCGTCTCGTCTCGCAGGCATCCAGCAGAAGCAGACGTCGTTCGACATTCCCGCCAAGATGCCGGCGTGCACGGGCTCCAAGTGTATCTGTGAGTCGACGCTCCCTCTCTCTCGCTCCGTTCGACGCCCTCTTCCCCTCGACGTTACAAGGTCACTGACTCGATTCCCTCTTGTCGTGTCGCAGGCGGCTGGTTCTGGCTCGCCAACAACGTGCGTCGACTCGTCTCGCCTCTTTCTGAGCCCCTCGAGCGATTCGGGGCTCGTGCGCCTCCTCGCTCGACGGCGAACTGACTCCTTCTCGCGCAACGCAGGGCACGGGCAACTTCTACATGACCGCCTTCGACTGCGCTGTGACCAACTCGCCCGCCGACGCCCTCCCGATCGCGCCGCCGCAGGACCCGATCTTCTGCCGCGACAACCCCTCGAGCTGCACGACTGGGTCCAAGCGTCCTTTGTACGCCTACAACAGCCCGTCCAACGCGCCGTTCATCGACAACAACAACCGTGCCGGCTACCACGCAGCATGGTCGTTCGGCACGAACGGCGCGCAGAACGACATCTGTACGCCGCATCTCCCTTTCCTCGTTCGCTCCGGCCACGTACTGACGACGGCTCCGCCTTCTCGCAGTCGCCAAGGCCACCAACGTCACCGTCACCTCGGCAAGCTCGTCCGCTGTCAGCACGGCAGTCAGTTCCTCGTCGTCGGCGTCCGCCATCGCCTCGTCGTCGTCGGACGTCGTCTCGTCGGCCTCCTCGACCGTCGCTCCCAGCGCGGCCTTGTCGTCGTCGGTCCTTCCATCGTCGACTATCGTCAGTAGCGTCGCCTCGTCGGCTGCGCCCGTCGCGAGCGCCGCCCCGCTCAAGAACTACGCTCGCGGTACCGCAACGGGCGCCTCGACCTGGATCGACAACGGCGAGCCGCAGCTGGCGGCCGACGGCGACATGTCGACGGCTGTGCGTCCCTCTCTCTCCCACTCTCGAGCGACTGTGTCCTGTCGAGCCGAGAACTGACTCTGTCGCGCACCCGCTCGGACCTCGCCTCGCAGTGGATCAGCAACGGCGAGACGATCAACGCCTGGATCGCGTTCGACTTTGGCACCAACATCGCCATGAACCAGATCGTTCTCAACGAGCTGTCGTCGTCGACCGACCACATCACCAACTGCGCCATCATGCTCTCGTCGCAGGAGATGATCTGGCTCGGCCCGCTCAACAACGACGGCTCGGCGACGACGTTCAACTTTACGACCCGGTACACGTCGTCGCTCTACTTTGGCGTCTTTGGCGTGTCCGACACGACCGACAGCGTCGGCCTCACCGAGCTGCAGATCTTCAACAACCCGAGCGCCACCATCGGCGCCGCCGCGACCGTCCCTGCCGCGTCGGCGACCTCTGCCGCCGCCGCCCTCTCGTCTGCGGCCGTCAGTGCGACTGGCGGTACCCCTGAGGCGACGGTCTCGGCGACTAGCACGTCGAGCTCGGCGCCGGCGGCGACGACCACCGCCCTCACCAATTACGCCCTGTCGGCGCAGAAGGCCGCCTCTTCCTGGATCGGCGGCTGGGACCCGGCCAAGGCTGCCGACGGCAAGACCTACACTACGTGCGTCCCCTGCTCTCCCTCGTCGCCTCGAGCGTCGCCTGAACTGACCGAGTCCTTTTCCTCCTTCCCACAGCTGGGTCACCAACAACGAGCTCGCCGGTTCCTGGTTCGGCCTCCAGTTCAGCGGCGAGACGACGATCAACCAGGTCGTCCTTTATGGCCGCCCGAGCGCGTCGCAGCAGGTCACCAACTGCGCCATCCAGTTCTCGGACCAGTCGATCCTGCCGCTCGGACCGCTCAACGCCGACGGCAGCGCGACGACCTTCAACTTTACGGCCAAGTCGACGTCGTCGCTCTTCTGGGGTGCACTCGCCGTCACGTCGAGCGCGACGCAGGTCGGCCTGTCGGAGATCCAGGTCTTCAACAACCCGTCGGCCGTCGTCAAGAGCCCGGCTCTCCCCGCTCAGAGCAGCGCCGCCGTCGTCGCGTCGATCCAGGCCATCGCGGCCGACACGGTGGGCGCCGTCACGTCGCTCGTCGGCGGCGTCGTCGGGGCCATCCTGCCCGCCGCGTCGTCGGCCACCTCCCCGGCCGCGACCGCCGCAGCTTCGACCTCGCCGGCGTCGGCCTCGGCGGTCAAGCGCGGTCTCGTCGCCGCCCCTCGTCACCCTCGCGACTTCTCGAGGCGCGACGCCGAGCTGGACTCGGCGCCCGAGCCTCAGACGACGGCGCCCGCTCGTCGCTCCCTGAGCGCCGAGTCTCTCTTCGCGGGCATCTCGCCTGTGTGGGACGCTCCGGTCGACTCGGCGTCGGCGTAAAAGCAGGCCTTCTGCGTCTTCCCTCTCCCCTGCCCCATCTAATCTGTAGCATCCTCTCGCGTCGTCGACGTCCACCTCCTTCTCTTCCTCCTCGTGTCGTGCTTCCTCCCTCAGCATGTAGCAGCAGCGCGCTCTCCCTCTCTGTCTATACGTCCACTCACGCACTCCTTCATGTAGCTCTGCAACCTGTACTACCCGCCTCCCTCCTCGTGCGCTCGCTCGACGCCTCGTCTTCGTGTCTTTCGCCGAATGAGAGGCTCGAGCACGAAAGGCGAGCTGGCTTGCACTCTCTTCTCGCTCAAACAGTCCGAAAGACGCAAAAGGTGGGGCGCAGAGGTGGTTACAGCAGACAAGGGAGAACGAGAGACAAATCGGGAGGAGAGAGGCGTCTACGAGGAGAAGGGGAGTGCGCGGAAGATGTTGAACCCGTCGGACGCGGTCGAGACGACGACGCCGGGCGCCTGCGGGTGCCAGTGCACCTCCTTGATGTCCTGCTGGCCCTGGTGGCAGAAGAGGAGCTGTGCGGGCACGTCCTTGAGACGGTCGGCGTCGTCGCCCGTCGGCCGCTCGTCCTCGTCCTCCTCGACCGAGAGGTCCCACAGCGTGACCTGGTCGTCGGCGCCGGCGGCGGCGAAGCACGACTCGTCGGTCGGGTGCCACTCGATCGACGTGATGGGCCCGGTGTGCCAGTTGAACGCGGCGACGGGCGTCGGTGCGGGCGCCTTGGTGCTGCAGGAGGTGGGAGAGCGAGGCTCGAGTCAGTCTCATGCTCCCTTTGTTGACCGTCGCGCCGACGCAAGGAGACGAGAACGAGAGAGAGAGAGAATGAGGACGCACCCCTTGAAGTTGCGCAAGTCCCACACCTTGATGCCGCCCTCGTCGCCGCCGGACGCGAGGAGGTAGTTGGTCGACAGGTTCCAGCTGATGACGTTGACGTCGCTGTCGTGCGCGCCTGCGACGCCGATGACGCTCTTGCGGTCCTTGACCCGGACGTCCCACACGCGGATCGAGCGGTCGGACGAGCACGAGGCAAACACGGTCGCCTCGCTCGGCGACCACTGGATGTCCTCGATCGAGTCGGTGTGGGACGTGAACGGTTTCGGCGAGGGCGTCGCCGACGTCGGGGTAAGGGTCGTGAGGTAGATCTTGCTGTGGATGTCGCCCGACAGGAGGCGGGCAGAGCTCGATGCGCCGCCGATGGGCTTGGCCCAGTCGAGCGCAAAGCCCTCTGCGCGGCCGTGGCTGTTGATTGTGAACAAGGGCGTCTTGGACAGGGTGGACGAGGCGGTGGCGGGCGACAGGAGCGAGTTGAGGTGCGGCGCGACGTCGAAGATGTGGACCTTGCCCGTCTCGGCGAACGTGGCGACGTGGTAGGGGTTGGGCGGGAGGGGAGGGCCGGTCGACAGCGGGTTGCCGAGCGGTCGTGCGCGGATGCGGTTGACGCCGCCCTTGTGCGGGATCGAGCGGTACGTGAGGACGGGGTCGTCGTCCGTGTCGTCGTCGTCCGAGTCCTCGTCGTCATCGTCTGCGGGAGGGAAAGGCAAAGAGGTCAGGCCTCGGGCCCGCACAGATGCGCACGATGGAGAGCAAAGAGGGTGAGACGCACTCTCGTCGCGCCTCGTCTTGCCCAAGCTCTCCCACCTCATGACCGTGACCTCGTTGGCGGTCGGGTCCTGCGCCTGAGTGCCGGCGACGAGCGCGCACGACACCGGGTAGCCCCTGCGCTCCTCGCCGTCGTTGTCGCGCAGGATGTCGAACGAGAGGGACGGCCAGGTCGGGACGAACGAGTGGAGGAGCGGGTAGGTCGACAGGTCGGGCGCGAGGTACTCGCCCTCCTCGAGCTTGCCGCCGGGCAGGTAGGGCTTGGGCGAAGGTGGCCGCGCCTCCTCCTGGTCGCCGCCGTCGACCTCCATCCCTGCGCCGTCCTCGTCCTCGTCATCGTCCTGCTCTGCCGCATCGACCACCTCGCCCAGGTCGGCGTCCTCGGCGAGCTCGTCCTCCCACTGGTCCTCGAACTCGCCCATGCCCTCCTCGTCGACGGCGGCACGGTCAGCCGCGGCCGGCGCGGTGGACGACTTGGTCGCGGGGCGGTCGCCGACGGGGGAGGAGGCGCGCTTGCCCATGGTGAAAGGAGCTGCGAGGAGGGACGAGGGGGCGCTGGATCAGTCCTGAGTCGACAGCAGGGCACTGCTGAGGTGCACGCAGGACTCACGCGGGTGTGGATGAGGCCGGAGCGAGCGTTGCTGATGAGGACGAGGCCTGCCCCGAGCTTACGAGAGGAAGCCAGTCCAGATCACAATCTCTTGCGAGAGCGGGCGAGTCTCGAGTGTGCGACGGCGGGACACACAGGCATCGCAGATCCGACGAGGACTACAACAAAGACAGACAGAGACAAAGAGAAAGACCCGCAGCTCGAGCCAGAGGACCCTCCTCACTTGCTCCCGCTCGCCGGCTTCAGCTTGATCCCGAGCTTGTTGGCGAGCGCGCTGTTGGCCTTCTTCTTCTTGGGCGGCGCCATCGACCCCGACGCCTTGCCGACGATCGCCCTCGACTCGGCAGAGAGGAGCGACGCCGCACTCGGCTCGACCGTGTCGAGCTTGCGCTTGACCGCCGTGCTCGTCGACGCCGCCGCCGCCGCCTTGGCGCCTGCGCCCGACGCCGAGCCCGAGCCCGAGCCGCTCGCGACGGGTAGGTCCTCGCCGTCGCGCGGCGTTGTCGGCGCCGAGCCCGACGACGACTCGGACGGCGCGCCGTCGTCGAGCTCGATGTCGGGCACGCCGTCGAGATACGCGCGCCCAAACACGCGCCGCACCTCGTCCTCGTCCTCTTCCTCCTCGCGCCTCTGCCGCTCCTCAAACTCGGTCAACTTGCGCTCGAGCGCCGTGTCGCCGACCTCGGCGCGCGAGCTGATGTGCTCGAGGATCCGGGTCGAGTCCTCCTTGCCCGTCTTCTCGAGGCGCGAGTTGCGCGACTTGATGGCCGACAGGGCGTCGAGGATGTCCATCTCGCGCTTCGAGTCGATCGCCTTGTTCTCGAGCGCCGCCATCGGGTTGTTCTCCTCCTCCTCGAGCCGCGCGAGCTTGTCCTCCTCGACCTTGTCGTCGTTGCCGCGCCACGGCTCAAAGTTGCGCTGTGCGCCGTGCTCGCAGTTGTAGTCCGAGTTTCTGTCGGAATGAGGGATGGTGAGCAGGTCGGTCGAGAGGCCGTGTCGCGCCTCCAGAGGGTGGAAGAGGGACGCACTTGGGGTCGGTCTTGAACGTGATCTCGGACGAGCACTGGGTGCACTTGATGTAGAAGCGGAAGATCTGTGGGGGTGTGGAACGTCAGACTCGCTGCTTCGGCGGCAAGAGGGAGGGAGGGAGAGGCTCGAGAACTCGCCTTGATGCCGTAGTACTCCTCGCCCTGGACCGTCTCCTTGCGCGCGTTGAACTTCTTGCCCTTGTAGATGTACTCGCCGCAGGTGCTGCACGTGGAAAGTCGAGTCAGCGACGCTCGGCGAAGAGACGGAGAACGATGGAGAGGAGGTGGGAGGGGACGCACTTGCAGCGCATGCTGAAGGGCGACATCAGGCGGACGACCTGCTGCTTGTCCTTGGGCATCTTCCGCCGGGGAATCTTGCTGTGTGCGTGATCAAGGCGGTCAGTGTCGGCCCCGCATGGCGCGCAGAGCAGGAAGGAAAGAAGCGGGCGCACCTCGGATCAAAGTCCGGCGGGAAGTACTGCGAGCGACGGGCGAGGGTACGATAAGCGGGCGGAATTGAGGGGCAGGTGAGGGAGTAGGACGCACCTTGTTGAGGACCTTGCGCTCAGACATGGTGGCTGCGGCTCAATGGCGGGTGGGGACGAAGGAGGAGAAGGGAACGTCGAGAGGAGGGACGGCGAGCCGCTATGCGGGTAGGTCGGTCGGGCGGGGGGTCGTGGGCGGATCGCACTGCAAGAACTGCTGCAGCGGCGAGCGGGTCGAGGGTTTGTGCCGGCTGACGGGAGGAGGCGAGGTGTCGAGGTGAGGGAGGGGGCTCGGGCGCTGGCAGGCGGCCTGGGCGACTCGTAGGCGAGCTGTGGGTGTGCTGAGCGAGCTCTGCCCCTGGTAAAGCAGGACGAGGTGGTGGAAGAGCACAACCTCCTCCGCCATCCGCTCCCGCATCTCCCTCGCTCGCTCACTCAGCTCTCGCGTCTCGCCTGGGCAATAGTTGAAGGCTCCTGCAACACGTAACCCTCTCTGCGCACATGCGTCCCGTCCGCAGGCCTGCAGAGCAGCGAGACCGCGCACTGTGTCCCTCTCGACACTCTCATCAGCTCCTCGCTCTCCTGGTCTCCCACCTCGTCAGATCCACTGCAAGACGTGCTCAAGACGCTCTATAGCTGCTCCGAGGGGCCCTCGCCACCTCGTTGGGTCCGAAAAGCGGCCGCAGGAGAGATCGTCACGCTCGCTTTCTTCCACTCTTGCTCGCTCCCTCTCGAGGAGCGCGTCCTTCCCGCTGCGTCAAAACGAGAGACAAGTGACACATAGGTGACAGTACACACGCGCTCTACAGCTCTATTGCGCCTTGCCCTCCTTCCTCTGCGCCTGCTCCTCGCGCGCTTGCCGCTCGGCCTTGCGACGCTGTACGACGATGACGGCGACGAGCACGAGCGTGCCGACGACGACCCAGGCGATCTCGACACCAAAGTACTGGCCGAAGCGCTGCTTGGTGCCAAAGATGATCGTCTTGCCGTTCTGCGAGGGGAGAAAGGAAGGTCAGGCCATGCTGCAGGTACACGTGGCGAGGGGGACAGGAGGGGCGCACCTGCACGGCCTGGTAGATGGGCGTCACAAAGCCGTACGAGTAGAAGTGGTCGAGGTTGGCGATGTCTGCGCCAGGGCAAAGGCGAACGTCAGTCTCGAGCTCCCGGGCCTCGGCGAGAGAGAGAGAGGGAGAGAGAGAAGCGACGGGACGGACCGTAGAAGACGGGGCTGATGTTGAGGATGATCCACAAGATGAGAAAAAAGGCCGTGTACTTTGGCCCGAGGAGCGAGAGCGCCACCTCCATCGGCATGCCCGCCGCCCACTGTGCCAAAAAGTTGCTGCACCAGAACAGCGGGAACCCGCCGTGGCCGTAGAACCGCTCGAACGAGACCTTGAAGACGAGGGTGACGAGCGAGATCCACAGCGAGATGAAGAGGTACTGGACGACCGGGACGAGGAGGCGCAGGGCGATGAGGTCGCCGAGTCGGAGCTTGTTCTCGATCGACTGGCGGGCGTTGAACGCAAACAGCGAGACGAAGTAGGTAAAGACGAGGAGGTAGAGCATGCCTGTCGAAAAAAGAGGGTCAGTGCTCGTGCGCAGCCTCGAGAGAGAGAGTGAGAGAGGTCGACGCACCGACCGTCGTCGCCGGGATGCCGGCAAACTCGTCGACCGGGCGCAGGTTCCACGTCGCCTGGCTAAACGGCCGGCTGAGGACGCTCGAGAGCGCCGTCTGGTTGATGCCGGCGTACGCCGCGTCGCCGAGGCCTGCGAGTCGGGGCGCCAACTGGGCGACGAGCTCGCGACTGGCTTGAGGGACGGTGTACGTGTTGATGAGGCGCGTGATGTCGGGCGTGAGCCATTGGTCGACCGTCTCGAAGTTGCGGCCCTCGGAATAGTAGAGCGTGAGCGCGCCTTGCGCCATGTAGGACGTCTGCGCGCCGCCGACGAGCTGCTCGAACGCCGAGACGGCTGCCGATGTCGCGTTGGCGTTGGCTGTCGAGGGGGGAAGTAGCGAGTCAGTGGGTGATCCTGTGAGAGAGTGAAAGAGCGAGAGCGCACCGATGACGACGGCAAAGTAGTCCTCGTTCTGGACGGCCTCGGCAGCCCACTGGTGGACGTCGACGCCGCGAGGGTTGCCGCCCGTTGCGCCGCTGATGTCGAACTGCGTGTTGTCGAGCGTCGTGTAGCCGACCTTGTACTTGTACGTGATGCGGGACGGCGCAGAGATGAGGGCCGGGCCGAGGACGGCCATGCGACCGGTCGCTGCGGCACCGGGCGAGTCGAGGTCGATGAGGCCGACGGTGAGGCCTGCCAGAGAACGTCAGGAGAGGTGACAGGGTGGCGAGAGGGAGGATTGGGACGCACGGTACAGGTTGTCGGGCAGGCGGAAGTAGGATCCCCCTGCGCGCGAGCGGAACTGGTCAGCTGGGTCGGCTCTGGAGAAGGAGAGGACGAGGACGCACAGTATATGGGCAAGACGGCGAACATGCACAGCGTCGTCAATGCGAGGCCCTGTGGACCGCAGACGGGTGAGCTGCCTGAGTTGGACGAGGGAGGAGGAGGACGAGAACTCACGAGCGCTGCGGCCTTGAGGAACGCCTTGCGCCCGTCGCGCAGTCTCGGGTCCATGAGGGAGACCTTGGTGGACGCATTGCTGCAGTGCGCGGTGCGGTGGATGAGCTCGAGGGACGGCGAGGAGGGGAGGGAGCTGATGAGACGCACTCGGAGTTGAAGGGCTCGCCGCTCAAGCCACGGAGGGTCGTGTCGGACGACGGGCGCATGGTCGGGTTGCTCGTCGAAGGCAGGGCTGGCAGGGCATGAGCAGCGAGGCGCGCGATGAGTGTGGTCGCTGGCCGAGTCGCCCGCGTCGGCTCCTCCACCTGCGTCAGCGAACGACTCGTCCAAATCGAGACCTCTCCCTCTCGCTCCTCCTCCCAGCTCTCCCTGCACGCTCACACAGCTCGAGCCATGGCAGACGACCGCTTCTCGATGGGCCTCTTCGACGCGCGCATCAAGGACCAGCGGCATCAGGTGTTCAAGGTCCGCTCCGCTCTCCCAACTCGCGCTCGCATCGCTCCTCTCTCTCTCCACCGAGTACTGACTCTCTTGCTCGCGCGCAGGTCCTCGGCATGTACTTCGTCCTCATGACGGTCGCGATCTGGGGCCTCCTCAGCCTGTTCTGGGGCAGCACCTGTGCGTCGTCGTCCTCCTCCTTCCCGCTTCCTCGCCCTCAAGCTGACCTTGCGCCCGCCCGACAGACCAGCTAGAGAGCTACTTCCCGAGCGTCAAGGTATACGTCTACGACTTTGACTCGGTCGCGACCCCGAACGCCGTCCTCGGCCCCGCCGTCGTCCGGTACCTCCAGTCGACCTTGTCGTCGCCCGTCCACCTCGGCATCATCGTGCGCGACCCGGCTGGCAAGACGTTTGACGACGTCGCGAGCGAGATCGTCGGCGAGAAGGCGTGGGGCGCCGTCGTCATCAACGCCAACGCGACGAGCAACTTTGAGGCCGCCATGGCGGGCACGGGCGGCTTGCTCGACGGCCAGTGGGCGCCCAAGGGCGCGATCAGCTTGGTCGTCGCCGGAGCGAGATGGTGTACGTCCACGATCTCGCGCTCTCGCTGCGAGCCGCACTGACCAGCCCTCGCGCCTGTCGCAGACCAGGTCGTCCTCGAGTACCTTCTCCCCTACCTGGGCATGTACGTCGAAACGCCCGTGCTCGAGGCGTCTCATCAAGCCTCGGCCTCCTTCTTGTCGACCGCAACGCCGGCGACCCTCGGCGAGTTGACGTCGGCGCAGCAAGCCGCTCTCGGCACGCCGTTCGCGTACCAGGAGGTCGACTTGCGGCCCATCCTCCCCGGTCAGTGGGCCGGCGCCGCACCTCTCGAGGCCGGCTTGATCTACTACGTGCGTCCCTCTTTCGGCCTGTCTCGTTCTGCGCGGCGGGGCCCTCACCCACGCACGCTCGAGCCCGTCACAGATCATCTTCGCCTTCCACATCGCCCTCTTCTTCTTCTTCTCGCGTCTGCCGCTGCAGGGCATGACCAAGAAGCACGGCATTAAGATCCGGTGGATCCACGTCTGCCTGCTGCGCATTGTGCCCGTCCTTTTCGCCTACTTCATCTTGTCGCTCGCGTACGTCGACTTCTCCTCGCACAGAATCTTTGCGGCCGCACGACCTGACTCGTCTTCCCTGCTCTGCAGCTACACCCTAATCAACAAGGCGTTCCTTCTCCCGACCGACGGCAACGGCTACGCCAGCTTCGGCCCTCAAGCCGGGTTCATGGTCCTGTGGATGCTCGACTGGATTGCCCTGGCGTCCCTCGGCTTGGCGATGGAGGCCATGTGCGTCTACTCTTCTCTCTCTCTCTCGCCTCCTCTCGCGCATCAGGACTGACCCTAGACTCGCGTCCCTCCAGGCTCACCCTCCTCACCCTCAAGTTCTTCCCGCTGTTCCTCATCACCTGGATCCTCAGCAACATCACGAGCTCCTTCTTTCCCGCAACCCTGGCCCCAAAGATCTTCCGTTACGGCTACATGATGGTGCGCCCACCACTCGCTCGCCTCGCCCCCTCCCTCGCGCTCGCGAAACCCTCCCTGACCCTCGTCCCTCCAACAGCCCTTCTGGCACTGCACGACGGCGACCAAGCACATCATGTGGGGCACGCGCAACCGCCTGGGCCTCAACTTTGGCGTCCTCCTCGGGTGCGGCGCCCGCCCTCCTTCGCGCTCGAGCCTCTCGGTCGACCTTCCCAAACTGACCGACTTGCCCGTCCGCCTCTCTCCCTCTCTGCGCAGGTGGTGCGGCGTGTCGCTTGTCACGATCTGCCTCTTCGAGCTCATGTGGCGGCGGATTGAGGAGAGGAAGGAGCGCCAGGAGAGCGCCAAGGACGTCGAGGGTCAGGGCGCGCACAAATAGAGCCTTCTCTCGCGCTCTTTCTCGCTGTAGACAGACTCGTTGTTGTACTCAATTCATCGTTGCACATCACAGCAATGAGAGTGACTACTTGCCGCCGAGCCAGCCCCTCCACCACGTACTGCCGCTCGCCGGCTTGGCCATCTCGACGCCCTGCATCCTCTCGACCTCGCCGTCCCGCCGCTCGTCCGCCGCCTCTCGCACAGCGACGACGCGCTCAAACATGCCCTCGAGCCCCGTCGGCTGCCTCGTGTCGGGCGGGACGAACCGCTGCCTCGCGAACGTGACGTGCTGCTGCTGCTGCTGCCCGAACGGCGAGGCTGGCGCGCTCGGCGCGACGGGCGGGAGCGGCGCCCAGTCCATGCTGCTGTCGGCGTCGCCTGCGCCGTCGCCGTCGTGGTCCATCGCCGTTGCCGCCGCCGCGCCGCCGCCGGCTGCCCGCCACGGCCGCAGGCTCAAGCTCGGCAAGCGCGCCCTCGGTGCGCTCGACGTACGCGCTCGTGGCGTACCGGCCCTGCTCGACGCGGCGGAAGGCGAGCCGGCCCTCGGGCTCGTCGGCGTCGCGGGCGGGCTCGGCGCGAGGAGGCTGCCCGGGCGCGAGAGGGACAGGTGCGCGAGAGGCTCGAGCGGGTCGGCGGCGGGGCTGAGCGGGAAGCGCGAGGTGGCCGGGGTGGAGGTGCCCGAGGCGGGCGAGGGTCGAGGGGCGAGGCGGATCGGGGTGGGCGGCTTGAGGCGGGGGAGGTACAGGGCGGACGCGAGGGCCTGCAGTTGAGAAGCGGTGAGCGACGTTCTCGAGCGACAGAGAGGCTCGACGCACGGCGATCGTGATGATGACGAGGGCGACGGCAAGTTGAGAGGCGCGTGCGGTCGAAAGGAGGCGGAACTGGAAGGCGAAGGCGGCGACGAGGCGGACGAGGTACGCCGACATCTGGACGGCCTGCGACGCGACAGAGATGTCAGTTGCACTTCATCGAGAGGCTGAGAGGAGACGCACAAGGTACAATGACCGCCCTTGCACGCTTGGGCTCCTCCCTCGAGCCCGCTCGAGCCGCGTGCGCGACCAGGTCGGGTCCCAGAAGCTCCACAGGAGCGACACGAGGGCAAGCGGTACGATAAAATGTCGTGCGCGAAGGTTGAGGTGCTCGACCGACGCGTCGGCGAAGTAGGGACCGGCGAGACCTGTCGACGCGCTCGTCAGGAAGGTTCGGGGAGGAGGAGAGGGACGTCCACGCACAGCAGCAGCAAGCACCGACGTTCCCGACGCCAGTCGCGACCCACGCCGCTCCTCGTGCCCTCCACGCCCACCCCTCGACCGTCCACCTCCAGTCATCGCTCCTCCTCTTCTCCTCGCTGACGCGCTCCTCTCGCTCCCTCGCGCGCTGGCTCTCCCTCAACCGCCACCCAAGCGCTTGCGCCTTGACGCGGTAGTCCCTCTCGCGGATCGAGTTCTCGACGGCGGGTGCGCACGACGCGCACACGAGCGGGTACCGCGCGTCGAGCGACTCGCGGTAGGTGTCGAGCGGCGGGAAGCTCGAGAGGTCCGAGTCGGGGTCGTCCGGGTCGAGTTCCGAGTCGGACGGGTACGAGGCGAGGAGGTGCAGCTGGAGGGACTGGTTGGCGAGGCACAGGCGGCAAAAGGGCGTGGTCGAGGCGGTCGCGAAGGAGGAGGGGAGGCGGTGCCGACTTGGAGAGCCTGTGGAACGAGCGAGTTAGAGCAGGCTACGGGGAGAAGGCGAGAAGGGACGGACCGCGCTTGGCGAACGATTCGTCGTTGAGGCGTGGATCGAAGAAGGCGGCGTCGTCCGACACGACCTCGCCGTTCTGCGCGGAACGGGAGGAGGAGAAGGGAAGTCAGGGCGTGCGGCATCGCTCGAGACGGACCGGCTCGTGTGCGCACCTGGTCGTGCTTTGTGATCTGGCCGCACTCGCCGCACCAGAACTCGTCCCTGGTGCCGACAGCGACTGGACCGTCGACATGTTGCGGGTTGTCGACGGCGCGGCCCTTGCCCTTGGCGAGCTGTTGGCGGGCTGATGCTGGCGGGAGGAGGTGCAGGCGTGTACTGCAGTACCAGCACTGGACGCGCTTGTTGCGCCGGAAGAGCATCGGTCGCAGGCGAGGATCCAAGAGGTTCAACGAGGGGAGACGGCGGCTCGCTCCTCCTCCCAACAGCTCATGCTTGCCTGCGTGCGACCCGCAACCCTCGCACAAGCCACTCGACTCGCCCGCACCATGGCCCACCTCACGGACCCGACCGCCCGCATCGCCCACCTCGAGCGACAGCTCGCTCATCTCCAACGCCGGCTCGCCCTCGCGCAACAACTCGTGCGCGACCGCACTGGGCTCGACTTGAGCGACATGATCGATTCGGCCGAGGCGAGCGGTGAACAGGGCGTCACGAGCGGGATCTCGGAGCGGCAGCCGGCGGCGACTCGTGCGGCACCTCCTCATCCTCCCTCCTGCGCCGTCCACCGCCTCGACGGCACCGATCCAGCGCCCTCAGCCGCCGAGAACAATGCGCCAGTCGACACGTCCGGTCCCGTCGACGTCGGCCCTTTCGTCCTGCGCGCTCTCGCCCTGCGAAAGCGGATCCACCTCGGCGAGACGAGCGAGGTCGACGGCGAGAACGAGCTGCGCGAGATGTTCGAGGGGGAGGCAGCGGCGCTGAGCGAGGAGCAGAGGGCGTCGGTCCGGCAGTGGGCGGGACTGTGAGGCGGGACGAGTGCGCGTGAGCCGGTCGAGGCAACGCAGGTCCGTTCTCCTTTCGCCTCTCGCTCTCTGCGCTGTGCGCAAGGGACTGACACCTTCTTCCTTCCCCGTCAGCGCACCTTATTCACGCCATCGGAGCACTCCTGTCAACGCTGCAAGCGCAAACACGTCGACCGGCCCTCGAGCGACGTCGGCAACCCCTCTGCGGCTTCGTCGCCGCCCGACACCGAGCCACCGCGGCCTCTCGTCGGCAGCGACGTCTCGCTCTGGTACACACGCACTCGGCAGGTCCGGTGGGACCGCCAAGGAGGAGCGAGGGGCAGAGAGAGGATGCAACGATGGTCTCTGCGCGCCGCGCGCGGCGGCCTTTTCTCTCGCGCTCTCGTTTCGCCGACTCGTTCTTGAAGCTGTGCGAGGTCGAGAGAGAGTAACCGTAAGCCCGGGCGCTGCTTGCCTGGCTGCATGCGAGCGAGACAAAGGACACGAGCCGCTCGACCAAGGCCTGGCCCTCGACGCTGAGGCGACTACCGCCGAGCGCACGCTCACGCTCCCTCCACATCGCTCTCTCTCCACCCGCACCTCGAGAGCACCTCCGCTTCCCTCTACAGCACTCTCTGTACGTCCCGACCCTTCTCCCACCCTCCCCCGTCTCGTCAGACGCTCGCACGACGCCTCGTCACACTCGCAGGCGGCCGGCCCACCGACACCGCCTCGTCCTCGCTCGCGGGCGGCTCGGCGGGCGCCGCGATGCGTTTCGAGGGCATGTCGGAGGGCTCGGAGCACTCTGAGCGGGCGCACGGCCCTGGCAAAGGCGGCGGCGAGGTGGACCGGGAGCACGCACCTCAGCGCGCTCGACCGACGGTCGACGGCGCCTCGAGGCCGCCTGCAGGACGGCGGAGCGTGCTCGGTCGGGGCATGGGACGGTGCAAGGGGTGTGCAGGGAGGCGCAGGACTTGCGCGAGCGCCCGTGAGGGACTTGTGCCCCCGAGGCCCGGTTGCTGACGCCTCTCGTACCCCCCGACTCTCGCTCGGCCACGCAGACCCTCGCGCCTTCGCTATCCTCGGCGCGCTTCTCCCCTCTTTCGAACCACCAGTCCTCCTCTCCACCCAGCTCGCAACCAGCCATGGATCTCCGGTGCGTCTCCCTCTCTCTCCTCCTCCCCCCTCCCGTTCCACCCCGCCTCCCTTCGGGTCCCGTGACTGCGCGCACCGCTCGGCACTCGGGATCGCTCGCGTCCAGCTGCTGACTCGCCTACCCATCCTCGACGCAGCGTCGGTGGCAAGTACCGCATCGGCAAGAAGATTGGCAGCGGATCGGTGCGTCCCTCCCTTCCGCCTCGCAGCTCGCGTCGCATGCACTGACTCTCCATCTGCCTCCCTTTTGCGCAGTTCGGTGCGCTCTACTCATGCAGGTGGTTCAGGTGTGCCTCAGGAGAGCCGGACTGACACCTCACCTCGCAGGCGACATCTACCTCGGCGTCAACATCATCTCGGGCGAGGAGGTCGCGATCAAGCTCGAGTCGGTCAAGGCCAAGCACCCGCAGCTCGAGTACGAGGCCAAGGTGTACAAGACGCTCGCTGGCGGCGTCGGCGTGCCGTTCGTCCGGTGGTTCGGCGTCGAGTGCGACTACAACGCCATGGTGCTCGACCTCCTCGGCCCGTCGCTCGAGGACCTGTTCAACTTCTGCAACCGCAAGTTCAGCCTCAAGACGACCCTTCTTCTCGCCGACCAGCTCGTGCGTCCTCCGCTCTCTCTCAATCGCGCCTTCCCACGACCGTCCGACTGACCCGCTCGTCGCGCCGTCGGCAGATCTCGCGCATCGAGTACATCCACTCGCGCAACTTTATCCACCGCGACATCAAGCCCGACAACTTCCTCATGGGCATCGGCAAGCGCGGCAACCAGGTCAACGTGATCGACTTTGGCCTCGCCAAGAAGTACCGCGACCCCAAGACGCACCTGCACATCCCGTACCGCGAGAACAAGAACCTGACGGGCACGGCGCGGTACACGTCGATCAACACGCACCTCGGCGTCGAGCAGTCGCGCCGCGACGACATGGAGTCGCTCGGCTACGTCCTCATGTACTTCCTGCGCGGCTCGCTCCCGTGGCAGGGCCTCAAGGCGGCGACCAAGAAGCAGAAGTACGACCGCATCATGGAGAAGAAGATGACGACCCCGACCGAGTACCTGTGCCGCGGCTTCCCCAACGAGTTCGCCATCTACCTCAACTACTGCCGGTCGCTCCGGTTCGACGACAAGCCCGACTACTCGTACCTCCGCAAGCTGTTCCGCGACCTGTTTGTCCGCGAGGGCCTCCAGTACGACTACGTGTTCGACTGGTCGGTCCAGCAGCGCGTCGACGAGGTCCAGAAGCAGCAGCAGCAGGCCGAGCAGCTCAAGCAGCAGCAGCAGGCGTCGCAGCAGCAGCAGCAGCAGCAGGGCGGCGTCGCCCCGGCCCAGGGCTCGCAGCAGCAGGCGCAGCAGCCCAAGCGCCGCGTCCTCCAGCCGGGCGAGGCCGAGGCCGCCGCCGCCGTCCCGCAGAGCGACCAGCGCATGTGCGTCGCTCGTGTCGCCTCGCTTTCCTTGCGCCTCCTCGAGACTGACTCACTCGACGCACACAGGCTCCGCTCGCAGACGCGCAACGCCCAGCAGGACTCGCGCATGCGCGCCGGCGGCGAGTGGTACTGAGCGCGTCGTCGTCGTCATCGCCCTCGAGCCCCTCTTTCCCCTCGTCGCCCTCGCGCCGGCGCACCGCCTTCCCCCTTCCCCCATTCTCTTCCCCTTACCCCGTGCGCCTCGCCTGTCTCGCTTCGCCCTCGTCCCCTTCCCCATCCCCGCACCGCCGCCGCCCAGGCCGCGCCGCCGCCGCCCGTCGAGTCGGGCGCGAGGCGCCAAGACGCTCAACTCGTCGTCGGGCGCGCGCAACGTGCACCTCGCGCCTCGGTCTCGGTCAGCAGCAGGAGGAGGGTCATCGTCGCCGTGCGTCAGAGCCCGGCGCCGAGAGGGGCGGCGTCGCCGTCGAGCAGAGGGATTCGGCCACGCCAGGGTCCGACCGCCTTTTCGTCGACCCTGCCTCGCCCTTTCCGCCTCGCCTCTCGCCTGCACCACCTCCCCCGCATCACGACCCCGTCACGACCTCGGTTTCCCCATCCCCTACCCGGCGCGCATGCTCGCGCCTCTTCCCCTCGCCGACCGACTCGCCTCGCCTAGACTCGCCGCCGCTCGCCCATCTTTTGTCGGGCAGCGTCAGTACGGCCCGTCGAGGCGTCGTCGTCGACGAGCTCGTCGCTCTCGACGTCCCGCCGCCACCACGGCGCGCTCGTGTCGCCCCAACCCCACCTCTCACTCGCCCCGTCGACCACCTCCTCCCCCTCGGTCGACGCCTTTTTCGGGCGTAGATTGCGTCCACAAGGACTCCGAAACCCCCCACCCCCTTTCCCCGGCACCTTGCACGGCGTCACTGCCGCCCAACCTCGCCTCGTCTCGCCGGCCCGCCCAGCCTGTCGGTCCCGCCACTTTTTCGCGCGCTCGCCGCGTCGCGCACCTCATTTTGTCGCGTGCGCACGTCGTCGTCGTCGTCGTCGAGGAGCAGGGACCGCTGTTGTCGGTCGGTCGGTCGGTCGGCGGCGTCGAGGAGGAGGCGGACCGCGCGCGCCACGAGCTCGAGCTCGTGTTCTCGCTCCTAGCGCCCGTGCCGCATCGCGCCTCACTCGTCGCCGTCGTCGTCGTCGTCCACCATCACGAGGCCTGTTTTTCCACTTTTGTGGCCTCGGGTACGGTCGACGGCGAGTCGGCGGTGGCGGCGTCGGCGTCGGCGTCGTCGAGTCGAGGCTCGAGCGCGGCTCGACGAGACGACGACGGGCGCGCACTCGTCGCGCCTCGGTCCGACTACGCCTCTCGACCCTCGCCTGCCACCACCACCACCATCACCCCGCCGCACTCTCCCCCTTCCGCACCCCTAATTTGACGAGAGCTCGTCCGAGCCAAGCCCGCGCTTGTTACGACGACGACCCTCTCCTCTCTCTCTCTCTCGCCCTCGCCCTCCCTCTCTCGCCAAGCCCGTCCCGGCGTCGACCGTCTACTCGACCTCACCCTCGGGAACGGCCCGTGCACCCCTCGTCGCGCATTTTTCAGCGGCGCCTCGGTGTGCGGCTCGTCGAGGAGCAGAGTGGGAGCATGGAGGAGCAAGAGGCAGAGGAGGAGGAGGAGCAGGAGCGAGGAGGAGCGAGGAGGAGCACGTGTGGTCGTCGTCGGCGGGCTTGTTTTCCTGTTTTTTTTTTCTCGGCGTGTTTTGCTGCCATTGTTACCATCTCTCACCTCCCTGTCTCTCTCTGTGCGTCGCTCGAGAGCATGAGAGAGCGATAGAGAGTACAACAGGGCGAGCTACAACAGGAGGGACCTCTCTCGACGACCGCGCTCGACGACGGACGCTCACTTTGCCGCCCTCGCCTTGGCCTTGGCCTTGCCCGCCGCACCCGCATCTGCGGCGGCGCCCTTCTGCGCGATGAGCGTGTTGAGCGTGTGCTGGCGGATGGTGGCGAACGGCGATTTGGCAAATTGCTCGTTTTTGATGATGGCGGGGAGGCGCGCCGACTCGGCGGTGCTGCGGCGGGCGAGGGGAGGGAGAGGGTCAGGGTGGCTGAGAGGGACAGGCAGAGGAGAGAGACGAGACGCACAGGACGCGCTGCCGCTTCTTGGCCGTGAGCTTTTCCTTGCCCTTGCCGGCCTTGCCCTTGGCCTTGCCACCCTGCACCTCGTGCGCCTCGTCGCCCATCTCGTACTCCTCGCCGTCGTCCCTATCGTCGTCTGCCGCCGAGCCCTCACCGCCGCCGCCTGCGCCGTCGAGGTCGGGCAGGACGGCCTCGACCTCTGCGAGCGACGCGACGAGGTTGTTGGCCGGCTGGGCGTGGCGGCGCAGGCGGCGGGCGTGCGATTTCGAGTAGGGCGTCGTGCTGGCGGCGACCTCTGTCGGGGCGGCAGAGGGCAGGATGAGCTCGTGCCCGAGGAGAGCAAGAGAATGAGGAGGAGGACGCACTGTCGAGGAGCTCCTTGCGGCGGTTGTAGGCCTTTTGGGCCTTTGTCTGCTTGTGCGGTTGCGGGTCGGCCTCGTCGGGGTGTTGTGGTTCGGCTGGAGGAGGGGAGCGCAGAGCGGCGGCGGCCTTGACGGCCTGCAGGGAGCGAGAGTTGGCTCATCAGTTGGGAGGTCGGGGAGGGGGAGAAGGAGGGGGAGGGAGGAGACGGACGGCGATGGGGGCCATTTCCTCTGTCGACATCATGTACGAGTCTGCGAGGTCGTCTGGAGCCATGGCGTGGGCTGCTTGTGCGGGTTTGGCAGCTCGAGCATGGCCGGGGAGCGAGGTGCGTTGGCGAGTTGGGCGGGGCTGCGAGCGCGGGCGAGGGGGTGGGGGTCAGGGCGGAGCTTTGAGGTGCGGTGGAGAGAGAGCGGTGCTCACCATGGCAGCTGGTGCGGGAGAGAGAGCTGGAAGGGCGAGAGTTAGTTGGACGAGGCGATGAAGATGGAGAGAGCTCACTGTCCTCTGCCTCTCTCTCTCTCGCGGTTCAGCACACGCACACATGTGACGACAGCACACACAGAGCACCACCACCCGAGCCATGGACCCGGCCACCCTGTCGGACACCATCTCGTCGTCGACCGCCCTCTCGCTCGTCCACCAAGTCGCCCACTCTTCCGCGCCCATCTCGACCTTTGCCTCGCGCCTCGACGCCCTCCTCGACCAGGCCAACCTCCCACTCCGACGAGGCGACATCGTCGAGCTCCAGGGGCTCCCCGGCTCGGCCAAGTCGTCCCTCCTCGCCCACCTCGCCGCAACCGCCCTCCTGCCGCGCACCGCCCACGTCCGCATCGCCGACCACGTCCTCGCCGTCCCCGTCGGCGGCAACCACAAACACGTCGCCTGGGTCGACTGCTCGCCGCGCGCCGCCCGCCTCGACACCCTCGACCGCCTCGCCCGCCTCGTCCGCCACCACCTCGACCTCGCCATCCGCCGCTACCGTGCCCCGCGAGGCATCGGCGCACCCCGCGATGCCGAACTCGACGCCCTCGTCGACGAGTGCATGGCGCGCTTGACCGTCGCGAGCCCGACCGGCACGGTACAGCTCGCGGCGACCCTGCGCGCCCTCCCCCGCTGGGCCCTCTCCGACGACGGCGATGGCCCGCACGACGAGCTCGCGTACGTCATCGTCGACGGCATGAGCGAGTTTGCCTGGGCCGACCAGCATGCCGCCACCTCGACGCCCTCGTCATCGGCCCACGCGCCCCGCCGCCCGCTGCGCCTCGTCGTCGACGCGCTCGCGCACCTGCGCGCGACGCTCGCGCCCGTCGTGTGGGTCTCGCAGTGGGTCTTTCGCCCCGAGGCGACGCTCGCGCAAAAGTCGCAGGAGGGCCTCCCGTTCTACGCCGGCCACTACCCGTCGTCGCTGTGGCCCTCGATCCTCTCGTCCCCCCTCCCTCCTCCTCCTCCTCCTCCTCCTTCCTCGTCGACCGCCACCAACCCGCTCGCGCCCCGCCCGGGCGCCCTCCTCCCCATCTCGCTCGCCCTGCACCTCACGCTGCACCCCTCGCCGACCCCGCCGCTGCGCCGCGGCACCCCGCTCGCGCTCCTCCTGTCCGAGCAGCGCCGGCGCGTCCGCGTCCGCGAGCGGGCCCAGTCCGCCGTGGGACAGAGCAGCTGGGGGACGGCGCTCGGCGGGGTTGGCGGGACGGAGGGCGTCAGGGTCGTCGTGAGGAGGCCGGGTGGGACAGAGGTTGGCAGCTTTGACGTCGAGGTGTGGGAGAGGGAGGTCGTGACGTAGCGGGCGGGACTGCAAACGGCTCGAGTCGAGGAACCCGGCCCGGCGACGAGCGGGCGCGAGAAGAGAGAGCGAGGTGTGCGAGAGGCTCGTGCGGCGCTTGAGGACTCAATCTCTCTTTCTCTCTCAGCAGCGCAAGCCTCTCACACTCGCTCCAGCTCTGCTCGATGCGATAAAGACGCACTGCACTGCTGTCACTCGGACACCGCCGCACGGGCCCCGCTCCCTCGCTCGCGCGCTCAGTGCCGCTCGAGCCAGTCCAGCATGGCGCCGAGCACGCTCTGCCGCCTCGCATCGTCGGCCTCGTCCCTCCCCTTGCGCAGCAAAATGTGCTCGTACTGCGCGCGCGCTCGGAACAAGTGAGCCGTCGTCCCTCCTCGTTTTGCCTCGTCGAAGAGAGAGAGAGAGAGAAAGCGCGGGCGTCTCGGGGGGCGCGAGGACGCACCTCGGGGAAGAGCCTGAGCTCCTTGTCGGTGCTCTCGGCGAGGCGGTGCAGGTCCTCGGAGCCGTGCGGCGACGTGACGCGGTCGCCCGTGCCGTGGCAGACGAGGAACGGGACGCGCAGGTGCGACTGCGCGGCCGAGAGGGCGAGGATGCCCTGCGAGCGAGGGCGACAGGGAGAGAGAGAGGGTCAGTGACGTGCACGTCGTGCGAGAGCGTGCGGGCCCCGAGACGACGCTGGAGGAAGGAGAGAGAGAGACTCGCGCCGACGGACGGACCTGGAGGATGGCCAACCCAGTCGCGATGCGCAGCTTGCCGTGGTACGTCTGCGGGTCGCGGTTGAACACCTCCTCGACCTCGGGGTCCTCCGAGTTCTTGCCCTTGTTGGCGCTCGCGAGCGGGAGTGGGCCCGCGACGCTCGCGAGTGCGCGCCCGACGAGCTCGACGAGGTACGACGGGCGCGAGGAGGGAGAGATGGCGAGCATCGGGCACAGGAAGATGCCGCCGGTGATGGTTGGGCGGAACGAGGTGGAGGCGCGAGAGGGCGAGGGTGAGGAGGAGGACGAGGACGAGGGGAGCGACGTGTCGCGCGAGGTGCCGTACTTGCTGCGAGGAGAGCGAGGACTCTAGCTCGTCAGTCTCGCTCCCGGGCGCCTGGGAGAAAGGGGAAACGGAGAGACGCACAGGCACGTCAAGGCGGCCGTGAACCCGCCGAGCGACTGGCCGGCGACAAAGACCTTGCGCTGCGGCGCCTGGGTTGCGGCGCCGCTCGGGCCGTCGCGCACGAGCTCGTAGTCGTGCAGGGCGACGTCCTTGATGACCTCGTACACGGCGTCGGCTGCGAGCGAGGGCGCGAGCTCGTTAGCGTGTGTGTGGGCGTGCTGGAGCGAGGAGGGACGCACCGAGGGCGTCCATCGAGGGGCAGTAGACGTGGATGCCGGTCGAGCGGCCGTGTCCGGGCAGGTCAGGCACGATGACGCGGTACTGGTGGACGTAGAGGTGCGTCAGTCGAGGTCTGGCTGGGTCGAGGAGACGAGGAGAAAGAGGGGACGGACGCCGGCGTCGAGGAACTTGTCGGCGTGCATGGCAAACTTGCCGCCAAAGTCGTTGATGCCATGGACAAAGACGAGGTCGCTGTCTGTCGGTAGGTTCGAGGTGGTGGTCGGTGCACGGACAGGGCAGAAAGGGAGAGAGCGGGAGGGACGGACGGCGTTCGGGTGCGCCTCGGGTGGGCTCCCACACCTGGTACGCGACCCAGTCGGTCTTGCTGCCGGCGAGGTGGACCTTGCCGTCACGATGCGAGTGCGACTGGCGTACGCGGTGCTCGTCTGGTGCGCGAGGGAGGGCTTGGCGGCCCCAGGTCGGGTCATTGTCGGGCGGGTGGTGGAGGAGCTGAGCGGCGAGCGAGTGGGTGTCGCTCGGCGCGGGGATGGAGAAGTAGGCAACGTGTTGTGGTGGCGGGACCCAGACCATGGCAGCAAGGGCGGCAGCGGTAGCGAGCGAGAGTGAGCAGAGATCGGGAGGAGGCGGTGCCCGCTTCATCAGCTCGTCCTCCTCCACCTCGACCTGCTCACTCGCTGAGCACCACCACGGGCCATGGCTGCACCCCAGCCAGCCATCTTTGGCACCCCGGCACTCGATCAAGCCGTCGCAGGCGTCACGGCCGGCATCGTCTCGACCTTCGCCCTCCAACCCCTCGACCTCCTCAAGGTCCAGCTCCAGGTCTCGACCGCCGCAAAGACCCGCTCGCCATGGTCCAACATCCACTGGGGACTCCGCGAGATCGTCCGCACGGGAGGCGCCAGGGCCCTGTACCGCGGCTTGACCCCGAACCTCGTCGGCAACGCCTCGAGCTGGGGTTCCTACTTCCTCTGGTCCGTCCTGTTCCTTTCCCGCCGCAGAATACGCCTCCCTGACCCTCTCCGCACCCCGCAGGTACACGATGCTCAAGGCCCGCATGGACGGCGGCAAGGACCACAAGCTGAGCGCCGGCCAGCACCTCCTCGCGTCGGCCTCGTCCGGTCCGTCCTGCCCCTCTCTCTCTGCCACCAGACCCTCCCCGAGACACTCCTGACCGAGCCGAACCCCCCGTCGCACGCGCAGGCATCATCACGGCCGTCCTCACCAACCCGATCTGGGTCGTCAAGACGCGCATGTTCACGACCGCGGCCGGCCAGGACAAGGCCTACCGCGGCGTCACTCGTGCGTCACACACTCTCTCCTCGTCATCACTCGCCGCCACACTCCCTGACAGCTCGACCGCCCGCTCGCAGACGGCCTCGCGACGCTCGCGCGGGAAGAGGGCCTGCGCGGCATGTCCAAGGGCTTGACGCTCGCCATCGTCGGCGTCTCGAACGGCGCCATCCAGTTCATGGCCTACGAGGAGATGAAGAAGCGCCGCGTCGAGGTCCGGCGAAAGCGGCTCGGCGACGGCGCGAGCGACGAGGAGGTCAAGACGCTTGTGCGCTCTCTCTTTCTCTCTCTGTCTCACTGCGAGAGCGCCGTCCCTGACATTTCGTCCTCGACACAGAGCAACCTCGAGTACATCCTCATGTCGGGCTCGGCCAAGCTCGTCGCGATCGCCATCACGTACCCGTACCAGGTCGTTCGCTCGCGGATACAGGTGCGCTCCTCTTCTCCCTTCCCCCCGCTCTCTCTCTCCCTTGTAGCCCTGACTCGAGCCGTCACGCACGCAGTACCAACCCGGCGTGTCGACGTTGCCGACGATCGCGCACGCGGCGTCTCCACCACGACCTCGACCAGCCGCCGCACCTCCTCCCCTCTCATCCGCCTCGTCCCGCACCGCGCCTCTCCCTCCTCCTCCACCTCATCCCCCTTCCTCCTCTCCCACGACCATCGCCCCCTACCGCTCGATCCCAGACGTCCTGCGCCGCACGTACGCCGCCGAAGGGCTCGGCGGCTTCTACAAAGGGATCGCGACCAACGCCGTCCGGATCCTGCCCGGGACGTGCGTCACGTTTGTCGTGTACGAGCAGACGAGCAGGTTCTTGAGCAGGTGGGCCGGCAGGAGGGACGCGGCGAAGAGGAGGAGGGACGGCGGCGAGGTGGGATGAGCGAGCGCGAGGGGTCCGTGCAGTAGACGGGGAGGAGAGCGGGACTATAGAGCGCTCTCTTCTCTTTCTCTCTCTCTCTCTTTCACGAGGTGCACGAGAGTACACGCGAGACGAGAGAGTGTAAAAGCTGCGCTGCAGCGTCGTCCTCAAGCACCTGTACAAGCTGCGCCTCGTCCCCCTCGTGCCTCGCTCGCTCGCTCCTCCTCCTCCCAACCAACCCACGTCTGCCCCACGCTCCTCACGCCTTGGGCACGACAAAGAGCTCGGGCTTCATGCCGAGCTTGCACAGGCGCGCGACGAGGCCGCCGAGCTGGACGACGGTCGACACGCCCTCGAGGATGCGCATGTGGGCAAAGCCGATCTCCTGCGGGCGGGGCGGGAGGCGAAGGGACGTGTCAGGGAAGGTGCTCGACAGACGAGAGGGAGAGGCAGAGAGAGAGAGACACGGCGACGGACCCGGATAAACTCGAGCTTGACGTACTCGTGCAGGCCGTCCATGTTCTTGACGACGCGAAACAGGGTCGTGACAATGTCGACGGCCGAGTAGCCCTTGTCCCACAGCTCGCCGAGCGCGTCCATGGCCGGGTCGACGCGGCCCTTTGCGCAGTCCTTGATGAGGGCCTGCACCTTGACCGGGTGCGGCTGGTCGCACACCTTGAAGACCTCGTCGGCGCCGACAAAGCTGAAGCCCGAAAACGTCGACTGGAGGTTGTTGACCGCCTGGCGCATGTCGCCCTCGGACGTAAAGACGAGCGCCGTGAGGCCGCCCTCGTTGTACGGCACCTGCGTACGCGCACACGCAAGGCCGGGTCAGTCACGTGCGCCTCGTCGAGCCGCGAGGAGGAGGAGGAGAGTGGGCGCACCTTTTCGAGCTCGCAGATCTCCATGAGGCGCTTGAGGAGCTCCTTGTCGCTCAGGCGCGCGTACCGCAGGATGGCGCACCGCGACTGGATCGGCTCGATGATCTTGTTGCTCTGGTTGCACGCGAGCGCGAACCTGGTCGTGTTGCTGTACAGCTCCATGGTGCGGCGCAGGGCCTGCTGCGCGCCCGTCGTCATCGAGTCGGCCTCGTCGAGGATGATGAGCTTGTGGCGCCCGATGGGGAGCGTCACCTTCTTCTGCGCAAACGTCTTGATGCGGTTGCGCACGACGTCGATGCCGCTGCGGACACGTGTCGAGCGTCAGGCTTGGGCTCAGGGAGAGAGTGGGCGCGAACGAGGAGGGAGGAGAGCGAGGGGCGCTTACCGCTCATCGGACGCGTTGAGCTCGAGGACACCCTCCTTGTAGTTGTCGCCGAGCAGGGCCCTCGCGAGGGCGAGGATGCTCGTCGTCTTGCCGATTCCGGGCGAACCCTGCGAGGTGGGCGACGAGGGAGGGAAGGGTCAGGGCGCGAGTTTGGACGAGGTGGTGGGTGCGAGGGTGCGCACCGAGATGATGATGTGGGGGCAGTTGCCGTCGCGGGCGATGACCTTGAGGCGCTCGATGGTCTCGGTGTTGCCGACAATGTCGTCGAGGGTGCGGGGGCGGTGCTGTGGACGGGCGGACGAGGGATGGAACGAGGTGGGGAGGAGGGGCGAGTTCAGCGGTGGTGCGGCAGGCTGCGGTGGGTGGCAGGGCGCACCTTCTCGACCCTGTGGTGGGAGGTATAGGTCAGGCTTTGGTGCGTGAGGGGCGGCCACAGTGGACGCGATGCGACGCGAGGAGAGACGAGGACGAGGACGGACCAGGGGAGCTCGAAAGCGACTGGGGCGTCGTCCTCCTTGGCCTTGCCCTTGGCTGCAGAGCTGGTCGACTGGAACGGGAGCGTGGCAGACATGGCTCGGCGTGAGGGTCGAGCGGGTCGAGGTGAGAGATGAGAGGGACGAGGAGGACCCAGACTGTGTCCTTCCCTCCGCCCTCGACGACCAGGGCTGCGAGCAGAGCCCACCCGCCGAGCTCACGACCTACCCACACGCACCCACTGTGCCCGCCAGCGAGCCTCGAGCCACTCGTCACCTCGCCCCGTTCCATCCCCATCTCTCTCGACTCTGGCGCCCACTCTGGCCTCGCTAGTCGCCCTCGCCAGCTGGGACTCGGTCTTCTGGCTCGCACACACCCTCACCTCGGCCGCAGTCCTCTGGCGCGCCTTCCGCCGCTCCCTCCCCGCCGCCAACAACAACCTCGACTCGCCCGACTCGACCATGTCGCAGGCCACCACCGCCAGCAACGCCCCTGATCCTGGCGCCCCCTACGCCCAGCCGAGCTCGACCTACCCCGAGGACGTCGTCCAGCTGTACCACCCGGACGGCCGCACCTCGCAAGCTGTCGTGACTGTCCGTCCCCTCTCTCTCTCTCTCTCTTGGTACGGCCCATAGCTGACTCTGAACCCTTCGCGTACGCCCCGCAGCGCTGCTGGGCAGATGAGCAAGCCCCAGAGACGGTGACCGAGGCCGCACGCTTGGGCATCCCGTTCACGCCGGTGCGTCTCGATCGCTCTCTCTCTCTGTCTCGCTCTCTCACCCTCTCTCTGTGTCTCTCGAGGTCGCGCTCACCGGTGTCTACCCCCGCAGCTCGCGCCGGGCCGTCTCGAGGTCCTCCACCCCGACGGCACCAAGAGCGAGGTCATCGAGGCCGACGTCGCCGTCGTCGACAAGGGCTTCCTCCGTGGCGACATCGTCCGCGCCCGCAGCACGCCCTCGACGCTCCACAAGAAGCGCCAGGCCGGCCAGATCGTCGACCTCAAGACCGAGGTCCAGCTGCAGCGCGTCCTCGACGGCGAGGTCCTCCCCGGCTGGCACGACACGTCGCTCCTGCGCGCCGCGAGCCGCATCGCGCGCGGCGACCACGTCGTCGAGCCGACGAGCGACTGGGTCGGCGTCGTCGAGGACGTGTTCGAGATGGCCCTCATCGAGGCCGGCAACGGCGTCGTGCGCCGCGTGTGCGACAGCGGCGCCACCCTCACGGTCGGCAGCGGCACCGACGCCATCAAGGCCATGCTCGAAGAGCGAGGCGAGGGCGCCATCGCCCAGTTCCTCGCTGCGGCCGACCTCAAGCAGGTGCGTCTCGTCGTCCTCGTCGCCTTTGCCCCTCCCCTCCCTCGCTCGCGCGTGTGCCGCCCTCTCGCTCTGCGCAGACGTGCTCACCTTGCCTCGTGCGCCGCTCTCGCAGATCCTCGACGTCAAGCAGTGCATGGTCGCCGTCAACTGGCTGTGCCGCAACCAGCAGGCATCGTCCGACTCGTGGGACCGCCCCAAGCGGTACTGGGTCGACATCGACCAGCTCGTCCTCGTCCACTCGACCATCGACCACCTGCACACGATCTTCGACAAGGTCGTGTTCCGCGACCCGTCGCTGTTCCCGGCTCAGCCGTCCCGGTGGCGCGACAGCTACCCGGACGGCCACCGCGTCCTCGCCATCACGGCGACCCGCACCGAGGCGACCGTCCTGTGGCAAGACGGCACGAGGACGACTGGGCCGACGCCCTCGCTCGAGCAGTACCCGGCCATCGACGAGGACATGGACGTATTTCCGGGCGACGTCGGCCTCTTCTCGGGCGTGTCGCCGCCGCGCATCGGCGTCGTCCAGAGCAACGACGCGCGCCGACGCACGATAAAGCTGCGGTACCTGTCGGCGCGCGCCGAGCCCCTGTCGAGCAACGGCGACGGCGCCGAGGAGGAGGAGGAGACGGTCTCGGGCCTCGAGTTTGACCCGCACGGTCCTCCGCCAGACGCGTTCGGCGTGCGCAGGGGCGACCGGGTCCTCATCACGCGCGAGGGTGTCGACAACGGCGCGACGGTCCCGGCCGTGCCCAAGCTTGGCGAGAGCGAGGTCGCCGCCGGGTTGATGCCGAGCGGGGACGAGCTGCGCGTCGAGGTGCGTCGCCGAGGAGGGGCCTCGTTGCCTCTTCTTCTCTCTCTCTCTCTCTCTCTCCCTCGTACCCCTTTCCCGTCGGCCTGTGTACTGACATGTCGTCCCGCCTCGCGCCCGCAGCTGTCGACCCTCGGCCTCACCTACTGCCAGACCCTCCCCGACACGTTCGCCCCGCCCCAGATCCAGGAGGGCCCCGACGCGCTCGCCGCCTATACGTGGTACGGCGAGGTGTGGGACCTCCTCCTTGACGGTCGGGCCCTCGTCCGCCTCCCGGACGGCGACAAGCAGGCGTTCCCCGTCTACCGCATTGTCCAGCTCGACGACGGCCTCGACCCCGAGGGCGACCTCGGCGCCGCGCTCGACGGCGAGGACGACGCCATGTCGACCGACGGCGAGTCGGGCAGCGAGTCGGACGGGAGCTGGATGACCGAGGACGGCGACGCCGTCATGTCGGGCGCAGAGGGCGACGACCTCGAGGGCGTCGTCGACGCCGTCATGGAGGACGACTCGCAGGACGAGGACTACGAGACGGAGGAGGAGGGCGCAGAGCGGGACGTGCCGAGGCGCAGCGGGAGGAGGAAGGGGAGGACGGGCGACGACGGCGACGTCAAGGGCTGGGCCGACGACGACGACGAGCAGCTCGAGGCCGCCTCTTCCACCGCACCCGTCGGCGTCGACAGCAGCGCAGCACCTACTTCCGCCGCCGCACCCGAACCCTCCTCCACCGCCGCCGCCACCTCCCCCTCTTCCTCTGCCGCGACCGCCCCCGCCCCCGCACCCGCACCCACCTCGACCGCGCCCGCACCTACGCCAGCCGTCACGTCCGTCTCGATGCCGGCCGAGGTCGAAGAGGACTTTGCCGACTGGAGCCGGTTCGAGGTGCTCGAGGAGGCGCCGCTCGACCACCACTACATCGGCGAGCCGGTCCAGGTCCCGGGCAAGGCGTTCATGAGCCGCATGCGCAAGGAGCACAAGGTCCTCGCGAGCTCTCTACCTCGTGCGTCCCCTCGTTCCCCTTTCATCGTCTCTCTCGGCCGCGCCGGCTCGAGCGCGAGACACTGACCCTCGTCGAGCCCGCCCGAGCAGCCAACATCCTCGTGCGCGCCTACGAGAACCGCCTCGACCTCTTGCGATGCCTCATCATCGGTCCGCTCGACACGCCGTTCCAGAACGCGCCCTTCCTGTTCGACGTGTTCCTCCCGCCGTCCAAGTTCCCGCAGGACCCGCCGCAGGTCTTCTTCCACGCGTGGGCGAGCGGCAACCGCGTCAGCCCTAACCTGTACGTCGAGGGCAAGGTGTGTCTGAGCTTGCTCGGGACGTGGAGCGGCGACAAGGACGAGGTGCGTCGGCCCTCGTTTCCCTTTCCCTCTCCCTCGCCGTCGAGATCCTCCCCGACTGACCTCTTCGGCAACCTCTCGCAGAACTGGAGCGCCGCCAAGAGCTCGATCCTGCAGATCTTCATCTCGATCCAGGGCCTCATCATGGTCGAGCACCCGTACTTCACCGAGGTCCGCCCTCTTCCTCCTCCTTCTCTCGTCGTTGCAAGCTGGCCCGAGACTGACTCGTCCCCCTCGTTCGCGACGTACAGCCTGGCTTCGAGAAGCAGATGGGCACGCCCGAGGCGACCGCCGCCTCGGAGCTGTACAACGAGCGCACGCTCGTCCTCACGCGAGCCTACGTCAAGCGCGCGTGCGAGTACCCGCCGTCGTCGTTTGCGCGCGAGATCGCCGCCTACTTCTTCACGGGCCTGCCCGGGCAGCAAGGCGGCGCGCTGGCGGCCATCATCGAGCAGAGCAAGCAGCTGCTCGACGAGAGCGAGCGGTGGCACGCTCGCAACGACGGCGACGGCGACGGCGACGAGGTCAAGCCGCCGCAGAGCGCCGTCGTGCCGTCGCAGAGGGTCCTGACCGAGGGCGCGGGCCTGTCGCTGCGGCGCACGGTCAAGGCGCTCGAGGAACTCGTCAAGCGCGGGCCCAAGGTGGACGAGGCGTGACGGGGCTGAGGGTGGACGGTCTCGAGTCGGCCTAGATTTGCTGTGTACGTCCTGCGCATTGCAACCCATCGTTCTCGACGTCCAGCGAGAGCTCGCTCGGGCCTCGGCGCGTGTCGGCGTCGTCGAGAGGAACGAATTGTCGAGTGTCGGCTCTTGCGCTCTCGGTCGTGGCTGAGCTCGCCCGTGACTGTATCGCATGCTGCTTGAGCTGGCCCTCTCTCAGCTCTCCGCGACGAGGAGGAGCGAGGTCGGATTGCCGGCCGGCGCACTCAGAGCAATTGCCCGAGGACTTCGCTTCGCTCTCCTCCACCAAGCCTGCCCGCTCAACGCTGAGCCTCGCCGCGACTCGAGCACCACCACACGCCATGCTCCGCTCTGCAGCAGCACGCGCACCTCGTTGCCGCTTCGCCCCTCGCCTCGCCTCTCGTGCCCCCACCCTGTCATCTTCGGTCGCCGCCCTGCCGCGCATGGCCGCGTCGTACAGCGCGAGCGCGCCACGCCCGACCTCGAGCCACGCCCAACCCCTGTTCAGGCTCGACCCGCCAACCGCCGAGGAGGAGGAGGCCGACTTCCGCGCCCAGGTCGACGCCGTCTCCGAGTGGTTCTCGTCGCCCCGGTTCGCGCGCACCAAGCGGCCCTACTCGGCAGAACTCGTCGCCACCAAGCGTGGCACCCAGCCCGTCTCGCCCCTGCACCCGTCCAACCTGTCGGCCAAGAAGCTGTGGGCCGCCCTCGAGCGCGCGAGCGACAAGGGCGTCCCGCTCCACACGATGGGCGCCGTCGACCCGATCCAGATGACGCAGCAGGCGCCGCACCTCGACGTCCTGTACGTCTCGGGCTGGGCCGCGAGCAGCGTCCTCACGACGGGCTTCAACGAGGTCGGGCCCGACCTCGCCGACTACCCGTACACGACCGTCCCGAACCAAGTGCAGCGCATGCGCAAGGCGCAGGAGCTCCACGACCGCAAGATGTGGGACGAGCGTCGCGTCGGCAACAAGGACAAGCAGCCCTGGATCGACTACCTGCGCCCCATCATCGCCGACGGCGACACTGGGTCCGTCCCGCCTTTCCCTCTTCCTCTCGCGCTCTCTCTCTCGTTCGCGTCCGTTCTGACAAACTCTTCGTGCTCTCGCGCAGACACGGTGGCCTGTCGTCCGTCATGAAGCTCGCCAAGGCGTTCGGCGAGGCGGGCGTGTCGGCCGTCCACTTCGAGGACCAGCTCCACGGCGGCAAGAAGTGCGGCCACCAGGCGGGCAAGGTCCTCGTGCCCATCTCGGAGCACGTCAGTCGCCTCGTCGCCGCCCGCATGCAGTGGGACATCATGGGCCTCGAGACGCTCCTCATCGCGCGCACCGACGCCGAGAGCGGCAAGCTCCTGTCGAGCACGGCCGACGCGCGCGACCACGAGTTCGTCCTCGGTGTCGAGACGCACGACGGCCCGCAACGGGCGCTCGCCGACGAGATCATGCACGCGGCGCTCGACGGCAAGAGCGGCGCCGAGATTGACCAGATCGAGGCCTCGTGGATGAAGAGCGTCAAGCTCGTCACGTTCGACGAGGGTGCGTCCCGCTCTCTCTCCTTGTCCTCTTTGCGTCTCTTTGCGAGCCCTAAACTGACTCTGTCGCCGATTCCCCTCGTCGCCCTCTCTCGCCCGCAGCCGTCGAGCGGCACCTGCAGCGCACCCTGTCGGCCTCTGACGCGTCGGCCAAGTTCGAGCAGTACAAGGAGCGTGTCACGGGCGCGTCCCTGTCGAACCGCGAGGCGCGCGTCATCGCCAAGGAGGTCGTCGGCGAGGAGGTCGCATGGGACTGGGACTTGCCGAGGACGAAGGAGGGCTACTACCACTACCGCGGCGGCATGGCGGTGCGTCGAGCCTTTCCCCTTTCTCTATCTGCCTCTGGACCCGAGGGATGGTACTGACATGGCGCCTTGACGACGCAGGCCGCACTCAAGCGCACGCTCGCCTTCGCCGACTTTGCCGACCTCCTGTGGCTCGAGACCAAGGCGCCCGACCTCGCGCAGGCGCAGACGTTCGCCGGCCAGATCCGCACGGCGCACCCGGGCAAGTGGCTCGTCTACAACCTCTCGCCGTCGTTCAACTGGGGCTCGCACGGCTTCTCGAAGGACCAGCTCAAGTCGTTCGTGTGGGACCTCGGCAAGGCCGGGTTCGCGATCCAGCTCATCTCGCTCGCCGGCCTGCACTCGACGGCGGTCACGACGGGTGCGTCGGCTCGGTCCTCATGCCCTTCTCGCCCACGTTCTGCGCGCTCGGGTGGCTCCTGCGAGAACACGTGGCCTGACGCACTCTTCCTCCTCCCTCTCGCTCTCAGCCGAGCTCGCCGCTCGCTTCAAGACCGAGGGCATGCTCGCCTACGTCGAGCTCATCCAGCAGAAGGAGAAGGACATCGGCTGCGACGTCTTCACCCACCAGAAGTGGTCCGGCGCGTCGTACAGCGACCGCGTCCTCAACGGTGCGTCTCTCTCTCTCTCTCTCACCCTCTCTCTCTCTCTTTCCCTCTTTCGAGACGATCACTGACAGCGAGTGTGTGTGTGTGCAGCTGTGGCGGCGGGCTCATCGGCGACGGCGGCGAGCGGTTCAGAGTCGACGGAGCACACGTTCTGAGAGCGGCGCTTGGTCCCTCTCTTCGCCTTGTCCCTCGCTCTCTTTGTGTAGATGTCTCGAGCGAGCAACGAGCCTCGTCGTTGCTGGCGGTCCTTATCGCGAGAGCCCAGAGCGAGCAGCTCGTGGCCGAGTCGAGAGCTCTCGAGTTGTCTCGAGGCCCGAGCGGACCCAAGCGGGGCTCGAGCTTCGCCAACGACGACAGCGAGCTGAGTGCAGCTCGTTCGTGACCACAGCTCTCTGTCAGCTCTCGCAAAGCTCGTAAAGTGAGGCTCAAGCGGTCTTTGCACACGTCTCCTCCTCCTCCTGCTCGCGAAAGCGATCTATCCAGCGAGCGGCAGCCCACACACCTCGCAGTCCTGCCCCGCCCCAGGCCCGTTCTCGAACGTGCAGTGCGGGCACACCTTGATGCCGTCGTCCCCTGCTGCTCCTGCTCCCGCGTCGGCGCCTCCCGCGCCCCCTGCTGCGCCCGACTCGTCGCCGAACGCGCCGCCGACGCCGGCAGCCGAGGGCGGCACGTCGACGTCGGGCGGGATGTCGAAGCCGTCGAGCGTCTGCTGCGGCTGCTGGGCGCCCGGGTAGTCCCTTGCGGGCGGTTGAGGAGCTGCGGAAGGGGAGAGGAACGTGTACGTGGTGCTCTAGTCAGTTTGACGCTCGTCGGCGTTGATGTCGGGGCACGAGAGAGAGAGAGAGAGACAGCTGAATGGAAGGGGAGGGTGGAGGAGAGGGAGAAGAAGGAGGGAAAGAGAGAGGGGAAGAGAGAGAAAGAGAAGCGGCTCGGCGACGCACCTTGCTCCTGCGCGACGACGAGGAACGTCTGCCAGTTGGGCGACGCAAAGAGCTGCACGAGCGTGCGGGCGAGCTCGCGCGACTGTGTGATCGAGGTCGAGGCGCCGCTCGGGAGCGTCGCGATGCGCGCCATGGTGCGCAGGTCGTCCTGCGAGGCGAGGCGACCGAGGAGAAAGGGTGAGTCAGTTCGGGATTCAAGAGATGCGGTACGAGAGTGAGCAGGAGAGGAGAGAAGGGAGAAGGCGAGGACGCACCTCCTCGAACATGCCGCAGTCGGTGAGGAACCGCAGGAGGTGCCAGTCGCTGAGCCACGTCGCGACGGCCTTGGCGCCCGAGTCGGCCGCGACGATGTCGAGCTCCTCGTCTGCCGGCGCCTCGGCGTTGAAGCCTGCGCCACCACGCACGATCTCGCTCACGGCGTCCTTGCCGCCGAGGAGCGCGGCGAGTGCGCCGCACGCGCGCGAGAGCGTCTGGTCTTCGAGGCCGGCGCGGTTCTCCTTGACGAACGGCGTCGGACTCACGAAACGCGGGTTGGGCTTGAGCGGGAACCCGTGCGTGACGTTGACGATGAGGTACTCGACGGGGAAGCACGGCTTGGCCGACTCCTTGACCTCGAGGCCGTACGAGTTCTTGTACCGGTAGAAGACGTCGGGGATGTAGCGCTCGGGGCCCTCGTCCTTGACGCGCACGACGCCCGGGTCGACCGACGCCTCGACCATGTCGGCGTCGAGCATCGACGTCGCCTGGTCCGACACCTGGTACGCCTCGACCGCGATCGAGCCCTCGATGTCGCCGCTCAGGACGCACGTGACGAACCGGGACGAGAACTGGCCCGAGGTCGAGAAGCGTGACACGGTCGGGTACTTGCGCTGGAGGCTCGCCGCGAACAGGACCTCGAGCGACGACAGAAAGAAGGCGTTGGCGTGCCGCTTGGCGACGACCTTGCCCTGCTTCTTGGCCTCGTCCGACGACTTGTCCTGCGTCAGGTCGGTAAAGATGACGCCGACGACGTCGAGGCCGCATGCGGCGGCGAGCGCGCGCACTTTGGGCTCCTCGTCCCACGGGAAGCCGACAGCGATGCCGTCGGCGTGCGGCTCCTGCGGCGGCTCGTGGATCGCCTCGACGACGGCCTTGACGCCCATGGGCACCTCGTCGTACGGCTCGTACCGCCCGAGGAGGTAGCCGAAGCGCTGGGTGCCCGTCTGGCGCCAGAACGACAGGAGGCCGTCGATGAGAGCCGGCGACGAGAACTCGACGTGGTCCGTCATGCGGTACGACTGACGCGACAGCGTGACGGCGCTCGGCTGGCACTTTGTGCAGATGCCGGCCGGCCACGACGGGTGCGACCCGGACGAGCACGGGACGGCGACGCGGTACGACTCGGGCGCCAGCGGCGGGATGTAGGTCGACGCCTGGGCCGAGGTCGGGATCGACGCGTGCAACTTCTTGAGGTAGGCGTGGTACGACAGGTGCTTGATGTTGTGTGACGCGTGGTACTCGGCGTCAAACGGCTGCGGGGTCGGCGACAGAGTCAGTACGGACCGTGCAGGGCGTGAAGGAGCTCGTGGACGCACCTCGAGCGGCATGCAGTAGTCGCACATGCTCTTGGGCCCACAGCGACAGCCGTGCTGGCCCTTTGGCCTCGGGATCTTGCCGTCGCGCTGCTCCCAGTGCACGTCGACCGGGTCCTCCTCGACGCCCTCCCACGGGCGGTGCGCACCGACGCGCTTGTCGTTGGACGCAGTCGAGGTCGAGGTCGAGGCGGTGGGGGCGGCAGAGGACGAGGACGCGACGTCGAGCGGGACGGCCTTGCCAGAGAGGGTTGCGGCGGTGACGGGTGGAGGAGCGGCGGGGGTGGCGGCGCCGGATGCGGGTGCGGACGAGAGGGCAGAAGGGGCGGTCTTGGGCTTGTACGACGCAAAGAGGAGGTCGCCGTGGCTGTGTCGGGAGGGTGGGCCCGGTGAGCGAGGTACTTCGAGCAACGAGGCCGCGCCAAGAGGGAGCCGGGGCGCACCTGATACCGAGCGACTGGAGGTCGCCCGTGATGGCCGACACGAGGTTCTCGCCTCCTCGAGGCTGGTTCGACAGGGCGAGCGTGTCCGGGTCGATCTGGTCCGAGGTTGCGAGGATCTGGGACGAGTGGGGAGACGAGGGTCAGCTCCAGTGGCCTCGAGACGTGTGGGCGGTGCTCCAGGCAAACTGGCAGAGCTCCCGCACAGCTGCTCGGCTGATCGCGCGTGGGCAGTGCGGCTCGTGACGAGGTGGAGCGCGATGATGACGAGTCGCGAACGATGGGGGCGAGGTCGGCGACGGCACCACCTGAGCGGGTCGTCGATGCTCGAGACGGGTCGCAGGAGCTGCTGGGGACGGGAAAGGGGAAAGAGGGGCTCACCTGGCTGACGAGAGCCGAGATGTCGTCTTGCGGGTCGAGGGTGAAGCGGAAGTTGCCGTCTCGAGAGCGAACGCGGACGAGCTGGGTGCGGGCGGTGAATTAGTTCGAGCTCGAGTGTGGCAGAGAAGGCTGTGGGAGCTCACCATGGTCGGTGGAGCGCGTTGACGAGGTTGGTGAGAAGACGGAGGTGGAGAGGGGCGAGGCGGTGCTGGCCAAAACGTTTTGCCCCCCTCCCCTCGAGCAGATTCGCCCGCTTTCGCCTCGAGCTCGCTCGCGTCCTCATCTCGCTCACCAAACAGCACCTGCCCGCTCGCCTGTGCCACCTCGAGCCCACTCGACACACCGCCCACCATGGTCGCAGGCAAGCTCGACCTCCAGAAGCGCCAGCACCGGTCAGCCCTCGCTTCCTCCTCCTCCTCGCCTCTCCTCCATCTCCCCGCCTCGCCTCGACAGCCACTGACTCCCCCTCTTGCCTCGGTCCACAGCGAGCGTGCTCAGCCCACGCACCGCAAGAAGCTCGGCCTCCTCGAGAAGCACGCCGACTATGTCAAGCGCGCGCGCGACTTCCACTCGAAGGAGGACCGCATCCAGAAGCTGCGCGAGAAGGCCGCCATGCGCAACAAGGACGAGTTCTATTTCGGCATGATCAACTCCAAGACCAAGGTGCGTCCCCTCTCCGGCGCACGTCGCCTGCCTCGCGCGCGCCGCTCACCTATCTCTCTCGCCGCACGCAGAAGGGCATCCACGTCCAGTCGCGCGGCAACGAGCCGCTCCCGACCGACCTCGTCAAGGTCCTCAAGACCCAGGACGCCACCTACATCCGCATGCAGACCAAGATGGAGCAAGGCGTGCGTCCCCCTCTCTCTATCCCGTCTGCTCCCGCTCGGCGCGCCCGTCCTGACCTCGCACCCCACCTTCCAGCGTGTCGATCGCCTCAAGGAGCAGCTCACCTCGCTCGTCGACCTCGCCCTGCCGTCCGACTCGGCGGCAGCAAAGGGCAAGCAGCCGGCCGAGGGAGAGTTTGACGAGGACTGGGACATGTACAGCGACGACGAGCCCGTCGCGTCGACGTCGCAGCCGCGCAACCACGTCGTCTTTACCGACGACATCGACACGGGTGCGTCTTTGAGCCCCCTCCCTTTGCCCGAGCGCACGTCCCTGACTTGCTCCCGCACCCACAGTCCGCTCGGGCAACGCCTCGGCCCTCCTCCGCAAGCGCGCAACGCCCACCGCGCTCCCCCTCGCCTCGACTTCCTCCTCTTCCGCCTCGACCAAGCCCTCGAGCGGCCCGACGCCCCGCACGCGCAAGCCCAAGTCGCGCGCCGCCGCCTCGTCCCTCGAGGAGTCGGCCGCCGACCTCGCGGCAACCGCCGAGCAGGTGCGCGCGCAAGCGGCTGCGCACCGCGCCGCGCTCGAGACTGAGCTCCACGCGCGCGAGGAGCGCCTCGTGCAGCTGCGGCGCGCGACGCGCGAGCTCGAGCTGCAGCGCGCGCTCATGAGCCGCGGCGCCAAGCAGCCGAAGCTCGAGCGCAACCCGGACGACAAGGGCAAGGGCGAGGACGAGTGGTGGATGGCAGGTGTCAAGGGCGCGCCAAAGGTGCAGGACGACGGCGAGAAGAAGCTGCCGATGGCGGGCGAGGGCGTGACGACGGGTGCGAGGGTCTGGGTGCGTCCTCTGTCCTCCCTTTGCGCCTTTCTTCTTCTCGCACGAGACGATGTCGACTGACTGTTTATCTGCCCTCCTCGTCTGCAGAAGTGGAAGGCGCAGCGCAAGCGGTAGAGCCCGTTGTGAGCCGACGCGAGCCGACTCGAGCGGCGTAGTCGAGGAGAAGCCTGTCATTTCTACACCTGCAGCCTGTTGTCACATTCCCAGTCCTCGTCTTTCCAGCTCTGTGTCTGCGTCAAGTCGTTCTCGGGAGCGAGCGAGCGAGTGTAAAGGTGCCGCGAGTCGCTCGAGACGCGTCCTCGGACCTTTCGCTGGATCGCCAGGCTCGACGCGGTCCTCTTTCTCGGCCCGCTAGCCTTCTATCTCTTCGTGAGGGCTTGAGACTGGAGCAGGGCGGTGCGAGGTGCGCAATGCAGCCGTGTTCGTCGTCGTCGTTTCGTTTTCACGCCGAGAGCGAGAGAGGTCCGAGCACTTGTACGAGACGGCGCCGGCCTCCCCAGAACCTCGGCCGTGAGCGTGACCGGGCAGGACGAGAGCTCGAGAGGGGAGACCTTCTCGCGACTCAAAGCCAACTACGTCGAGCGGGAGAGGGGTCCGAGAGCTTGGTGGTGGACGGTCACTGTACGGGTTCTCGTCGCGCCCACCGTCGTCTACAGGCTCGAGAGCGACGTTCAGTACAGGTCTCGAGCCGGGACAAGAGGTCTGAGCGCGAGCGAGTCGACCGACAGTTGAACCAGGAGGTCAACTCGAGCGTGCACTTTCACCTCGACAGCGTCTTGGAACAGCTTGGCAGTTCGTCGGGCTCATATTCCAGCGATGGAACGCGACCCGAAAGTCCCTGGATCGAGACCAGGAGACGCTAGTACCGTTTTGCCGCCGTCGACAAGTAGGGGAAGAGGGGGAGGAGGAGGGGAAGGGGAGGGCTGCGCCCTCCCAGGTCCTCGCCCACGGCCGCCGCTGTCGCAGCGTGTACCTTGCACGCGGGCCTTGCGGCCCGCAAGGCCGCAAGCCTCGCAGAGGGGCCCGGGAGAGAGGGAATGAAGAGGAGATCCAACTTGAGAAGGTCGGCTTTGACCGTCGGTTCCTCGCCCAGGCTCGCCCAGAGCGACGCAGTACTGCGTCGCCCACCTTGAAGCGTCGCTCGCAGGCCTGCCACCGACGTCGAGACCGTCGAACGCGTCGTATTGCGCGAGAAGCGGCCAAAAGAAGTAGTCGGCTCGGGCGCGAAGAGCGACGTGAGCGAAAGGAGTACAGTTTGGCGCTCGACGCGGGATAGACTCGTTGGTAATCGACCGCTGCGTTTGTCTGTCTTTGCTAGCCTCGCACAGCTTTCGTCTCGCCGACGGCCTGCGATGGAAGAGGCTCGAGCGCAGCTTCCTGCTCGTCGAGCGACTCGTACTTATACTGATTCGAATTGCAGGCAAAGCGTACCAAACAAAGTCCACCGGTTGCGCTCCTCCTGCCGGTCCTCCTCCTCCAGCGCCACCGACACTTTCGCATTCCGAGCGAGCTCGACTCGTCTCCAATCCCACGCGCGAGTTGCCCCGTCGACACTCAGCTCGACCCACTCCTTCTCGTTGACCGGGACGATGTGTGCGTCTGCTGCGGCGGCGAGAAAGTTCGCGACCTGCTTGCGGCCAGTGTGGAACCCGGTCGAGAAGCAGACCGTCGCGTGCGGGCTCGCGGAGAGGAGCGCGCGCAGAGAGTCGACAAGTGACGCGTGCAGCGCCGGCGACCAGACGCAGTCGGCGACGAGGACGAGGTCGTACGAGGGCGCGAGGCTGCGGGAGGCTCGAGGGTCAGTGCCCTGCTCTGCTGCCGCAACGTAACCGTGACAGCAAGAGAGGTCGACGCACCTGAGCAGCGAGTCGATACGAGTCCCCCAGGTGTGCGGGACGACGTAAACTTTGCGCTGCAGGCCGACCGGCAGCGCTTCGTCGACCGCACGGGCCGTGTCGTCGAGGGCGGCGGACTCGTCGTAATCGGTGAGGACGACCTGCGGGGACGGGTGTCAGGGTCTCGTGTATGTCGTATCGAGTGCGCCTGACGCACCAAGTCGGCGCCGACGTGCGCCGCGACGAGTCCTGGCAAACCCAAACCAGCGCCGAGCTCGAGCACGCGCTTGCCCTCGACCTCGATCTCCTTGGCCGCGATCTTGTCCGCGAGAAGGATGCTCGCGTTCCAGACGAAGCTGCTGTACTTGTCCCTTGTGCGCGATGGCGGGACGGGTACGGCGAGGAGGAGGGGAGACGGCGCGCGCAAAGGCGCGCACCACGTGAAGAGCGAACCCGGCACGCCGTGAGCGGGCGAAGGCGACAGGTAGTTCTGAGGAAAGCAGTCGAGCGGCAGCATGGTGTCGAGAGGGCGAGAGAGGGAGGAGAAAGACAGAGAAAGCGCGACTTGAGAAGGTCGAAGAACGCTCGTTCCCTCGCTGGCACGTGACACCGTCCGTGCGACTCTCGCACTCGCCCTGCACCGCCGACTCGTATGGCTCGATCGAGTGCTGGCGAGAGCCGCTCGAGTCGCCCGCCGGCTCGAACTGCACCGCCTCTCCGACGACAAGTTCGGCCTGACGAATTCCGCCGCCGCTCTCATCTCGTCCGCCTCGCCGTTCGTCCGCACAAGCTGCCGGCATGAGCACCTCTACAGCACCAGCAGCACCACACGTCAACTTCAGCAAGTTCGCGACCGCCGACTCGCCCACGGTGCAGGTTCCGATGCGGGTCATCAACCGGCCGCTCCCGTCAGAGCTGGACCAGGCCAAGGTCGAGCGCTTCATGGAGGGGATCAAGGTGCGCCCTGACTGTCTCTCTGCCCGCCTCGGCTGCCCCGATCCAGCCTGTCCCGGTGCGCGCCAGGAGCTGACCCTCATCTCGCCTCCCACGACTCTCCACGCAGGCGGGCGACGACTTCACGCCCATAGAGGTGCTCAAGTGCGTCGCGCCAGACGGCCAGAAGTACTACTTTGCGTTCGGTGGCTGTCACCGGTGCGTCTCGCGCTCTCCCGCCCCCGCTCCTCCCCCCTCTCTTCCTCTCGCGACCCTCTCTCTGGACGAGCCGAGCTGACCGTCACTCGCTCCGTGCAGGTACGAGGCACACAAGCGCTTGCAGAGCGAGACGATCCCAGGGCGCATCATCAATGTACCTCCCTCGGCCATCCGACTGTACCTCGGCGCGGGCTGTCCGTTCTGAGTCTCGCCTCTCGCTCTCACGCACCGACTAGACCGTCCAAGATCCATAGACGTTCATGCAGTCACTCAGTTCTTCGCTCTCGGACTCTCGGCACTGGCTTGACGACGGGGAGAAAGAGAGAGAGAGGGAGAGAGAGAAGGAGATACGAAGAAAGGTCGTTCCAGAGAGACGAGTCTCTACTGCGCCGCCGGCGCCTGGCTCTCCTGCCCACTGACCCGCCACACGATCGTCCTCGAGCCCTCACCGCCGGCGACGAGGCGCTCGCCGTCCCAGTCGATCGCGAGAACCTTCTCGGGCTCTTTCTTGTCGTCGTCGCCCTCCTTCTTCGGGACCGGGAGCGTGAACAGCGCCTGCTTGGGGCTGCGCGCGTCCCAGATGCGCACCGTCGAGTCGTACGAGCCCGAGGCGAACAGGAGGGACGAGGTCGGGTGCGCGGCGACGGCCGAGACGGGCGCCGAGTGGCCCGACAGCGTGAGCGAGATGTTCTGCGTCGCGTCGGTGCGCAGGTCCCACAGGCAGATGAGGCGGTCGGTCGAGCCCGTCGCGAGGAGGTTGGGCGCGGTCAACTGCGCCATGGCGAGGAGGACCTTGTCGCTCGTCTGCTCGAGAAGAGGCGCGTCAGGCTCGGGAGCTCGTAAAAGAGAAAGAGAGGAGGCCAGAGAGCGTGGGCGCACCTTGCTGCTCGTCTCCTCGCCGACCGACAGGTCCCAGCTGCGGACCGTGTGGTCCCACCCTGCCGAGTACGCCTTGGACACGTCGCTCCGGTCGAACAGGGCGCGCGAGATCTTGCCCGTGTGGCCGCGCAGGACGGCTGAAGGAACCTGCTCGAGAGAGAAGGGGTCAGGGATGTCTCGACGTGCGCGAGAGCCGAGTAGGGAAACAGGGAGCGCACCTTGTTGACGACGGTCGTCGACTGACGCCGCCGCTTCTTCTTCCTGTCGGCGCCCTCGAGGTCCGCCTCGCCCTCGTTCGAGCCCGGCGTCAGGTCCCACAGGCCGATGAGGCCGTCCCAACCCGCCGTGAGGAGGTGCGGCGCGGGCGTTGCCGAGGTCGAGGCGAGAGGGAGCGGGCGAGAGCGGACGGACGAGATCGGCGCCTGGTGGAGCGAGAGGGTGTACAGGCAGGTCGGCGCGGGGACGGTCGGCTCGGCGTCGAGAGAGAGAGTCGGGATCTGCAACGACGAGAGGTGTTGGCGCACGGACGAGAGAGAAGGGGGAGGGAAAGAGGACGCGAGAGGAAGGTGGACGGACCGAGTACTCCCACACGCGGCCGACGCGGTCCATGCCGCCGCTCGCGACCCACCGCTTGTCGTCCGAGCCGAGCGGGACCGGGACGTAGGTCGCAGACAGGGCCGACAGGTCGTGGCCGGTAAAGGTGAGGTTGGTGCCCGGCGGGAGGTCGTTCGACTGGAGCGACAGGGTGCCGGCGTACGACGCCGTGAGGATGCTTCTACTCGCGGGCAAAGGAGGGAGGAGTATGAGCAGAGTGTAATTGCAGGCTCGGGGCAACGAACGAGCCGCTACCGCGCGAACTGGGAGGGACGCAATCGACGCACCCTCGAACCGCAACCGACACATCGCTGACCCAGTCCTCGCTCGGCAACGTGCTCTCCAATTGAGGCGGCAGGGTCGACGGCAGGAACTCGACCTCGAGCACGACCTCCTCGCTCGTGCCGGTCGACTGGCAGTAGGCGCCGAGCGACGAGCGCAGGAGCGTCTGGTCGATGAGGAAGTCGAACGGGATGGGCGAATCTGTGTGCCGCACGACAGTCCATTGTCAGTATCGTGCTCTGTGGGTCGCTCGAGGACAGTGCGGGTGCGTCTCGGTGCCGGGCAGGGGCAAGGGTTCCGGGTGAACGGCATCAGGAAGTGAAGAAAAGGGTTCGACATCGTCTGAGAAACCTCGAAGACTGCTGAACGAAGAATACCAATGTCATAACGTTGTGTCGTCATGCGCTGCTCGTGTCCCACCGCATGCCGGCGCGAGGAGGAAGGGCCGCGAGCTCCTTGAGAGCGCGGACCTCTTCTCGACCGACAGCGGCACCCGTCCCGGCTCTGCCCGAGCGCACATCGGCTCGAAAGAGACGCAGTGAAGCAGCACGGAGCTGGTCATGCGCCTCGTCTCGCTCTGTGCGTCCATGCGAGGCCGAGGAGGGAGAGACCTGCTCCACCGTGCCCGAGATCCGCGAGAGGGAGAGGGAAGGCGGGACTGACCATTGTCGAGGACCTTGTTGATGAGCTCGGACAGGTGGAAGCGGCGCCAGCTCGCAGGCACGAGGAACTTGGCCGGCGGGATCGTGTAGAGCGGGTCCTTGGTCGACAGGCGGATTGCGATCTGCTTCTCGTCGCCCGTGCCGGGGATGGACGCGGTCGACGTGCTGGCGATAGGCTGCGCCGAGTCGAGAGACATGGCGGGCAGTCCGGAGTAGCGAAAACAAGCGAGCGAGGGAGAGTGAAGGAAAGAGGGGACGGCCGCCGGCGCGAGAGGCGCACGAGCTCAGAGCCACCTGTCGCGCATTTTCTCGACCGCGACGACCCTTCAGCCTGCGCCAGATAGTGCAGTACGAGCCCACTCTCGCAGAACAAAGCCTCGGCTGCGAGAACAAGGACCATGAACGAGGGCGGCCGCGCTCGAGCCGGCGACGAGAAGAGCGGTCGGTGCGGCGCTTTCAAGATCCTCTCGCGGTCGCACGCTCGAGCGAGAGAAGGCAAGGGTGCAGGTACGAGCTACAGGGATGTCACAGAAGAACAGGGGAAGGGTGTTTCAACGACCGATGCGCTCCCTCTCACCGCTCCCGCTGCGCCCCGTTCGGCTCGTCGGCCTCGACGCCGACAGGCCCGACTGTGCGCTCACCTTGCGCCCGAGGACGGCAGGGCGATGCGGCGACGGTACGCGGTCGAACGTGAGCGGCTCGGGCGCCGCAGGATAGGCGAGAGGCGCGGGCGAGGTCGAGCGGACGAGCGACGAGGGCGTGAAGGGCGACGGGGCGACGAGGTGCAACGGCGGCGGAGCGGCGGTGGGTATAGTTGCGGAGGAGGATGCGGGCGGAACTGGGTATGGGGGAGACTGGGAATCGAGAGGGTAAGGGAGGAGAGGCGGTGCCACGAGGGCGGCGACGTGCTCGCTGGCAGAGGCGAACGCGAGGCGCGCTTTCGCCTGCCTGCGGGCGAGGTCCCACTCGGCGCCCGGCCCGCCGTAGTCGGCGAATCGCTCGAAGCCGGCGTCGGGACGGGCGTGCTGCTGCACCGCACCTGGGCCGTCGTGGACGACCCGGAGCTTGTCCGACAGGTCGAGCCCGCGAGAGGCAAAGACGACCCGGACGGCGCGGTGCAGGTAGAAGCGCGGCTCGTGCGCGCTCGACGTCTTGCCCTTGCGAGTCGGGGCTGCCGGCGGGGAGCAGAACTGGAGGTGCACGGCGAACCGCAGCTTGCCCTTGCCGCCATGGTCCTCGGGCTCGACGGCGTACGACAGTTGGCGCAAGAAGGTGCGCCCGCCTTGGCCGTCTCGGTCAAGCCCATCGATGTCGTACGGGATGAGGAACGGCTTGAACGCCGTGTCGAGCGAGTTCTTGAGGACGAGCTGGATCTGCCCTCGGCGCGGCACCTCGTAACCCGGGAAGCGAGGGAGCTTGACCGGGTGGGCGGCATCGACATCGATCGAGGGCGGCGGGAGGACGAGGACCGAGTGGTAGTGCGCGTCGAGGTTGACCGCGCCGACGTACGGGCAAGACAGGGTCGCCTCGCCGCCGGGCTCGCGCCAGAAGACGGCGCCGAACGGGACGTGCAGGTGCTTGGGGCACTTGAGCCGCTTCGGCGCCTCCGAGCCGCCGAGAACGCCGATCGACGCGACGAAGGGCAGCGGCGCCGACTGCGGCGCCGACATGCGGCCGCTCAGGAGGCAGTCCTCGAAGCTGCCGACGAACGAGCCCGACGGGAGGGCGCCGCTCGTGAGCGACGAGAACGACGCCGACGAACGACGTCGACGCTGCCGCTGTGCGAGGCGGCCGGGGTCGAACGCGCCGCTGCTCGACGGGCCGCCGGGCGACGCGGGCGAGCCGAACGGCGTCTCGTCCCGCAAGGGCATCCGGCGCCAGGACGACAGGTCCTCGCCGTCAGGCCCGACGCTCCGGGACAGCGGCGAGCCCCTCGGCGGCGACGCCAGGTACGCTCGCGGCGCCGACACGACCCTGCGGCCGGCTGGCGGTCCTGGCGACGGCCGGGCGGGGAAGGCGCCTCGCCCGCTCAGGCAGAAGCCCTCCTCCGAGCTGGACGCACTCGCCGAGACGGACAGGGCGGGCATGAGCTCGAGGAGCGGGCCGTCGAGGGGTGCCGAGGCGAGGGACGAGGACGAGGGCGATTCGGCTAGAGGGATGTCGAGTGGGCGAGGAGCGCTCAAGGCGGCGGTCGATCGACTTGGCGCGACATTGCCTGCAGCCGTCGGCGCGAACGAGGGCGACGGCGGCGACGAGGTGGAGGGGAGGGTGCCGGCGGGCGGACTGAATGAGGTGGGCACGAGGCGGTGCGAGGTCGGGACAGGCGGGTCGTCACCTGCGGAGCTCAAAGGGGTCAGCGCTGCTCGCCTTGAGCTTCAGGCTGACTGTGAGACTGCGCAGCACGAGAGCATGCGGACCCGCTGGCGTCGGCGAGGGGTGCGCATCGCCTGACGCGGGGCTCGCAAGCTCGGGAGGGGAGAAGAGGGCGACAGGCTCACCTTGTGCGAGTCCACGCTCCTTGAGGATGTTGCTGAGCCCGCTGTGCATCGCTTGGGCTCTTGCGCGGCTCTTCTGCGCGAGTCCTGCGCGAGTCGGTGGTCGGGTAGGGCCGAGAGGCGATGAGGTCGAGTCGTGCGGGAGGCGGGCTGCAGGCGAGCGCAGGCGGCCTGGTCGACGTGGCAGAGCTGCTGGGGTGGTATACAGCAATGGCTGGAGGGCTGCTCAGGCAGGCTTGCGAGCTGTGCGAGGTTGAGGGAGCGAGGTCGAGCCCTCGCCGGGCTCGGCAGCTCTCGACGAGGCGGTGCGAGTCAATGTCGCGCGACGGCGCCGCAAAGGGCTCATGCAGGCGAGCAGCTGTGGTCCGATACTGCGCAATCGCTCTCGAGGCTCGCAATCCATGAGAGAGAGGCGACAACTTCGTTTCCTCGGGCGAGCAGGGCAAAGTACGACAAAGCGCTCGAGCGAGGGTACACACGTCCACCGATACAAGTCCCACGTCCTCCGACAGTACAGAGAGTCCCACTACTGCGCACCTCCAGGCGCAGCGGTCGCGGCGACGACGGCGGACGGCAGGTCGAGGTGGAAATAGACGAGGTCGGCGTCGATGAACGAGTCGGCGTAGCTCTCGCTCGTCGCGTACTGCGCCTTGTCGATGCTCGGCGACTCGAGCGAGGACGACGCCCGCTCGAGGTCCTGCGGCGCCTCCTTGATCTCGCCCGACGTGTCGGCGCGGTTGAGCACCGGTCGAGGCGGGAGCTGCGAGGCGGCATCGGCGTTGTCCTGCTGCGGCACGACGTCGCCGACCTCGACCCGACGTGGTTCTGCGAGGTTGCGACCGAAGCCGCCGGCGAGAAGAGCTCTGTAGAAGGCGAGAAAAGTCAGGGAACGAGGCCTCGAGAGCCGACTTGGGAAGGCCGAAAAGTGAGGGACGCACCGCTTGATCCACGGCGAGAGCACGCTCGCAAAGTGGAACTCGACCTCGTGCCCGGCGTAACGCTTGAGGACCTTGTGCGCGTCGACGAGGCCCTGGATGGCGGTCGTGTCGACGTGCGAGACGACGCCAAAGTCGAACACGACGGCCTTGAGCGGCGGCTTGGCCGCGTTCTCCTCGTACTTGCGCTGCTCGAGGTCGACGTGCGCCTTGCGCTTCTGGAACCTCGACGGGCCCGGGTCGTTCCAAGGCCGGTCGCCTTGCGGCGTGAGCGAGTAGTCCTGGCCGTTGCGCGTGTGCTGGTGGGCGTAGGCGACGAGCTGGTCCGTGTAGTGCGCCGCGTTGATGTACAGGAACGACTCCTCCATGCGGAACACGATGACGCCCGGCGGCGCCGGCTCGACGTGCACTTGCGGGTTCTCGACCTCGGGCGCCGTGAGCGGGACCCAGACCTCGCGCACGTCGACGTTGCCGGCAGGGCGCTCCTGGCGCACGCGCACACGACCGAGGAGCTTGCCGCGAGGCATGGCCATGCGGACGAGGAGGAGGGCGGCCGAGGCCGCGATCGAGAAGTAGATGCCGACCTCGATCGAGGTGAAGACGGTGAGGACGACGGCGACGAAGAAGATGACGGCCTCGAGCGGCGACACGAGCCAGTAGGCGTACGTCTGGCGAGGGTGAGCGATCAGGGTCCCGACCGCCTCGATGATGACGGCGCTCAGGGCGGCGTTGCTGATCCACTTGAACGCGCCCGCGAGGCTGTAAAGGGCGATGACGACGCAGCCGCCGGTCCACCAGCCGGCGAGCGGGGTGCGCACGCCGGCTCTGCTCTTGATCGCCGACCTGCTAAAACTGCCGGTGCTGGGGTAGGCGCCGAAGAAGACGCTGACGAGGTTGTTGACGCCGATGGCGACGAGCTCCTGGTTCGGGTCGATCTTGTAGTTGTTGACGCGCCCGAACGACTTGGAGATGGCGATGTGCTCGAGGAAGACGAGGATGGTCGACACCGGGATGAGCGGCGCCATCTTCGAGATGATGTCGGCGTTGATGACAGGGACGCCCATGTGCTGGAAGCCGCTCGGGACCTTGCCGAGGACCGAGATCGGGTACTTCTTGCTCGGGTCCATGTTGCGCAGGTACAGGTACGACGCGAGCGTCGTAAAGATGATGGTGAAGCCGGTGCGGAACGTGTTGGCGAAGAAGGCGACGCGGCGGACGACCGGGTTCTTGGCGCGACGCTCGACCCGGTTGAGGAAGAAGCGCGTCGCGTACAGGAACGCGAGCGAGACGACGCCGAACGCGGCGTCCTGCGTCGCGTCGGGCAAGTGCTTGAACGTGTTGATGATGACCTCGTACGTTGCCGCGCGAGTGCTGCACGAGGGAAGCACAGGTCAGGGATCGATCTTCTAAAGTCGATGAGGAGAGGGCGCAGGACGCACTCGAACTTCTTGCTGAACCCGAGCAGGCCCGGGACCTGGCCGGCGCAGATCGAGATGGCCGAGCCCGTCATGAAGCCGGCGATGGCGGGTGCCGAGATGAACTGAGAAGGTCGGGACGGACGAGGTCAGTTCTCGAGCGCTCGACTTGCCACGAGAGAGGGTAGGTTCGGCGCACCTCGACGATCCACCCGAGCCGCAAGAGACCGATGACGAGGACGATGGCGCCGCAGATGAGGGCGAGGGCGGTCGCGATGACGTTGCCGGGAATGTCGGCGCCGCCGGGCTGCTCCTGGACGTGCTTGATGACCTTGGACACCTCGAGCGACATGACGGCGACAGGCCCGATCGTGACGTCCTTGGACGTAGCGAACAGGGCATAGACCCTGCGAGAGAGGGACGAGGGGCAAAGGTCAGTCGCGCCCTAGAGCTGCTCGAGGAGAGGGGAGAGGTCGGACGCACATGACGCCGACGAACGACGAGTACAGGCCGAACTCGGGCGAAAGCGTCGCGATCTTGGCGTACGACATCGACTGAGGGACGACGACCATGCCGACCTGTGGGCGAGCGAGACCAGGCTCGTCAGACGGCGCTCGTTCCTCGACGAGCGCAAAAGGGAACGAGGACGCACTGTGAGGCCAGCGATGAGGTCGCCGATGAGCCAGGTGACGTTGTAGTTGAGGATCCACCGGTGGAAGGGGAAGAGCGACAGGACGTAGGCCTTGGACTTGGCGGGGAGGTCGGACGAGCCCTGGCGGAGGAAGTCTGCGCGTCGGCAACGGGCGAGTCAGTCGACGGGCTCACTCACGAGCTCGAGGAGAAGGCGGACGCACCTTTGGTCGAAGCGGCCTGGCTGATGACCGGGTCGTGGCCGATCCATCTCGCAAAGCGTTGGCGCGTCGAGAGGCCGCTCATGGTCGCGGCAAGGTGCAGGTTGGAGGCGGCGAGAAGCGCGGAGTCGACGTTGCTCTTGAGGGGCAGAGTAGAACGAGAGACGAGGAGGCGGCTTGACGCTGGTGGGACCCGAAACGAGGAGGAGCGGGGAGATGTGCCCGGTGGACGACGAGCGGCGGAACCGAGAGTGCGAGGGAGAGCAAGCCGCAGAGCCTGAAAACGAGCGACAGGCGTCTGCAGATCAAGCACGTCCTCGAGCACCTTCGCACCGGTCGCTGCAGAGTGCGGCAGCCGCAGCGCGGATGGCGTGCTCCTCCTCCCCGGCGAGAGGCCGAGACCGCTCACTCCCTTGGCCCGCAGGGGCGGGGATCGACCGTCCACCGGTCTGTGCCCGAAGCTGGCGAGGGCCGCAAGCACGCCTTTGGCGAGGAACGGGGCGAGAGAGATGGAGCGAAGAGAGGGCCGGCTCGAGCTGGAGGCAGCTCCTCCGCCTTTTTCCGTCTGACTTTTCGCGATCCTCCTCGTCTGCCGCACCGTGTCAAGTCTAGACCTGATCACGTAGCCATGCCGCTCGCCGATTGTGAGAGAACGCGAGACGAGTGTCGAAGCACGACAAGGGAGCTCGACCCGCACGTGCCTCTTCCCGTTCTGCCGGACGCGGCTGTCAGGGAGGAGCGTAGCTCCCCCGCCTCGACTCGCCCCCCGTACGAGGGACAGAGCACGTCGACGGGCTCCAGGGGCACGTGAACCCGAGCCGCAGCGGTTCTCACAGCGAGCAGGGCGACGAAAGCGAGCATTCGCCGCCCGCTCGACCGCCCTGTCCCGGCTCGTCACCCTCCCGAACCGAAGCCTGCCTACCCCCGAGGAAGCTCGCCGTGACGAGGGTAGAAGACAGACCCCGAAAGCGCAGAACTGGGCAAGCCGCTCGCGAAAGCAGCTCGCACGGCGCACGCTCGGCAGTGCCAAGTGGACCTGCCTGCGCCGGCGCCACCTCAAGCTCTGCCAGACAAGCACAACAGCCTGCATGCTGAGGCGGGCGCGGTAGGGGCCGCTAACGCGCCGGCAGTCGGCGCAGCGAGCGCCTGACAAGCAGCCGAGCGACTTGGCAACGAGCGACGTCGTCGGCAGCGGCAGCCGCGGTCACAAAGCTAGCCGGGACCGCGCAGGGTGTCTCGTAGCATGTCAAGGCAGCGAGGTACGAGAACGTGCGCCTAGCAGGAGCGGCCGAACCCGGGAGAGCCAGTCGACCGCCGGCGGCCGCGCCGACGAGCGGGAAGCGACGAGGCGGACCGGTTCGCGCTCGCCGCGGCGACACAGCCGACAGCGAGAAGCACAGGCCAAGCTGCGTGCGCAGGGGAGCGAGGCTCGAGGGAGCGCGTGAAGAGAAGGAGGGAAAGGGGGGAGGCGAGTTCGGCGCGAGGACGAGGGAGCCGGCACCCTCGCTAGGTACAGTACAAGGCGTTCAGAGTGTGGCGTGCAGTGTACACAGCCCAGTATCCAGCGCGCAGGATCAACAATGCGGTTGGAACGAGAGCGAGAGCTGCACCTCCACGCCAAGTCGCGCTCGTCGGAGCGAGCGCTCGACCCAGCACCCGACCGCGCTCCTTGCTCGTACAAGGCCCGAGAGCCCCTGCCAGGACCACCGGCACTCGACCGACGCGCCCCTGCGCTCCCAACCGCCTCTCTCGCGCCCGTCGTCAGCCTCGAACGCGGCTCCCCCCATCTCCCACCACCTTGCTCGGCCGTCCACGCCTCGACACCTCCAGGCCAGCCACCAGCATGTCGAGCTACAAGAAGGACGAGGAGAGCGGCGTCGGCTCGTTCTTCCAGGACAAGACGGTGCGTCCTCGCCCTTCTTCTCCCCCCGCCCCCCTTCCGCGACACGTCCAGCCGCTGACACGGTGCATCCCTCTTCCCTGGCCCTTGTCGCTCGCCTCGTCCGATGGCTCGGACCAACAGACCGTCATCCAGGAGGCGCGCGTGTTCAACGAGACGCCGATCAGCCCTCGCAAGTGTCGCATCCTCCTCACCAAGATCGTCTACCTCCTCTACGTCGGCGAGACGTTCGGCACGCAAGAGGCGACGACCCTCTTCTTTGGCGTCACCAAGCTCTTCCAGCACAAGGACGTGCGTCCCCTCTCTCGCTCCTCCCTTCCCCCTGCCCCATCCCCGACCGGCTGCGAGCCATGCGGAACCCCGGCCCTTGAAGGATGCTGCGGCTGGGCGAGTAGGAGGCGAATACCGCACCGGATTCTCGGTCTCTGGAGCAAGGCGGCGCAGGTGGAGAGCCAGGACTCGCGCCTGACCCTGTCCTCCCTTCCGCCCCGAACAGAGCGCTCTCCGCCAGATGGTCTACTTGGTCATCAAGGAGTTGAGCAACATCGCCGAGGACGTCATCATGGTCACGTCGTCTATCATGAAGGACATGCAGCCCAACCTCGAGGTCATCTACCGGCCGAACGCCATCCGAGCCCTGTGCCGGGTCATCGACGTGCGTCCCTCAGACTCTCTTCTCGGCGCGACAGCGCGCTCGGGACTGACTCGGCGTACACACACAGGGCTCGATGATTGTCGGCGTCGAGCGCTTCTTCAAGGCGGCCATCGTCGACCGCAACACGTCCATCTCGTCGGCCGCGCTCGTCTCGTCGTACCACCTGCACCCGATCGCGCGCGACGTCATCAAGCGGTGGGCCAACGAGGCGGCCGAGGCCGTGCAGAACAAGGGCGGCGCCTACGGCACCGCGTACGGCCAGGGCTACCAGGCGGTCCAGAGCTCGAGCTCGATCGTCCAGTACCACGCGCTCGGCCTCCTGTACCTCATCCGCCAGGGCGACCGCATGGCCGTCACCAAGATGATCCACCAGCTGAGCGGCGCAAAGGGTGCCGGCGGGACCCTGCGGAGCCCGTTCGCCATCTGCATGCTCATCCGCTTCGCCGCCAAGGTCATGGAGGAGGACCCCAAGTGCGTCCCTGTTTCGCTCCTCTCGAGCCCTACTCGCAGTCCTGACTCGAGCCCTACACCAATAGCGTCCAGCGCGCCATGTACGAGCTCATCGAGGGCTACCTCAAGCACAAGAGCGACATGGTCAACTACGAGGCCGCTCGCGCCATCTGCGACATGAAGAACGTCGGCGCCGCCGAGCTCAACCGCCCTATCGCCGGTACGCTCACACTTTCTCCGTGTCTCGAGCGGTCGGTCCCGTCACCTGACTCGTTCGGGCGCTCGCAGTCCTCCAGCTGTTCCTCTCGTCGCCCAAGTCGACCCTCAAGTTCGCCGCCATCCGCACCCTCGCCAAGCTCGCCCAGACGCACCCGAACGCCGTCCAGGCCTGCAACCTCGACATGGAGAAGCTCATCAACGACGACAACCGCAGCATCGCCACGTTCGCCATCACGACGCTCCTCAAGGTGCGCACGCTCTTCCTCCCTCTCTCCCTTGGCCACCTTCTCCCTCCTCGTCGAGGTCTTGTGCTCACGAGCTCGTCCTCCTGCGCGCAGACTGGCAACGAGGCGTCGGTCGACCGCCTGATGAAGCAGATCTCGGCCTTCATGTCCGAGATTTCCGACGAGTTCAAGGTCATCGTCGTGCACGCGATCCGCGCGCTGTGCCTCAAGTTCCCGGCCAAGCAGACCGTCATGCTCAACTTCCTGTCGGGCGTGCTGCGCGACGAGGGCGGGTACGACTTCAAGCGGGCCGTCGTCGAGGCCATCTTTGACATGATCAAGTTCATCTCGGACTCGAAGGAGGCCGGTGCGTCCTCTCTCCCTGTTCTCTCTATGACGATCAAGCTCGTGCGCACGCGACTGACTCTCTTCGTTCCCCTGCAGCCCTCGCCCAGCTGTGCGAGTTCATCGAGGACTGCGAGTTCACCAAGCTCTCGGTCCGCATCCTCCACCTCCTCGGCGTCGAGGGCCCCAAGGCGCCGCAGCCGAGCAAGTACATCCGCTACATCTACAACCGCGTCATCCTCGAGAACGCCATCGTGCGCGCTGCCGCCGTCTCGAGCCTCGCCAAGTTTGGCATCAACGTCGCCGACGGCTCGGTCAAGCGCAGCATCAAGGTCCTTCTCACTCGGTGCGTGGCCGTTCTCTCCGCTTCTCGCCCTCACTCGACCGCGATCGTGCACTGACCTCTCGCCTCGAGTACACAGGTGCCTCGACGACGTTGACGACGAGGTCCGCGACCGCGCCGCGTTCAACCTCAAGCTCCTCCAGGACGAGCCGCTCGCCAATGTCTTTGTTCGCGACGGTGCGCACCCTCTCCCTTTTCTCACGGCCCTCGAGCGCCCCGCTCACTGTCCTTGACCTCCTCCAGACTCGACCTTCTCGCTCGACGCCCTCGAGAGCCGGCTCGCCTCCTACATCGCCGACACGACCGCAACCGACCAGCCGTTCGACTTAGCGGCCGTCCCCAAGGTCAGCAAGGAGCAGGCCCTCGAGGTGGCTCGTGGTGCGTCGGCTCGTTCGCCTTGGTCTTCCTGCCCTCGAGCACGCCCATCCTGACCTTCTCGTCCTCGATCCAGGTTCGCGCAAGGACGACCTCGCCTCGGCCGCCATGTCGTCGGGCGCATCCGGCGCAGGAGCAGACGTCGCCGCACCGACAGCGAGCGAGACACAGTCGGCGTACGCCAAGCAGCTCGCCGAGGTGCCCGAGTTCGCCGACTACGGCGCCGTGCTCAAGAGCAGCGCAAAGCCGATCGAGCTCACCGAGCGCGAGACCGAGTACGTCGTGTCGGCCGTCAAGCACGTCTTCTCGGAGCACGTCGTCTTCCAGGTGCGTCCCCTCTCTCGCCTTTTGCCCACGTCGCACGAGTCACGAGACCTGACCTCGCGCCTACTCTGCAGTTCAACGTCCGCAACACGGTCGACGCAGTACACCTCGAGAACGTCGTCGTCGTCATGCAGCCGTCCGAGGACGCAGAGCTCACCGAGGACTTTATCATCCCGGCATCGTCCCTCGGTCCGAACTTGGACGGCGTCGTCTACGTCTCGTTCACGCGCAACTCGCCGTCCGAGTACGCGACGGGCTCCTTCGTCAACACGCTCAAGTTTGTCTCGAAGGAGGTCGACCCCGAGTCGGGCGAGCCCGAGGAGGACGGCTACGACGACGAGTACCAGGTCGAGGAGCTCGACCTCGGCGCCGGCGACTACATCGTGCCGTCGTACGCCGCGTTCGCAAGCTCTCATGGCTAACGTACTAAGCTCTCATGTTTCACGTACTAAGCTCTCATGTTTGAACAATAAAATTAATATAAATCAGCAACTTAAATAGCCTCTAAGGTTTTAAGTTTTATAAGAAAAAAAAGAATATATAAGGCTTTTAAAGCTTTTAAGGTTTCAGGCCTCGTCTGCGGCGGCGGCGGCAAGGTGCTCGCCCGAGCGCGCATGACGTACCAGTCGGGCAAGGGCGTCACGATGGAGCTCACGGTGCGGGCAGAAAACGAGGGTGCGGCGCAGCTCGTCCTCAACGCCATCGCATGATGAGGCTCTCGTCGACGCCTCGTGCGAGCGGTGTGCGTGCGTGTGCGGCAGGTGTTCGTAGATGTGTCCCCTCCCCCTTCTCCTCTCTCGCAGTCCTTTCTCCCTTTGCCCTTCCCTCTGCTGTGTCAATACCCTCATCGGCATCTCTCCTGTGCGTTGCAAGAGCAGAAAGCGAGCGCGAGAGCTGCTCGTGAGAGAGCCATGCGAGAGGAAGTGGGCTCGTGCGCAAGTCTGCGGTCGAGCCTCTCGAGCCGGTCCTCTCCTCCTCGCTCGTCAATCCCTATCTCGCTCTTAAATTCTCTCGGCAGAAAGAGACAAATCGCGTGAGATTGGAAACGACAGAGGGGCCATGTGTACAAGGGCACGGCCTACACAAAGAGAGGGGGCAACGGCAAAGAAGAAGTAGCTACAGGAGAAGGGTCGAAGAGAGAGGGAGGGGCGAGGGCAAGGGCGACAATGGGCTCAAGCCGAAGCGTCGACACCGTCCGGCGTGGCAACGTCGCGATCGCTCTCCTCCTTGATCGTCCGCGCCGCCGCCGCGAGCGACGACGACTGGTGCACGAGGCTCGAGCCGGCGGCGCTGCTCGGCTTCTTGAGCGCGCGGCGAACGTCCTTCATGCTCTTGCGCGCAAGCTGGGCGCGGTACGCCGTGTTGACGTGCAGGACGAGGTAGGCAATGACGGCCTTGCGGCGGGCAACGATGCGGGCGCGCTCCTCGAACTCGGCGCGTGCGGCGGCATCGAGAGGCTTGCGCTCGGCGTCCTCGACGACGTCGGTCTCGTCGACGGTCGAGCTCGACGACGGCGACGCCGACGCGAGCTGGTCCGACTCGTCGTCGTCGTCGAGGGCCTCCTCCTTGACCGAGTACGGTGGCGGCGACGAGACGAGAGGCGCCTCGCCGACGCGCGACTTCTTGCTCGAGCTCGGGTGGTCGCCCTCGTCGTCGTCGTCCTCGTCACTCGACGCGCTCAGGTCGGCGTCGGCCTCGCGCACCGACGGGTGCGGCTCGTGCGCGTCCGACGTCGGCAGGCGCATCTTGTGGACGCGGTGCGTGAGGCGCTCGACGCCGCCGGCCGAGACGGGGCGCGACGCCGACGTCGGCGCAATCGAGGCCAAGCTCGGGTACAGCGGCGCCGTGCTCGCGCGCGACGAGCTCGCCGTCGCAGAGGTCGTCGACGAGGCGGTCGACGACGACGACGCCGACGGCGCAAAGGCAAACGTGCGCCCGTTGCTGCTGCCGCTCGCGACGGGCGACGACGGCGAGTCGAGCTGGGCGGCGTCGTTCTCGGGCGAGCGCAGCGCGAGGAGGTCGCGGATGGGCGGGAGGCGCGACGCCGAGCCGGCGCGCGTGACGATGGGCGCGAGGCGCAGGTCGGGCGACGCGCGCATGGCGGTCGCGAGCGGCGGGAGCTGCGGTGCGGCGCTCGTGCGCGACAGGCTCTTGCCCATGAGGAGGGCCGCGGCGGCATCCTTGACGTCGTCGTCGACGTCCATGTCGGCGTCGAGCAGCTCCTGCGCGACCTGCTCCTCGACGCTCTGCGGCGCGGCAGCCGACGACGACGCCGAGGGTGCGGCACGCTGCAGGCGACCGATGTGGTGGTACTGGGTCGGCCGGTAGTCGTTGGCGATGGTCGGCGGCGCGACCGACTTGGCGAGGCGCAGCTGCGGGTCCTGGGCCGACGACGACAGCGGCGTGTAGCCGTACGACGGCATCGACGACGGGAGCGTCGGGTACGAGGCGGGCGCAGGGGCGACACGCTGGCCGCCGCCGAGGGTCGCGCTCGACAGGTTCGGGTACAGCGACGGCGGCTGCGGGGCGAACGACGACGCCGACGAGGGCATGCCGGCGATCGGGCGGTGCTGGTGCTGGAGGTGCTGGTCGTGCGCCGACATGTCGACGCCGTGCAGGTCGAGGCCGAGCGAGCCGTGGACGTCGTCGAGACCGCCGGCCGACGCGGCGAGGTCCGTGTCGAAGCTCTGGTTCAGGGAGAGGAGGAGCTGGTTGATGGTGTCGACCTCCTCGCGCTCAAAGACCTGGCTGCTCGAGCCGTACTCGGAGCCGCTGCTCGACGAGCCTGAACCCGAGTCGTCGCCGAGGCCGGGCGGCGTCAGGGCGTGGGCCGACAGCTCGGGCGTGAGGAGGAACGACGACAGCGAGTCGAGCTGGGCGCCGACGCTCTCGGCGTCCTGGAACCGCTTGTTGGCGAGCGCGCCGAGGAACTGGCCCGTCGCCTCCTCGAACCCGCGCTTCTTGCCCGCGACCGAGTTGCCGCTGCTGCCGCCGTGCGCGTGGCCGTACGACGCCCGGTGGCGACGGTGCGCGTCGGGCTCGGGCACGGGCGACGGCGAGAACGAGTTCTCGGGCGTGAGGGACGACGGCGGCGAGAGGGCGGGCACGTTGCCCGGCGACAGCGACGACGAGTAGTGCGAGTGGTGCGACCGCGCCGAGTTGGCCGGCGACGGCAGGTCCTCGACCTTGACGGCGTGCGAGTGCGCGTTCTGGTACAGGTGCGAGACGAGCGGCTGGGTGTGGGCCATGGGCTGGTGCGGGTTGTAGCCGGCCGAGGCCGACGCCGGCTGGCCGTACAGCGACTGGGGCAGCGACGGGTACAGCGACTGCCCTGGCGCCGGCGACGACGACGACGCAGGCGGCGTCGGGTGCTGCGCGGCCTGCTGCTGCGGCATGTGGCCGGGCGCCGGGGTCGGCGTCGCCGAGTAGTGCGCTTGGGCCTGCGCCGGCGCCGAGAAGGCGAACGGCGTGTTGCCGTACGGGTACATGCCGCCGCCCGCGCCTTGCGGGAGGAACTGCTGCAGGGCCTGCTGGCCGAGCTGCATGGCGTACGCGGCGGGAAGGCCGGCGGGCATGCCGGGGAGGACCGACGCCGCCTGGGCCTGCGAGTTGAGCTGCTGCTGGAGCGCGATGAAGCACGCGAGGTCCATCTGGCTCATCTGGCCGGGCAGCGCAAACTGCTGCTGGGCCTGCGGCTGCGGCTGGGCCTGCTGAGCCTGCTGGCCGGGCTGCGCGAACAGGTACGGGAACGCGCTCGCCATCGCCGGGAACGCGAACGGGTACGGGACCTGGGCGACTTGCGGCGCCTGCTGCTGCTGCTGCTGGTGAGGCTGCTGCTGCTGGTGCTGGTGCTGCTGCTGCTGCTGCTGCTGAGGGTGCGGCGGGAGGTGCTGGCCGAGGTGCGCCTTGAGCGGGTCGTCCGAGCCGGCGCGCAGCGTGTCGTTCGACGGCACGGTGATGGTGCTCTTGTTGATGCGGTGCTGCGCCTGGTGCTCCTCGGTGTGGATCTTCTCGTGCTTCTTGAGGTCCTGGGGCCGCTTGAACGCCTTGGTGCAGATCTGCGAGCGGCTCGAGCGTCAGGCACTGCGCGCTCGTTCGAGGGGGCGAGGAGGAGTGACGCACGTTGCAGACGTGCGGCTTGAGGGCGATGTGGACGCGGCAGTGCGAGGTGAGGTGGTCGCGCTTTGACGCCTTGGCGCGGCAGCCGGTCCACTTGCACTCGAGCGAGAGCGTGCCGGCGCTTTTGCGGCCTGCGGGATGAGGAGGGTCGTGAGTATGCTGCACGAGTCGAACAGGACGAGAGAGAACGGGGGCGCACCGATGTGGGCGGTGCAGACGTGGTTGAAGAGGTCCTCGGCCGTGTCGTACTGCGTGTGGCACTCGAGCCAGCGGCAGACGTTGTCGTCGTTCTCCTCCTTCTTGGGCATCGTGCGTGTCGTGCGAGTGCTGGTGCGGTAGGTCGACGTGCGGAACGAGGTCTGCGAGGTTGCGCGTGCGGTCAGTTACGTCGTCCTCGCGCGGGCTCGAGTCGGTCGACTGCTGCTCCTCGTGCCGCCCCGCCCTGCACTCGCTGTCCAGCACTCCACACGGTCGACTGAGCGTCACCGTCGAGCGCGCGCGACGAGGCCGAGCTGGACCCGCCCGAGTGGCCGAGCCGCGGCGCGAGAGGGGCGCAAAGGCCTCACGGTGACGGTCGCGTCGTGGGCGAGGGTGGGTCGGCAGTCGGGGTGCAGGTGTGCGCGCAGTGGAGCGGTGCGGCAGGCGGGGGCGATGGTGGCTCTTGGGGAGGGAAGGGGGTCGCCCGCGTGGTGGAACGGGGGACGAAGGGGGGGAGAGGACGAGGGGGGCTCACCTGGGCGAGTGTGGGCTTGTGCGGTGCGTGTGCTCAGAGGGTGCCGGTGCAGCGGGTGCAGTGCAGGGCTGGAGGAGAGCGAGGAGAGGAGCGCGGTGGCCAAGCCAAGAGTCGAGGGTCGCCCTTGGCCTTGGCGCACCTGCCGACCTGCCGCCGCTGCCGGACCTTTTCGCCCGCGCTTCACCTCGTCGTCTGCCAGCGTCGAGAGCTGTCAAGCACCTCCGGTGACACTGTCACTCGCCGACTCGTGCACAACCCTCGCCCGCGAGAGTGGTTCGTCGAGGTGCTTCCGCCGACTTTGTCTCACGCTCGCGACCTCGCCTGCTCGTCCGTGCCGGCCAGGATGCGACTCGCAGTGGTGTACAGGCCACGCTCGAGAGCTACCCGTACGAGCAAGCGAGAGAGAGGCGCTTCACGTGAAAGCTGGACATCGGTCGCCGACGCCGCCGCCTCGCCTCCTCCCCTCCGTCCCCTCACCTCTCCTCCTCACCGACACAGGAGACAGCTCGCACAACATGCTCCTCCCAGCCAAGTTCCGCCTCACGCACCCGGACGGCACCACGACCATCCGCCGCGCCACCCTCGACTCGCGCACGACCTACCCCGCCCTCGTCAGCCTCGTGCGCGACCGCTTCCAGCTCGTGCCCGCCCACCAGGTCGAGCTCCTGTACAAGGACGACGACGGTGACGACATCACTTTTGTGCGCTCCACTCTCCCTCCGGTTCTCTCGCCCTCTCCGCCACTCCGAGCTGACGCGGTCCCGCCCCACCCTCGCCTCGCAGACGACCGACGTCGAGCTGCGCGAGTACCTCGACACGGCTACGACGGGCAGCTTCGTCCTTCGCCTCCACACGCACAAGCCCGACGCCGCAACCTCGACGACGACTTACCACGACGACACGGCCGACGTCGAGGACTGGGAGTTCGAGGACGGCGAGGGGGCCCTCGCGTCCGACGGCCACCACGACTCGGCTCCAACGCCTGCCCTCATCGATACAGTGGCCGCCGACGCCGCCGACGCCGCCGACCCGGACGAGACGCCTCTCACGCCTGCTCCCGCCTCGGCCACCATCGCTCAGCGCACCCAGGCCCTCATCGACGCCGAGTTCCCGACCTCGTCGTCGGCCGCAGCCGCCGACCCGATCGACGAGCCGCTCCCGCAGGCGCACGCCGACGGCCCTACCCCCGACATGCCCTTCACCAACCTCCCGGCCTCGCTCGCGTCGCTCCTGTCGGGCCTCCCCTCGCACGCCGGCGCCCTCGGCACGCACGTCTCGACCCTTCTCGCGTCGCCGCAGAGCGCCCTCGGCCGCCTGTCGGTCCTCGCGTCCGACCCCATGGGCGCCGGCGTCTCGTCGCTCGACCTGTCCGACCTCGGCCGCTCGGTCGCCCAGCTGAGCGCCCACCTGTCGGACGCGGCGCGCGAGGTCGTCGAGGGCGTCCGCAAGGAGGCCGACTCGGTGCGCACCGAGTTTGAGCAGCTGCGCGCCGAGGTCGCGCGCGAGAAGAGCCGGTTCGAGGACGAGGTCCGCCACGCCATGGAGCAGGCCAAGCAGACGCCGTCGCCCTTTGCGCCGCGCCCGGCGGCGGCGGCGGCGGCGGCGAGCTCGCGCGAGACGACGACCGACGAGTACGAGATGGGTCCGACGACGAGCGGGCAGCAGCAGGAGCAGGACGAGGACGTCGAGTCGTCGGACGAGGGCGAGCCCGAGGAGCCCTACGCTCAGCGCGCGGCCTCGTCCCCTGCGGCGCGCGCTCCGCCGACGCCCGCCGAGCGCCTCGCCAAGGAGCAGCGCCGCAAGGCGCGCGAGCAGCGCCGGCAGGACAAGGAGCGTCGTCGCGAGGCGCGCAAGGCCGACAAGGCGGCGACGCGCAACGCGGCCAAGGCGGGCTTCGTCACGGCGCACGAGCTCCTGCGCAACCAGGAGCAGGCGCAGGCGGGCGGCATGGCGTCGTCGCCTCTCGAGGCCGACGGCGGCTCGAGCCGCATGCCCGGCTCGCTCCCGGGCTCGCACCAGGCGCCCTCGCCGCCCTCGACGTCGTCGCCGCCGTCACCGCGCTTCGTCCCGGCGTCGCAGCTCCTGTCGTCGGCTCCTCCCGGCGCGTGGACCGCCCCGACCGTGCAGCACGCCGACGACGGCCGCCCGGTCCTCCTCACCAACCTCCTCCTCGCGTGCGAGGAGCTCGGCATGGACGTCCAGGGCCACCCGCAGCTGCGCACCCTCCTCACCGACATCTGGTGCGACTCGAACGGCCGCGGCCTGTCGCGCATGATCGAGCGCGCGCTCGACGAGCTCGCCGACCGCGACTAGAGTCGGGCGGTCCGGTCCCCCTCCTCCTCGCCTCGCCTCTACCGCCACGCCTCTCTCTCTCACACACCTTGTAGCTGCTCCCCCTCGTTTTCCCCCGTCCGTACCCCGTTGTTGTCGCTCCCCTTGCTCTCGTTTCGTCGCGGTTTGCCTCTCTCTCGCCTCGCCTCCCTCTCCCCTTGCGCTTGAATTGAATTGTCTCGAGATCTCCTGCCTGTGCGTCCAAGAAGAGGGAACCCCTCGAGCTGTAGCGCGAGACGAGGCGAGAGCGACAAGTCGAGCGAGAGTGAGATTCCAACTTGGCCCGGGTTTTTGTACTCGCAGTTGGCTCGTCCCTCGTCAGCTCGCTCGCTCGCCCGCCCGCTCGCCGCCGCAGACACCGCTCGCACGATGAGCACGAGAGCTTGCGAGCCCGACCTCGTCGTCGAGCACCCTGCACCACCGCAGAAGCGGCCCCGCACGACGACGGCGCGAGCTCGTCCCACCAGCGGCAGCTCGAAACGGCCGAGGACAAGGAGGGCAGCGCCGCAGGAGGCTGCGCAGGAGCCTCTCCAAGTGTTTGGCGACGCGTCGAGCAGCATGCAGGACTCGGGAGCGCCGCTGCTGCCGCAGGGAGGGTCCGCCGACGAGTTCCAGCTGGATCCGGCCTTGTTTGCCCTCGGTGCGTCCTGTGTGCCTCGTCGTTCGTGCCCAGCGGCACTGACAAGCTCTCTCCCTGCGCGCAGACTCGCTGTACGCGGGCGCCACGCAGCCTCTCGACCCCACGGCCTTCGACACCTCGGTCCCGCACCTCCCGACGCCGCCGCTCTCCTTCCACTGCGACTCGAGCGCGACCCACGTCGACCCCGAGCTGTCGAGGCTCGTCGCCCGCCTGTCCGAGTCGGCCCCTCCTCCAGATCCCGCCCTCGACGGCGCCTTCCTCCCCTTCTCCACCTCGTCCGACACCGACTCTGGCGCGCACTCTCGAACCACCTCGTCGCACTCGTACCTCTCGCTCGACGGCCCTACCCCGCTCATCGACAGCAACAGTGCGTCGCCCGCTCCCGCCAACGCCACCTCGACACCGCCACCACCGCCTCCTCCCGTCGACGGCGACCCTCGCGCTCGCGACATCCCTGTGCGGTACCGCTCGCCCAAGCGCGCCGACGGCAAGCGTCGCCGGGCGCTCAAGTGGACCGAGGTCGAGGACGATGCGCTCGTGCGGCTCAAGGACGAGTCGGTGGGCGGCGGGCGGCACATCGAGTGGGAGGAGGTGGCGGCGAGGATCGGGACGCGACACACGGGCGTCCAGTGCAGGGCACGGTACTATCTGCTCAAGGACAAGGAGAAGAGTGCGTCCCAGTCTCTCCAAATCTCTAGCCGCCCGTGGAGCGCCGCCCTGACGAGGAAGACGACGCGCGCAGTCAGGAGCTCGACCGAGAACAACCTCACGCAGGGCTCGACCAAGGACGGCAAGCCTCTCGGTGCGTCGCTCTCGTTCTCTCTCTCAGACTGCGTGTCGAGCATCACCTAACGCTCTGTCCTTCCTGCAGCTCTACGCCAACGCCTGCCGTTCCGCGAGATGGACGACGCCGTCCTCCTCTCGCACCTCATCGACGCCGACCTCGTCCTCAAGCGCATCGACTGGTCCCACGTCGGCCAGACGCTCGACCCGCCTCGGACCGGCGACAGCTGCTACCAACGCGCGAGGAAGCTCAAGCTCCGGCGCGAGGCCGACCTCGCCGCTCAGGCCGACGCGGCCTCGTCCGGCTGCGGGTCGGCGCGCGCGAGCGCGTCGGGCACGCCGGCGCCCATGAGCGTGGGCTCGACGGGCGCAGGTACGCCGGCGAGCCTGAGCGCGCAGGACGAGGTGACGCCCGAGCTGCTCGAAGCGATGCTCGCGCGTGCGCTCGAGGGCGACATCCCGGTCGGGGCGGCGGTGGACGAGGCAGGGTGATACGAGGTGGGCTTGCGTTTGTGTAGCGCTCTTTGTGCTGTCAATGCCTCTCTCGTTCTCGCCTTGCGCGCTCGCGACCGTCGCAGAGAGGATCTTGTTACAAATGAGGTCGTTGCCGGTCTACTTCGCCTCCGAGTACGCCTTGCCCAAGTCATTGAGCGACCCGTCGTCTGCAGCGATGAACTCGGCGACCGGATTGTCGAGAAAGTCGCCTGCGAGCAGGGGAGCGAGGCAGAGTGAGAGAAAGGTCGGTCGGCGGTTCGGTCGAAAGGAAGGACGACGCGACGCGCCGAACGCCGCATAGCGCTCGACCCAGTCCTGCTTCTCGAGGTACGGGACCGCGAACTCGAGGAACGTCTTCTGCTCGGCGGGCGTGCCCGTGCCCATGAACTGCGTGAGGTTTGGCGGTTCAGGCGCGAGGAAGGAGGGTTGCTCGAGGGAAGGAAAAGTGGAGGCGCACCTCGGTCAACCAGATAGGCTTGTTGAGCGTCTTGCGCGACTCCTCGAGGTAGCTCGTGAAGTAGGCGGTGTTTCTGCAGGATCGGCGGTTTGAGAAGGTCAAGTGGGCTCGAGCGCGAGGGCGAGGAAGTGACAGAGGTCTGAGCGCACCCTGCCGAGTCGTACCAGTGCAGCTGCATCGTCGGGAACGTCAGTACGCGTGACCTTACAGGAGAGAAGGGAGAGCATGACGCACCGCCACCGCGTCGACCGTGCAGCCGTCGCACGCCGCGAGAAAGTCGACGAGCCAGGGCACGCCCATCGACGTGCCGTTGTCGAGCTTGACGCCGTTCGTCACGGCAGGGCTCACGAGCTTGGCCGTGCCTGCGAGCGGCTCGACGTGGTCCTTCCAAAGTTGGGCGGCGGCGGACGGCGAGAGGTTGGCCTGCTCGGGGAGGTCCGGCTCGTTGAAGCTGCACGAGCACACGTTGAGCGTGAGTGTCGCTCTTGACGTGCGTCGACACACGAGAAGAGGGAGGAGGACGTACCCGAGAACATGCGTCACGCCCGCCGCGAGCGCCTTCTTGGCGTTGTCCTCCCAGCCGTCGACCTGCTTCGGGCCCCACCTGCGTCGAGCGAGGGTCAGGATCGGCACCAAGGACAGATCGAGAGAGAGAGAGAGGGAGACGCACAGCATGGGCACGTACATGGCGCCGTCTTTGATGCCGGCGCCGCCTGCGCTCGACCAGTCGTAGACCCAGCAGACGTCGAGCTGCGTCGTGTACTTGGCGTCGTTGTACCCGACGCCCTTCTTGCAGTTGTTGGACGACGTCGAGGAGGACGTAGAGGAAGCTGGGGAGGGCGAGGCAGAAGGCGCTGCTGCGGGAGGAGACGAGGACGACTTGGGTGAGCCGGACGAGGCGCTGTGGGCTCGGCTCGAGGACGGACCGTCGCCTGCGCCGCTTCTTGGTACCGACGGACTGGACGACACCGACGCGCTTGACGTCTGCAGGCAGGAGAGCGTGAGCTCCCACGCAGAGAGTGGCGCCAGAGAACGGCGACGCACCTCGCTCGAGCCTCCTCCTGCTCCGCCGCCTCTCGCCGAGCCCACCGCGTCTCCTTCGTCGCCGCTCGACCCGCCCGTCCCGAGCCTAGCGCTCGCCGTCCCTGCCCTAGGGGCGTCGCCCGCCGCGTCTCCCGTGCTCGCCGCGTCGCTCGCGCTCGTCGAGCCCGTCTTTCCCTCGCGCATGTAGAAGTAGGCGGCGGCGGCGACGGCGCACAGGAGGAGGAGCGTGACGATGGCGATGAGGATGAGGTTGCTGCTCGGTCGTCGTCGTCGTGGTCGATGGCGCGGTCGCTGCGCGCGAGGAAGGGGAATGTCAGGGAGGCTCGTGCACGATGGAGAGAGAGGCTCGGGCGCACCTCAGGCTCGTCGTCGCTATCGCTGTCGCTGCTGGTGCCGCCTTGACAGCCCTTGTGGCGGTGCTCGTCGTCGTCGCTGCCGCCGGTCGAGCGGGACGCCGCGCTCGAGCCCGAGTCCGAGTCCGAGTCAGTCGTCGACGACGAGCGCAGGCGGTGGTGTGCGCCCATGCATGCGGGCGACAAGCAGAGCTGAACAGGAGCGCAAGCGAGAGCGAGAGAAAGAGGGGAAGGAGCCCGAAGCCGAGCGGACGGACGCAGGAGCCTCTCGAGGAAGAGACGGACGCCGGACTCTCCGACAGGAAGGGGCGCGAGAGAGGTGTTACGAGGGGAGAGGGAGAGAGGGGAACGTCTAAATCAGCAGAGAGAGAGAGAGAGAGAAAGGCCGCGAGGGGGTGTGGGGGATCCTTTTGTAACCAAGGGAAAGGCGAGAGAGGGGTCCAACCAAGAAGAACAAGACGAAGTGCGGCGCGCGAGAGAGAGAGAGAGAACGAGAGGGGGCTACCTACAGCATGAACGAGAGGGGCGACTGAGGATGGAGGAAGAGAGAGTCAGTGAGGGAGCGACGAGCCGAAAGAAAGTGAGAAAAAGAGGGGACGCACCTCGAGGTACGACTTGAACGCCTTGAGCCACCTCGCGCCGACGGCGCCGTCGACGACGCGGTGGTCGCACGACAGGGTCGCCTTCATGACGCTGACCTCCTTGAAGCCCTTGTCGCTCGACGGGTCGACGACGAGCTTCTTGTCGGTGGCGCCGATGGCGAGGATGCACGACTGGGGCGGGTTGATGATGGCCGTGAACGACTCGACGCCCATCATGCCGAGGTTCGAGATGGTGAACGAGCCGCCCTGGTACTCCTCGGGCTTGAGCTTGCCGTCGCGCGCCTTGGCCGCGAGCTGCTTGGCCTGGGCCGAGATGGTGGCGAGGCCCTTGCGGCCGGCGTCGGCGACGATGGGCGTGATGAGGCCCGTCGGGGTCGACACGGCGACGCACACGTCCTGCGTCTCGTACTGACGGATAAAGTCGCCGTGCCAGCCCGAGTTGGCCTCGGGCACGTCCTGGAGCGCGAGCGCCGACGCCTTGACGATAAAGTCGTTGACCGACAGCTTGACGCCCGCCTTGACGCCGTCCTTGGTCGCGCCCGCCGTGTCGGCCGACTTGGCCGCCGTGTTGAACGCCTCGCGGAGCTTGTTGACGCGGTCCATGTTGACCTCGACCGTGAGGTAGTAGTGCGGCGTGTTGGTCTTGCTCTCGGTGAGGCGCTGCGCGATGACGCGACGCATGTTGGACACGGGCGTGTCGACGTAGCCGGCGCCCGCGCCAGCCGACGGCGACGCCTTGGCGGCGGCGGCCGGGCCAGCCGGCGCAGCCGACGCGCCAGACGGCTTGGACGCGGCGAACTTCTCGACGTCCTCCTTGAGGATGCGGCCCTCGGGGCCGGTGCCCTTGACCTGGGCGAGCGGGACGCCCTGCTCGAGCGCGAGGCGCTTGGCCATGGGCGTCGCGAGGATGACGGGGCGGTCGGCCGAGAGCTCGAGCGACGAGTCCTTCTTGGGCGCGTCCTTCTTGGGCGCCGGCTTGTCGTCCGACTTGGTCGACTCGGTGTCCTTCTTGGCCTCGGGCTTGTCCTGCTTGGTCTCCTCCTTGGGCTGCGCGACGTCGGCGTCGGCCGTGCTGACGTCCTCCTTGAGGACCTCCTGCAGCGCCTTCTCCGAGAAGTCGTCGCCCTCCTCTCCGATGACGGCGACCGGCGAGCCGACCTGGACCGCCTTGGAGCCATCGCCGACCTGTCTCGTGAAGGATTGACGGGGTCAGCTCGGTGTCGAGGGGAGGGCACGGGGGGAGGAGAGCGACGCGACGCACGAGGATCTTGCCGAGAACACCCTCGTCCTGCGCCTCGACGTCCATGGTCGCCTTGTCGGTCTCCTGCAGGCATGCGTCGGCGATGTTAGCGGGTGGGTCCCGGGTGAGGGGGGTTTGCGACAGGGAGAGTGAGAGAGAGAGGTGGGTGGGACGCACGATCTCGAGAAGCACGTCACCCGGCGCAAACGAGTCGCCCTCCTTGACCTTCCACGAGGCGATGCCGCCCTCGGTCATGGTCGGAGACCTGGTGCAAGGTTGAGCGAGAGGTCAGCTTGGCGCGCACTTTCGCGCGAGGGGAGGCTGCGGGCGGTGGCGACGAGGGGAGAGACGGAGACGCACATGGCCGGGAAGAGGAACTTCTGGAGAGCAAAGGGCGCAGGCGACGCATGGAACTCTGTGGGCGCGAGGCGAGATCGTGGCGACGACGGGCGGGTGGGAGAGGGACGAGGGGTTGCGGCGCGAGCGCGGGTCAGTACGGCGCTCTGGCGAGGCGGGCGCTGGCCGAGATGGACCTGGTGCGAGAGAGTGGACGCACGGCGGACCGCGTAGGTGCGGGCGAGGCTGCGAGCGCGCTGGGCGAGGAGGTTGCGGACCATGTTGGGGATCTGAGGGTGAGGCAAGGAGGCAAGGGGAAGGGTCAGCTCGTGAACGAGTGGCTCGCACGAAGCAGACCGCACAGGATCTGGGCGGCAGGGCACACTCACAAAGGACGACGAGGGAGGAGTGGGCGGCGAGAGAAGGAGCCAACTCAGGCGCCGAACAGCTCTCGCTCTCGTCGACCGTCCGCGCCCTCCCTCCCCACTAGCTGGGGCAGGCGCGTGCTAGATGCTCTTCCATGCTCTCAGTTTCGCGCCGCGGCTAGGTCCCACGCGGGCGCGAGTGCTCGTCGCCTCGCTCTCCTCCTCGCGGTAGCGACGACGTCTCGAGGCTCTTACCTCCTGGCTGGTGGCCCTGATCCGCCAAGCGTGTCGTGCACCCTGATTTGAGCTCTTGTGTCTTTCGAGTCGCGTCTAGGCGCAGCAGATCGCCGACCTGGCCCGCTTCAACCTGCGCCTCGAGGACTGGCTCTCCTCTCCGGCTCGCTCTCGCCTGGCGACATGGCCTCTTGCACGCGCTCTCGAGACTTGATCGCCCTCGACGGTCGCACTGCGCGTCAGGACACATTGCGCTCGACGAGCGCATGGTGTGGGCGGCTCGCGCTGTCCGTGCACGCTCGCAAGAGGAGAGAGAGGGACCGAGAGACGGCCGCTCGATTGCGAGAAACTAGACAGGGTACACAACAGAGAGGGGCAGGGAGAGGACGAGAGAGACTAAGGCACAGAGAGGGAAAGGGAGGAAAGGAAGATGCGCCGAGGCGAGGAAGAGGAGACGAGCCAGATCACGCCTCGCGTAGCAGCGCCTCGACCCGCGCCACCTCCTGCTCGAGAGCCATGTTGCCGCGCTCGAGCCACAGGATGTAGCTCGCCGCGTGCGTGAGGACGACGCTCTTGCTCGCGTTGGTCGACACGTCGCCCCTCCTGCCCCTCCCGCGCCCGCTCCCCGTCCCCTTGCTCTTGCGCTTCTTGGCCGTCGACGCCGCGCCCTCGTCGTCGTCGTCGCCGGCGGCGCCCGACCCGGACCCGAGCACGATGCCGCTCGCGGCCTCGCCCGCGAGGAGGAGCCCGACGAGGTCCTTGAACCCGATCCGGATCGCGTTGCGCCGCTTCTGCTCCGACAGGATGTGGTTGCTGCGCTTCTGCGACTCGGTGAGCGTCACGGGCTTGCCGTTGCCCGACCGAGTCGGCGCGGGCGCGGCGGCGGCGGCGGCGGCGCTCGTGCTGGCCGTCGGGGGCGCGTGCGACGCTGCGCCCGTCGAAGACCCATCGACGCCGCCGTCGAGGGCGCCGTAGTCGGCGACGGGCTCAGGGAGGCGGCTGAGCGACGCACGGCCGCCGCTCCGGCGCGCACTGGCCGCGCTGCGCTTGGCTCGGCCGGCCGCGAGACCCGCCGCGAGCGCCGCCTCGTCGTCGAGCACGTCCATCTCGACGTCGCCGCCCGCCTCGTGCGCCGGTGCCGGTGCCGGCTCGCTCACGCGCGCCTTCTTCGAGCCCCTCCTGCTGCCGCCGCCAGTCGCCGCTGTCGCCGCGGCCGCTGCGCCGCCCGAGGTGCGCGTCCTGCGGCGCAGGCCGGCGCTCGCCGCCGCGCCCGACGCGCCCGAGGCCGAGCCCGACGCAGCACCTGGCTCTCGCGCCGGCTCGAAATCCGAATCCGAGTCGCGCGCTGCCGCCGCCGCCGCCCCGTCCTCGTCGTCGTCCTCGTCCAGCTCGGCGTACCGCGCCGCCGTCACGCCGCGCGCTCGGCCATGGACGCGAGGCTCGCTCGAGTCGCTCGGCGCGCGAGGCGGGGTCGGGAGGCGGAGCGAGAGCGGTGGTGGCGGCGGCGGGCCGGCGGTGAGGGTCGTTGGAGGAGGGAGGGGAGGGCCCGCCGTGAGCGTCGCCGGCGGGAGGTGCGCGCCGTAAGGGGCAGCTGCCGTGCCGACGACGCCAAAGCTGCTGCGCGGCGTGCTGCCCGCGCTCGTCGTCGACGAGCCCGTCTCGGCGCTCGTGGTGCTCGCACGGAGGTGCATGCCGCCGACGTCGCGCCCGAGCGAGTCGCGCTCGTGCCGGTCGCGCTCGCTCGCTCCACCGCCGTACGGGCCCGCACTCGTGCTCGGCGGGCTGGGCATGCCCGGCGGGAGGACCGGGTTGAAGAGGAAGGCCGGGTCGACGTCGAGGGTCGTCAGGAACGACGAGAACAGGGCCGACTCGGTGCTGTCGAAGAGCGGGGCGGGCTCGGGTGCGCCGCCGGACGGAGGTGGAGGAGCGGCGGGGAAAGACGCGGTGCGGGATCGAGGAGAGGAAGCGCCGGTGTGGGCGTGGAAGGGCGAGAAGGGGCGGAAGAGGTGGCTCGCGCCAGTAGTGCTGCTGCTGCTGCCCGGTGGGGGTGGCGGTGCGGCGAAGGCAGGGTAGTCGATGCCCGTCGAGTACTCGAAGTCTGCAGCCATAGACGGGTCAGGCGAGGCCGGCGAGCGAGCCGGCGAGTCACGGCGAGGGAGGAGAGGGTTGTCCGGATGGGGAGGAGCGGGGCGCACCTTCGTAGGGGACGGGTTCTGTGAGGAAAGCAGCGTCGACGCGGCCTCCACCGAGTGCGGCCTGGTTGGCGAGCGAGGACCACGGGCGGAAGTTGGCCTCGCCGTTCATCGGAGCCGGGGCCGGGCGAGGGCGGTCGCGCTGCGGGTGAGCTGGGGCGGGAGCGCTGCGTGCTGCGCGGCAAGGCTGTGCTGGCGCAGGTGCGGGCAAGCGTGGTCGGACTGAGAGGGCGAGATGAGCGTGCGGCGACGAGACGACGACGACGAGGTCGGCACTCTCGCTCTCTCTCGTGCGAGGGAGCGCTCGGCTCGTCGTGCCTGTGAGAGTGTACTGCACATTGCACGGCAACTCCCGCTCGTCCAGGCTAGAGGTGAGGTCGGCCTCGCTCCCCACCTCCGAGCCTCCACCCTGTCCGCTCTCCCTCACCGGTCTGTCACCCGCCACAGAGCCATGTCGATCCCGGGCGCATTCGCACACTCGCCAGGAGACTCGGCAGACGACTCGGACGCCAGCTTCAACTCGGGCGACCTCGCTCACCTCGAGGGCATCGCCCAGATGGATTCGGACTCGGACGACAACCTCGACCCCGACTTTGAGCCCGCCCTCGACGACGACGACGCCGACTTCTTCATCGACGACGACGACGACACCGAACAAGACGACGGCGACGCCTCACCCCGGCGCGATCCCGACCTCGACCTCGACGACGACGACGACGACGACGAGCCGCAAGCAGCAGCAGCAGCAGACGACGAGGACCGCCGACCGCAGCTCCGCATAGGCCTCAACCCGATCACCCGAAGCGTCATGCTCATCGGCGACGACGGCACGCCTCGACCGCTGCGCGCGACCGACCTCATCGGCACCGGCGTGTCGCTCGGCGCCATCCGCAACATGCTCCTGCGCTCGCTCGGCCGAGGCGGCCCTGCGCTCGATGCCGACGAGGACGACGAGGACGACGACTACGCCGTCATGGGCCACGACGACGAGGACGACGACCACCGGTGCGCCCCCTCTCTCCTTCTCTCGAGAAAAGCGTCTCGCCCGGCAACGACGAGCTGACCATCCCTCCCCTGTCCTTGTCTCCCTCTCAGCTCGCCACGCACCAAGCAGTACTACCCGATCATCGACGACCCGCAAGAGAACGGCATGCGGCTCGAGCGAGGCGGCGCCTTTGGTCCTCCGCCGACCAAGTACGACACGACCAAGCGCCGTCACTGGGTCCAGTCGCACTCGATGGCCGACCACCTGCGCGCGCGCGAGCTCGACTTTCGACGACCGCTCAAGGACTCGCTCGGCGACCTCGCCATCCCCAACTCGGCCGGCGTCGAGGTGGCCCAGTTCACCGACCCGGTCTACAGCGGCCAGTACAGCGCCGACGGCCGCTTCTTTTACGCGGCGTGCAAGGACTACCGCGTGTACGTGTACGACACGTCGACGCCGCCTCGAGTCGGCGACAAGTCGGTCACGGACCAGGCCGAGCCCGGCGCGAGGTCGCTCGGTCGCTTCTGGTCGCACCGCACGTCGCTCAAGGTCCAGAAGATCGCCCAAGGGTCGGCCGCCAACTGCAGCTGGACCTTGACCGACGCCGAGCTGAGCGACGACTCACAGTGGCTCATCTACTCGAGCATCACGCCGCGCGTCCACATGGTGCGCACCGGGTACGGCGGCGAGTGGGACGGCGACCAGGAGCAGCACACGCTCGACTTTGCGGCAGGCGCGCACTACGGCTTTGGCGTGAGTTCCTCCTCCTCGTCTCGTCGTGCACGGTCCCTCCCCTCCTCGTTCCCCTCTGCCTCCTTCTTCCGCCCTCGCCCTCCTCTCCTCTCGCGCTCTCTCTTCTCCTCTTCCGAGTTCAGAACTGACACAGAGTTGCCCCCCTGCGCCCGCAGATCTGGTCGGTCCGCTTCTCGCACGATGCGCGCGAGGTCGTCGCCGGCGCGCGGTCGGGCCTCGTCCTCGTGTACGACGTCGAGGCGCAGCGCACGACGCTCCGGGTTCGGGCGCACCAGGACGACACGAACGCGGTCGCGTTCGCGAGCGCGAGCGACTCGAACCTGCTCGTGAGCGGGAGCGACGACTGCTTCGTCAAGGTGTGGGACCGCCGCAGCCTCGACGGCGAGCGGCCGAGCGGCATCTGCGTCGGGCACACCGAGGGCGTCACGTTCGTCGCGCCCAAGGGCGACGGCCGGTACATCCTGTCGAACGGCAAGGACCAGGGGATGAAGCTGTGGGAGTGCGTCCGCCTCTCTCTCTCTCCCCCTGTGCCCCGTCCACCTTGACTTACGCACCTATGCCTCGACAGCCTGCGCATGATGATGGGCGAGTTCGACTTTGACCGCCTGCGCCTCGACCGCAAGAGCTTCTCGATCCACGACTACGACTATCGGTACGGCCAGTACGCCAAGCCGCGCTACATCAAGCACCCTGTGCGTCGCCCTCGTTCCTCCCACGTCTCTCTCGACACCAGGTCTGACCCACTGCCGTCGTGCAGCACGACGTCTCGGTCATGACGTACCGCGGCCACGCCGTCCTGCGCACCCTGATCCGGTGCCACTTTTCGCCCGTCGCGACGACGGGCCAGCGCTACGTCTACACGGGCTCGAGCGACGGCCGGATCCACATCTACTCGCTCGACGGCCGCGTCGTCCAGGTGCTCGACCGCGCCCACTCGCACCCGCTCATCGACCGCTCGAGCGGGTCGTACAACGACCCGGCCGACCTGCAACTGCGCTCGCGCCCGCGCAAGGGCCGCACGGGCTACTCGCCGCCCGTCGTGCGCGACGTGAGTTGGGCGCCGTACGCGCCGCAGCTCATGAGCACGGCGTGGGAGGACCGCGGCGCCGTCGAGGGCAGCATCGCGCTGCACGAGTGGGCGGGCAGGCCGGGCGAGGCGCTCGAGGACCGCGTCGAGCGCGCCGGGCTCGAGGCGAGGGGCTGAGCCGGACGTCGTCGACTCGCATTCGTCGACGCTGCTTCGTTGGCGCGTCGACGTGGAGGTCGTCGTCCTCTTCGCTCGAGCGGGTCGAGCGGCCGCACCTCTCCTTCCTCTCCTCCTCTCCTCTCCTCCTCTCCTCGCCCTCTTCCTCTTCCTGTGTACTACCCCTTTCGCTCGTTGTTGCTTGACAATCCCACGCCGCCTTTCGCACTCTGCGCTCGCCCGAGACGTGGGTTCCGTCGTCGAGAAGAGGGAAAGCGGGAGCCTCTCGCGCCATTCTGTCAAGCGCGGGACGGACGGGGCACCAGAGCGAGTGCCAAAGAGCGCAAAGCACCTCTCGAACGACCCGGCGAGAGAGCGAGACGCGACTTGTGCAGCTCCACGTCCGAATCGTCGCTCGCCCTCCACCACCTCCCGGCGTCGAGCTCCCGCCGCTCGCCACGCCTCAGGATGGCCGGCTACACCTATGACACGAGTGGACAGGTCCGCTGCACCCTCCTCCACCTCCGACCGCGCCCTCACTGACCCTCGTCGTCGCGCTCGCAGTCCTACTTCTTCCTCCTGACCGTCCTCCTCCTCGTCCTCCTCCCCTTCACCTACGCGACCCTGTTCGGCGGCGCAGAGCGCGCAGCAGCCCGCGTCAAGGCGCCCTGTCAAGCCTGGAACCGCAAGACGCCCGAGGCGAGGAGGGCCGGTGGGGCAAAGGGAGCCGTCGGCGTCCGGTGCGTCCGGCTTCGTCCCACTCGCCGCACGAGGACTGTGACTGACGTCTCGAGACCTCACACAGGCACTTCCTGCTCGCGGTCGGCTGGGTCGCGCTCGCCGTCGTCGTCCAGCGCGCGCTCCTCATCGAGGGCGAGGGCGCGTCCTTTGACCCGTTCACGATCCTCGGCGTCTCGGCTGTGCGTTCTCGAGCTCTCCTACTATCCTGCGAGACGTCGACTGACACGAACGCGTGCGCGCAGGGAGCGACCGAGAAGCAGATCAAGAAGCACTACCGCAAGCTGTCGCTCAAGTTGTCCGTCGTCCCCCTCGCTCCTTCCCTCCCGCACTAACTGACGGGTCGCTCACACAGCCACCCGGACAAGCTCACGCTCCCGAGAACCAGACCAAGGAGGAGGCCGACAGCCACTTTGTCGAGCTGACAAAGGCCTACAAGGCGTGCGTCCCTCGTTTCCCTTCTCTCCTTTCTCCGAGCCTTTCAGGCCCGCCTGCTGACTCTCGATTCTCGCCCTCGCAGCCTCACCGACGACGTGAGCCGCCGCAACTACGAGCTGTACGGCCACCCGGACGGCAAGCAGGAGTTCAGCTCCGGCATCGCCCTCCCGGCCTGGATCGTCGAGAGCAAGAACTCGCCGTTCGTCATCGGCGCCTACGCCCTCCTTCTCGGCGTCGTCCTCCCCGTCCTCGTCGTGCGTCCTGTCGCCACCTCTTTCATCTCGTCGAGCACGCGAGCTCACTCGCGCCTTCCTTCGCCTCGCAGGGTCGCTGGTGGTACGGCACGCGCAAGCTCACCAAGGACGGCGTCCTCAACTCGACCGCGTCCAAGTACTTCCACGCCCTCAAGGAGGAGTCGACGTTCCCGCAGCTCGTCGATGTGCTCGCCTCGTCGGACGAGTTCGCCGTCAACCCGAAGCTCGTCAAGCTCCGCAAGTCGCCGAGCAAGGCCGCTGTCGACGAGTACGCGCGCCTCGTGTCAACTGTGCGCGAGGGCGTCGACGGCCAGGCGGGCTGGGACGGCTACGCCACGTGGACGCCGGCCAAGAAGCGTGCCCGCGTCATGATTGCCGCGTACCTCCTTCGCTTGCCGATCAAGGACGCCAACCTCCTCAAGGGTGCGTCCTGTCTCGCCGACGACCTCAATCCTCCTTGTCAGACGTACTGACTCGAGCCTGTGCGCCCGCAGAGAAGTACCTCACCGCCTCGATCGCCCTCCCCCTGTGCTCGGGCCTCGCCTCGATCGCGCTCGCCCACAACTGGCTCTCGACCTACATCTCGATCCTCCACCTCCAGCAGTTCCTCCTGCAGGCCGTCCACCCGTCGTCGTCGCCGCTCCTCCAGCTTCCGCATGTCACGCCCGAACTCGCCGCCGCCGCCAAGAAGCAGGGCGTCGAGACGGTCAAGCAGTTCGGCGAGCTCGACCGTGCCCAGGTCGACAAGATCCTCAACGGCCTGCCCGAGGGCGACAAGAAGGACGCGCACGACGTCGCGAGGAGCTGGCCGATTGTCGACGTCGTCGGCGCCAAGTTCGAGGGTGCGCCCGCTCTCTCTCTCTCTCTCTCGCGCGCGCTCCGCGCTCTCTCCGATCGCCCTCGTCCTGACTCTCTCTTTCTCGTACCTGCAGTCGCCGGCGAGAAGGTCGTCACGCCGGGCGCCATCGTCTCGTTCGAGCTCAAGTTGCGACTCGCGCCTCCCGGGACCAAGCGCACCACGCCCGAGGTCGTCAGCATCACGCACGACACGGCCGACGAGGGTGGCGAGCAGTCGGTCGACGAGCTCATCGGGCGCAGGAGCAAGAAGGAGGACGGCGTCGTCCCGACCCCGATTGCGCACGCACCTCACTTCCCCAAGGTGCGTCCTCTCGTCACCTCTCTCTCTCCCTCTTCCGAGTTCAGCACGCCTGACACACACCTCTCGCACCTCCCGCAGAACCGCAAGCCGGCGTGGCACATCTTTGTCGGCGACCACAAGCTCAATCGCGTCTTTGTCGCGCCGTACCGCTTCACCGACATGGGCGCGTCGGCGACCCGCACCGTCCGCATGTCGTTCCAGGCGCCTCCCGGCCCGGGCCTGTACACGTTCCAGGTCTACGTCGCGAGCGACTCGTTCGTCGGGACGGGCGCGCAGAAGGACATGCGCATGAAGGTCGAGCAGCCCAAGGAGGACGACGACGAGGGCATCGACGACGAGGACGACGACATCAGCGAGCCGGACGAGGACTCGCTCGCCGGCCAGATGGCGCTCATGAAGGGCCTGCCGGTCAAGCGGCGCGACGACTCGGACGGCGAGGACGGGTCGGGAGCAGACGACGACGAGGACAGCGAGACGGACTCGGATTCGGACAGCGACTCGAGCTCTGACGACTCGGACAGCGACTGAGTACAGCGAGGGCAGTGTCGATAGGGTCGTTCTAGTCTTTGCTCCTCGCACGCAATGCATCATCTTCTCCCATTCCGTCCTCTCTCTCGCTCTCTCTCTCTCGCTCTCTTTCGCTGTCTCTCTGCGAACCCGAGGAGGACAAGGAGCGAGTCGAAGCGTCTGTGTTGGGCCCTGTCAAAGGGCGAAGAGGGGGAGCTATGCGATGCGGGGACAACAAGCTACGAGAGCGAGAGAGAGAGGGAGGGAGGGGGAGGGACAGAGACGGGACCAGCCCGTCGTGCGAGAACGAGGAGGGTCGGTGCAAGAAGGGTGTGCGTGTGTATGTGTGCGCCGAAGAGAGCTCAGTGTCCACCGGTGGTCGAGGCGTGAGGGGCAGGGAGGAAATGCGAGTTGGCCGCCGTCGACGAAGAGGGATCGTCGACGCTCGAAAGGCGGTACGTCGAGATGGGCGGCAGCGTCCTCCTGCGCAAGTCGCCCGCCGCACCGTGCCCGCCGGGCGAACCGAACGCGGCGCCGTGAGACGGGAGCGGCATCGGCGGCGCGAGCATGCCGCCTGCGCCCGTCCCGACGGGCGAGATGTGCGCCGAGTGGGTGCCCGAGTGCGCGCTCGGGAGGCTCTGCGGCGTCGGCGGCGCGCCGTTGGGGCTGACGGGCGAGAAGTTGGAGAAGGACGGCGGGCGAAGCTTGTGCGCGCCGTACATGGCGCCGCCGTGGCTCGGGCCTTGGCCGTGGCCGTCGTGGGCGTGCATCGACGGCCAGTCGGCGGCGCCGCTGTGCGAGGGCGGCGGCGCGTTGGCGACGAGGCCGCCGGGCGCGTACGAGGTCGAGATCGGCGGGAGGAGGGCGCCGGGAGGCGGGCGGTGGTGGAGCTGGGCGCCCTGCTGCGACAGCGCTTGGCGAGCCCGGTCGCACACGGCGTCGAACCCGCCCCACGACCAGCCGGCGAGCTGGACGACCTCCAAGCAGCGCGTCACCTCCTCGACCTTGACCGTCCACGGATAGTCGTTCGGCCCGCCTTGCTCCCACGCCGGCGTGTCGATGAGCTGGTTGAGGAAGTGCGACGAGTACTCGACCGTGACCGACGCCGAGAACAGGAGGTTGCCGCCGTAACGATGCTGCAGGACAGGAGAAGTGTGAGCTCGTGTCGCTCGAGAAGAGAAGGCGAGAGAGAGAGAGAGCGGGACGCACCAAGAGGTCGCAGTACTCCCTCGAGACACGGAAGAAGCGCTCGTCCGACTGGCGGTGCAGCCGACGCAGCACGTCGAGGTACGCGGCATCGCCCTCGCCTGCAGGCTGCGTCGCCGCCTTGATCTCCTCCTCGCGCAGGCGGTCCGACAGGCACAGGTGGATGCCGAGGAGGTGCTGCGAGCGCATGGCGACGATGTCGCGGAACCTGCGCAGAGCGAGAGGAGAGTCAGGTCGAGTTCTGCGGCCCGACGAGAGAAAGGCGAGGACGAGGACGCACCACACGTCGATGTTGGGCGCGTTGGGCCCGAAACTCGTCCTTTCCACCGACGCTCGAAAGATCGAGCCGTACCGACCGCCCTCGTCGATCGCGGCCCACAGCTCCTGCACCATCTGCTCCGACACACGCTGTCGCCGAGCGATCGCTGCGAGGTCAAGGCCGACGAGGTCAGTGCGCGCTCTGGAGGTGGTGTCGGAAGGAGGGGAAGAGGTCGGGACGCACGGTTCGTGAGGCGGTTGACAGTGTCGCGGACGGTCGAGACGAGGTAGCGGAAGATGCTGGCGACGGCGAGGCCCGAGAGGAGGAGCGGGTCGCTCGAGGTGATGTAGGGGATGACGTCGGCCGTGATGCTGCCCGTCATGAGCGGCGAGAAGGCCGTAAGGTCGGCGTCGGTCCTGTGCGAGCATGGTCGTCAATTGCTGCGACGGACGGGAGGCAGAGAGGGGAGGAAGAGGACGCACAAGGAGCAGAAGCGACCGCCGAACATGGACGAGAGCGAGTCGCGCGTGTAGAGCATCCAGAGGAGCGTGCCGTTCGACGCCTGCTCGGGTCGCAGAGGTCGCTCGGTCGGGTCGTCGCACTGGTCGAGCTGAAGGTTGCGCAAGTGCTCGCTCGCGGCGGCGAGGAGGTACCGGCCGGTCGTGTGCGCGCGCTGCGCGTCACCCCCTGGATAGCCGACTGGGAGCAGTCAGTACTCGCTCAGCACGAGAACGGAAGAGAGAGAGAGAGGAGGAGGAGAAAGGCTGGACGCACAGGTAATGAGGAACTCGAGGAGGGTGAGGGCGGCGCAGCACGACGCGCTGCTGAGCCGGAGCGCGCCTCGCTGATCGACTGCCACCATCGCCCGCTCCATCGCCGTCCTCGCAAACTCCTCGCGCCGGTTGCCGACCGCCGTAAAGTCCCGCCTCGCGCCGTTGCGCAGGTCCTGCAGCGAGGGCGCGCCGTTGCCGATGGCCGCCGGGTGGTCGGTGAGGCGAGCTGCCCAGGCCTGCGACGTCGTGCTCGATGTCAGTACGGGCTTGCACCTCGACGCAGACGGACAGGAGGACGAGCAGGGACGCACCTGGATGACGAGGGCGAGGCACTCGTTGGCCGGGCTCAGGTTCTCGGTGACGCGCCCGGCGTTCTCCCACGCCTGGAGGAACAACATCGTGTCGACGAGCGGACATTGAGGCTGGAACACGTCGAAGAAGACGCGGACGAGATCTGCGCACGGCGTGGCAGTGGAGGTGAGCCTCGAGGGTGCCGGCCTGGCAAGCGAGAAGGGGTGGGAGAAAAGAGGATGTGGGACGCACGGTCGCCCAGGTCGTGGCCGAGAGACAGGGACGCGAGGCGCGCAGACGGCGAGGTGGCGTTGATGGAGGCGGTCGAGGCCGACAACCGTCGCGGGTCCTCCTGGAGCTCGTACTCGTTCTTGACGGGCGACGGCGGCGAGGTGACGCCTGGCGACTGGCCGTTGTCGCCGTACAGCGCCCTGCACGACCAGGTTTGTCAATTTGAGGACGAACAGGGCGAACGAGCGAGAGAGGGAGGACGTACTTGGCCTGGTTGATGAGCTTGCCGCCTCGGACGACCTTGGGCTTGTTTTTGACGTACGTGTCGGTGCAGCTGCGGGACGGTGGGCACGGTGAGCACCCTCTCGAGGCGGGAGAGCGGACAGGGACGCACTGGATGGCCTTGCGGGCGCACTCGCTGCAGTCGCCGCCCTCCTTGTCGGCCTTGTCGCACTTGACGCGCCTCAGCCGGCACGAGTCGCACGCGCTGTGGGATGCAGGCCATCAGTAGGTGTAGACCGAGGTCCAGTCGTCCTCCAGACGAACCAAGGGAGCGAGGAGAGGAGGGAGGCCCGTCTCCCCGCGCCGACCCGCTCACCCGCCCGCCCGAAGGTGGAGAGAGAGAGAGAGGGACGCACACGAGCTGTTTGCGCTTCTTCTTGGGGTTGCCGTCCTTGTCGAGCTTCTGCTCGCCTGCTGCACCGCGCTTGGCCCCCTGCTTGCGCCCTGCGCCCGCCGCGCCCGTGCTGCCCACTTCTCCCGCATCTTCTCGACCGCCTCCTCCGAGCGACGAGCCGGGCCCATCGACGGGGGACGGCGTCGCGTCCTCGCTCGCGCTTGCGCTGCGCGCGCTCGACGGTCCAGCGGCCATGGCTGAGGGCGAGGTTGCCGAGAGGGCGGCGGAAGGACGGCGATCGGAGATGAAGGGGGAGAGGGACGGGGGGGAGAGGGGTCTTGGGCAGAGCGTGTTGTGCCCGGTCGGTCGTCGAGAGGTGGCTGGCGGGTGTTCGCGGGCTCGTAGTTGTGCGCCGGGTGCAGGAGCCGAGGTAGGAAGAGGCGAGGGACGCGAGAAGCCGAGCGAGCGGGAAGCGGGAGGACGGCGTCGCTCTCTTCGCTCTCTGGCGGTGCGCCTGTGCAGCGTTTGCAGTACGTGTCTGCGGTCGAACGGTCCCCTTGGCTGCCCCCGCTCGTCGACCGGGAAAACCTCCAGGTCCGGCCGCCACCGATTTTGAAATCGGCTGCAGGTCGTCGTTCGTCGTCGAGCGGCCTCGAGGCCTCGCCGCGGTGGGCGTGCCTGCCAGCTGCAGCCTGTCCGACCTCCGGCAATAGGACCGAGAGACGCTTCCATGACGTTGACCTCGCCAAGTCCCACTGTTTCGCTTGGCCCGGCGAGGAAGGTTGAACCGCTCTCTCTCTCTCGTCCGACGCGCAAGGCGGTGCAACTCAAAAAGTCCGAGCGACGACGACGCCGCTCTCCTCGGCGAGCGCACTCGATTCTTTTGCAAAAGGGTCCGCGCCCTGCTCTCGCGCGTACGACGCACCCTTTCACACTTTGCGCTAGCGCCGATCAGTAGTACTCTATCTCGAGCTGCGCGCACCGACGCCACCGAGGGAGGGGCCGTCAGCAAAAGTCCGACCGTGCTCGACGCAGCTGGGACCGTGCAGCGCCCGCCCGCTCGATCGACTGCGACCGGCGACCGCTGCTGCGGAAGGCAGTGCCCGCCGCCGCCGGGCCCGACGGCTCAGGCGACCTCGAGCGCGAGTCCTCGCCTCGCCTCGCCGCACCTCGCTCCCCGCCCGTCCGCAGCACGCTCGAGAATGAAAGAAGGGGGGAGGGAGAGAGAAAATGTGCGAGGACGCACAAAGAGGAAGGCGCGCTTGAGCGGCGAGAGGAGGTTGAGCCCGGCCGGGTTGAACAGGTCGCGGTTGAGTCGCTCGAGGACCGAGTGCAAGCGGCGGATCTCCTGCGGGCGTGCGTCCTCTGTCAGTTCGTTCGAGAGGGAGACAAGGAGAAGGAGAGCAGACGTACCCGCTCGTAGTGCGACGAGAGGACGAGCGGCGACAGGTAGAGCGTGACGATGGCCAAGCAGTTGTCGAGGACGGACCGAGTCGGGTCGTGCGCCGACGCGAGCACCTCGTTGACCTCGTTGAGCGCGTTCTGGTAGTCGGTCGGCGAGACCTGCACGGCGTACAAGTCAGCTCGGGGGCGCTCAAAGAGAGAGAGAGAGAGAGGATGAGACGCACCCTGCCCTCGAGCTCCCAGATCCACCCGCTCCACATCTGACACGTCTCGCCCGCCGAGTAGTCACGCTCGACCCGGATCACCTCGCGCGGCCGCGTCTCGCCGATGACGCCGACCGGCGCCGTGCCGAACACGCTCTCGTCGCCGACCGAGCTGCGCTGCGACCGGAGCGAGCGCCGCGACGACGACAGCGTCGCGAACGGGTTGCTGGCGCCGGCGTGCTGCGTCGTCGTGCTCGAAGAAGGCGGCTGGTCGAGGTAGGGCCGCTGATACGACGACGTGCTCGGCGAGGGCTCGAGGGACGAGGCTGGAGCGGCGGGGGTTGCGAGGGCAGAGCTCGAGGCGGATGCGGGCGGTTGCGCTCGGGCGAGTAGTGGCGGGAAAGCGTGCGAGGTCGAGGATGGAGCAGGCGAAGGTGGTCCCGAGCCTGTGGAGCGCGAGGGTCAGTAAAGCGAACACGAGCAGGACAAAGGCGGGAGGGAGAGTCGGGCGGACCTGAGGCGCGGGGACCGTCGCCGGTGCGGAGCTGCCACGAGGCTGTGGCGGTGGCTGCGGCGTCGTGGACGGCGAGGAGCTCGACGTCGTCTCCCTCGAGGTACGAGACGGGCTTGCGGCGGATGGACGAGGTGCGGGAGCGGGTGCGAGGGCGGGGCGAGGACGGGTCGGGGGACGGGTGGGTCGGGGAGCTCGGTGGCAGGTGTGGTGGTGCTTGTGCGGCTGGGAGCATTGGCGGCTGGGCGAGTGTCGGGGCGGAGAGGGCGCGGAGACGAGTCGGGAGGTGGGGAGAGCTGAGCGCCGACGAGATGGCGACGGCACGACGAGAGAGGTTGCCGAGTGGTGGGACAGCCCCAGTGGAATTGTTTGACGCTGTACTGGCTGCGTCTAGCCCAGCACGAGGCCGACGGGAAGAGATGGAGCGAAACCCAGCTTGGGCGGGCGAACTCCTCGTCCTCGTTCAACCGCGCTCAGTCTCTCTCACCCGCTACGGGCACCGACGCGAGCCAGCCAGCACCACATGGCTCCTCCGAAACAACCCCCGCATCAGCCAGCACCGGAGCGCCTCGAGGTCCCGACCCTCCCTCCTCCCTCATCGCGCTTCGTCCTCCCTCCTCCCCCTTCGGCCCTCCTCGACCGCCTCCAGGCCTTCCTTCCCCAGATCCGCGACGCCAACGCCCACCTCGACCCTCCCCAGCCCGGCACCGCATCACCAGACGAGGCCGTCGTCGTCGAGGAAATCACAGACTCGAGCGACGACGACTCGTCCACTGACGACGACGACTCCACCACGAGCGACGACGACAGCGACGAGGGCGACAGTGACGACGGCGAGACGGCCGAGCGGCAGCAGCAGGGCGTCGCGACGGAGCAGGTCGCGCCGCCGGCAGGCGCAGCAGACGACGGCGCAGGGTCGCTCGCCCGCCTCCTCGACATCTCGGCCCGCCCGACCGTCGTGCGGTCAAAGCTTCTGGTGCAGGAGGAGCCGGTGGCGGGTGCGCACGCGGGGCGAGACGACATGCAGGCCGACTGAGGGCGGCAGAGGGAGGATGAGCTCGTCGGTGGACGAGCTGGATCATGGTGCGCCCTCGTTCCGCCCTTCCTTCTCCTCGCCGAGCCGGGTTGATTCCCTTCGCGACCCGCCCGCAGAATCGCTCGACCCGGATTCGGCGAGCGGAAGAGCTGCCGAGTGGCCGGTCGCGCCCGTCCGAGTCAGCTCTCGGTGCGTCCTCGCCTGCCTCTGTGATCCTCTCGAACGTCGTCCTGACACCCTCCTGCGTCTCCTGTAGGACGTGAAGGTACGCCGAGGACGTGCGAGCACCCATTTGGCCGTAGAGCCCCTTCTCTCGCCTCGTAGGGCCACCTCTCGCCGGCTCTCGTCGCGCACGAGCCCGGGCCTCTGCCTGCAACGCGACCAGACTGCAAAGACGAGCGCATTGAGAGTACATCAACAAGAAAGCATAGAGCTACCAAGCAGAAAGCGCCTCCTGTCCTCGTTCCCCCGCTCCTTCTCCACCCTCATCAACCTCAAGAGCCCGGCCGCCGTCCTCCCCTGCCGCCCCTGCTCCCGCTCAGCCAATCGCGCTGCTCGTCTTGACCGTCCCGCACTCCCTGCAGCTCCAGAACAAGTGCCCGTTACCCGTGGAGCACGCCTCGCACGCCCAACCGTCGTCCTCCTCGAGGCGCGTGCGCGTGCGCGACGCCGAGTCCGGCACGCCGGGCAGGGTCGACGCAGGGCGCTCGGCGAGGCAGATGGCGCACGCGAGGGCGACAGGCGACGGGTTGAGGTAGGTGCAGAGGGCGCACGGCCAGGCCGAGAGGGCGGCGGCGGAGCGAGCGCCAGACGAGGTGGAAGCCGCGGCGGTGCGACGAGGGGGAGGTGGGTCGGCGCGACGCGCAGGCATAGTGCGCGATGTTGTGGAGGTGGAGCGGGAGGAGGAAGGGGCGCCAGAGGACGCGCTCGAGGCGTCGCGCGCGACGGTCGAGGTGAACGCGGCGGCGGGGGGTGCTGGACGGGGCGCGCGACGCTTGTTGGGCGGCGGTGAGGGCCGAGGCGCGCTGCGCTTGGCGGGGAGGACCTCGAGCTCTGGCGAGGACGACCGCGCACGGCCCGCATCGTCCGGCTCGGGCCTGACCCTCGCGCTGCTGCTGCCGCTCGGCCCGGCGACGACGACGACCGGCTCGTCCTCGTCGCTGCTGGCCTCGGTCAGGTCGAGCACGACGGTGCGGCTGTCGCGCTCGGCGCGGTTGATGTCGTCCTGGACCTCGGGCGGGAGGTCGGCCTTGGTCGAGCCCGATGGGTGGTCGTGCGCGTCGTCGCCGCCGCACGTCTTCTTGGCCCGCATGCGGCGCTCTGCAGCCTGTGGTCACTCGACTCGAGTCAGTACGAGAGGCATCGAGAGAGGGCAGGGAAAGGGGGACGCACCTCGGCCAGCACGTCGCACATCCTCTTGCCCCTCGTGTCGGGCGCCGCGCCGCCGAGCCGGCCGCCCGTCCCGAGCACCTTGCGGACGCGCTCGCGCTCTTCGAAGCTCTTAAGCGCCTTCTCGCGCGCCTCGCGCACGCTGACGCCCTTGTCGGGCCCGACGCCCTCGCCGACGCGGCGTCCGTCGCCAAGGAAGCCCTCGCCGCTGTAGCCCTTGGCGCGCAGCTCGTCGTACTCGTCCTGGAGGGCGTCGAGCTTCTTGAAGAAGATGTCGTCGTGCGGACCTCGCACGTTGTGGACGAGCTCGTGGAGCATGGTGCCGATGAGCGAGTCCTCGAGCGGGAGGAACGACGACGGGTCGTGCTGGGGCCGCAGGCGGATGCAGATCTTCACACCGCCGTTGATGTTGACGCCGAGCAGGTTCGGGTTCTTGGGGAAGAACTCAGAGAGCGTCGGCAGGTGCCAACCGTGCCGGCGCATGATGGGCTTGACCAAGGACGCGATCTTGCGCAACAGGTCGAGCGCCTCGTCGGCGCGTGGCTGCGACTTGAGCGCCGTGATGGACCCGACCTCGCCTGGGCGCCGTTCAGTCGACCCGGAGCTGGCCATCGTGCTGTACGCGAGGGGAAGAAGGTCAGCGACAAGGACCGAGGCTATGGAGGTGGTGCGAGGAGGTTCGAGAGGGGACTCACTCGGCTCGTCTGCGGCCACCGTGCAGTCGGTGCTTGACGTGGACGCGCTCGCAGGGCTTCTCGTGGTCGACTCGAACAGGACGAGCTGGGTGACGACGCGGGCTCGAGGCGGACGAGCCGCAGAACGTAGTGCGAGGAGTGCGACGGCAGGGCGCGTAAGCTGCGCACTGGGCCGGTCTCGCGAGCTGGCGCTCAAGCAGCGGCGGGCGAGAGCTGGAGCCGTGGTTGGAGGACAACGAGAGCGAGCCTGGCGGGTTGATCCACCTCCTCCCTCCTCTCATGGCGCGAGGGCCAGGCGTGCACTAGCTGTGCGCCTTGCCATCATGCTCAATGCTGCCCTCGCCCGACCAGCGTCGCGCCCCGCTGTCTGCGCCGTCCTCCAGCCTCCTCATCATCGACCTCGGACCGATGAAGCCGACTCGACCACCGCTGTCCGTGAGGACCGCTCCACCGTCGCGATACGACCTTCAACTGCCCTGTGCCATGCTCGCCCCCGCCCGACCCACTTCCTGGCCGACGCGGCGGGTCTCCCCCTCGCCTGGCTTGCTCTCAGGACGTCGACGAGCCGTCGGGCCTCATCACGGGGGCGAGGGCACATCGAAGGGCTTGCGGCGGACTCGGAGCTCGATCAGGACGGACCGCGCGACGGTTGGACCGGGGTACGTCGAGCAAAAGGAGCCGCACGGCCGCCGCCTCCCCTCGCGGTTCTCGTCTTTGCGCTCTGCGCCCTCGTCCTCTGCGTCCCTCTTCCCCTTCTCAGTATACGAGCCTCGTCCTGCAACTATGTTCGCTTCCCGAGCCATTCTGTGGCAGCACTGAGAGATGCTGGCTTCCGAGAGCGCGTCTCGTGAGCAGGTCGACCAGCTCTCTTTCGTCTCGAACGTCCATTGCTCGCCTCTCGAGAGTTGCAGGACGTGCAGACACACAGAGAGCATATAGGTCGTTGCAGGAATGGCAAGTGGTACAACAGGGACGACTTGGGCACAGCTACATCGAGGGCAGGAGGTTCGAGAGGGGGATCGTCTCGACGAGGGCGAGACAGATGAGGGCGCGCTTGTGCAGCTACAGGTCGTCGTCAGAGATGTCGCCGATCGGGTGCTGGTCGTCGTCCGAGGCGTCCGAGTCTGCAAGGTCCGAGGTCGAGGACACGAGGTCAGTGCGCCGCTCGACGTCGTTTCGAGGAAGGAAAAGCGGGGCGCACCGTCGCCAGCGCAGCGGTAGACGAGGTAGGATCGGCCAGCCGTGATGTTGGCACTGCTCATCAAGCCGCACAGAAGCTCCATGGCGACGTCCTCGTCCTCGGCGACCTCGACGACGACGGCCCGTGCGACTTTGGCGGCGCGCTTGGGGTCGAGACGCGCGACGACGGCGTCCTTCTGCTCGGCGATGGCGGCGCTGTCCTCGACACCGGGCGCGTCGCGGACGGGCGCGAGACGGGGCGCACGTGCGACCTTCTTGGGCGCGCTCGGCGCCTTCTTGCGCGGCGTCGACTTGGGCGTGGAGCTCGCCGTCTTGCGAGCACGGGTGTCGACCTCGTCGCGCTCGATGTCGCTCAGGCTCGCCATGACTTCGTCGTCGTCGAGCACGTTGCCCATGTCCGAGCGCCACGTGTCGACCGAGGTGGGCTCGACCTTCTTGCGCTGCGACGACGATTTGTGCTCGTCCAGGGCCTTGGCGTGGATCGCTTCGACTTGAGCGGCGACGGTAGGGCTGGCCTTGGCGGCAGAGCGGGTGATGCGGGCCATGGTCTAGAACGAGATCGGGTGAAGCTGCGCAAAGTGGGGCGGGAGAGGAGGAGGACGAGACGAGGTAAGCGTTCGTCCTGCGCCACGACGAGGCTCGACGACGACGATCATAGACGAGCAGAGATGCCTGGAGATTGACCCGAGCGCTCTCGAGGCGAGAGAGGGAGAGGCGGAGGGGGAAAAAAAAAGGCGAGAGAAGAGAAAAACTGAGAAGAGGAGGAGGGCGAGGGACGAGGCGCTTGGGCGTGTGTCGCGGATCGTTCGTCGAGTTAAGAAGAGGCTCGAAAGGTTCGCGGCAGAAGGAGGTGCTGGAGCGAATGAGGAGGGAGAGAGAGAGAGGAAGCGAGCGGGAGGCGGGATGTGACCGCCGCTCCCTTGCTCGCGTCGCGACCGGCTCGCTTGTGAAAGCGCGCTCTGTGCGACGCGCGACGGCGCGGCGTAGATCGCTCGGGGCGGGAGCAGCGCTCCATCAGTTGAGAAGTCGACTGCGAGCGGGCGACCGTGATCGAGAACTTGGGCTCGCATACAGCGCGCTCGCTACCGCAGGTTGTTCTTTCGTCGTCGCTCGTACATACTGCGAGTGCTGCGCGCCGGGGAGGGCGGCGCTCTCAGACGAGCGCTTTGACCTCTCGCGCTTTCGGGGTGAGAACGGAACGACGACGACGAACACGCCCGCGTTGTGCACCTACCTCGCTCAGCCCTGTTCCCGTTGAAGAACTCGCGTCCGTCGAGGCGCGCAAATGCGACGGCGATGGTTCTCGCTGGCTCGAAAGAGGAGGAGTGGCAACTTGAGAAGGTCAAACCGAGCGGGGTCGAGGTGTTACTTTCCAGCAGCGTCTGTTCCTCCTCGTTCACTCTTTGAATGCGCACAGGTCAACAAGAAAGAGAACGACGTAGTGCCCGCCGAAGTTGCGCATGCGAGAGCGTCTCTCCCTTCCCCGCCTTCCCGGCTTGGGAGTGACACCGTTGCGAGGCGAGCGCATACACTTGGGTCGCCATTCACGCGCGAGTCGGCGGAAGAATGCAGAGCGCGTCATTCGGCCTCCCTTCCGCCCCCTCCCCTCGCCTCTCGCCCTTCTCCTCCCTCCCTCCACCTTCCACCTCACCTCCATCCTCAGCACCACCACAAACACACACCATGTCCAACAACGAGAGCATCAGCAACAAGGTCGGGAACGCCACGGGTGGCGCGGTCGGCGACGAGACGATCGTCCACCAGGCCACCCACCTCGCGAGCTCCACGCTCGACTACGCCAAGGGCCTCGTCGGTCTGGGCCAGGACGCCGGCGCCAAGTCGGGCGAGGACGCCGCCAACAACGCCCACGGCGCCAACTCGCAGCACACGCTCGGCGAGCTCGTCGGCGAGGCCCGCGACCTTGCGGCGAACGTCCTCCACACCGCCTCCGAGTGCGTCCACAGCTCTCTCTCGTCCTTATCATGCGGCCTTCAGTACATGTCCTGACCCTCGACCCGTCTACAGCGTGATCGCGACGGGCGCCGCCAAGGCGCAGGACGCTGCCGGCGACGCGCAGCAGAGCGCCGAGTCGGGCGCGCCCAAGGGCTACGTCGCCCAGGCGCGTGACCTTGCTGCCGGTGCTCTTCAGCAGGTCGAGGGGTGCGTCCCACTCTCCCTCCCTCTCGCCCGCTCGTCGCGCAGGGCCCGAAACCTGACCTCGCGCCCTCCTCCCGCAGCCTCATCGCCACCGGCCAGAAGAAGGTCGAGCAGTCGGACCTCAAGGGCCAGGCCGACCAGGCGGCCTCGACTCTCGGCCAGAAGGTCGACGAGACCAAGAAGGCGGCGACCGTGCGTCCCCTTCTCTCCCCCTTCCCCTCCCTCGGCCTCGTCGCGAGCCTCTCTTTGACGACGATCGTCCTCCACAGAGTGCCGCCCAGGACGCGTCCGAGACGACCAAGGGCTACGCCGCCGCCGCCCAGAAGGACGTCGCCGACAAGACTGCGTAAAGTAGTTGACGTTCGACCGCCTCGACCCGATTTTACCCCTCTGGAGGAGACGCCTCGTCCCCTCTCTCGCGCTTGTAGCCTGATACCCTTTCGCCGGTAGTGCAACGTCGAAGCAGTTCAGTGCACGTCTCGGGCAGAGAGAGCGATCGAGAGAGAGCAAGTCCCGAGTCCCGTCTCGTCTCGTCTCGTCTCGTGAGGAGGGAACGAGCGGGTCGAGAGCGGACCCTTTCGAGGCGGTCACTCTGGTCGCTCGCTCCTTGCTCTCTCTGCTGAACGGCGAGTGCGCGAGAGAGAGCGAAACTAGATACATGATGCAGAGCTGCGAGTCCTACAAGCGAACAGAGAAGAAAGGAATGCTGCGTCTCGGTCCTCCTCGGTCTCTCTACTCCTCCTGCTCTATCGCCGACGGCGCCGACGAGAACGTCGTCCCGACGATGTCGGCCTCGGTGATGCCGCTGCGCTCGCACATGCCCGCGAAGATGCCGTGCGCCCGGAACAGGTTGAGCGGCGTGTCGAACTCGGCGACGGCGCCGGCGTCCATGACGAGCACGCGGTCGCTGTCGACGATCGTGCGGAGGCGATGCGCGATGACGAGGAGCTGCAGGGCGAGGAGGGAGAAGGAATGTCAGTCGAGGGAGCGGGAAGGGATCCGAGCGAGAGAGCCCGAGGACGCACCGTCTTTTTTTCGAACTCGGACCTGATCGTCGCTTGTATGCGTGAGTCGGTCGCAAAGTCGACGGACGCGGTGGCCTCGCTGCGAGGGCGAGAAGAGATGGACGTGAGCGAGGGCCCGAGGCGAGGACAAGCGGAAGAGGACGCACTCGAGGACGATGATCTGAGAGTCCTTTACGAGCGCGCGCGCGAGAGACACGAGGCTACGCTCTCCAACGGACAGGTTTTGGCCCTCGTCCTCGATGACCAGGTCCAGCGTGAACCGGCTCGAGGTCGGTGTCGCGGCGGCCGCCGGCGCTCCGGCGACCGGCATCGGCTGGTCGCGGTCGACGAGCCACGCACGCTTGAGGGCGTCGTACAGCTCGGCGTCGCCGTGCTCGCCGAAAGGATCGAGGTTGGTGCTGCGAAAGAGGAAGGCGAGAAGGAAAGGTGGGCGAGGTGGGCGAAGGCAACGGGGTCAGCTCGCCAGACTGCGGCAGGCTGGACACGCAAAGAGAGAAGAGAGAGGGAGCGCACCGGACAGTGCCGTTGAACAAGAGCGCATCTTGAGGGATGATCGCGATCTTCTTGCGCAGGTCCGAGAGCCCAATCTTCGAGATGTCGATGCCGTCGACCTCGATCGAGCCGGCCGAGACCTCGACGATGCGGAACAGCGTCTGCATGATGGACGACTTGCCTGCAGAGAGGACCAGAGTGAGCTCGCGAAGCTGGACGAGGAGAGCAAGTAGAGGGAGAGAGACGCACCTGCGCCAGTTCGCCCAACGACGCCGATCTTCTCGCCGCGACCGACGCTCATGTTCAGGCCCTTGAGGACAGGAGGCAGGTCCGGGCGATAGCGCATCTCGACGTTCTTGAACTCGATGGCGCCGCCCGAGGGCCACTCGGCGGGCGGACGCGAGTCCTCGATGACGGCGGGCGCCTCCTTGTCGAGCTCGTTGGCGTAGTGCAGGACACGCTCAACCCTGCGACGACAAAGAGGAGAGTCAGGGACAAGGACGGCTGGACGGGCAAGGGAGGAGGACGCACGAGTTAAGGTCGTTCTCGACCTCGGCACCCTGGCGGACCATCCACGAGAATGACGACGAGATCGTGAGGATGTACGACAGGACCAGGCCGGTCTTGGACGGCGAGACCGACGTGCGAGTGCCGACACCGAACATGGCGACCGCGAACGTCAAACAGGTGCCGAAAAAGTCGAGCCGCAGGCCGAGCCAACGCTGGTTGATGACCTGTGTGCGCAGGCGACGGTGAGGTCAGTCGGCGGCCTCCTCTCGTCCTCGACACACAGAAAGAAAGAGAGGGGACGCACCGTGAGGTAGTAGGCCCTGTCCTCGAGGTCGAGGTAGGCGGACGTCTGGGCGAGGAAACGGTCCGTCTCGCCGTAGGCCCGGATCGTCGTCAGGCCCGACAGGCTCTCGCTGAAGCTCGCGTAGAGCGACGAGCGCAGGAGGTTGTCGAGGCGCTTGAGCTCTCGAGCGCTGCGGGTGGGGAGAGAATCAGTCAAGGAGGGCAAGGCTGAGGGCGGGGAGGAGCGCACGCACCTCTGGCGGTAGAAGCGGGCGGCGAACGCGTAGAGGCACAGGACGCCGGCGACGACAAGCAGGAACCCTGCGCGCAGGAGAGAGCAAGTCAATACGCCGCTCGAGAAGGGCAAGGAGAGAGAAGAGGGTGGACGGACAAGGTTGGACGATTGCGATGAGGACGACAGATCCGACGACGCCAGCGAGAGTAGATACGAACATTCGAAAGCTGTCGTTGAGCGTGTTGTCGATCGTGTCGATATCCTTCGAGAAGCGGTTCATGATGCGACCGAGCGGCGTCGTGTCGAAGAATGACATCGGCGCGCGCATGACGCCCGTGATGGCGGCCGAGTGGAGCTCGCGCGAGATGTTGTAGCCGATGAGGGTCGTCGCGACGCCGATCGCGAACGAGAAGATGGCCTGGAGGACGCCGAACATGGCGTACAGGCCTTCGTCTGCGAGACGAGCAGGTTCGTCAGTGACCGCTCGAGTGCGAGCGGGAAGAGGGACACGAGGGCGACGCACAGAAGCCCATCGTCTGGTCGAACGAGCTGTAGCGGTGGGCAAGGGCGAGTCAGTCTCGAGGAAAGTCTGAGGAAGTAGGGGAAAGGGAGAGAGAGGGAGAGAGGGCGAGCGGGACGTACTCTTCTTGCCACCACACGAGGATGTACCCGCTCAAGACCTGCGCCGCCTGCTGCAGCACCATCGAACCGAGGAGGACCGGGAAGGTGTACCAGCCCTTGGCGAGGGTGAAGATGTGGCGGTACACGGCGCCCGAGACCGAGCCCGTCGCACGCTCCTCCTCCTGCATGAGCGCCTTGGCCTTGGGCTTGTCGGCCTTCTTGTCGGCCTCGGGCTCGCCCTCGATCGCGTCCTCCTCCTTGGCCTCGTCCTCCTCCTTCTTGTCCTCGAGGTCGCCGCCGAACTCCTCCATGAGCTTGCTGAACGCGCCCTCCTTGTCGCCGATCAGGTCGGCGTACGTGCCCTCCTGCGTCACCTTGCCGTGCTCGAGGCAGATGATGTAGTCGACGCGAGGGAGGAAGTGCAGGGCGTGCGTGACGAGGATGCGCGTCTTGCCGGCGAGCGAGCCGAGGATGGCGTTGTCGAACAGGTGCTTGCCCACGTGCGCGTCGACCTGCGAGAGAGGGGGGGGGGCAGAGTCAGCGTCGTCGAGGGCAGGAGAGGAGGGGAGCGAGGAGGGAGGAGGAGGGAGAAGAGGGGGGCGCCGACGCACCGCCGAGAGCGGGTCGTCGAGGAGGATGATGTCGGCGTTGAAGTACAGGGCGCGGGCGATGTTGACGCGCTGCTTCTGGCCGCCCGACAGGGTGACGCCCTTCTCGCCGATCTCGGTCTCGTCGCCGTAGGGGAGCATGTCGAAGTCGGCCTCGAGGCACGCGTCGTGGACGACCTGGCGGTAGCGCGCCTCGTCGTACGGCCGGCCGAACAGGATGTTTTCCTTGAGGGAGCAGCTCTGCATCCAGGCTTGCTGAGCGGCGTAGGCGATCTGGCCGCCGAACGTGACCTCGCCCCGGGTGCGCTTCATCTCGCCGACGAGCGCCTGGAGGAGCGAGCTCTTGCCCGACCTGCAACGAGAGCGGCATCAGTAAGCAGGAAAGGCGACGATCGAGGCGAGAGAGAAAGAGAGAAAGAGAGAGAGAGAGAGAGAGGGACGGACCCGACAGCGCCGACGACAGCGCAAAGCTGGCCTCGCGGGATGCGAAGGTTGACGTTGCGGAGCTGCAGGATCTCGGCCTCCTCGGGCGTGGTCGTCGGGTCGAGCTTGCCGTCGTCGGGGATGTCGGCCGTCGCGTCGCCGCTGTGGGCCGCCTCCTCCGGGTCGACGGCGCCCTTCTCGTTGAGCTTGAGCTCGACCTTGGCCGCCTTCTCCTTCTCCTTGCGCTCCTTCTTGGCGACCTTGGCCGCCTTCTTGCCCTGCGCCGCGAGCTTGGCCTGCTCCTTCTTCGACTTGGGCGCCGTGTCGGGCGGCGTCGACTCCCACTGGAAGTCGGCGTCGACGACCGAGACAGCGAACTTGGCGCTCGGGTCGATGTCGAACGGGGCGCTGCGCTCCTCGGCGAGGAAGACCTCGGTGAGGCGACCGAGGGCGTTGTGCGCGTCGGTGATGGTCGAGAGCGACATCGGGAGCATCATGAGCTGCGGGCGAGCGAGAGTCAGCTCGGGCGACTTGGGAAGGTCGCTCGGCGAGGACGTACAGGCATGCGGATACTGCGCGAGCGAGGGACAGAGTGAGTCTATGTCGCCGAGTCGCCGAGGGAGAGTAGAAGAGGAGGGAGACGCACAGCTGGAAGAGCGTGAGCGAGGTGAAGATGCTCTGGGCCGTCGTGTCATGGCCCGTGTTGGCGTACGTGATGAAGGCGAGCACGGTGGCGAGCGTCGGGAGCCTGCGAGTCGACGTGAAGGAGAGGTCAGGGGGACCGAGACGAAAGAGAGAGGAAGGAGGGAGGGAGAGAGGGACGCACGACATGGCGACGCCGGTGGTGGCCGCACGCGAGATGAGCAGCGAGCGGACCTGGGCGAGCTCCTTGGCGCGGTACTCCTGGAGCTTTTGCAGGTACGGGATCTCCCATGCTGCACGTTTGGGAGTTAGGGACGATCTCGTGACGGCGCGGGAAAGAGGGACGAGGGACGGACCGAAGAACTTGAGGACGCGCATGCCGCCGAGGAGCTCGCCGATGAGCCTCGCGCGCTTGTCGGTCCACACCATGGCCTTGCGCCGGTACCCAAACATCTTCTTCATGGCCCAGCTCTGCGGCGGGATCATGAGGAACAGGAAGGCGATGCCGACGAGGCACGACGGGCCGATTTGGACGAGGAGGATGATCATGATGACGATGAGCTGGATCGGGGCGGTCCAGGACATGTGGAAGCTGCTCGAGAAGGAGCGGCGAGGTGCGACAAGTCGAGAGGAGGAGGGGAGGAGGGAAGACGAGGTCAGGCGCGGTCGCGAGAACCGAAAGAGGGGGACAGACACGTACAAGCCTGCGCAAAAGTCGATGCGGCTGACGTCGGTGCCGATGTGGTTGACGAGGCGACCGTTGGTGATGACCGTGCGCGCCTTGCCCGACAGGACGAGCGCTTTGCGGTACAGCGACGTGATGAGGGCCGCTCGCGCGAGGACGCCCGTGCCGGCCGAGTTCTGGAAGAACGAGTGCAGGCACAGCGACGACACGATCTGCATGCCCCACAGGCCGAAGCACAGGCCGATGCCGACGCCGATAGGCTGCGCCTCGAAGCCGGGCACGCCGCGGTGGGCGTAGTAGGCGTCCGAGCCGAACGTGATGAGGGCGCGCGTGACGAGCGGCGACGTGATGAGGAGGCCGTCCGAGATGACCTTGAGGGCGCCGGCCGACCAGAAAGTCCAGAAGAACTGCGGGCGGGCGGGACGAGGTTAGTTCCCTGTGGCGGCGACACGTGCACGTCGAGGAGGAGGGGCAAGGGACGCACAGTGTCCGAGATAGCAAGGGCCATGCCGACCTTGCGCTTGCCGTCGCCCGACCCGCCGAACCGCTTGCCGAACGACCACCAGGCCTTGCGCATCGCCGACGGCTGGTAGCTGCCGTCCTCGAGCGCCTTGTTCCACGCCTCGACGCTCCGGCGCCGACGCTCAAAGTTGGCCATCAGCTTGTCGGCGAGGAAGCCCGCCTCGAACTCGTCGTGGAGCTTCCACAGGTCGGTCGGGACGAGCGTGCGCTGGTAGCCCGTCGTGAGCATCGGCTGGATCCCTGCGTGCGCTCAGGCCGTGTCAGTGTCGCCGTCGCAGGAAGAGAGAGGAGAAGTAGGGGACGCACACAGGAAGGTAATGCGCGAGAACCAGTTGGCGTTGACGAGCGGGATGAGCGGCGCGTCGTCGAAGGACGCGAACGGCGCTCGCGGCTCCTTGAGCCACCAGCGCTTCTTCTTGATGACGTGCGTGTCCTTGGCCTTGAGGTCCTTGGTGTCGGGAAGGACGTCCTCGATGCCGCCCTTGGCCGGGACGGGCGCCGTCGTGGCCGCGGCAGCAGACGGCGGCGCACGGCCCACCTTGACCGGCTGCGACGACGACGACGACGACGAGGCGCTCGCTCGCTCGACCTTGTCCTGCTCTGCGGCGTCGCGCGTCTCGGTGCGAGTGACGGACGATGCGGGCGAGACCATGTGCGCTGGAGCTGACCGCGTGGTGCGCGGGTGCCGAAGTTGGGTGGAGGTGGGGCGAACGAACCGGCAGGGCTGTGTGGTGGCGAGGTGAGTGCCGGCGGCGGGTCGCAAGGGCGCGCGAGACTGGACGCACTGGTGCTGGACGAGGTAGGTCTAACCGAGGGCAGGGCGGTGCTGCGATGCGGCTGCGCGGCGGCGAGTCCAATTGTGGACGTCGGTGTTGGAGGGCGCGAGGACGAGGTGGATCGCGGTGTCGTGGAGGTGCGGTGGTGCGCCTGGTCGAAGCTGACGGTGCCGAGCAGGCAGGAGCACTCGAGAGCAGACACGAGCGAGCTGTGGGTGAGGGAGGCGTCGAAGCGCGAGGTCGTTGCTCCTCGGCTCCTCCGCCGTGGTTCCGCCGGCCGGGCTCAAGTGTGTCAGCGTCCGCCGTCTCGCCCGAAGCCCATGTGGCCCTCGTCCGCGCCTGTCTCCCCCTCCAGCCAGTACTCTGAGCCCCAGAGCGCGAGTGCAGGCGCCGTTCGGACAGCTCGAGCGAGAGTGCGCGCCGACGGTGCTCGGCGACTGGACGGAGGCGAGCTCGAGCGGCATCACGGCGGCGAGGAAGCGCAGACGCGCTCGTACTGCAACGACAGAAGCCAGTTACACACACCCATGGCCTCGCAGACTGCCCAGAGAGAGCGAGAGCACAGAGAGGGACGCGTCCACCTCGCGTCCACGACAGCTCCTCATCTCCCTCCAACCACCGGCTGCATCTGGCTCGAGAGCCTTGCGACGCTCGCCATGGCCAAGCACGCGCTCTCTGAGCACACCGACAGCGACCACGCGCACTCAGAGTCGTCCCCGAAGCGCCGTCGCACCGCCTCGCCCCTCCCTCGCTCGACCCCGCCTCGCGACCGCAACGGCGACGTCGACTTCGACCCAGGCGCGCAGGACGACGACGACGATGACGACGAGGACGCCGACATGTCTGACGACGAGGAGACGCGCCGCCAGGTCGCCCGCTTGCAGCAGACGCAGAGCTCACGCCCTTCGGTCCGTCCTGTCTCCCCTCCCTCTCTGGCGCCGAAGCGCAGTCGCTGACTCTGTTGCGTGTGGGTGTGCCCGAGCAGAAGATCGCAGAAGCCGGCGTCATCCAGCAGGTCGACCTGCAGAGCTTCATGGCGAGTCGGACCCTTTGCTCCCTCCTCGACGAGGCCAGGACTGACTCTCGACCTCCCTGGCACAGTGTCACGCCCACACGACCGTCAACTTTGGCCCGCAGGTCAACTTCCTCATCGGTGTCAACGGCTCGGGCAAGTCGGCCATCCTGACGGGCATCACCATGGCGCTCGGCGGCAACGCAAAGGCGACTGTGCGTCCCGACCTCTCTCTCCCCTCGCCTTCCCGCCCTGACCCTCGCCTTCGCCTGCAGAACCGCGGCGGAAAAGGTGGCGACCTCATCATGGAGGGCAAGGCGTGTGTCCCGCTCCGCCGGCCGGCCGAGTCGAGGACGAGGCTGACCCGCCCTCTTGCCTCGCAGGTCCGCTCGCTGCGCGGTCACGCTCGCCAACAAGGGCGAGGAGGCGTACCAGCACCACATCTACGGCGACTCGATCACGATCGAGCGCACGCTCAACAAGACGGGCGGCACGTACAAGATCAAGAACCACGAGGGCAAGACGGTCGACAACAAGAAGGCGACGCTCGACTCGATCCGTGCGTCGCTCCGCCTTCCTCTCCCTCTCGATGCGACGTCGGGTACTGACACTCAACGCGTCGCAGTCGACTCGTTCAACATCCAGGTCGACAACCCGATGACGGTCCTCACCCAGGACCAGTCGCGCCAGTTCCTCGCGTCGGCGTCGCCCAAGGACAAGTACACCGTGCGTCGCTCGGTCTCGACTCTTCGAGCGCAGGTCCTGACTCGTGTACCTCCTCGTCTAGTTCTTCCTGCGCGGCACGCAGCTCGCGCAGCTCACCGAGGAGTACGAGCAGATCCGCAGCAACACCGAGACGATGGAGGACGCGCTCGGGCGCAAGCAGGAGGTCCTTCCCGAGCTCAAGGACGCCTACCGTCAAGCCCGAGAGCGCGCTCACGACGCGAGGGCGGCCATCGAGCAGCAGGGCAGCCTCACGACCCTCAAGAACCAGCTCGCGTGGTCGTTCGTCGACGAGATCCAGGAGGTGCGCCGCCCCTCTCTCGCCTCTTGAGCCCCTCGCACGCACGACGCAGAGTCCTGACGCTCGCGTCGCCTCGCAGCGCATCACGTTGGGCGAGAACGTGGTCGAGAAGGAGCGCGCCGACCTCGCCCAGTGCGAGGCAGAACTCGCCGAGTGGGAGGTGCGCGCCTCTTTCTCCTCTTCTGCTCGACTCGTCGTCGTCGGTCATTGACGTCTCTCCCTGTCGCGCAGACCAAGATCGCGGCCGCCGACACGCAGATCAGCGACCTGCGCGACGTCGACCAGGACATGCAGGCCATCGTCGCCGAGCTGCGTCCGCAGGCCGCCGAGCTCGAGTCGAAGATCAAGGGCGAGCGCGAGCGGGTCCGCAAGTGGAAGGTGCGTCCCTCGCAGCCGTTCCGCCCTCTCGTCACCACACCCGCGAGCTCACCGTGGCCGCCGCCCGCAGGACTTTGAGCGCCAGATGAGCCAGACGGTGTCGCGCCTCAAGGAGACGATCGCCGACTTTGAGCGCCAGATCCAGGCCGAGGAGACCAAGCTGTCGCGCGACCTCGAGGCCGAGCGCCGCCCTCTGCGCGACAAGATCGACCAGGCCAACGCCGAGATTGTCGAGCTCGCCGCGCGCATCCAGGAGTCGCGCCGCACTGCCGACGACGCGGCCGGGCTCCTCCTCGGCATCACCGGCGAGTACGACAACATCCGCTCGGCGATCGAGGCGGCGCGCAAGAAGGTCGACGACGTCCAGGGCCGGATCCACTTTACGCGCCGGACGGCGACCAACAACATCCTCGCGTACGGCGACAGGACGCCCGACTTTCTCAGGGCCATCAACCAGGAGCGTGGCTGGCGCGAGAAGCCGATCGGGCCCATCGGTACCTTCGTCAAGCTCGACCACGAGGAGTACGCCGCCGTCCTCGAGTCGTTCTTCGGCGCGACGCTCAACGCCTACATCTGCACCTACCACGACGACGCGACGCGCTTGCGCCGCATGCACCGCACCTACAACCTGTACGCCGAGCCTCCCTCGCCGCTCGAGGCAGGCGGGAAGCTGAATCGCCTTTCCTTCCCCTCCCTTTCCTCCCTGCCCTCGTCCAACAGCGACCACAACACGCCGATCATCACGCAGTCCTTTGACGCAACCGCTGCGGCCGACATGGCGAGCAGGCAGCCCGACAACTCGATCTTGACTATCCTCCGAGCCTGCACCGTGAGCTCCTCTCTCCTCGACCCTCTCGAGCCCCCTCCTTCGTCCTCGGCCCTGACACCGCGCCCCTTTCCTCCTACTGCAGATCACGCACCCGCTCGTCCTGCAAGCTCTCGTCGTCAGCAGCCGCATCGAGCGCGCCGCGCTCGTGCCCTTCCGCCCGGACGGCGACACGCTCATGCGCACCAACCCGTCCAACGTCGACGCCGCCTACTCGGCCGAGTCGTTCCGCATGTCGATCAAGTGCGGCCGACTGTTCGCCTCGCTGTCGAGACCGGGCGGGTGACTGACAATCGGCCCCTCGTCCACAGCCAGGGGAGGTCGGCGACGAGCACGATGAAGAACTGGACCGGCGGTCCGAGGCTTCAGCAAGACGTGACGGGTGTTCTGCGGTGCGTCGGGCTCTCTTTCTCTTCCTTCCCTTGCGTCAGGGACGGCGCTTACGCTCATCGTCGTCCGCAGGCGCCTCGACGAGGAGCTCGCCGCCGCCCGCGCCGAGCTGCAGCACCACGAGCAGGAGAAGGTGTCCAAGAGCCAGGAGGGCAAGGCGGCGCAGGCGCGCAAGAAGCAGGCCGAGGTGCGCCCCCCTCTCGCGCTCTCACGGCCGGCATCGCCAGCATCCGCCGCTCACGCCGCTCGGGCCCCCTCACGTGTCGCAGGACGACCTCAAGCGGGCCCAGAACCGGACGCATCAGCTCAACCGCGTCATCAGCGACTGTACGGCCAAGCTCGAGGAGGAGCAGCCGAACAACATCGCCGCCCTGCAGGAGAACAAGCGCGTGCGTCCCGTTCTCCCTCGCCCACCCCCCTCCTTCTCGCCCTCGCCGCCTCGCTCACTCGTCGTCATTGTGCGCAGGAGAGCCAGGAGGAGCTCGACAACGCGATCGCCCAGTTCACGGCCGGCGCCGAGGCGAACGAGCGCGACGCGGTCGACTCGGAGGCGCAGGAGGCGGTCGAGGCCAAGGTCCGGCTCGAGGCCAAGATCAAGAAGAACGAGAACCTCATCGCGCAGACGGCTGTGCGCACCCTCTCTCTCTCTCTCATGGTCGGTCACCGTATCCTGCGAGACCGGGACCCCTGACCCGTCGTCGTCGCCGACCCGCAGAAAGCGCTCGACAAACAGATTGCCGAGATCCAGAACTGCAAGGTCAAGATCGAGCAGGTGCACAAGACGATGGCGGGCGTCAAGCGCAAGGTCGAGACGTACACGCAAGCGGTCGTCGACGCCAAGGCGCTCTGCGAGGTGCGTCTCGTCGTCCCTCCCCGTCCTCCCTCAGTGTCGTCGCCCTTCCTCGTCCTGACCCACTCGGCCTTTCTCCCCTACTTTCGCAGGAGCGCACGGAGCAGGCGAGCGCCGTCTGCGAGCGGCCGCCGGCGGGCAAGCACAAGGAGTCGAAGAAGCTGCAGAAGGAGATCGAGACGGTCGAGCGGGCGCTCAAGGAGCGCGAGAAGCGGCAAGGCGCCTCGATCGAGCAGATCCTCGAGGAGCTCGAGATCCGCAAGAAGGTGGCGACGGACGCGGTGCGGCAGGTCAACGAGCTGGCGAACCTCGTCGGGGTGCGTCCCCTCTCCTTCCTCCCCCTCTCGTCCTCCCTATCTCTCTCGTCGGCCTTTACTCGGTCCGTCCACTCACTGACAACCTGCCCCCTCCCTCGACAGGCGCTCAAGGAGGCCTACAACACGCGCATCGGCCGCTGGGCCGACTTCCGCTCGCACCTCGTCATGCGCGCCAGGACCCAGTTCAAGGTCCACCTGTCGAACCGTGGCTTTGACGGCAACCTCAAGTTCAGCCACGAGGACACGGCGCTCACCATCAGCATCCGCACCGAGGAGGAGGGCCAGGACGGCAAGAAGGCCAAGCGCAAGGACACCAAGAGCCTGTCGGGCGGCGAGAAGTCGTTCTCGACCATCTGCCTCCTCCTCACCCTGTGGGAGAGCGTCGGCTGCCCTGTGCGCTGCCTCGACGAGTTTGTGCGTCCACTCTTTCACTCTGTCTCTCGTCCGTCGCGGGCGCACGAGCCTGACCCGTCCTCGTCCCCCTCGCCGCCTGCAGGACGTCTTCATGGACGCCGTCAACCGCCGCATCGCCATGAAGATGATGATCGACACGGCCAAGACGGCCAACCGGACGCAGTTCATCCTCATCACGCCGCAAGAGATGAGCGTACGTCTCCTCTCTCTTTCCCTTGTCGAGCCGTCGTCGGCGAGCCGGATCTGACCTCCTCGTCAACGCCCGCAGAGCATCAAGTGGGGCGACGAGGTCAAGGTGATCAAGCTCGAGGACCCCAAGCGCTCGCAGGGTGCGTCCCCTCATTCTCCCTCGTCGTCGCCGGCCTTTCGTGAACCTGACCTCGGCCCCCGAACCTGCGCAGGTGCCCTCGCTCGCGGTCGTTGAGCTCTCTCCCCTCCCTCTCCTCTCCCTTCTTCGCTTGTCGCACGACGACCATGTTGTCCTCGGTTCTGTGCCCTCTGTACGCTATGCAACCCGAGCAGTGCCAGCTTTCCTCTCCTTCGAACGCGGTCGGGTCCGGGAGGAGGCGCGAGAGGCTCGAGCAGCGGCCGCTCAAGTGCTTCGAGCGCGCACATGAAGATGGAGAGCACGGGCCCGTCTCGACTGCAGAAGAGCGTGCGGCCGAGGGAGGGGCGACTGAAATCGAGAGGAAGCGAGAGCGGAGAGTCGCTCGGCGGCGGGCAAGGGGCGCGGCGCACGACGCGGGCTCTGGACCGCTCGAGAGCTTCGCTGCGCACCGGCAGAGTCAAGTGCTGCCTCGCTCGAGTGCGCTCCTGCCCACGCCTGCACCACCACCGCCCCTCGTCCATCCTCCGCCTCACCACCCGCGCCAGCGCGCCGCCGCCGACGACGACGCCGACCCGCCTTCGCCCAGCTCGCGCGCCCACTCGAGCCTGCCAGGTCCAGCCTGCCTAGTCACCGCAGCCTGCCCAGCCAGCTCGTGAGTCGCCTCGAGCCGTTCGCTCTCCCCCCACCGCGGGTTCCGTCGCGCTGACCGCGTTCCTCCCCCCCTCCTCCCTCGCCTCCACCTTGCCGCCCCTCGTACCTCTCCCTGCAGCGCGACTACTTCGACTAGCTCGCCAACAGCTCGTTCGACCTTGCGACACCGCGCCTTGACCCTCGGACCCCTCTTCATGTCGTCCCTCTCGCGGCTCCTCGACGGGCCCACCGGCGCCAACGGCGGCCTCCTCACGTACTAAGCTCTCATGTTTGAACAATAAAATTAATATAAATCAGCAACTTAAATAGCCTCTAAGGTTTTAAGTTTTATAAGAAAAAAAAGAATATATAAGGCTTTTAAAGCTTTTAAGGTTTCACCCCTCTCTCGCTCTCGCCCGCGCACTCAAGCTAACCCTCGTCCTCACACAGTCATCCTTGCGCCAGTCGACACGGCCCCGTCGCTACAACGACGAGGTGTACGACGACGACGAGTACGGCTCGCCGTCGCGCGGTCGAGGGTCGGTCGGCATCGGCGCCAACGGCGGCGGCGACGACGAGTACCCGTCGGACGAGGAGGGCGACGGCCTCCTCCGCGCGACGGCCCACATCTGGCGCGAGCCGCTCCAGGCCTACATTACCGACCTGCACGCGCGCCGCCGCCAAGTCGAGCAAGACGTCGAGGACGCCGAGGCGTCGCGCAAGTTCATCGTCGCCGCTCGCGCCGTCGACATGACCGCGCAGCGCATCCCGGCCATGCGCGCCCGCCGCGAGATCCGCGCCGTCGAGATCAAGCACGAGAACGAGGTGCGCGCCCGCGAGGAGGCGCTCGCCCAGCAGCGCGCCGCGCAGGAGGACGAGAAGCGCCAGCGCAAGGAGGTCGACAAGGAGGAGCGCCTGCGCAAGCAGCGCGACGCGGCCCGCAAGAAGCGCGAGGAGGACCGCCTCAAGCGCGAGCACGACAACGAGCAGCGCCGCCTGCGCGCCGAGGAGGCCCGCATCGCCAAGCTCGCCGAGGCCGAGCGCAAAGCGGCCCTCACGCCCGAGCAGCGCGAGGCCGAGGACCGCGCTCTCGCCGAAAAGCTCGCTCGCGAGCGCGAGGAGGCGGCGCAGCGCGTGCGGGCGGCCGAGGAGGAGCTGCTCGCGACGGGCCGCGGCGCGCGCAAGCGTCGCCGGCCGCTCGACGGCACGGGCGACCCGGAGGAGGACGCGGCGCTCGCGCTCTCGTCCATGTACGCCGAGTACGACGAGCTCGACGACGACGACGACGCCGGCGACCTGTTTGACGCGCCGGGCTCCAAGGGCCGCAAAGGCAAGGGCAGCTCGCGCCGCGGCTCGTCGTTTGCGCCCGAGCCGTTCGTCCTCCCGCCGGGCGCCTACACCGGCCCGGACGGGCAGTACTACGACGCTGCCGGCCAGCCTCTCGTCGTGCCGCAGCCTGGTGCGTCGCGGCACGGCTCGCCGCACGAGGACGGCGACTTTCTCGCCGAGGACCAAGGCGGCGACATGGTCAAGCAGAAGAAGCCGATCGACGAGCTCGAGCGCAAGGTGTGGATGCAGATCGCGCGCAAGGACATCCCCAAGGTCCGCCCCGGCTCTCTCTCCTTGCTCCCTCCCTCCCTCCCTCCCTCGACCTTGCGAGTCTGACGCTCCTCCTTCGCCGACACGCAGGTCGTCAAGGTCGCGCAGCAGTCGACGACGTCGCGCCTGTTCTTCGCCAAGCGCCTGTCGTCCATCGTCGCCCGCGAGGCCAAGCGTGCCTCAACCCGCACCAAGCCGACCAAGGACGTCCAGACGCGCGGCAAGCGCGTCATGCGCGAGCTCATGATGTTCATGAAGGGCAACGAGAAGCGCGAGCGCGAGGCGCGCAAGAAGGCCGAGAAGGAGGCGCTCGACAAGGCGCGCAAGGAGGAGGAGGTCCGCGAGGCCAAGCGCCAGGCGCGCAAGCTCAACTTCCTCATCACCCAGACCGAGCTCTACTCGCACTTTGTCGGCAGCAAGATCAAGAGTGCGTCGCCGCCTCCCCCTCGCTCCTTCTCTCGAGCCCTCGACTGACTTGCCGGCCCTCCTTGCAGCGAGCGAGGCCGAGGACTCTGCCGACACGGCCGCCGAGGCTAAGCCGGCCGAGCCTGTGCAGCCGAGCGCGTCGCTCGCGGCGGCGATGGCGGCCAAGGACGTCCAGGACGGCGAGCTGCGCGCACTCGACTTTGACGAGGGTCCGTCCCCTCTTCCTGCCCCTCCCTCGTCGCCTTCCTCGTCCCTGCGACTGACTCGCACCTACTCCTGCGCACGCAGACGACGAGGAGAATGCGGCCATCCACGCTCGCCGCAACGCCCAGGCCGCCGTCGACAAGGCTCGTCTCGCCGCCTCGGCGTTCGACGCGGCGGCCAAGCAGCAGAACGGCACCGCGCTCGACGGCAGCAGTGCCCCCCAGTCGAACGCGCCGCTCGACTTTGACGGTGACGACCTCAACTTCCAGAACCCGGACACCGAGAGCCTCGTCGTCAAGCAGCCCAAGATGCTCGCGTGCACGCTCAAGGAGTACCAGCTCAAGGGCCTCAACTGGCTCGCCAACCTGTACGAGCAGGGCATCAACGGCATCCTCGCCGACGAGATGGGTCTCGGCAAGACGGTCCAGAGCATCTCGCTCATGGCCTACCTCGCCGAGGTGCACAACATTTGGGGCCCGTTCCTCGTCATCTCGCCTGCGTCGACGCTCCACAATTGGCAGCAGGAGATCACGCGGTTCGTCCCGGGCCTCAAGGCGCTCCCGTACTGGGGCACGACCAAGGACCGCGCCGTCCTGCGCAAGTTCTGGAACCGCAAGTCGATCGTGTACGACAAGGACGCGCCGTTCCACGTCGTCGTCACGTCGTACCAGCTCGCCGTCGCCGACGAGAAGTACTTCAACCAGGTCAAGTGGCAGTACATGGTGCTCGACGAGGCGCAGGCCATCAAGTCGTCGTCGTCGACCCGGTGGAAGACGCTCCTCGGCTTCCGGTGCCGCAACCGCCTCCTCCTCACGGGCACGCCGATCCAGAACTCGATGCACGAGCTGTGGGCGCTCCTCCACTTCATCATGCCGTCCCTGTTCGACAACCACGACGAATTCTCCGAGTGGTTCTCCAAGGACGTCGAGAACAGCGTCGGCGAGAAGGGCGCCATGAACGAGCACCAGCTCCGTCGCCTGCACATGATCCTCAAGCCCTTCATGCTCCGCCGCATCAAGAAGAACGTCCAGAACGAGCTCGGCGACAAGGTGCGTCCCCAACCCCTCTTCCCTCCCCGAGGACGTCTTTCACCGGCCCACTCACTGACACCTTGCCCCTCCCTACCTCCTGCAGATCGAGATCGACCTGTACTGCGACCTGACGCCGCGCCAGAAGGCCATGTACCGCACGCTCAAGGAGAACATCTCGATCACGGACCTCGTCGCCCGCGCGTCGTCGCTCAGCGACGACGACAGCGTCAAGCGCCTCATGAACCTCATCATGCAGTTCCGCAAAGTGTGCAACCACCCCGAGTTGTTCGAGCGCGCCGACGTGACGGCCCCGTTCGCGTTCGCCACGTTCAACCAGACGGCGAGCATCATGCGCGACCCCGACCTCCTCGACGTCCCGTACGCGACGCACAGCAAGATCGAGTACGTCATCCCCAAGACCCTGTACCGCGACGGCGGCATGCTCCACGTGCCCGGGCCCGACTCGCGCGCCGGCTTCGACAGCTTCCACCTCGACCGCCTCCTCAACATCTGGCGCCCCGACTACGTTCAGCACTCGCTCAAGAACAACAGTACGTCTCCTTCTCTCTCTCTCTCTCCTCTCGCCGAGTCCTGACGCCCTTGTCATCGTGCCTGAGCAGACTCGACGTTCGGCTTCGCCCGCAGCCTCGGCTACTCGCCGGGCGAGCTGTACAAGGCCGTCTCGTCGCACGGCATGCTCCGCCTCGGCGATGCCGTACAGCGACAAGCGCGCGCCAAGGCCGTCCACTTCTACGAGTCGTGCGTCCCCGCTCCCCTGTCCCTCGATTAGGCCTTCCCAACCCGACCTTACCGGCGAGCGACGTCCCGCAGGTCCCTCGACGACGACGACGACACGCCCGCCTTCCACCTCCACATCCCGTCCAAGCCCTCGTCCCTCCCTCGCAGCTCGGCGTGGCAGAGCCTCGGCTTGACGCCGCTCGCCGAGGTCGAGCAGAACTACCGCCGCACCTCGCCCCTCACCCGTCCCGACGCCCGGTTCTACTACGACGCCGCCGTCGCCCCGCCGATCACGGCCGTCTGCAACGACCGCTCGTACGCCTACGACGACGCGCACGAGCGCTTCGACGAGCTCTTCCACGGCGCCGTGTTCGGCCTGCCGGCGTCGTCGCACGAGTCGCCGGCCGCCATCGCCCAGTTCGAGTCGGCGCTCCCCGGCTTCTCGCCGCAGGGCATCCTCGGCGCGTCGGACGAGACGCAGCTGCCGCTGCCGTCAATGCAGGTGCCACAGCTGCAGAAGCTCATCCTCGACTCGGGCAAGCTCGCCAAACTCGACGCGCTTCTGACGCAGCTCAAGACCGAGGGCCACCGGTGCCTCATCTACTTCCAGATGACCCGCATGATGGACCTGTTCGAGGAGTACCTCGCGTTCCGCCAGCACAAGTATCTGCGCCTCGACGGCGGCTCGACCATCTCGGAGCGTCGCGACATGGTCACCGACTGGCAGACCAAGTGCGTCTCTCTCTCTCCTCCTCTCCTCTCTACAAGTCTCTCAAACCGAGCGACTCAGATACTGACACGCTCCACCGTTGCAGGCCCGAGCTCTTCCTGTTCCTCCTGTCGACGCGCGCCGGTGGCCTCGGCATCAACCTGACGGCCGCCGACACGGTCATCTTCTACGACTCGGACTGGAACCCGTCGAACGACGCGCAGGCGATGGACCGAGCGCATCGCCTCGGCCAGACCAAGCAGGTCACCGTGTACCGCCTCATCACCAAGGACACGGTCGACGAGCGCATCGTCCAGCTCGCCCGCAACAAGAAGCTCGTCCAGGACGCCGTCGTGGGCTCGTCGGGCGCTGCGCCGCCGAGCGAGGGCCCGGCCAAGGCCAACGAGGTCGTGTCGCTCCTCCTCAACGACGACGAGCTCGAGGACAGCCTGCGCCAGGCCGAGGAGCGCCGCAAGCGCCTCGACGAGAAGAAGAGCGCCGAGGGCAAGAAGGGTGCGCAGCAGCGCGAGCACAACCGGCGCGAGAAGGCGGCGGCGGCGGCGGAGAAGCCCGGGCTCGACCTCGACAACGGCGACGACGAAGGTGCGCTCCTCTTCCTCCCCCCTCTCTCTCTCTCGGCCCCACACTGACTCTCTCTCTCTCTTTTCCACAGACGGCATGTCCTTCTTCGCCAACGTCAACCAGACGGCTGCGGCAGCCGACGACGACGAGCAGCCGGCCGCGAGCGGGTCCGAGACGCCGCAGCCGCAGGCGCCGGCCAAGCCCAAGGCCGCACCGCGCAAGCGCAAGGCCGAGCTCGACGAGAACGGCGAGCCCAAGCAGAAGCGCAAGCGCCGCACCAAGGCCGAGATGTGCGTCCTCGTCGTTCCTGTTCTCCTCGTTCTCGAGAATGCCCGACTCACCTTGCGCCGCATCCACAGGGAGCTGTTCCGCGCCGAGGAGGCCGAGCGCAAGCGCAAGCGCGAGGAGGAGCGCCTCGCCAAGAAGGCAGAGAAGGCCAAGGGCGGCGGCAGGCGCTGAGGAGGACGAGAAGGAGGAGGGGAGGTGGTCCCGCTTTGTCGCACTCGCGCTCTCGTTCATGTTGTTCTCCCTTCGTCTCTCTCTCTCTCTCTCCTCGCACTTCTCCTCGTTCTCTCTTTGTCCCTCTGTAGTCGTCGAGTCGGTCACGAATGTCCACAGCGTTGCATCGTCCTCGCACGTCCCTCTCCTCGTCCGGGCCCGTCACGACTCGTCCCAGTACGCCCGCCTCGGGTCGTACGGCACGTGGTCGATGTCGACAACGTCGCCGTTGCTGAGCCCGATCTCCTCGAGGTCGCGGAAACCCGTGAGCAGGCCGTCAAACCCCCACACGATCGTCCTCGGCGGCGCCGCTGCCGCCGTCCCTGCCGCCCGCCCGTCGTCGTCGTCCCGCAGCTCGAGCTCGTCGCACGCGTACCGCGAGTAGAATGTGAGGCGCAGGTCCTCGACGTCCCACCCGGTCGCCCTCGCCGCCGCCTCGAACACGAACTGGAGCGTGAGGCCGAGCGTGACGTCGCCGCGCGCGCCCTGCTTGTACAGGAACGTCGGCTAGAGCGGGCCCTCGTTGCGCGGTGCGACGGGCCAGTTGGGCAGGCGCAGGTAGTAGTGGAACCGGCTGCTGCGCCGAGTGTCGGGCACGGCGACTCGGGGACGGGCGAGCGCCTCGCGACGCTTGTCGGCGTGGCTCTTGCGAGGTGCGGCGCGCCCGGACGGGCCCGAGTTGCGGCCCGACGACGAGTCGGTGATCGAGAGGCCGGGCGAGGGGGCCTGCATGGCGGCGGCGGCCGCGGCGGCGACGTAGGGCGAGCGGATGCGAGGTAAGGTGGCGGTCCGGGCCTGCGACGGGGCGCGGTGGAGGCGCTTGCGCGGCGTACCCTCGAGCGACGACGGCGAGCGCTTGAGCGTCTTGAGCGCCTCGACGGGGGACGAGACGGCCTCCTCGCGCGGCGAGGGCGAGCGCGCGCGCTGCTTGCCCTTGGACCTCGACGACGGGCCGGGCTCGCCGCGAGGCAGAGGCGACGGCGGCACGAATGCGACGTTGCCGCCGTCGTCGAGGCCGATGCGGAACGACGCGTGGCTCTCGATGCTGTGCTCGAGGCTGCTGCGGCTCAGAGGCTGGCTCGGCGGGGTCGAGCTGCGCGAGCGAGGTCGGGCCGAGGGGATGGGGGACGAGCTGCGGGTCTCGGCGCACTCGGCTTGCTCGATGAGGTGTCGGAGCTTGGCTTTCGCTGAGCGGTTGGACGGGGAAGGGGTGGGCGAGCGGTCGCGGTCGGAGCCGTGTGCGGTTCCCGGCGTCGAGTGGACGAGGCCGGACGGCCCGGCGACAGGGCCGGGTGCAGGCGAGACGGCCTCGACGATTGACGTAGTAGGCTGCAGGAAGGCCGTCAAAGTCAGTTTGCGAGGCCAACTGAGAGCGGCTCGGAAAGTGGAGGAAGTCGCGACGGACCGTACGAGCCGACGCGTCGAGAGCTTGTGCGGGTGCGGGCGCCACCTCGGCGTCGCTGTCGCTCACCTCCGAGTCCGAGTCGTCCGTGTTGCTCGGCGTGGCGGGCGCGACGCCGTTGCTCGTCGCCTGGGACGCCGTCGGCGGGACGAGGTTGCCCTCGGCCGGCTCGCTGCCGATGCGCTCGGCCGGGCTCTGCTTGCGGTCGCCCTCGGCCTTGACGTTGAGCGGGATGACGACCAGCTCGAGGTCGATGGTCGGGTCGACGAGAGACCAGGCGGACGGGGCGATGAAGATGGGGCGAGGGCGGCCGGGTCGGCGCTGCGAGAACGAGCAGGTGTACAGGTCGTCCTTGAGGCGCCAGTGGGCTCGAACTTCAGCGAGGGCGGCCTGCGAGGGTGCGGCAGGGGGGAGGGGAGAGGTTAGCTCGCCGTGTGCGGTTGAGTGACCCGACCTCGAGCGAGACGAGGGAGAGGGTGCGCACCTCGTACGACTGGTCGGCCCTGATCATGACGCCGTTGCGGGCCAAGTGGGCGCTCGCGGTGCCGTCCACGGCGTCAGGGTTGGCGAGTTCGACAAAGAGGACGCTCATGGACGGACGTGGGCGGGGCCTCGCCGAGTGCGGGCGCAGGGCGGGTGTTGTGTGGGCTGTGCGGGACCTTGTGCGAGCTGTGCACTGGGGGCGGGCACTCTCGGCGCAGCCAGAGCGCGGGTGGTGCAGCAGTGAGAGGGGGGAGCCAGGCGATGTCAACCGAGTCGCCCGCAGAGTCTCGCATAATCCCCAGCCTTGTGACGACGAGCCTGCTGAGCCTGTAGCCTAGCGAGCGGTCTCTCGTTATGCTTGGAATGCAGCTTCGTGAAGCGAGCGAGCGAGGAAAAGGTGCGACACGCTCAGGCCGCGGACCGGCCGCCGGGCTGGACAAACGCCTCTCTCTCCTCCTCTCGCTCTCGCTCTTCTTCCATCGCGCTCTCGAGCAGCCCACCAGCCGCGCTTCAACTCGCCGCAGCCGCACACCCCAGCCTCGCCCCGGCCCTCGCCCGCTCGCCATGTCGACCAACCTCCCCGACGAGCTCCTCGCCCTCATCTTCGACCACCTCGCCGCCGACCGTGCGCACCTCGACACCCGCCGCGGCACAAAGCAGGGTCTCGCGAGCGCGTGCCTCGCCTCGCGGCGCCTGCGCCGCCTCGCCCAGCCGGTCCTGTGGCGCCAGGTCGAGGTCCGCTCGGCGGCCCAGGTCGACCGCGTGCGCAGGTGCGCAGCCCTGTCGGGCCTCGGCGGGTGCGTCGTCGTGTACAGGGTCCTTCCGGCTCGACAGAGCGCGCCGCCGTTCCCTGTCAACAAGGCGCTTGCGGCGTCGGCCTTCCTCAAGAACGTCGAGGAGGTGGACCTCAGCTCGAGCCAAGACGAGACGCTCCACCTCGGCGGTCTCGTGCCCTTCTCCAGTGCGTCCCTCTCCTTCGCCTCTGTCACGCTCTGCGGGAAACCTGACCCTGGCTTGCCTGCGCACAGAGCTGCGCCGACTGTCGCTTGCCCTCTTCAAGGTCTCGCGCTCGCCCTCGGTCGCATTCGCCACGCTCGAGCACCTCCGCCTCGAGGACTGCGGTCTTCCCGGGTCGCCTGCCCAGCCGTGGCTGCGGCACGCCAACTTTCCCGCGCTCCGCGTCGTCGACCTGGTCGACTTTACGGGCGATCGCCTTTCGATTCGGCCCACGCTCGACGACCTGTTCGGCGGCGACATGCTCGGGCAACTCGACTACGTCTACGTGCAGGCGGCGCCTGTCGGCCCGGCCGCCGACACGGACCTGACGCGCCGCGCCCCGCCCATTTTCCTCCACCTCTGGGACGCCGAGTCCCACGTCGTTCCTGCCTTCGCCCTCTTCCTCGTCCTCGACCTGTCGTCCCCCAAGAAGATGCTCGACGCAGCTGCAGCATGGCTCGCGAGGCCGACCGCCGCCTTCGCCGTCCCGACGCCGACCCTCGTCCTCTCGACTCAAGTCCGCGCCTTCGCGAGCACGCGCCCCGCCGTCGCCAGCGCCCTCGCACGCTTCGAGACGCAGTGCGTCGCCAGGGGCGTCCGCCTCGTCTGGGTCGAGGAGCGTGGCTCGCTCGCCGAGCTGTTCGTGCTCCCCGAGGTGCAGCAGCTCTCGCGCGAGCTCAGGGCGGCGGCGCGCGTGCAGGCGTAGCGCAAGGTGCGAGGGTGCGAGGGCGAGGGTACACAGACTGGAGCAGCATGGAGCGAGGCGCGCAATGCAGCAGTGATCGTCGTCGTCGTCGTTCTGTTTTCGCGCCGAAAGCGAGAGAGGTCCGAGCCCTCGTGCGAGACGGCGCCGCGCTCTCAGTGCGTGGCCTGTGAGAGCTGCGTCGGGCTCGCCCTCGTGTGACTGTGAGAGTGACCGGGCAGGCAGAGAGCTCGAGAGGGGAGACCTCGCCCGCAAGTTTCTCGCGACTCGAAGCCAACTACGTCGAGCGGGAGGAGGTCCGAGAACTTGGTGGTGGACGGTCACTGTACTGTTTCTCGTTGCGCCCGTCGTCGTCTACAGGCTCGAGAGCGACGTTCAGTACAGGTCTCGAGCCGGGACAAGAGGTCTGAGCGCGAGCGAGTCGACCGACAGCTGAACCAGGAGGTCGACTCGAGCGTGCGCTTTCACCTCAGCAGCGTCTTGGAACAGCTTGGCAGCGTCGGGCTCGCCCTCGTGTGACTGTGAGAGAGACTGGGCAGGAACAGAGCTCGAGAGGGGAGACCTCGCCCGCAAGTTTCTCGCGACTCGAAGCCAACTACGTCGAGCGGGAGGAGGTCCGAGAACTTGGTGGTGGACGGTCACTGTACTGTTTCTCGTTGCGCCCGTCGTCGTCTACAGGCTCGAGAGCGACGTTCAGTACAGGTCTCGAGCCGGGACAAGAGGTCTGAGCGCGAGCGAGTCGACCGACAGCTGAACCAGGAGGTCGACTCGAGCGTGCGCTTTCACCTCAGCAGCGTCTTGGAACAGCTTGGCAGCGTCGGGCTCGCCCTCGTGTGACTGTGAGAGAGACTGGGCAGGAACAGAGCTCGAGAGGGGAGACCTCGCCCGCAAGTTTCTCGCGACTCGAAGCCAACTACGTCGAGCGGGAGGAGGTCCGAGAACTTGGTGGTGGACGGTCACTGTACTGTTTCTCGTTGCGCCCGTCGTCGTCTACAGGCTCGAGAGCGACGTTCAGTACAGGTCTCGAGCCGGGACAAGAGGTCTGAGCGCCGAGCGAGTCGACCGATAGCTGAACCAGCAGGTCAACTCGAGCGTGCGCTTTCACCTCAGCAGCGTCTTGGAACAGCTTGGCAGTTCGTCGGGCTCATATTCCAGCGATGGAACGCGACCCGAAAGTCCCTGGATCGAGACCAGGAGACGCTAGTACCGTTTTGCCGCCCTCGACAAGTAGGGGAAGAGGGGGAGGAGGAGGAAAAGGGGAGGGCTGCGCCCTCCCAGGCCCTCGCCGGCGACCGCTGCTGTCGCAGCGTGTACCTTGGCAGCGGACCTTCCGGCCCGCCGGTCTCCAGGCATCGCAGAGGGGCTCGGGAGACAGAAAAGGAGGAGGAGGTCCAACTTGAGAAGGTCAACTTTGACCGTCGATTTCGCGTTCTCAGTCGCCCGGGGCGACGATGCACTGCGTCGCACGCGTCGAATCGCACCTCCCCTGCCCTCCACCCACGTCGAGACCGTCGAAAGCGTCATATTACGCAAAAGAATGGCCGACCAGACGGGGTCAAGTGCAGGGCGGCGCCAAGAAGCGGACAATCGTTCTCGAGGCCGGTTTCACGGCCCTGTCGGACGCTTTCCTCGACAGTTCGTGCGCTTGAAAAGCAGGAAAGCGCGAGACGACTGTGGAAGCCGACCGAGCGCACCCTTCTCAATCCACGAGGCGCCAGGCAACAAGCGGTTTCGACGCCTCGTTCGCGTCAAATAGCCTGTCTGCCATCGGGAGTGACTGCGTGAAGCTCGTCCGCGAAGGCGTCGAATAACGCGAAGCAAGAGAGGGCACAAAAAGCCCGATTTAGAGAGGAGAAGTCGAGGAGAAGGTCGAGGCTCGCGCTTCCCGCAGCAGTCGCTGCGCTCTCTCGCGCTCAGGGATCACTCTGAGAAGCTCGCAAAGAGACGCCGCGAGAAAAGGAGCCAGCACGAAGAGCTCTCGCGGCGTCGCCGGCGTCGGACTCAAGGGACGACGCGACGAGGCCAACTCTCGCTGCCCACGACAAAATAGCTTGGGAAAGGCGCTCGATTGCACCGCAGACACCTCCTCGTCCGACCTGGCGCAAGCAGAAGGCCGTAACCCAGCTAGATCAAGAGATAGCGTTTGAGCGAGGGTGCGCAGGATCCCCCTGTTTTTAGTAGGTGGCCGGGCGCACGGGCGCTCCGCAGGGGTGCGCGCCGTGCGAGCGACTCACCAAAGTGCGCCCGCTGCCCTCAGGGGCACGTGAGGGCGGGCGCAGCCTCGTAAAGACCCGTCCGCGACGGCCCGACTCGCTGAGCCGCCGGGACGAGTGACGGTCGCGAGACGGGCGTGTGGATCTCTCGCGGCTCGCTCGAGTCATGCAGAGGGCATGTCGGCGTAGGCAGGGGCCAGCGCAAGAGCAAACAAGAGTGCGAGGCGGGAGCTTTCGAGGCCGAGAAGGGGGAGGTGCCATCGAGGGCGCGACTAACCTGCGGCGCGATGTCGAGAGGTTCAGTGCGCGGCTCGGCGAGGAGCACAGACCCACATGAAGGTCCTGCAAGGAAGAGAGAGAGTGCGCGGGACGTACAAAGGACAAGACGAGCCGCCTCGAGGTCGAGAGCCAGCCTCGCGCCGCCCAGAGGACCGCCCTGCTCGCCTTGCGCAGCCGTTCCGCCTGTAAGGTGACCGAGTCAGTCCATCGAGACCCGTGCACCGCGTCGCGAGGTGGCAGAGGGGGCTAGGGGAGAGGGAGAGGGGTGCCAAACACGGGGAGGCGGGGAGGAGGTGGACTCACACGTCGTACGAGGCCCGTAGAGCGCTGTCGCCTCATTCAAGCGCTCCTTGACCCTCGTCGAGCCCATGATGAGGTCGCACGCCGGTCCACAGGTCGTTGCCGCCATTCGACAGAGGTCGCCCACCGCGGGTCGCTGATGAAGACGCGACGCGCTCTGCGCCGGCGGCGAGCGCTCGCGGCGGTGCGGCCATGGCGCAGCCGTGTTGCCGAGAAGTGCAGGTACTCGGGCGAGGTGCGAGTCGCCGACCCAGCCGCGAGGGTTCGAGTGGTGGGAGCGAGTCCAGCTGTCGAGCTCCGAGTCGCACAGCATCCGGCTCGTGCTCGTCTGCTCTCGCTCAATACACGCACGACAGCTCGACAAGAGGCACAGCGCACACGCATTGCAGCTCCCGCAAGCACAACAAGCTAACCAGCTCACTCGTCGCCGCCCTCGCTCGCGACCTCGACCTCGTCCCCCTCGTCGTCTTCCTCCTTCGGGCTCGCGTCGCCCGACTCGCGCCGGCGCACCCACTCGTCGTACTCCTTGAGGTTGCGCGCCGGCTCGCGGCGGCCCGTCTCGGGGTTGAGCGTCGCGAGCTGGGCGCGGCGGACTGTCGGCGGGCGTGCGAGGGCGAGGGACGGGAAAGGGAGGGTGAGCACGAGGTCGCACGAGGGGGGCAAGAATGTGCGCGTTGCAGAAAGGAAGAGAGGGAGGGGGACGCACGCAGGAGGTCGTAGGGGAACACGCCCTCGTCGTCTGACTCGTAGTCCGGGTCGCGACCCTGGAGCATGTCGCTCTTGACCGTGAGCCAGGTCCCTGCAGTACCGCGTGCGTCAGTCTGTGCAGCCGAGGACGAGACGACGAGAAAACGGGAGACGCACCGAGCAAGCCCGACGCCTTGGGCACGTCGTGCGACCAGTCGTCCGTCTCCCACCCGGGCGGGAGGATCTCTGCGTGCGTGCGCTCTCCCGAGCTCAGTCAGTCGGTGATCGTCGTACAGAGAAGATGGGAAACAAGAGAGGGACGGACCGGGCGTCGTGGTCGCGAGCCAGGCGAGGTGCTGGGTGCGAGTCGAGGACGCTTTGGCCTTGGACGCCGACTTGGCGCGCTTGGCCGGTTGGTCGCCTGCAGGTGCACGCAGCTGTCAGGCATGTGTACACGCCCCGACACGAGAAACGTCGAGAGAGAGCGAGGGACGCACCGGTCTGCAGCCCCTGCTCCTTCTCGGCCTGCTGCTTGAGCTTCTCCCTCGCCTCCTCCTCCTTCTTCTGGATGGCCGGCACCGTCTTGACGACGTCGTCCCTGACGCTCTTCATCTCGCGCGCAAACTCGAGCTCGCTCTCGGTGTCGACGTTCTCGGGTGGCGCGCCGGGCGCCAGGTCGCGCACGAGCGAGATGGGCGGGTTGAGCGTGCGCGGCATCGACGAGGGCGCGTCAAAGTCGTCGAGGAACGACTTGTTCTCGAGGACGTGGTGCATGAGGGCGAGAAACGCGCGAGCGCGAGGCTGAGAGGGCATGCTGCGCGCGAGGGAACGGGGGTCAGTACGCGGCGGACGGCGAGGAAAGATGAGGAGGGGCGGATGCGGGACGCACTCGGACGGGAAGAAGACGTCCCACAGGTCGAAGCCGTCTGGGAAGTACTTCTCGCTGATCCACTGCAGGGGCGCGAGGGCGGTCAGAAGGAGGTTCTCGACGCCGACGCCGAACAGGGCAGGGAGAAGAGGACGTACGCCGGCCTCGTTGAAGACGAGAAAGATCGCCTCGATGATGGTCGTTGGCGGACCGCGCACGATCTGGCCCGAAGCCTGCGGGCGGCCGAGGGAGGGTCAGTCAGGGACTAGCTCGAACTCGAGGACCCGACAGAGCGAGATGGACGACGCACCGACTTTCTCGCGACGTCCTTGAGCGTCGTCGGCGGGTTGCTGACCTCGTGGTCGAGCATGGCGCCCTTGAGCATGCCCTTGATGCGCGGCGCGTCTGACATCTCCTTCTGCGACGTCTCCTCGGTCTGGAGCGACGGGACCGGGTGGTACGTCCTCAGGGCGGTGCGCATGTTGGGGTAGACTGTGACGGCGCGCACGGGGGTCAGTACCTCGTCCGTGCAAGAGGATGCGAGAGGGTGATGGGACTCACAGGCGAGGGTCGTGTTGACGCGGCCGACGTTGACGAGGAGGCAGAGCTTGCAGTAGTTTATGGCGAATTGCGGGTTCGAGATGAGCTTCTGGCGGATGTTCTGGGTCGTCTTTGTCGACGAGAGGATGGCCTCGAGGTACAGCTGGTCAAAGTTGAGGTAGATCGGGTCCGAGTTCTGGTCGACCGGGGCCGTGAACCGGAACGAGCGGTCGGCGAAGATGTCGTCGAGGACCTGCCACTGAATGTCGGACCGTAACAGCGGCTCCGAGTCGAGCTTCTTGATGGCCTGCAAGGAGGGTTGCGCGAGGCTGGGTGAGCCAGGTTCGGGGTCATGCAGGGAGGAGGGAGGGCAAGGGGACGGACCCAGTTGGTCTCCTTGTACGAGCGCTTTGACCTCGGGTGCGACAGGGCGTGAAGCTCCTCGGCGGTGCGCTTGGGCGGCATGGTGCGGGGTGTGGGCGCCTCGAGGCGGGTGCGAGGTCTGGGAGCGGGGTGGTCGAGGGGAGCGAGGTGAGGTGGGCCGCGCGGGCTAGATTGAGTGGCCGAGGCTGACGAGTGCGAGTATGAGGGGCGACTAGAAGTGTCGGTGGGCCGGCTGGAGCGGTGTCGAGGGAGCACGAGTGGGTCCGAGTGGGGAGCGGCAGATGAGGACGAGGGCGCGAACAGGCGACTTGGCGCGGGTCGAACGCGGCTGTGGTGTGCTTGATCGAGGTACCGGAGTGCAGTAAGGACGCGCACGAAGCACCCTGAGGGCGAGGCGAGGGTGCGAGGGCGAGCTGGCTCAGCTCGTCTGCTCTTGACCTCCTCAACACTCTGCTCGCTCTGCGCCACGCACCTCGACAGTGCCAGCGAGACCACTCTAGCTCGACAGAGCACCCGCGACTACCCCCCAACCACCCCGGCCTCGCCCCTTTCCTCTCGACCTCGCCCCTCCCTTTCATCGCCTGCCGTCCTCGCACCCTCTTTCCGCCCCGACGCGCGACCCGACCTACCAGCCGCCAAGGGCAAATCCCACCCCGGCGTCCCGGCGTCCCCTCGTCCGACCGGCGACCTCGTCCAAGCGGGCAACGAGCCCCATTTCCTCGCCCTCGCTCGACCTCCCCCGGGCTCACCTCGCGCGCACGACCACGGCGCTGCCCACCTCGAGGCCGTCCCTTCACCTGTCGAGGCGCCTCTGAGCGACCTTATCCCCGTTCCCCCGACCCGGCGTGGGCAGCAGCAGCAGCAGTAGCGGTCAGGCGACGTACGACCGAGCGCACCTTTCTCGACCCTCCCCCCTCTTGGCGCGACCAACCGCCACATCGCCTCAAACTCGTTCCCCGACGCACCTTCACCAAAGGAGCGCCCGACCATGCCCCCGAAGAAGTCGGCCGCCAAGAAGAAGAAGGCCGCGGGCGCCGCTCGCGGGTTCGCGACCACGTCGGTCCCCAAGCGCAAGGACCCCGAGGAGGACGAGGCCGCCGCCGCTGCCGCAGCTCAAGCGGGCGGCGCCGTGACGGTCGACGGCGACGCGGGCGCGGCGACGGCGGCCAACGGCGTCGAGGCGGGTTCGGCGGCGAATGGCGGCGGCGGCGGCGGCGGCGAGAACGGCGAGGCGGCGGGCGAGGAGGCGGCGACGGCGGCGCAGGGCAAGAAGGACGACGCATGGGACGACCCGGCCGAGGTCGAGCGCAAGGACCTGCAGGACATGGCCGAGCGCATCCGCGTCGGCTCGGACAAGGAGATCTCGCGAGTCGTCAAGGTGCGCCCTCGCTCCCTCCCTTCTGCCCTCTCTTCAGACTGTGAGGCTGACTCATCGCCTTGCGCAGGTCCTCGACTACGAGCGGCGCATCTCCAAGACGATGCCGGGATACCTGTGGCAAGAACAAGACCTCGTGCGCCCGCGTCCTCCTCTTTTCATTCCAGTTCGCCGCTCACTCTCCCTCTCGACCGCAGAAACGTCGCGTCCTCGAGCTCGCCCTGGCCGACGACAAGGAGGAGGGCCCGCAACCCGTCTACGAGCCCGAGGACAAGGTCGTCGCCAAGGTCGCCACGCTGTACGGCATCCTCGAGCAGCTCGGCCTCAAGACGGAGCGCGTCGAGCAGTGCATCCGCGAGGCCAAGACGCTCGAGCTCGACGACTGCCTCGACTGGCTGTTCCTCCACGCCGACATCGACGAGCTCGCGTGCGAGGGTCCGCTCGCGCCGCCCGAGCCCATCCCCGAGAGCGCCCCGCCGACGCCTCGTCCGGGCAACTCGCCCAAGGGCGGCAGCTCGGCGCGCCATGCCGCGACGGCCAAGTCGACGCCGGCGTCGCCCGCACCCGCCGCGTCGTCGGCCGCCGACGAGTCGTCCGAGGCCGTGTCGCTCCGGGCCCGCATCCTCGCGTACGGCGACGAGCTCGACCGCGCGCTTGAGTCGACGACGGCCGCGTCCGACGCCGGCAGCGGCGACGGCACCGACCTGCCCGACGCCATCGTCAAGTACGCCAAGCTCAAGGTCCAGCTGTCCGAGATCCAGCGCGCGCTCCAGGCCCACAAGCGCATCACCAAGGGCAAGGGCGACCGCAAGGGCGCGCAGCCGCTGTCCGAGGAGCAGGAGGTGTGGATGGAGGCCCAGAGCGAGCTCCTCAAGGACAAGATCAAGGGCATCGAGGGCGACTACACCTTCCGCAAGGTCGACGCCGGTGCGTCCCGCCTCTCTCGGCTCCTACTCTCTCGCCACCCTGTACGGTACTGACGACACTCACCGCCTCGCAGAGAAACTCTACCGCGAGGAGCGCACCAAGCTCGACGCCGCCCAGCTCTCGGCCCGCCTGAGCGGCACGACCCTCGAGAGCTCGTTCCCGGGCCTCCCGGCCGCCTCGTCCACTTCCACCACGACCTCCTCGACGGCGTCCGACGGTCTCGCCCCGAGCGCCGACATCGGCGCGTCCACGTCGTCGTCCTCGACCGCCGAGACGCCCGCCACGACCGCCAACGGCACGTCGACCTCGTCGCCGCCCTCGCCCGCCAAGGCGTCAACCGCCGGCGGCGACGACGGCAGCACCGAGGGCGACGGCGGCGACTTCTTCGGCAACCTGCTCGACGAGATGCCGTCCGAGGAGACGACCGAGTCGGGCACGACGGTGCCCGTGCGCAACATGGCGCTGCCCAAGCACTTTTCGGGCAAGACGCCCAAGGCGTCGCTCGAGGAGACGGTGCGCAAGCTCGACAAGCTCGCGACCGTCATCTTCTCGGTCCTGAGCCGCAGCCGCGCCGTCCGGGCCGGCGTCACGATCCGGTGGAGCGAGAACGGCGGCCGCACCCAGACGTTCTCCATGGACGACGTCGCGTGCTGGGACCAGCGCCAGGCGTACGACTATGTCGCGACCGTCGCCCTGTTCGCCGTCGCGTCGAGCGAGAAGGGGAGCGGCATGGCCGTCAACAAGGCGCTCCCGACCGTGTTCCGCGACCTGTGGGACGAGCTCGTCGCCAAGCGCAAGGCCGAGGACGAGGACGAGTACCGCGTCAAGCTCAAGCTGTACCGCTCGCTCGCCGCACCGAGGGTCCAGGAGGCCCCGAGCAAGGTGCGCCTGCCTCTTTCTCTTTCTCCCTCGTCCCTGTCCCTCTCTTTCCTCCCTCGTACCCTCCCTTCTCCCTCTCAACTCGCAGAGACCTGACGTCGTCGCCCCTGTGTAGGACATCCGCACCGTCAAGACCGAGAAGGCCGTCGTCGAGTCGAACGGCATCGCGTCGCGCAAGGAGATCACGCAGGCCGACGCCGAGCGCATCCAGATGGACATCTTTACCCGCCAAGCGTGGATCTCGTACCAGGACATGCTTGTACGTCTCGCTCTCGGCCCGTCGGCAACCTGAACGTGCACCCACTCACCCTTGTCGACCTTCCCAAACCGCAGCGAACTCGCGCCAGCTTGCCCATCGCAGCGTACCGCAGCAGGATCATGGACGCGATCGAGGACAACCAGTGCATCGTCCTGTGCGGCGAGACCGGCTGGTGCGTCTCCTTCTCCTCGTCGTCGTCGTCGCCATTTTCGGAACGACCGTACTGACCGTCTCGCCTGCCCGTCTCGCAGCGGCAAGTCGACCCAGGTCCCGTCCTTCATCCTCGAGCACGACATGCGCATGGGCCGCGACGTCAAGATCTTCTGCACCGAGCCTCGCCGCATCTCGGCCATTTCGCTCGCCCAGCGCGTCTCGCAAGAGCTCGGCGAGGCGCCCGGCGCCTGCGGCACGCGCAACTCGTACGTCGGGTACTCGATCCGCCTCGACTCGCAGGTCTCGGCGACGACGAGGATCTGCTACGCGACGACGGTGCGTCCCCTTCCTCCCCTCTTCTCGACCCCGATCCAGCCCTGCAGAGCGAACGACCTGACCTCGTCGCACTCGCGCACACAGGGCATCGTCCTGCGCATGCTCGAGGGTCGCGAGTCGCTCTCGGACGTGACGCACATCATCATCGACGAGGTCCACGAGCGCTCGATCGACTCGGACTTCCTCCTCATCGTCCTGCGCGAGATTCTCGAGGTCCGCAAGGACCTCAAGGTCATCCTCATGTCGGCGACGGTCGACGCCGAGAAGATCTCGGCCTACATGGGCAACTGCCCCGTCGTGCGCGTCCCCGGGCGCACGTTCCCCGTCACGGCGCACTACCTCGAGGACGTCGTCGAGCTCACGCGGTACCGCCTCGACCCCAACTCGGACAGCATGTACGTCGCCCGCAACAAGCGCACGTACGGCGGCAAGCGCAAGGGCGCGTACGACGACGTGCCGCCCGACGACGACGACGAGGACGACCTCCCGACGACCGCCAACGGCGCCGAGGCCCTGTCGGCGCCGCTCTCGAAGCAGAGCCGCATCACGCTCGACTGCATGGACCAGCACGCCATCAACTTCGACATCATCATGCTCCTCCTCGAAAACCTGTGCTTCTACAAGCCGGACCTCGTCCCCTTCTCGAGCGCCATCCTCGTCTTCATGCCGTCGCTCGAGTCGATCCGCCGCCTCACCGACATGCTCGAGGCGCACCACGCGTTCGGCTCGAGCCAGTTCGTCATCCTCCCCCTCCACTCGACCATCTCGAACGAGAACCAGTCGCTCGTCTTCAACGTCCCTCGCCCGGGCGTGCGCAAGATCGTCGTGTCGACCAACATCGCCGAGACCGGTGTCACGATCCCCGACATCACGGCCGTCATCGACACGGGCAAGCACCGCGAGATGCGCTTCGACGAGAAGCGCCAGATCAGCCGCCTCGTCGAGACGTTCGTCGCCCAGTCGAACGCGGCGCAGCGACGCGGACGCGCCGGCCGCGTTCGCGAGGGCGTCGCCTTCCACCTCTTCACCAAGCACCGTCACGACCACTACGTGCGTCCCGCCTTCTCTCTCTTCCTCTCGAGGCGCACAGGGGGACAGACCCAAAACTGACCTCGCGCTCGTCCCCTCGGCCCGCCCGCAGATGGCCGAGCACCCTCAGCCCGAGATGATGCGCCTGTCGCTGCAGGACCTCGCCCTGCGCATCAAGATCATGAAGATCGGCAGCACGAGCATCGAGGAGACGCTCCTGCGCGCGCTCGACCCGCCGACGCCGGCCAACATCCAGCGCGCCATCGGCGCCCTCATCGAGGTCAAGGCGCTCACGACCACCGAGGAGATCACGGCGCTCGGCCGGCACCTCGCCAAGCTCCCGATGGACGTCCACCTCGGCCTGTTCCTCATCATGTCGACCATCTTTGGCTGCCTCGACGCCGCCCTCACGATCACGGCCGCCCTCAACTCCAAGTCGCCGTGGGTCACGCCGTTCGGCCGCGAGAACGAGGCCGACACGGTCAAGCGCGGCTTCAAGGTCGAGAACAGCGACTTCCTCACGCTGTACAACGCCTACTGCTGTTGGCGCGAGGCGTGCAGCAACAACTACGAGCGCGAGTTCTGCCGCGTGCGTCCTCCTCTCTCTCGATGCCTCTTTCCCGCATTCGCGGAACCCTGACTCTCGTTGCGCCCCAACCCGCAGAAGAGCTTCCTGTCGCTCCAGAACCTGCAGCAGATCGAGGAGCTGCGGCAGCAGTTCTTCTCGTTCCTCGTCGACGCCGGCTTCGTCAACATCTCGAACAGCGAGCGTCGCGAGCTCGTGTCGACCCGGTACGGCAAATCGCGCACCAAGTTCGTGCGCGTGCCCGCCGAGCTCGACGTCGCGTCGCGCGACCCTCGCACCGTCATGGCCTGCCTCGCCGCGTCGATGTACCCCAAGCTCCTCCTCATCGACCCGCAGAACGGCTCGCTGCGCACGCTCGCCAACTCGGCGCCGGCGGCCGTCCACCCGTCGAGCGTCAACTTTGCGCCCGGCCGTCGCGTCGACTTTGGCCAGGGCGTCCGGTTCGCCGCCTTTTTCCAGGCCATGCACACCAAGCGCCTGTACGTCTGGGAGAGCGGCGCCGTCGACGAGCGCGCCGTGTACCTCCTGTGCGGCAACGCCGACTTCCAGGTGCGCTCGAGCCTCTCCTCTCCTCTATCTCTCTCTCTCCTCGACTAACCCGCCCTCTCTCTCGCGTGCAGCTCCCTGCCCACTCGATCTCGATCGACCGCAAGATCCGCACGCGCCTCGAGGACCCCAAGTCGGCCGTCGCCATCAAGCTCCTGCGCGAAAAGTGGCGCGAGCTGTTCACGCGCAAGATGCGCGACCCGGCGGCGCCGCTCGACCCCAAGCTCGCGCCGTGGCTCGCGCTCGTCGTCGAGGCGTTCAGGAGCCCCAAGCGCGACGACGACGACGAGAAGAAGGGGCGCAAGGCCGAGAAGGCCCAGGTCAAGCTGTCCTTGACGAGGAACGGCTGAGGAGGGAGGACGAGTTCACCCGGCGAGAGGTAGACGACGCCGAGTGTGCATGTAACGACACAATTTCTCGCACTGTGGCTCTGCGCGAGAGCATCGAGAGGCTGTCGTGGCTCGAGCTGGCTCTCGGCGTCTCGACCCTCTCGCTCTCTCCTGCTCGATCGCGAGGAACCTGAATCCGAGTCTTCCGAAAGAGCGAGAGCTACAGTCTACGAACGAGGCTAGACAGTCTGCGGCACCTTCTCGTGCCCTGCTCCTGGCGCCGGCGCTGCCGCCGCCGTCTCGTCCGAGTCGTGCGAGATGCGGCGCTCCACGGCGACGTGCCGTGACCTGGCGGGCCACGCGACGCAGAAGGCGGCCTGGCAGAGCACCATGGCGGCCGAGTCGAGGACGGCAAAGTAGGGCTCGTGCGCTGCGGGCGAGGACGAAGTGAGCGAGGGCCCGTGAGGAAGGCGGAGGAGAAAGAGGACGGCGACGCACTGATGAGGTACCCGGTCCAGCCCTCGGAGAGCTCGATCGTCCTGTAGATGCCGCGAATGATGATCCAGGTCGTCGCCCACGCGAGGCCCCAGCCGAGACGGGTGAGCCGTCCCTCCTGCGCATGCGGGACGGCGCGGTAGCTCCTGTCGCGGCGGACGCGGCGGTACACGTCGAGGGCGAGGACGGCAAAGGCGACCATGCACGCGAGCTGGAATGCGATGCCGGCGACCATGATGTGGGTGCCCGTCTCGGACGATTTGTCGTTCTCGAGCGCGAGGGCGGCCATGGCGCCGCCGATGGCCTGGACGACGATGGCGACCAGATCGACGAGGCAAAAGATCCAGAAGTACAGGGCCGGGCGCAGGTACGAGTATTGCGGACCGAGGGCGCGGACGATCATGCCCAGGATGCCGTAGCAGGTCGCGGAGAAGAAGCACGGCGCGAGGATGAGGCTGCAGGCGGACGAGAGGCGAGTCAGTCTCGCTTTGAGGTCGGGATACTTGCGAGAGAGCGAGGGAGAGCGGGACGTACCAGATCTGCTGCATGAGGAACGCGTCGAGGCTGTACGTCTCCTTGCTCGCCCACGCTCGGCCCGCCCAGCCGAGGACCTCGCCTGCGGGGCTCGGCGTCAGTCGCTCGTCCTCCTCCACGACGTCGAGAAGAGTGCGAGGGACGCACCGAGGCCACCGATGAGGAGCACGACGAGCCACCAGACGCGACTGCGCACGACCTTGTACGTCTGGAAGAGCGTGATGAGGCCGAACGCGATGAGGAAGACGATGGCGGCCGATAGGGACGGAACGTAGCCCTGTTCAGGTCGTGGGAGGAGGGTCAGCTACTATCATGAAGAAAGATGGGAGGGAGCGGGACGGACGTAGATGTTAAAGTCGAGGTCGTCGCTGCTCGAGGTCGGCGTCGGAATAGCTGGCGCGGTTCTACGTGCGCAGCGAGGTTGTCAGTACGGCCGCCGTGCCCGTCTAGATGCTCCAAGCCGCTGGTGCGCCGCGATGCCTGCAGGCAACCGCCATCGGCCGGGAGCGCTTGTCCTCGCTGCTCGCCGCTCGTCCGCCTGCGCCTGCGCCGAGTGCGACTCGTGCAGACCTTGTCGCCGCCTCCCACGCACCCTCGTCGACTGCCTGCCGCTCGATCTCCCGATTGAGCACGCACCGTTCGGCGAGAACGAGGAGGAGGCGAGGACGCACGCAGACATGGCGAGGGCGGGCGCAGCGAGGCCCGGTTGAAGCTGAGGCTGAGCTCAAGCTTGCAGCAGATGCAACGTGTGCTGAAGGAGCGAGAGAGACGAGCGAGAGCTGGGAAGCCCTTTCGGCCGGGCCGGCGGGAGAGGTTGCGGAGCCGACAAGGTTGGAAAGCGACGAGGGAGGGCGCGCAGGCATACAAGAATGGGCCTTGCACGCCGAGGGGAAGCGCGGCACCGAATCGAGGTGCGCCGCCGAACAGCGATGAGAGATCTCGCGACCGACGACGACGACGAGGAGGAGAGGGCGACAACTCCCTCGGGGGCAGGTTGCAAGGGCTCACTGGGCTCGCAGACACTTTCTGTCGCTGCTCGAGAGCCGTACGGTGCAGCAAGAGCGAGTGGGCGACGCCGGCGGACTTGACTCCGTCAGCGCGAGATGAAGTGAGGCAGTCGTTTGCTCCCACCACTCGCTGCTCGCCTGCGTGAGTTCAGCACCGCACGCAGCTCAGCCCAGCAGCACAGCCGAGCCCTTGACCGCACCGCCGACCCGCCCGTCGCCGTTGTCTCGTCGCCCGTCCATCTCTCTCGACCCTCTCGATCTCGACCACCTCCGGCCACGATGAGCACGTTCGGCACCCTCTTCCGCGTCACGACCTATGGTGAGAGCCACTGCGCCTCGGTCGGCGCAATCATCGACGGCTGCCCGCCTGTGAGCCTCCCTCTCTCTCGACTTGCGCGATCGACCACCTCTTGCTGCGGCACATCCCCCCCGACACCGGCTTGCGCACCATGGTCGCTCTGCAGTCGCCGTACGCAAGCGTCCATCGACGGCTCGGAGGCGGCAAGGGGCAGCAGAGCGCGGACTGACCCTCCCCCTCCTCCCTCGCTCCCTCGCTCGTTCGCTCGCAGGGCATGCCCCTCTCGGACGTCGACATTCAGCCGCAGATGACCCGTCGCCGTCCCGGCCAGAGCGCTCTCACTACTCCTGTGCGTCCCTCCCCTCGGTCACGGCGAGCCGCAGTAGAGAGACTGACCTCGCTCTCGCCTTTCGCCCGCAGCGCAACGAGGCCGACGCCGTCCAGATCCAGTCGGGCGTCGAGGCCGGCGTCACGCTCGGCACCCCTATCGGCCTCATGGTCAAGAACAAGGACCAGCGCCCGCACGACTACACCGAGACGGACCACTACCCTCGCCCGAGCCACGCCGACTGGACCTACCTTCTCAAGTACGGCCTCAAGGCGAGCAGCGGCGGTGGGCGCAGCAGTGCGAGGGAGACGATCGGTCCGTCCTCCTCTCGCCGAGTCCTCGAGCGCCGCCTCAATCCCGAGCTGACCCCGTTCCTGCGCACACACAGGTCGGGTCGCCGCGGGCACCATCGCCGAGCGCTACCTCAAGATGGCGTACGGCGTCGAGATCGTCGCCTTTGTGTCGTCGGTCGGCAAGATTCACCTCCCCGAGTCGGCGACCGACGACGACCTCTTGTCCGAGGACTACCTCAAGCTCCTCAGCAGCATCACGCGCGAGCAGGTCGACGAGAACCCGGTCCGCTGCCCGCACGAGGAGACGGCCGACCTGATGCAGGAGGTGCGCACCCTCTTCCTCTTGTCCTCGTTCTCTTCGCGGCGGGACGGCGTATTGACCGCTCTGGCGACCCCGTGCAGCGCATCATCGAGGCCAAGTCCAAGGCCGACTCGATCGGCGGCACCGTCACCTGCGTGATTCGCCGCTCGCCCGTCGGCCTCGGCGAGCCCGTGTTCGACAAGCTCGAGGCCAAGCTCGCGCACGCCATGCTCTCGATCCCGGCGACCAAGGGCTTCGAGATTGGCTCAGGCTTCAAGGGCACCGAGTTTGCCGGCTCGGTCCACAACGACGCCTTCATCAAGAAGCCCGACGGCAAGCTCGGCACCAAGACGAACCGGAGCGGCGGTGTCCAGGGCGGCATCAGCAACGGCGAGGACATCTACTTCAAGTGCGCCCGCTCCCCTTCTCCTCTCTCCCAGCGTGAAGGACGAGCCCCTGACTAGACCGCTCGTCTCACAGGATTGCCTTCAAGTCGCCGGCGACCATCTCGCAGGAGCAGACGACGGCCAAGTACTCGGGCGAGGCGGGCGTCCTCGCGACTCGCGGTCGCCACGACCCTTGCGTCGTCCCTCGGTGCGTCCTCGCGCCTTGATCCGCTTCCTCTCGTCCCTCATCTGACGCAGATCTTGTACCCGTGCAGCGCCGTCCCTATCGTCGAGGCCATGGCCGCGCTCGTCATCATGGAGTGCGTCTCATTCTCTCTCTCTCTCTCGTCCGCCTCCTTCGCGCACTGACCCTCTTGCTCCTCCTGCAGCGCCGTCCTCATCCAAAACTCGCGTGCCTTTACCGCGTCGCTCCTCCCTCCTCTCGAGACGCCCCTCCCGCCCTCGATGGTCATCCCGAACGAGACGCAGCAGGAGAAGATTGTCGACGACATCGTCGCAAAGGGCCTGTAGTCGCGCGTGCGCCCTTGTATATCACTATCTTGCATTTCTCTCTGCTTCTCGCCGTCTTCCAGAGAGACAGAGAGCCGTGGCCGTGAGCGATGGCTCGTCGCCTCGTCCAACCTCTCTCCGCTCGTATCCTCATGGTCCGCGCACCTGCTGCCGGCCCTGCGCCGCCGCTGTCCGCGCCAGACTACTTCGATTCGCTCGCCGAGCTCGCCATCTACGCCGCCAAGCCGCGAGTGCGCCGCCGCCGGTCCGCGGCCCCACCGCCGCTTCATCTCGCCTCGACCAGCATCAGCGACGACGCGCGGCAGGGTCGAGCCAAGCTGCTGGTCTGCCACGACTACAAGGTGCGCCCCCGTCCCGCGCCCACGTGAGCCCTGCAGTGCGCTAACCACTCTTCGCCTCGTCCCTCCTTCGCAGGGCGGTTACTCTGAGCTCGACACGGACCGCGGCTACACCTTTGGGTGGTGGCACCTCGTCGATACCTTCATCTAGTGCGTTCAGCTCTCTCTTTCGATCCAGCCGGCCCCAGAGCGCGCAGCTGACTCGCTCTCCCCGTCGCCGCAGCTTCTCGCACCACCGGGTCTCCTGTCCACCGGCAGACTGGATCCGCGCCGCCCACGAGAACGGCACCAAGATCCTCGGAACCCTCATCTTCGAGCACGACGCCGGCAAGGGCGACATCATCGAGCTCGTCACACCGTCATCGTCGTTCTCCTCGGCCACTTCTTCTTCGGCGTCCCGCTTTGACCGCCTTTCGACGCGGTACGCCGACTGCCTCGTCGACCTTACCCTCGAGCGAGGCTTTGATGGCTGGCTCGTCAACGTCGAGGTCGAGCTCGGCGGCGAGGGTGCGTCGGACGAGCAGAAGAGGGCGCATGCGGCAGCTCTCGTCGCGTGGTTGCGGTACCTGTCGGGCGAGATGAGGCGCAGGGTGCCCGGCGGCGAGATCATGTGGTGCGTCCTCCTCACCTCGTTCTCGCGAAAAGGACCGCCCTGAACCTCTCGCCCTTGCGCAGGTACGACGCCGTGACGACCGACGGCAAGCTCGAGTGGCAGAACGCCGTCACCGAGCGCAACCTGCCCTTCTTCGACGCGTCCGACTCGATATTTCTCAACTACTGGTGGCGCCCAGAGCAGCTCGCGTCGACCGTCGGCCTCCTCGACAAACTCGGCTCGAGCCGTCACTCGGACGTTCACTTCGGCCTCGACGTGTTCGGGCGCGGCACGCTCGCCGGCGGCGGGTTCGAGAGCTGGCGCGCCGTGCACACGACCGAGCAGGCGGTCGGCGCGCGCTCGACGTCGTTCTCGACCGCGCTTTTCGCGCCGGGCTGGACCGTCGAGGCCGAGTCGCTGTCGCACTCGCTCTCGTCGCCCGAGGCGTTCTCTCGATGGCGAGCCGACGACGACTACCTGTTCTCTCGGACGGCGCCGACGCCGTCGACCGCTCCCGAGCTCGCTCGTCACGAACGTGAGCGTCGAGAGCAGCGCGGCGTCCTCCGAGCACGTCATCTCGCCGCACAGACCGCTCCCTCGGCCTCTCCCGTCCCTCTCGCACGCCGCATTCCCTCGCCGCCAACGTTCGACTACGATTCGCCGCTTGCGCCGCCGCTCGGCGCAGAGCTCGGCGTCGCGCACAAACCCCTCGCGGCGTTCCTCCCCGCTCCTCGGCCGACCCCTGCGCCCGCCGCGAGGTTCTACACCAACTCCTCGGGCGGCTCCGGGCACGCTCTCTTCGTCGAGGGCGAACGCGTCCTCGAGCACGGCTGGACGGACGCCGGCTTTGCGTGTCCGGCGGCGGGCCTGGCGTTCCATCCGCCTGGCGGCGCCGGCGGCGGCGGCGAGGGCGGCGACGGTACGGTGACAGCGGCTCTCGTCGAGTACGATGCGTGGGAGGGTGAACGGGCACTCGAGCTGCGCGCAGGCGAGCGAGCTGGAGGGCAGGCCGGCGCGCTCGAGGGCGAGGAGACGAGGGCGTCAATCCCGCTCTGCGCCGTCGCGCTTCCCGAGCTCGCCCTCGGCACCGAGCTCTCGCTCGACGTCGTGTGGAAGGCGGCGTCGCAGAGCCGCAGCTCGAGCGCCGGCGGCGCCGATGTCGTGCCGCATCTGCGACCGGCGACCGGCGAGGCCGGGCTCACGGCGTCGAGCGGCACGATGGACGAGCTGTCGGCCGGGTGGCGCCGCACTCGAGTGCGGCTTTCTGCCAGTGCGCTCTCGCCGGCTCAGACCTGGCACCTCTCGGTCGACTTTCCCCAGGACGCCGTCGTTCTCGTCGGCGCGCTCAGCCTGCACCCCGTCGTCGCGCCGCCCTCGCCCTCTTTCGCCCTCGCCCCTCCTCACTACGACACTTCGTCGTCGATGCTGCAGTGGGACGTCGACTTGTGTCCCGCGGCGCTCGACTCGACCCCCTCCCTCGGCTCGTCGACGTTCCTCGACCCGGCCCGCCCTCGTCACTACCACGTCTTCCACCGCCCCCGCACGAGCACCACCACCGCCACCGACAAGGTCTATCTCGGCACGACGTCGGCGCAGGAGTTCCCGCTCGACCTCGCTGTTCTCGGAGGACGCGGCGAGGTCGTCGTGCACGCCGTCTCTCTCGGCTCGCCCTCGCAGGAGCAGGTGACAGCTGTAGACGATCTCTCTCTCGACAGACTGCCATAGACCGAGTTCTCGTGCGAGAAATGGGCTGGATTGCGAGAGCGAGTCCGAGGAGAGCGTGCTAGGGGTATCGAGAGGGAGAGCGTGCCTGTGCGTGTGTGTGGCGGTGCGACATGAGGAGAATCGACGAGAGAAACAGAAGGGGTCCGAACAGATGCTGAAAGACGAGAGAGTAGGAGAGGGAGGAAGAGAAAGTGTGGTGACAGGGGAAAAGGGGGAGCTAATCGGAAGGGGGAGGGACCTTGGTCGGGAGCTTCGGGACGGCTCGCGTCGAGGCGCCCGGCGACGATGCGGCCGACGTATGGCCCGAGTCGGACATGGCCTGCAGGGAACGAGTGAGGGTCAGGTTTGGCTCGGAGAAAGAGAAGGAAGGACGAGAGGAGACGCACCTGGCCGAAGCTCGCGCTGTTGGCGCGCCCACGTCCAGCCTGGATGAGCCTCTGGCTCTCGGCGACCACGTCGTCCAGCGGCGGGTCGGCAGGCGCCATGACGACGGACGGCGAGAGCGGCGTCGGGCCGGGACGATGCGGCGCCGACGGGTCGCGCTCGTTCATCGAGCCGGTCTCCTGCTCCTTGATGAGGTCCTCGAGCCGTTGCTCGACGACGTCCAGCGTCTCCTTGGCGTCGCCGCCAGCGGCGGGAGCAGGTGTCGCAGGCACGTTGGGCAGGGCCGGGATCGGCGCTTTGGTCGCCGCCGTCGACTCGGGCGTGGGCGACGTGAGCGTGAACGACGGGTTGTTGTGGCGCGCGACGGCGGCGCTCGCGATGGGCTGCCCGGCGACCTTGTCGACGCCGGTAGGCGGCGACGCCTCGGGCGAGTCCGAGGGCGAGCCGGCGATCGAGTCGAGCCCGGGACGGTGGCCGCTCGGCGAGCTGGCGCGCGAGGTCGGCCGCTCGATGTGCAGGTGCTGCGAGATGTTGTCGGCGCGCGAGGTGACGTTCTCGGTGAACTCGGCGTTGGCCTTGGACTTGTTGGCGGGCGACATGGGCCGGTTCGGCGTCGAGCCACGGGTGCTCGACGGGTTCGATGACGTGTCCGAGGCCTCGGCGGCCTTGCGGCTGAAGCCCGACAGGTAGGCCATCGAGCCCCACTCGACGAGCTTGGACTCGAGCCAGACGAGCGAGACGGGCTTGGTGAGGAAGTCGTTGCAGCCGGCGGCGAGGGCGTTCACTCGGTCGGCCTGGAGCGACGAGGCGGTGAGGGCGACGATGATGACGGGCATGCTGAGGAGCGGCGAGCCCGGGGCACTGAACGGGTTGCCGCTGCTCGCGCTCGACATGGGCGACGCCATGTCGGAGGTCGGCGTCGTGATGAACGTCCCGATGTTGTTCTGCCGCTCGAGCTCGCGGATTTCTCGCGTCGCCTCGATGCCGTCCTTGACGGGGAGCTGGATATCCATCTGCAAAGACAGTGAATAACGCAGTCAGTGTCAAAGTCTCGTCGACAGCGAGAGAGAGAGAGAGAGAGGTGGGCGCACGAGGACGAGGTGAAAGTTGCCCTTCTTCCACATCTGGACCGCCTGCTCGCCGTCCTTGGCGACCTTGTAGCTGATGCCCTTCTTCTTCATGAACATCGACAGGATCGTCTGGTTGATGGGGTTGTCTGCAGAGTTGGAGGAGAGGAGGAAAGGGAAAGCGTCAGGGTCAAGGAGATCGAGAAGGAGGGAGGGGGGAAGAGGTGACAGGGGACGCACCCTCGACGATGAGCACACTGATGGGCGGTACCGCAGGCAACGTGCCCTTCCTGCTGGACCGCCTGCGGTTCCTCGGCGGGCCGCCGACCGTGCTCGCCCGGGTGCGCAGCTTGGGCATGGCCGGCTTCGACGACGCCGCGAGCGCCCTTGCCGCCGCCGCGGCAGACGCCGCCGCACCCTGCGTGTCGGGCGGCGTCGACGAGCGTGTCGGGACGGGCGACGCCGAGGCGCTCGCCGGGTTGCGCCGCGGCGAATGGAGCGGGCTCTGGGCGCCGCTCGACGCTCGCGGCGACGCCGAGTGCGACGACTGGGTCGCCGTGACCGTGCCCGACGTGCCGTTCGAGCCGCTCATGCTGCGACGGGTCGAGGCCGACCGTGCCGACGGCGTGCCCGGCAGCTGGCGCGAGTTGCCCTCGGCGAGCGGGCTCGAGGAGACGGCCGTCGCCGGCGGGAGCTCCTCGGGCGAGACGTCGGCGCCCGTCGCTCGCGACTTGGCGGCCGTGATGAACGAGTCGAGCGTGAGCGCCGGCGTCCCGGGCCGCAGCGCCGCGTTCAAGCCCGGCGGTGACGTGTCGCCCGCGGACCCGCCGCTCCCGCTCGCTGCCGAGCCGCTCGACGCGACGCGGCGGCCCGAGACGTACGAGCCGAGGCCGATCTCGTGCGGCGTCGCCGTGCTCATGCGCGAGACGAGGCCCGGCGGCAACTCGCGCTGCGCGCTCGTCGCCTGCTCGGTCGCGTCGTCCGACCCTTCTCGGCTCAAGGTCGCCCGCCGCTCGCGCTCGGCCGTGTTCTGGCGGCGCTGCTTGTCGCCCGAGCCGCGAGAGCCACGAGGCTGCGGCTGGAAGAAGATGCCCGAGCGGCCGTCGGGGCTCTGGACGACCATGCCCTCGCTCGGCGTCGTGTCCTTGAGCTCCTCGCTGACGGTCGAAAAGTACGAGTCCTCGGTGTCGTCGATGCGGCCGAGCGGCGAAGGCGGGACGGCCGAGCTCGTGCTGCCGTTGGTGCCCGCGTGGTGGAACGCGGGGGGCGTGCGCGGCTTGCCCTGCGACGAGTTGGCGACGCCCGAGTCGCTCTTGCTGCTCGCGAGCTCGTTGTGCCCAAAGTCGAAGCCGTGCTCGCTCATGAGGGCGGGCGACAGGCGAGGCGTCCAGTACTGGATGCCGGGCGAGGTCGGCGACGTGGCGATGGGCGCGAGCGACGGGTCGACGGCGGGACGCTTGAGGGCCGTCCAGATGGCCGTGATGACGCGACGAGGGCCCGCAGGCTTGGGCACGACGAGGACCTCGGGGATGCTCAGGCTCTTGGACATTGACAGCGTGTCCTGGACGAGCTCCTTGATCGCCTTGTAGTGCGTCAGGCTCGCGAAATGGATGATGACCCACTGCGACGCGTGCTGCGGCGACGACAGGCCCTGCTGCACCTGGTGCAGCTGGCGGACGTGCGGGCTCGAGCGCGTCCGGCGCGCGGCGAGCTGCGGCCGCTTGGCCATGAGCGTCGGGCCCATGCTCGGCGGCGTGCGGAGCGAGACGAGGAGCCGCCGCAGCGTCGCGACGTCGTCGTCGATGATGACGAGGCTCGAGTGGCCCTCGCCCATGGTGCCCGCGTCGAACGGCAGGGCGTCGCTCGACGACGCCGTCGCGCCGGGCGACGACGTGGCCGTCTCGAAGCCCGAGTCGAACCGTGCGCCGGCGCCGGCGCTCGCCCTCGACGACTTGCCCGCGTCCGACGCCGACGCCGCACTGCCGCCCGACAGCGAGCCGTTGTTGACGACGGGCACGTGCTGGACGTCCATGCCCCACCCGGCGAGGTACGTCGTCAGGTCCTTGGCGAACGCGCTCGTCTCGCCGGCGTGGAGCGCGACGCGGTGGCCCTTGAGCGCCGTCTCGGCGAACCGCTTGAGGTCGTCCATCGACGGCTCCTGGCCGACCGTCAGGTCGAGGCTCGCGCGCCGGCGCCCGAGGAGCGTCGACGGGTCGTCGGCGATCGACTGCGTCTTGGGGCGCGCGGCGGGCAGGAGCGCCTCGAGGGCCCACGAACGCGCCGAGACCGAGTTGTGCGTCGAGGGCGCGAGGCGGAGCTGGACGAGCGAGAAGAGGGAGCGGGCGAAGGCGGTGTCGAACGGCGGCGTCGGGAGGTGGACGGGCGCAGGCGTGGCCGCGTTCTCGTCGACGAACGGGGGCGAGGGTGGTAGAGGTGGGGCGGTGACGAGGATCTCGAGCGAGACGTTCCACCACTTTTGCGGGCGCGAGGGCCAAAAGGCGGGAGGGTACGGGCGCGCGTCGGGCTCGGGAGATGAGCTGCGGGAGGGCGTCGGGGAAGAGGGAGGGGTCGCGGCGGTCGCGATGAAGCGCACGTCGACAGTCGAGCCCGTCGCCGCGCCGGCAAGAATGTGGTGGATGATCTGTCGTCGGCGGCCGAGAGTCAGTCAGGCGCTGTATCGACGACCAGGAGGCGGAGAAAGGGCGAGGCAGGACGCACCCAGATGAGCGTCACGCTCCAGGCTCGCTCGTCCGCCCTCACTAAGAGCTCCCTCGTCTCTGTGTCCTTGGCCGGCGCCGCCGCCGCCGAGCCCGCCGCACCCGCCTCTCCGACGCCGCCCTCGCCCTTGTGCGCCGTCGCGACGTCGGGCGTCGTCACCGGGCTCGGCGCCGACCCGCTGCCGGCCTGCCCGACGACGAGCTCGATGCCGCGCGCGGCCGCGTCGGCCGCGAGCACGTCGGCGACGCCCTGGAGGAGCGCCGGGAAGTCGAACACCTGCTCCGGGTCGTCCTCGGGCTCGAGCGGCGGACCGTCGCCGACGCCGCCCTCGTGCGGCGCGAGCGGCGAGTGCGGGAGAGGCTGCGCGCCGCGGCCGACCTCGCCGATCCACTCGAAGCCGCGAAAGAGGCGCCAGATGGCGCCCGCCGAGACGGCCGGGATCGAGAGCGTGCTCGGGGCGTGCAACTCGTGCGAGTGGGTCGGGAGGAGGGCGTCGGCCATGTGCAGGCCCGAGAAGAAGGACGCGGCGGCCGACGTCGTGCTGCTCGTCGCGGTCGAGGCGATGCTGGCGCCCGACGACAGGACGGCGTTGGAGCCGGTGGCCGACGAGATGCTCGACTTGCGGCTCAGTGACGCGTCGAGGGTCGCCTCGAACAGGGCGGGGAGCTGGACGGGAGGCGAGAAGAGGTGCGTCGGGCCGAACTGGGACAGGAGGAGGAGGGCGGGAGGGAGGAGGGTCGCGATGAGCTCGAGCGACTGCTCGAGGCGCGGCGGTGCACTCGGCAGCTCGGGCTCGTCGATCGGGGCGAGGGGCGTGCTCGGTGCGCCGGACGGGTAGGCGTGGTCGTGCGCCTGCACCGTGCGCTGGCTCATGATGCTGTCGCGCCTGGCCGGGGTCGAGGCGCCGACGCCGCTGCGGGCGTAGACCGTGTCCATCGGGTCGCGCTCGAGCCCTCGGAGCGTCGCGGGCGACCCGGGCGAGAGGGCGCCGCCGTCGCTGCCCGAGCCTGCGAGGCCAGGCGAGCTCGCGGGCGAGCCGGACGGGCTCGACGGCTGACCGACGCCGCCCGACGCGTGGCGACGAAAGCTCGGGCGCAGGCGCTTGGCGAAGCTGCTCGAGGTGGACGGCGCGAGGTGCTCGTCGGTCGAGGGCGTGGGGCCGCCGTGCGGGTAGGCCAAAGTCGAGGTGGACGGGACCGGCGGCGGGAGCTGGCGCGGGTCGACGACGTCTGGGTCGGATGCGCGGACGACGGACGGTACAGGGCTCGACAGGGAGCGAGGGAGGTGGGGTCGAGCTGGTTCCGAGGCGGTGGGCGGGCGAAAAGTGCCGAGGAAGCGGGTGAGGAAGGTGCCCGGTTGCGGTGGAGGTGCGCCGCCGTTGCGGCTCGCTCCTGCTGCGGTCGAGGGCGGGTCAGTGTGGGGGTGTACGAGAGTGGAGCGAGTGGGACAGGGACACACCGAGGGACCTGCGCGAGGGAGTCCTCCTCGACGAGCGAGACGAGGTCGAGGGCGAGGACGCGTCGTCGTCGGCGGGCGCGACGCCGTTTGCGGGTGGCGCGGTGGCGAGAGCGCGTTGAGCTGCGCTCGTGGAGGGCTCGTTGGGGAGCTGGGCGTGTGCAGGTCGAGCGGTGGTCGAGATCGGTCGCCGATGAGGCTCGTCGTCGGTGGTCGCGTCGGGGCGCACGGCCGTGGGCGGGGCGGGTGAGGCCATGGACGGCCCTGGACGAGTGGCGCGAGGCGGCCCTTGCGGTGCAGCAGGGCCGAGCGAGAGGGTGCGGCGAGTGCGAACCTCAAGGTTGGCCGCGCTGGACGGCGCCGGAGGAACCTCGTCAACCTCGCTCGAGGGTGAGGTGTGTCGGGCCAGACGAGCAAACGATAGCTTCGTACAGGGATGCAACCGAGACCGAACAGCTTCCTGTGGCTCGTGAGCGGGCTCGTACTCGCCGACACCGCCTCGTCGCTCACGCTCAGCTCTCAGCTCGTCTCGTCACCACTCGGCAGCTGCTACCGCTCCAGTTAGTCCCACGAGCACCTGCCAGCTACACTCAGCACCTGCGCGCACCCGCGCACCCACCCGCACCTGCACTCCACCCTCTGCCGCTCCTCCCCCTCCTCAACTTGCGCCCCACCTCGACCTCGCCCTCCCCGTTCCGCAACCTCGCCCAAGCCGCCAGTCGACATGGCAGGGCCCGCTCAACTCTCGGATGGTGCATGTGACCTCAACGTGAGCAGTCTCGCGCCTGCCCTCTGCCCCAGTCACGCGCACTCGGCTAACCCGGCTCGCCCTTCCTTGCAGGACCACTCCGTCCCCGTCCTGCCCACACCCACCTTCGAGCGCCCAGTGCTCTGCGCACCTCCGCCTCGCCAACCTCGTCCGCCCATCGCGCCCCTCCCGCACCCGCACCCACACCTGGTCCTGCCGCCCGCGCCTCCTCGCCCCGTTCACCCCACCTCCTCCGGCCCTCCTCTGCCCAGCTCCACTGCCCACAGCTCGGCCGCCGCGAGCCCCGACGGCGAGGACGGCAGGGGGGGGAGGCGTGCGCGGCGAGAACCGGCAGGGCGACCTGCAGCAACGGCTCGACGACCTCGCAAGCCGCCGCACCGAGCGCGACGGCGCCCGCGACGAGGCCGTGCGCGAGAAGCGCAACATCCTCGAGGAGCTCGGCGAGGTCCTCGCCGGGATCAAGGCGCAGCAGGCGATGAACGACGAGAACCGCCGCGTCAACGACGCCGACCACGAGGCGCTTGTTGAGTTCGCGCGCGGGCTCGACCGCGACGGCGACGTGTTCGAGCAGTACGTCGACAAGCAGGTCGCCGAGTTCGCCGAGCAAACCGCCAAGTTCGACCACTACGTCGACTACACGCTCGCCGACCTCGAGCGCAAGAAGGGCGAGCAGGCGGCGAGGACCGAGGACGAGCGGGCCAAGCTCGAGGGCGAGCGGGCCAAGCTCGAGGGCGAACGCGCCCGCATGGTCGAGGAGAACCGGGTCGACGTCGCCGAGCGCGACCCGGACTTTGCTGAGCGCGCGCTCGAGCGGCTCGCGTTCGGGTTCGAGTCCTGGAGGCGCGACAAGGTCGAGCGCGAGCTCAAGGCCTCGCTCGCCGCCACTAAAGCCGAGCTCGAGCGCACCCGCCTCGCCCACGCCGCCGAGCTCGAACGAATCCGCCTCGAGCACGCGATCGCGCCCAAGGAGGCGTGCCACGAGGTCGAGCGCGACCAGGAGGCGCGCAACGGCGACGAGGACGGCGAGGGCGGCGACGACCACGCCAACGGCGGCAAGGGCGATGCCGAGGGCAGTGTGCACGAGGTCGAGAGGGCGGGACCAGCTGTTGCGACAGTCGAGCGCGCGCCGGACGGCGACGGCAAGGGCGAGGTGCGCCCCAACCTTTCTCTCTCACTCCTCGTGCCCCTCCCGACTCGTCCAGCCACCTTGACGTTGTCGGCGTTCGGCGCTCTACCCGCCCGCAGCTCGACAAGCAGCGTTCGGGCGCCTCGGGCGTCCTCCTCGAGCCGGCGTCGCCTCCCGGCGAGAGCGTCGGCCCGCGCCGCTCGACGCGCGTGTCACGCCAGCCGCAGCGCTTCGGCGAGGACCGCGAGGAGGAGGCGTGTTCGCGCGCTTGAGGAGCGCAAGGTGGGCGCAAGGTCGGCGCAGGGCCGACGCGAGGCTTTCCAAGGGGGGCGAGTTGAGTTCCGCTCGCACAGTTTTACCATGTCCACCACGTCTTTGTCGTCACTATCACATGCATTCACGTCTTTGCGTTCCCCAATCCTGGCGACGGTGTTGTCGTCGAGAGGCGAGATGCCTGTTCTCTCGCACCAAGCTCTCCTGCTCTGGTCTCGAGCGAGCGAATGCTTTGCAGCGCGAGACTCTCACACGAGCTCACTCAGGAAGACGAGTCGGCAGGTGCGTCGTCGAGAAAGAGAGGGCGAGGAGAGCGAGAGAGCGAGCAAGAAGCGTCGCTCGAACGAGACGACGAGGAGGAGGCTCGACCGCGCTCGAGTCGTCCCGTCGTACGGGGGCCTCGAGTGCGTTCGGGAGCATACGAAGATTGAGCCGACTAGTCTGCACTGGCAGCTCTTGCACAGAGCCAGCCGTCGCCGACTCGGATTCGGCCAAGTCGACAGCAAAGTCGACGCGTCGCGCCTCGGGCTCTCATCTCTCACCTCGACAACCGCACCAGGGCACCAGCGACGCCCAGCAGCAGCACCCGTCGCACTCTGCACGACCAGCGACGCGCTCAGCCCACTCGCAGCTCGCGCCACCGCCTCTCGCCCGTCCGCCCACCACCCCGCAACCTCGTCCTCGCCATGGAGGCGCCGCCGCTCATCTACAAGGCTACGTACTCGGGCGTACCCGTCTACGAGGTGCGTACTACCTCCCTCTCCCCTGCCCTGCCCCTGCCCACCGTACAGAGCGCTCACACTCGCCGCCCCTCTCCCCCTCATCACCTCGCTGCTCGTCCTCCTCCTCCGCCCCGGTCGCTCGCCCCTGCAGATGCCCTGTCACGGCGTCGCCGTCATGCGCCGTCAAGCCGACGCATGGGTCAACGCGACCCAGGTCCTCAAGGTCGCCGGCTTCGACAAGCCCCAGCGCACCCGCGTCCTCGAGCGCGAGGTCCAGCGCGGCACCCACGAGAAGGTCCAGGGCGGCTACGGCAAGTACCAGGGTACGTCGCACTCTCTCCTCTCCGTACTCGAGCCCGAGCACGAGGCGGCGGCCTGCCCGCCGCCGTCGTCGCCGGCCCTCGTCGAGGAGATGTCCGGTCAGGTCGTCACGGGCGCAGCGCACTGACCTCGCTCTCGCGCAACAGGCACCTGGATCCCGATGGACCGCGGCGTCGCCCTCGCCCGCCAGTACGGCGTCGACCGCCTCCTCGACCCCATCTTCCAGTTCGTCCCCTCGGCCACCTCGCCGCCGCTCGCCCCGCGCCACATCACGGCCGCGCCCAACCGCCCGCGCAAGAAGCACGACGTCGCCATCGACATGGAGGGCATGCCGACGCCGCCGCCGAAACCGCCGCGCCCGTCCATGTCCAAGGGCAAGGCGGCCGCCGCACGGCGCGCCCTCGTCGCCCAGGACAGCGACGAGGACTACGGCGGCGGCGGCAGGAGCATGACGCCGGCGAGGGAGGACGCGAGCGAGACGAGCCAGACGCCGAGCCCGCTCGGCCTCGAGGGCGACGACGACGAGTACCACGACGGCGGCGCAGGGCGGGCGGGCCCCTCGTCGAGCAAGAAGCGCAAGGTCGCCCACCACGACCCGGCGGCGTCGATGGGCGGCGGCGGCGGCGGCGGCGGCATGGCGATCGACGGCGTGTCGGCGCACCAGCAGCTGCAGGGGCTCGGCCCGCTGCGGTACGCCCGCATGATCCTCGACTACTTCGTCAGCGAGTCGCAGCAGATCCCCCAGTTCCTCCTCGCGCCGCCAGGCGACTTTGACCCGAACGTCGTCATCGACGACGACGGCCACACGGCGCTGCACTGGGCGTGCGCCATGGGCCGCATGCGCATCGTCAAGCTCCTCCTCACGGCCGGCGCCGACATCTTCCGCGCCAACTCGATGGGACAAACGGCCCTCATGCGCTCGGTCATGTTCACCAACAACTACGACCTGCGCAAGTTCCCCGAGCTCTTCGAGCTCCTGCACCGCTCGACGATCAACATCGACCGCCAGGACCGCACCGTCTTCCACTACATCGTCGACATTGCGCTCCAGAAGGGCAAGACGCACGCCGCCCGGTACTACATGGAGACGGTCCTCGGGCGCCTCGCCGAGTACCCGGACGAGGTGGCCGACATCCTCAACTTTCAGGACGAGGAGGGGGAGACGGCCCTGACGCTCGCCGCCCGAGCCCGGTCCAAGCGCCTCGTCAAGATCCTCCTCGACCACGGCGCCGACCCCAAGATGGCCAACCGCGACGGCAAGACGGCCGAGGACTACATCCTCGAGGACGAGCGCTTCCGCGAGCAGGACGTCGTCAACGCGGCGGCGGCGGCGGCAGCAGCTGCGGCGGCGACGGTCGCGCCGCACCCGAACGGCAACGGCACCTTGTCGGGCCTCATCTCGTCGGCGACGGCCGCCGCAGGAGGAGGAGCGTCGTCGTCGTCGGCGGCGGCGGGCCTCGGCGCCGCGCAGCTCCACACGTCCGAGACGGGCCAGCGCGTCGCGACCGACGTCATCCCGCGCATCTCGTCGCTCCTGTCGACCCTCGCCACCTCGTTCGACGCCGAGCTCGCCGACAAGGAGCGCGAGCTTGCCCAGGCCGACGCGCTCGCCGCCGCGCTCGAGGCCGAGATTGCCGACGCGCGCGCCCAGGCGCAGCAGCTCGAGCAGCAGGCGGCGAGCCGAGGCGCGATCGAGCACGAGGTGTCGCAGCTCGAGGGCGAGCTCGAGGCCAAGGTCGGCAAGCGGTTCCGCCTCGGGTGGGAGAAGTGGGTCCGCGACGAGGAGGGCCGCGAGCAGCAGTACGAGCGCGACGCCGCCGAGGGGCAGCAGCACGAGCAGGAGGCCGACCTCGAGGCGTACCGCGACCTCGTCGCCAACCCGCCCGCCGACGCCGCCGAGCGCGCTCAAGCGCTCGCGAGCCGCATCGCCGAGTTCCGCGACGAGCGTGGGCGCCTCTTTGCGCAGCTCGTCAACGCGCATGCGGCGGTCGGGACGGGCGCCAAGCTCGCCCAGTACCGCCAGCTCGTCGCGCTCGGGTGCGGCGTCCCGCTCGACCAGGTCGACGGCGCCATCGAGGCGCTCGTCGAGGACCTCGACCAGGGCGTCGGTTTGCCGATGCGTCAGGGTGACGCTGTGGACGAGCTCGTCGCGGCGTGAGAAGTGTCGTCGTCGTCGTTCTCTTCTTCTCTTGTTCCCCTCCTCCTCTCCTCCTCCTTCGTCGTCTTCCTCCCCTCCCCCTCCCGCACCCCTCTCTGTGTCCCTCTCTGTGTCGTCTCGGGTGCCTCCTCGAGGCTCGGTAGTCTGTCTGTACCCTTTGCCCTGTTCAGCGTCTGCAACAACGACGACGTGACCTCTCTGCGCTTTCGCTCGCGAGCCTGGGACGAGGAGAACAAGGTCGGAGGAAGCAGAGCATCTATTGCAGACCGTCGCTCAAGATCGCTCCCGCCCTCGCAAACGCTCCTTGTCTAACGAGACACCGCTGCAACCGCGGCGAGCTGAGGCGGCCCGGGCAAAAGAGACGGAGCGGGCTGCGAGAAGAAGGGGTCAGTGCGCGAGCGAGAACAGGAAAGCGAAAGCGGCAGGGACGTACACGCGGTTTCTTGACGTCAAGCTGATGGTGCGAGAGCGTGTCGACAGGGCGCCGGGGTCGTAAAGGGCGACGAGGAGGGCGAGCGCGACTTGAGCGGGCCGGACCGGACCCTCTGGCGGCCTCGACGCTGGACGAGGCGCCCGTGCGGCCGGCGACTCAGATACCGACGCCGACATGCGCGCATGCTGGCGAGGACGGCCGACGCGAAGGAGGAGGCTGCGCCCTCAAGAGCGGGTCGGCGGGAGCGCGCCCTCGAGCCCGAACGCCTTCAAGACGTCGCCGAGGCGCCTCCTGCACTCGGCGACCTGCGCCTCGCCCGTCGTCTCGCCGCCCTCCTTCCTCGTCTCGCCGCCCTCGCCGCCGCCAAGCCCGCTCATCATGTCCTCGACGGCGCGCATCTCGCGGCGCTCGCGCAGGACCTCGCTGATGCCCTCGTCGGCGTGCTCGCGCGCGTGGGCCTCGGCCTCCTCGTCGACGGGCATGACCTTGACGGCGTCGAGGCGTGCGAGTGCGCTCACGACGTCGCGCAGCTCGGCGACGATGCGGTCGGCGGCAGCGGCGGGAGGGCCGCCGGACGAGGCGAGGGCGGCGTCGAGGACGGGGCCGGCGTGCTTCTTGGCGTTGGCGGTCGGGACGGTGAGGAGGGCGAGGAGGGTGGCGGCCATGCCTCGCAGCGCGCCGAGCTCGCGAGCGTACGGGGCGGCGAGCGCGAAGCCCTGGTCGAAGCCGGCCTGGAGGCGCTCGTTCTTGCCCTGGGTGATGCCGTCGCGGTAGCCGGCCTGTTGCAGGGGAGGCTGAGGTCAGTTTGTGTGGACTTGGGGGCGGCAACAGAGCGACGCACGTCGGAGAACCGGGTCGAGAGCTTGTCCCACTCTTGCTGAGAGATCAAGCTGGGCGGAGTGGCAGCGCCGTCGTGCGCCGCGTAGGGCTCGTCGTCCATCCAGGGAGAGTCGTCGTCGGACATGCTGCTGCTGCTGCGTAGCTGGCGTGAGCGAGCGTCGCCGTGGTGAGCGACGACGAGGTCGGCCCGGTCGGCGATTCGAGCCAAGTCGAGCTTCCGCTGGGTAACTTTCTCTCTCGCTCTCTTTCTCTCTCTGCGAGCTCGAGAGGACGTGACACACTGCCAGAGTTGCACGTTCGAGCCTGCGTCTAGCGCGCGGCAAAAGGGAAGGACGAGGGACGAGGACAAGTCGACTCGAGAACCAGCTCGAGGACGGCGACACGCGCTCACGACAGCGCCGCCAGCACGTTCTTGGCAAAGTAGTTGCCACCGACGATGTTGCCCGGCGCAGAGTACTCGCAGACCTGCGCAACGAACGAGAGAGAGCGTCAGGAGGGCGAGGGAAGAGAGAGAGAGAGGAGAGGGTGCGTGCGCACGTAGAAGTAGCCGGCCTGCGACAGATCGGGGGCAGCGTCGTCAGGGTCGGACCTCCGGAAAGAGAGAGAGAGAAAGGCGGACGCACCCAGCTAAAGCCGTCGCCCGAGAGCGGCGAGCACTTGGACACGGCGCACCCGACCTGGCTCGTCGACGCCCAGATCTGCGCGACGGGGGTGCACGCGAGGGTCAGTATCGACGACGATAGAACAGGGCGAGCAGACAAAGGAGACGACGGACCATCTGGGTAAAGTGGCCCGTGGCGGACGAGTAACCCGGCGACGAGTAGTCGTAGTCGGACGCCTCGTCGTACCACATCTGGACGCCCTGCGAGACGTCGCCCGAGCCGCCTCTCCACGCCGCGAGGTTCTCGCCGGCGCCGATCGCCTCGCCGCCGCCGTGCTCGAACACGCACCGGTCCGCCCACGCCTGCGCCGTGCTCGCGAGCTTGTCGCTCCACGTCAGGGCCGACACGCCGTGCTTGGCGCGGTACTCGTTGTGGAGGTCGAGCGAGACCTTCTGCACCGAGCCTGCGGCGGCAGACGACGTCTTGGTCGCGGCGGGAGCGGACGAGGACGACGTGCGGCTCGTCGGCTTGTGCGTCTTGGTCTTGGTCTTGGTCGAGGCGGCCTTGTGCGTCGAGGCGGCGTGCGACTTGGACACCTTCTTCGACGCCGTCGACGTCTTGTGCTTGACGGGAGCGGCGGTATGCCCGGCAGTCGAGCCGTACGTGATGGTCGTCGCCCACGACGAGGTCCAGCTCCACTCGTGCTGGGCGGCCTGCTTGCGGCTCGGGTCGGCGACCTCGCCGCGGTGGTGCTTGTGCTTGCGCTGGCCCCAGTGCTGCTCGGGGAGAAGGCGTCAGGGATTCGTCGAGGGCAGAAGGGCAAGAGAGCTCGAGAGGGACGGGCCTTGGTGGCCGTGGCGGCTTGAGGACAGTCGGCCTTTGCGAGGGTCGTGGCCTCGGTGCTCGTCGCGGTCGCCATCAAGGCGGGTGCGACGGCAAAGGTCGAGGCGAGAAGAAGGGCGAACGAGCGCATCGTGGACGGGAGATGAGCGAGTGTGGGGGCGGACGTCGAGGTGAGGAGGCGAGGGAGGGGGGAGGAAGGCCGGCTTCCCGGGCGAGAGGGGGAGGCGGAGCAGAAAGGACAGTCGAGGGAGTGGAGCAAGAGCAAGAGGCGCCCAGCACGCTCGCGCGAGCCCGAGGACCTCGCGCCAACGGAGCGAGTCCGTTGCAGACGCCGCGCGTCGGCGTGCAGGCGGCCTGAGCTGACGGGCAAGCCGAGACAAGAGACACGCTGCGGAGCGCATCGGTACGAGCGTGCGTGCGATCGAGGTCGAGGGGAGAGAGGACGCGCGGGAAGAGAAGAGGGAGGAGCGAGAACGAGAGAAACTGACTGTGGCTCCCGATCACTCTCTCTTGGTGCTCGACGAAGCACGAGAGCAAGGTCGTGACGTACTTCTGGTTCCCAACAGCCGAGTGGTCTACAAGTCGAGGAGCGCGGCAAGGCCAACTTCGAGGAGACGAGGGAGGGAGGGAGGGGGGACAAAACAGAGACGACCCGACAGAGGGGACACGGCAGTAGGGGAATCTATTGGCACATAGGGAGCGGCCCGAGCAACGTAGGCGGCGTCGAGGCGAGGAAGCCTCGTCGCGCTGCAACCGCTCGAAGGCGCAGGTCTTTTTGACGTGGCGCTAGCCAGCGCACATCTTGGGGCTGCCGTCGACGGCGAAGGTACGGCTGGATGACGAAAGGTAGTGGTATCGAAGGACGGAAAAGCTGGAGGCGAGGGCGAGGAGGCGAGGGCGAGGTGGCGAGGTGGCAGGAGGGGGATCGTCGAGGAGGAGCGGGGCCGACGAGGAACGCCGACAAGGACGCTCAGCGGTCGCCGCCCTGGAGCGAATCGCTGAGGCTCGAGCGATTATCGCCGGCGGCCGTCGACGACAGGCCTCGCCCGAGAGGCGGCGACATCGGCGCCGAGTGCTGCGACAGCGTCGGGCTCGGTTGAGGCGGGCCCGAGACGATGCGCTGCTGCTGCTGCTGCTTGAGCGTGACCGTGCCGAGGGCGGGCGAGACCTGGCCCGCGAACGACGTGCGCGACGTGGGCCGCTGCGGCTGCGGCTGCTGCCACTGGTGCTGCGGCATCGAGCCCGGCGGACCCTGCTGCTGCTGCTGCTGCTGCATCGCCGCGAAGCTCTGCTGCGAGTGCGACGGCGACATGTGGTTGCCGCTGGGATACGGCCCGGCAAAGTCGGCGCCCGCCGCCGTGTTGCCGACCGCCGGGGCCGGGCTCGCCTCGTGCGACGTGCCACCGACCTGTGACGAGTTCTGCGACGAGTCGACCGGGCCCCTCGGCGGCTCGTCATGCGCATCGTGCGTTTCGGGAGGAGGTGCGGTAGGGCCAGGCGGCAGGTTGAAGTGCTCTCGCAGAGCGCGATTGTCGTTGACGAGCTCCTCGGTGAACGCCTTGAGGCTCGCGACGTACTCGTTGGCTAAAGACGATGGACGTGCGTCAGGGAATACTCAGAACGGACAAGGAGAGAGAGAGAGAGAGGAAGAGGGACGCACCCTTGCTCAGGATCTCCCACTTGCTCGCCTTGAGCCCTCGGTCGAACGGCAACTGCTCGCGCAGGTCCTCGAACAGCTGCGCCATCTCCTTGCGCCGCTTACGCTCGGCGAGCTTGTGGCTGACGCGCAGCTCCGGGCTGCGCGAGTACGGCGTCTCCTTGGACGGCGGGCCCTGGCCGGGAGCGTACGCCGACGACGGGTCGAGCCCGACCGAGCCCGACGAGTCGTGCCGCGAGACGGCGAGGCCGGGAGGAGGTACGGGCGGACCACCTCGCGCCCAAGGTGCGGGAGGGCCGGGAGGAGGGCCCGACGTGTGCGGTTGGTGCGGCTGCTGCAGCGGCGGCGGGTACGAGGACGAGGTGGGCGGGCGCGAGTTGGGATCGTCGAGCTCGTTGGCAGGCGTTGGCGGCTCGGACGATATGGTGAGGGAAGGGTGAGGAGGAGGGCGTGCGTGCGCAGGAGGTGGAGGCCAGGCTGGAGGTGGGCCCGGGTGCGACGGGTGCGGCGGCGGCGGCGCGCCGCCGGCGGGGTAGAACGGCTGCTGGCCCTGCATCATCTGGCTCACGCTCGGGATGCTCGGGCGGCGAGCGAACGAGCTCGGCTCGTCGCCATACATGCCGCGCGCGATCGAGCCGCGAGGGCCGACCTGCTGGGCGTCCCAAGCCGGCCCTTGCTGCCCGGCGTGGTGCGACGGCGGCGCGGACGACGGCGGCGGGGCGCGCAGCTCGTAGCCCTGCACGCTCGGGTGCACGTTGTGGTACGCCGGGACCGAGTAGCCGTGGCTGCTGTGGCTGCCGTAGCTCTCGTCGCTGCCGCGCCGGTCCTCCTCCCACGGGCTCATTGGGCCGAACGACGAGTCGCGCCGCTGCTGCTCGGCGAGGCTCAGGCCGTTGAGCTTCTCGTACGTAAGCGTCGACGTGCGCCGCTTCGGGTGCGGCGCAGCGCCGGCCGAGGGAGGACCGCGCAGGTAAGGCGAGTTGGCCGGGTACGAGCCGTAGCCCTCCTCGTGCGCGGCCGACTCGTCCGACGTCTTGCGCTTGAGGCTCGGCGACGGGCTGTGCCGCGGCGGCTGGGCGAGAGGTCGAGGCGGCTGAGGAGGACGGGGGAGGGATGAGCGGCCGGGCGAGCTGTGGCCGCTGCCGCGGTGGGACATGGGCGGGCGGCTCATCGGGTAGTCGCGGAAGGATGCGCCGTCGGGAGGCGGTGGGGGTGGCGGCGGCACGTTTGGGCCCTGGGAAGGCCCGCCGAAGCGGTAGCTCGCGGCGGGGACGACGGGGCCGGGCTCGTACGACATGCCCGGGTGCGGCGGCGGCGGCGGCGGCTGGTGGTGCTGCTGCTCGTCGTACGGCTGCGCGCCGTACTCGAACCCGTCGTGCGCCGGTCCAGCCGAGCCGGGTGGGGGAGGATAGCGCGCGTCGTGCATGCCGTGGTGGTGGTCGCGCGAGGGCGAGGGTGCGCGAAGCACTTCCATCGGCATGGCGCCGGGTTGCGGGACCGGCGGGAGGTCGTCTCGGCGAGCGTGGTCGTGTGCGAGTGCGGGCGAGAACGACTCGTGGAGGTGCGAGGGCGGAGGAGGGTGCTGCGCGCCGGAGAAGGCGTGGAGGAAAGGATCCGAGTTGACGCTCTGGCGGCGGCCCGGGTTGAAGCCCTGCGAGGCGCAACGAGTGCAGTGTCAGTTGCTGGTGCTCTTGCCGCACACGCAGGTCGCGCTCGCGACCCCAGGGAGGGCGGAGCAACGGCGCGGGGCCAGAGGTGCCGGACGCCCCGCCGCTCGCCGCCCAGCCTCGCCGAGAGCGACAGAGAGAGAGAGGTCGCACAGGGGCTTCGAGAAAGTCTGCAGGCGGCAGGGACACGGGTGGCAGGCGCACAGGGGCGAGCGCCGCACCGGACGAGCTGGACGGTGCCGAGCCCGACGCGAACGGCACAGGTGGAGGAGGACGAGGTGCGTCGCCGACGGTGTCGAGCGAGTGCGAGTGCGCGTGGTGGTGCCGCTGAGCGCTGGCCTGGGCGTGCTGCTGCTGCTGAGGGTCGAGGGCAGCAGCTTGCGCCTCCATGGCCGTCGGGCGGGCGGGAAGGAGGTGTCGACCTTCTCCCACGCGAGCGGCGCGAGGGGGGAGCGAATGCACGCCAGCCAGCCAGCGCAAGCGAGAGCCCTGGCCGAGACTCGCTGATCGCACCGGCGGAAACGCGGGGAATTCGAGGGGCGACGAAGCACGGACCTGCTTCTCTCTGTCCTCTCTCCATGCTCGAGCGTCAACAGCGAAGCGCCGGCCTGCTGTTCAGCGCCGTCGAGCTGTCGCACAAGCACCTCGAGGCAACGAACGACCGTCCGACGCCGCTGTGTCCAACACGAGCCGACGACGGCGCGCGAACCCCGAGTTGGGAAGGTCGTCGACGCAGCTCCGTCGCCGCTCGTTTCGCTCGCGTGGCCGTCTCTCGAAGCCTCGCGCCCTCTCGCGCGTGCGAGAGCTCGTCGACGCTCGTCGCTCCTGCATTCCCTGCGCGAGCGGCGCTCCGCTGCGAGACCTGGCCTCGAGCGGTCCGTGCAGGCTTGTGCGTCGCCTCTGTCCAGCTGCTGCCGTCCCTGAGCTCTCTCTCGTCTCGTGCGCCCCCTTGCAGACTACGGCGAGCTCTGTAGAGAGATAGCGCCGCCCGACTGTAGCTCGTGCGAGTCCCGAAAAGCGGCGAGCAAGGCACGATCGCCAGTCTGTTCGGTCGCCCGTGAGAGGTGCTCTCCCACAGTACAGCCGCTACGAGCACGCACTCAGTCTCGTCGTGGCGAGCCGCAGTCGCTCGGACGAAGCACAGAGTGCCGTCTCGAGACGCGAGCAGAAGCCGGACGAGGGGGGCGAGGATCTGACCGCTCGCACGACCGAGCCGCGACAGCGAGACTCGAGCAGGCACGAGCCGACGTCGACAAGATGGATAACAGACTTGGTTTCATTAACGCAGAGAAGGGGAGGGGGGCGAGGAGAAGAAGAACGAGGCGAGCGTGAAAGATGGGGAGGGGCTGCGAGTCGCCGAGCGAGGCTGACACGCTTCTGCCGCAAGAGGAGGGAAAGAGGACGTAGAGCAACGCTGTGCCAGGTCTCGGGCCCGGACGAGTCGAGCGCGCTCAAAGTCGCGGGAGGCTAGTGCACGGACGCCTTGGGCGCCTCGTCGACCTTGTCGGCCGTACCCGAGCCCGTCGACGCCGTCGACGCCTCGCCCTTGACCGCAGTGGGGACGTGGCCGTCGCCGGCGTCGTGGATGCGCTTGAGCTCGCGACGGGCGAGCCAGTGCGACTCGGGCACGGCCCACCAGGAAACCACGCCGCCGACCGTGACGAACGCAAAGATGGCGAACGCGTAGTTGAGGTTCTCGCCCTGGACGAGTAGAAGGAGGATCAACGCGAGTCAGAGACTGACCCAGGAGAAGGGAGGAAAAGGGAGCGCACCGTGACAGGGAACTCGAGCGGCGAGAAGAGGACGGCGAGGAGGTAGGCTGCGCGGGACCTTGAATGTCAGTGACTCGCTCGAGCGACACGCGAGAGTGGGAGAGCGAGAGGACGACGCACTGTTCCAGATGGCGGCGATGACCGAGAACGGGATCGAGAACCGGCCGTTCGACCACTTGGCGTTGGCAAAGTGGCCGCGCGTGAAGATGAGGCGCAAAGCCGGGATGAGGGCGTATGCGGCGATGGTCGGGACGGCGCCGCACGAGACGAGCGAGGTGAACGCGACCGACGACGGGAGGATCGTGAGGAGGAGGACGCCGGCGACGATGCCGATAAAGATGATGGCGTTCTTGGGCTGCCCGTTCTTGTCGACCTTGCCGATCCACTTGGAGCCAGGGAGGATGCCGTCGCGCGCGATGGCAAAGATGAGGCGCGAGGCGGCCGTGACGGCGAGCGACGTGTTGATGAGGAGGCCGGCGATGGCGACGAGCGTCATGACCATCTGGCCGCCGCGCCCGAGGGCGAGCTGGTAGATCGTGACGAACGGCTGAGGCGTGTAGATGTCGAACAGGACGTCGAGGTCGGGCGAGCAGAAGAGGAAGAGGATGAGGAGGGGAAAGGCGAGGAGTCCCGAGATGGCGCACGACCAGAACATGCCGCGCGCCGAGGCGAGCGACGCGTTCTTCGTCTCCTCGGCGATGTGCCCTATCGAGGAGGAGAGAGGGCGAGAGAGTCAGTTGACTGAATCGAGCACGAGAGAAAGTCTCGCGACGGGAGGGGAGGAGCTCGAGGAGGAGGAGCTCGAGGAGGAGAGAAGGGCTCGAGCGCACCTGAGGCGTCCCACCCGGTCAACACGCCCGAGGTCGACAGGAACGACAGCTGCCACGTCCAGGCGTCGTCGGCACCGGCGCCGTTGTAGAACTTCTTGAAGACAAAGTCGGCCGACTGGAAGCCGTACGTCTGGCTGACGCCGATCGGGAGCCAGATGACGGTGAGGAGGAAGTCGAGCGCGATGATGATGGCCGACGCCTTGAAGATCCACGCGAACCGGCGCGGCGACATGAGGTTGGACAGGATCGTGATGAGGAGGAACACCTCGGCGACGGCCCACTCGACGGCGCGGAACTTGACGTTGGTCTTGTCGAGGCCGCCGGGGAAGTACGTGTTGAAGACGGCGAGCTCGCTGAACATAAAGTCGGCCGTGCCGATCGTGTTGCTCGCGACGAACGAGGTCCACGCAGTTGCGGCCCACCATGCGACGACGAAGCCGAAGAAGCGGCCGTACTTCTTGCCGCCGGCCTCGGCGGCCCAGACGTAGATCGAGCCGCTCAGAGGGATAGACGAGCAGATCTCGGCGAGGGATGCAGCTGCAGGGACGGCAAGAGGGGGGAGGTGAGCTCCTCGAGATCTCGACAGCGAGGGAGGGAAACGATTGCGGCGGCGCACCGGTGACGGTCATGAGGACGACCGTGATGAGCATGCTGTGTGGGACCCGAAGAGTCAGCTGCCGTACGAGTATGAAGAGAGAAGTAAAGGTGAGGGGACGCACCTGGACCAGAGGGCGACGGGGCCGCCGTTGTACAGGCCGTAGGCGTAGAGCAACCTTGAGCCGCCGACGACGTAGAGGGCGCCAAAGCCCGCCATAAATGCCTCGAACTGGGCCCATGTGCGGTGAAGAACCTGGGCGCAGGCGACGAGAGTGAGCGGGTGCCGGCAGAGACGAGGCGAAAGAGGGGACGGACCTGCTTGTACCCAAAGGCGGCCTTTGCGTCGACATCCGAGTCAGCTCTTTCCGCTCCTCGGCAGATCCTCGAACTCGCTCGGGCGAGAGAGACTCGAGGGGGGAAGGGGGAGAGGGTAGGGGAACGACGCCGCGACTCGAGAGAGCCGGGCCAGGTCACGATCCTTTCGCACGTATTGACGTGATCAAGTTCGTACGGTATATTCTCAGCGTCGCACCGGGCTCCAACCGCTCTTTCGCCTCCTCGCCCTCGTGAGAGGGAGAGAGAGGACGAGGCAGATGCGGGAGGAAGGACCTCGTCTCGCCCTCGCGAGGAGGGACGGGACGAGCCGTGCACGCCGTCAGCCCCTCTCGAGAGAGAGGCGTCTGGGTAGCGACGGCCGGTATGAGCACCCGCGGTGACCTAAACAAGGGGGGAGAGGGAGGACGACCTCGCGAGCGAGGAGCGGCACACCCGCCCGCCGCCCCGGGGAAGGAAAGAGAGGGGTCTGGCGCGGTTGTCCGGGTGGACGAGGGCGTACACGCAGGCGGGAGCTTGATATCGAGAGGAGGGTCGCGACCGTGGGCCGCTCATCGCAAGTTGCGCGCCTCGTCGAGGCTCACGAGCTGCTCCTCGTCGCCGTAGCTGCTCAGGCTGCGCTTGTCGGTGTTATCGTCGCTCATGGTCGGTCGCACAGTCGAGTCGAGCGGTGATGGGAGCGAGGTGGAGAGCGAGCCGACGGCGCCCTGCGACGAGCCGAGGTCGGCCGCCAGATCGACAGAGCTTGGACCCGCTCTCGAGCTCTCTGGATTGCGTCTCTGGCTGTGCGTGCTCGAGTACCCGGTGCGCGCTTTGCTCTCATGTACGCGCGCTTGCGAGCAAAGGGAGAGGAGAAAAGGAGAGTCGCGGCGGTACCGGGCGGCCTTCTCAAACTGCGGTTGCTCTCTCTCTCGGTGGTCGGTCGAGCTGTGGTACGACGATGTTGCAGGTTGCAGAACAGTAGGAATGACAGGGAAGGAGGGGGTGAGGACAATCTTTGCGAGCCCTCGTCCTCGAGGTGTCCGTCTTGGCGCATCTCGAGACCGACAGGAATGGCGAGGGCGACGTCGACGAGGCTCTCAAGAGTACTCCTTAGTGATGAACTTGCCGATAGTGATCTGCTGGATGTTGCTGCGAGAGAGAGGAACAGGGAGGGAGGGACGAGGGAGGTCAGCGAGAGGCGAACGACTGGGCCGACGGGGACGCGACGAGTAGAGGACGAGAGTGCGCACCTGGTGCCCTCGTAGAGCGCGCCAACTGTGAGATAGGGAAAGAGGACGTCAGGGACACTTTCGAGTGGAAGGGCGGCGCCGGTAAAGGCGGCCATGTGGCCGAAGAGAAAGAGGTCGACGCACTCTTCGAGTCGCGCCAGTACTTCTCGATGCCGGTCTCGCTGCATAGGAGGAAGAGCGAGTCAGTCTCGGCGACAAGCGGGCGTCGCCGTCGAGGAAAGGGAGCGCGTCGACGCACCGAGTGTAGCCGACGCCGCCCGCCCACTCGATCGCGCTGCCCGACGCCTTCTGCGCGACGACCGACGAGTACCACTTGGCCATGGCGGCCTGCTTGGTGAACGCGTGGCCCTGCTCCTTGAGGCGAGCCGCGTTGTACGTCAGGAGGCGCGCCGCCTCGATCTCGGTCGCGACGTCGGCAAACTGCATCTGCATGCCCTGGAACTGCAGGAGTGCTCGGCGGGTCAGGGTCACGCTCGACGAGGCATGTCGAGGCAAGAGAGGAAGGGAGAGTGGGACGTACGAGGCCGACGGCCTGGCCGAACTGCTTGCGCTGGAACGCGTACGAGACCGACTTGTCGAAGGCGCCCTGGGCGAGGCCGACCATCTGCGCAGCGATACCGACACGGCCCTCGTTCAGGATCTCGATGGCGTACCTGTGGGCGAGCACGAGTCAGTGCGGGTGCGGCGCGTCGCGAGAGGAGGAGGGGAGACGCACTTGTAGCCCTGGCCCTCGACGCCGAGCAGGTTCTCTGCCGGGATCTTGAGGTCGTCAAAGTTGAGCGTGCAGGTCGACGATGCGCGAATGCCGAGCTGCAGGTGCGCGAGGACGAACAGGTCAGCGTCGGCGGTCCGAGCCTACGAGAACGAGGAAGAGGACGAGAGGGCGCACCTTCTTCTCCTTCTTGGCGATCTCGACGCCCATCTCCTTCTCGACGACGAAGCACGAGATGCCCTTGTAGCCCTTGCTCGGGTCGACCGTCGCGAAGACCTGCCCGAAGGAAAGAGGCGTGAGCGCGCGACTCGGGGGTTGGGGCAGTGGCGGTGAGGGCGACGGGACGCACGAGGAAGATGTCGGCCTCTGCCGAGTTGGTGATCCACATCTTGGAGCCGTTAAGCGTGTAGTACGAGCCGTCCTCGCTCTTCTTGGCAGTCGTCTTGAGCGCGAACGCGTCCGAGCCGGACGCAGGCTCCGACAGGGCGAACGAGCCGAGCTGTGGCGGGTGGGTGCGGGGAGGGGGGCCAGGAGAGTCAGTGTTCTGCCAAATGACGAGCGCGAGAGGGTCGACGAGGGCTGGCGAGAGCGGGACGCACCTTCTCGGAGGAGAGCAGCGGGAGGTACTTGTTCTTGAGGTGGTCGCTCGCGTACTTGCGGAAGACGGTGTTGACGAGCGTGTTGTGGACGTCGCAGCACACGCTGACGGCCGGGTCGACCTTGGCGAGCTCCTCGATGGCGAGGATCGCAGAGGTGAACGAGGCGCCGGCGCCGCCGTGCTCCGGGTCCGTCTCGATGCCCATGAGCTGCGCGCGTGCGAGGCGTCAGGGTGGGCTCGACGGGCAGGGTCAAGGGGAAGGGTGGGACGCACACCCTGCTCGAACAGGCCCTTGATGATGGCCGGGTCCATCTTCTCGTTCTCGTCCATCTCGTAGACTCGCGGTGCGACGACCTCCTCCGAGAACTTCTTAACTGCGGTCGCGGGCAGGGTACGGTCAGCATCGAGGCCTTTGAACGCGATACACGAGGACCGCGGCTGCCGAGGAACGCCTCGGCATCGGCAAGGGAAAGCGCGCGGGAAAGGAGGAGAGGGGGGACGGACCGGCCTCCTTGAGCATGACCTCCTCCTCGGTGAGGCTGTAGAGCGACGTCGGCTTCTCGGCCTCGATGTACGACGAGAAGGCCCTGCGGTCGGGCGATGGTCAGGTTGCGAGACGGAGTGCGCGTGAAAGTGGGGGGCGGGTGGACGCACCTCGACGAGGCGGCGAGGGGCGCAGGGCGAGCGCAGGCGGCGAGGGAGCGCGAGGCGGTGCGGACAGTGCGGCTGAGCATGGTGGTGGTCGTCGCTGTGCGGTCGCGAGGGTGAGGAGGAAGAGAGAGAGAGTCGAGAGAGACGGCACGCCGGCGGGCTTGGCCGGTCGCCGGTCGCGGACTCTCGAAAATCGCAGGCGTCTGCAGAGATCTCCTGTCGGTACTGTGAGAACTTGAACAGCAGGCACAGCCCTGTCACAGCTTCTCGCGAGCGGTGTGGGAGGAGCGAGTTGCGGTCGCCTGCAGGCGAGACGGTCGCTCGCCTCTCTCCTCCCGCGGATGCCGGCTTCCGACTACCAGCACAAGCCAGGCGGATCTCTCAAGCTCAAGGGTGCCGGAGGGGCAGTCGAACCGTCGTGCGTCCCCTCTCGCTGCTGTCCTCCCTCTCCCCGTTCCACCTCGTTCCCTCATCACCCTCGGCGGCCCGCCTCAGCCTCACGACACGTGCTGACCCTGTGCCTCCCCACCTGCGATACAGGAAGAAGAAGAAGAAGAAGTCGAGCGCGAGCAAGAAGGCGCGCGACGAGGACCGCGACGCGCCGGCCTCGGCGAGTGGGAGCGGCCAGGAGCGCAGCCAGAGTCCGGCCGTCGGCGGCAGCGGTGGCAGCACGAGCGTCGCCGCCTCGGGCAAGACCGAGGCACAGCGTCGCTTCGAGGAAGTTCAGCGCAAGCGGGTGCGTCCCTCTCCCGCCCCTCTCTCGTTCCTCTGTCGGCCCTCGGCTCACGACTCGCTCGACGCAACAGCTCCTCGAAAAGGCGGCAAAGGCGGCCGTCAAGTCGCACAAGGAGCGTGTCGCTGAGTTCAACGAGAAGCTCGAGAACCTCTCGGAGCACTACGACATCCCCAAGGTCCGTCCTCGCCCTCACGTCCCTTCTTCCCCTCGCACCGCGCCCTCGCTCACTCTCTCGCGCCCTCTGCAGGTCGGCCCTGGCTGAGCTCCTCCCTTTGTCGTACTCGTTCTCCCGTGTCGCGCTCTGCAATACCGTCATTCCTCGTCTGGTCCAGCCTGTCGCCCGCCCGTCCGTCACTCGCTGCTCGCTTCCTCGCAAGCTCGCCTCCGAGCGGTGCTCTCTCTCTTCCTCTCTCTCTCTCTCTTCCTCCCTCTCTCTCTCTTGTCTCTCCTCGCTCTCGGCCGCTCTCGACGCTCGTCATGCAAAGCTCGTCGAACCAGTTGCGCGCCCGGCTTGCTCAGCTACGCTGCCGCCTCGACCTCCTGCGCCGGGTCCGACTTGATATATGTCTCGGCGAGGCGCTGCTCGACATAGTCGCCCGCCTTGACGGGCTCGTACAGCGCCGGTCGGTCCGGCGTGACGCACGACGGGATGACGGCAACCTCGGCGTCGTAGTCGAGGCCGAAGAAGAACGGGAGCGAGTAGCGCGACACGCCGCTGCGGTTGATGGCGCGGTGGACGGTCGAGCGGAACAGGCCGTTCGACATGCGCTGCAGCATGTCGGCGATGTTGAGGACGAACGTGCCCGGGACAGGAGGCGCGATGACCCACTCGCCGGCCGAGTTGAGGACCTGCAGCGCCTGGGTGTCGCCGTGCTGGAGGAGGAGCGTGAAGCACTCGTAGTCCCTGGTCAGGCGCGATCGAGTCAGTTCCTCATCTGCAGTCGGCAACGAGAGAACGAGAGGGAGAGACGAGGAGACAGTCGACGCACGTGTGCGCACCGATCCCGAGTTCCCTCGCGTCGATCTCGCCGAACTGCGGCGGGTAGTACAGGACCCGCATCGTGTGCCCTGGGCGCCGCAGCTTGTCGTCAAAGTAGTGCTCGTCGAGGCCGAGGGCGAGGGCGAACAGCGGGAAGAGGCGCTTGCCGAGCGCCATGATCTCGTCCCTGTTGTCAGGTGAGCGGGTCAGTTGAACGCCCGAGGCGGGACTCGAAGGAGGAGAAGGAGGAGGAGGAGGATGCAGAGGAGCGAGAGGGACGCACCAGGTCTTCTGCAGCGTCGGCTTGAAGTCGGGGAGGTCGTCGGCTGGCGGCCACACGTTGCCGTGGTTCGAGCCCTCCTTCATGACCTGCGCGTCGTCGCCCATATCCCACGCTTCATGTATATCACCTCGCGCGGCCGGGTCGACGTTCTCGCCCTTGAGCGGCGCGAAGCCCCGGAACGACTCGGCGTCGCGCACGAGCATCTTCTTGTCGGTCGGCTGAGCGAAGAACTGCTTGGCCTGGTCAAACGCGGCGTCGATGACCTCCTGCGCGACGCCGTGGTCGGCGATGTACATGAAGCCCGTGTTGACGGCGGCGTCTTGGATCTGCGCGGGCACGGTCGAGGTCAACTCGGCTTGCGCAGGCAAGAGAGAGACGGGCGGGGCCAGCTCGGCCTGGTCAGGCAAGAGAGAGAGAGAAGGGGACGCACCTCGGCTGCGAGGGCTTTGCGGTCGTCGAGCGAGCCGTTCAAGCGGGCGAGCGAGATAATGGGCAAGGCGGTGAAAGCGGCGGCGTCTGTCGATGCCGAGACGAGGCGTTGGCCGAGGCCGGTCGTGAGGGTGCTGGTGCTCATGGCCTCGAGGTAGCTGGAGGTGCAGAGCTGAGAGCGCGAGCGAGAGGAGGAGGAGGAGGAGGAGGAGGAGGAGGAAGTCGGCCGAGCGTCGGCCGTCGCGGCCGTGGGCAGAATCGGTGGACCGCTCTCGCGTGGCGCGGCTCTTGGTCGTCGAGCGAGGCCAGCAGTCTTGTCGTGCAACCTGTCGGCGGCAGCGCCTGCGAACGGCGAGCAGAGCGAGGGCCAGGCGGTGCTCGTCGGCCCCACCTCTCGACCCGCTCCTCGTCCTTCTCCCATCAGCCTCGCCACGACGAGCGCAGCTCGAGCACTACCGCGGCACCATGCACGGCCTCGTGTGTCTCGTCGACGACCTCACCCACTCGCTCCCCCTTGTCCACGTCGACGTCCACGCCGCCCTCGTCGACGTGTCGGCCCAGGTCGTCGTCCGCCAGCTGTACAAGAACGACGGCGTCCTGCGTGCAGACTGCAGCTACCAGTTCCCCGTACCGGCAAGGGCCGCCGTCACCGCGTTCGCGCTCGTCAAGGTCGACGGGTCCAGGGTCGTCGGCGTCGTGCAGGAGAAGGACGAGGCCCGCATCACGTACGAGGACGCGATCAAGGAGGGCAAGCTGTCGAGCCTGGCCGAGCAGGCGTCACCCGACAGTGCGTCCACTTTCGCCTCGCTCTCGTCCGCGGTCGCCGAGCTCACTGTCCCCTCCTCCCTCTTCCCCCTCGCAGCCTTCACGACCTCGGTCGGCAACATCCTGCCCGACGAGCTCGTCACGGTCGAGCTCACCTACGTGACAGAGCTCGCCGAGGGCGAGTCGAACGATTCGGTCCGGTTCCACGTGCCCACCCATGTCGGCTGTCGCTACGGCGACCCGCCGTCGACGAGCCACGTCGCCCCCTCGGCGTCAACGACCGGCGCCTTCTTCACTGTCGACGTCAAGATCGAGAGCATGGCCGCCATCGCCAAGGTCAACTGCCCGTCGCACGCCGTGTCGACCGAGCTGGGCCCCGACCTTTCGCTCCCGGGCGCCGACCTCCTCCCGTTCAGCAACTACGCCCACGTCACGTCGACGAGCAAGCTCGCCCTGTCGTCCGACTTTGTCCTCGAGATCACGTCGGCCGGCCTCGACCGCCCACGTTGCGTCGTCGAGCACCACCCGTCGCGCAACTCGACCGCCATCTCGCTCACGGTCGTCCCGCGGTTCGACCTGCCCGAGGTCAAGGGCCAGGAGTACGTCTTCCTCGTCGACCGCAGCGGCTCGATGGGCAGCTGGGGTCCGCCGGCCGGCGGCGCCGGCAGGATCGGCCTCGCGCGCAAAGCGCTCGTCGTCCTCCTTCGGGCGCTCCCGAGCCGCGACTCGCTGTTCAACATCGTCTCGTTCGGCTCGACGCATGACATCCTGTGGCGTTCGGGCAGCCGGGCGTACAACCAGGGCACGCTCGACGAGGCGACCAAGCTCGTCGACTCCATGGACGCCGACATGGGCGGCACCGAGATCCGGGCGGCGCTCGAGTCGGTCTTCTACCTGCGCGACAAGAAGCGGCCGACGAGCGTGTTCGTCCTCACCGACGGCGACGTCTGGGACCTCGAGGGCGTCCTCGACTCGGTCAAGGCGGCCGTGTCCGCCTCGTCGGCCGACGCGCCCTTGCGCGTCTTCTCGCTCGGCATCGGCGAGTCGGCTTCGACCGCCATGGTCGACGGTCTCGCCCGCGTCGGCCGCGGCGTCGCGCAGTACGTCAGCGATGGCGAGAGCTTCACGGGCAAGGCGTCGCGGCTCCTGCGCGCGGCACGGTCGCCGCCGATCCTGAACGCCCGTATCGACATCGGCGCCGGCGCCGAGGCCGCCGCACGTGTCGCTGCTGCACAGAGCGCATCGAGCCGCAGCGACGACGAGGACTTCGAGGTCGTTGAGCCGTCCGAGGTGCCCGACGACCCGGCCGCCGACAAGGTCCAGTCGCTCAGCTTCTTCGACGAGACGGTCGACCCGCTCAAGCTCGGCAACACGCAGTCGGCGCCGACTGCCGAACCCGTCATCCTCCCTCCCCCTCCGCCCGTCCAGCTCGCCCCCTCGACCCTCCACAGCCTGTACTCCGGCTCTCGCCTCCACGCCTACGGCATCGTCTCGCCGGCCTCGCTCCTCCTCGACAAGGTCGTCTTGCGCGGCGAGCTCGCGACCGGCCAACAGCTCGAGCTCGACGTCCCGCTCGTCGAGGCCCGCACGCCGGCCTCGCCCAACTCGCCGCCGCTCCTGCACGCGCTCGCCGCGCGCAAGCTCATCCAGGAGCTCGAGGACGGCTCGTGCGCCGTGTCGCCGCCGGGCACCGAGGGCGATCTCGCGGCACGCATGCTCAAGGCGGCCGTCATTCGTCTCGGCAAGGAGTACTCGCTCGCGTCGACCCACACGTCGTTCGTCGCGGTCGACGAGGCGGACGTCAAGCGGGGCAAGGTGCCCAAAGCCGTCGTGCACGTCCTCGAGGGCGGCGGCATGGCCCGCTTTGGCGGCAGCCCAGGAGGAATGCTCGGCGGCGCCATGCCGCTCATGGCGATGGCCGCGCCGGCGCCGGGCGGTCCGCCGGGCGGTCCGCCTTCTCGTGCCATCCTGCGCTCGCGAGCGGCTCCCCTTGCGACGTTCGCCGCAGCTCCTGCGCCGGCAGCCGCGATGGCGTTCGCCGCGCCCGTTCCGCCTCCGCCGCCGGCACCTGCCCAGCACCGCCAGCCCCTCTCGGGCACCGCCGCCGCCGCCGACGCCCCCTCCCGCTCCCTCGATATGAGCCTCGACTCGCCGTCGACCGCCTCCACCGCCGCACCACTCTCCTCCCTAGCATCCTGCGACCCTTCCGCCGACCAAAGCGCTCTCGAGCCGCCATCAAGCGCCACCTCCACCGCGCCCGCAGACCGACTCGAGCAGCTAGCTCGTGCGCAGGCCTTCGACGGCTCGTTCGGTCCGTCGGCGCTCGCGGCGCTGCTCAACCCGCCGAGTCTCGACGCCCTCCCCGAGCAGGTCCGGGCTCGCGCGAGCGAACGCGTGCGGGTGACGCTCGCGGTCCTGGCGTATCTCGAGCAGGGCGTTGCCGGCGAGGAGAAGGAGGCGTGGGAGGGCATGGTAGAGAAGGCGAGGGCGTGGGTCGCCGACGAGCTCGAGGTGAGCGAGGAGGAGGTCGCGAGGCTGGTCGGGACGCTCAAGTGAGCGCTGTCTGTGTGCTGTAGCTTTCTCCGTGCATCGCAGTGATATGTCAAAGCAATCAGTGCGAGCTTTCTCTGCCTCGCTTCGTGCCCTACCACCGTCGACCGGTATGGAGCGACTTGAGAAGGTCGCCCTCGAGCTCAGCTTCTTCGCTCCTCTCGCTCGCATGCTTCTGTCTCTGTGTCTGCAGAGAGCAAGGTATCAGGGCAAGCTTGCCAGGCGTCGACAGAGACTGTCGCTCGTGGGCCAGATTACGGAGCTCTCGAGCCCCAGCTCTTGTGCGCTCGAGCCTCTCGCGCACCTTGCGCGCCTGCTCGGACCTCTCGCACGGCTCCTCCCCGTTGTGCGTACGCGCCTCTCCGCAGCTCGGGTCTCCTGTCTCTCCGCAGCTGAACGTCCGGCCCGGCTCTCGGTATCGTCGCCGAGCTGCGTCAGCGCGGAGACGGAAGCGAGGTCGGGGTGACGGCCGTGTCGGCTCGTCCTGTCGCACCGCTGCTCTCTCGAACGCTCGCTTTCTCCAGTCTCTGCTACTTGCTCGTCGTGACTGCCGCCTCTACCGCGCGAGCGCCTCGCCTGCTCTTCTCAACTCCCGCCTCGAACCATGCGTGCGTCCTCCTTCCTCCTCTCTCGCGCCTCTCCCTTGGACGCTCTGACCGTGCGTTCCCGCAGCTTTCCACGGTGCGCTACAAGGCGAGTGATCCTTGAAGGGTTCTCCAGAATGAGCGTCCTGACACGACGCTCTCGCTCCCGAACGCAGTCAAGTCGGCGGCCCTCAGCGCCAAACTCGCCGCCGAGATGAGCCTGCGCACGAGGCAGCACCCCGTGTCCTGTCAGTCGACCATCACGGTGCGCTCGGCGACCGGCAACTCGGACAAGCGTGAGCCACCTTCCTCTCGATGCCTCGCGAGAAGCGCACGAGCCCGTCTCTACCGCCGCTCTGACTCGGTCATCTGCCCGCCTGCAGTCGTCGCCGCCGGTGTCACCCACCCCGAGTCCATCAGGATCATGATCGCTGCGCTGCAGAGTCTGCTCGAGGTCCTGCGCGCGAGGGGCTCGGACCTCGGTACCGACTTTTGGACCTTCAAGGTCGTCTCGCTTTCCGGCCGTGCGTCCCCTCCCTCGTAGTCGACTCTCACAAGCACTGATTCTTTACTCGGACGCAGACAAGCCGACGAGTCGCCTGTGCGACTTGATCCGCATCGACCTCTCGCCGTCGACCCGCTCGACGACCAACGTCGTGTCGAACGTGCAGCTTGCTGAGCCGCACACGACTAAGTTTGACCGTGCGTCCCTCACGACATCGATCTGGCAACTGAGACGTGTTACTGACCCTCGCCGACCGCAGCCGACCGCGGCAACCCGGGCTGGTTCGCCGCAAAGTGGGAACGAGTCACCGACGGGCAGCGAGAAGACGGCAGTCGCCCCTCGGTGCAGGTCCGACTGAGTTGGTCCAGCCGTCAAGGAGGACAGCGCAGCGTCGAGCAGGGAAAGGCGGCCCTCGTCACGACGTTCGAGGAGTACGACGTGTTTCCTCCTCCTCCAGAGCTCGCCGTCGACGACCACCTCCTCGTCTCGATCTCTGCGTCGTCGTCGTCGTAGCGCACGAGCTCGGTTGTGCATGACAGACGTATCCTGTCCTCTCGTCAGATGCTCTAAGGAACGAGAGAGAGAGAGTGCGAGTAGAAAAAGGAAAGTTGCCGAGCAAGTCTGCTACAGCTCGCCGCCCGCCCGCCTGCCCGTCAGAGGGAACGACTGCAGCTCACGCAGTATGTCCCACCTCCGCGTCTTCCACGCTTCGAGGACGAGCCACGCCGCGTCCTCGCCCGCCCGCTCCCACACGACCGCCGGCTCCTTGATCCCGCGCACGAGCCACTCGGGCGCGTTCCTCCCTGTCACGCCGACGAGCGCCCGGTTCAAGTCGCGCCCAACGAGCGTGCTCCACCCTTCGAGGCCGAGCCACAGGCTCATCCACCCGAGCGCGATGAGCGACCCGAGGCTCGCGCCGGCGACGACCTGAGCGCGCGTGTGGTGCCCGAGCCGAACGCGGCTCCAGCACACGCTCGCCGTACCGGCGAGAAACAGGCCGGCGAGCGCGACACGCGTCACGCGCTGGCCCCACGCGCCGGCGGCGTACCGCCAGAACGAGACCTGGGCGGCACCGGGCCCGCCGAGGGTCGTCTCGGCGACGGTCGCGAACCGGTCCCAGCCCGGGAGGAGCGAGGTGACGCGGGGGTGGAGCGGGAGGATGAGGGACGACAGGGACAGGTAGGTGCCGAAGAAGGCGATCGAGGACGAGTGGGTCGAGGGCATGCCGTACGTCTTGTCGAACTTCTTGGCGCCGACGGGACGGGGCTGCTTGATGCAGCGCTTAAGGGATTTTGCTGTAGGGTCAGAGGAGGGTCAGGTGCGCTCTTTGAGAGGCAAAGAGGGAGGCCGCGGACCTGAAAAGGCGGCGACGAGGGTGCCGGCGCCAAAGTAGAGCGAGTGGGCGGTGCGGATGCGCAAGATGAAGTAGGCCGTGAGGGTCGTCACGACGAATTGGGTGTGCTGGAGCGTGTAGAGCCACAGTTGACGGAACATGGCGCCGTCGTGGTCTCCCTGGTCGTGGTCGTCGGTCGGTCGTCGAGTGAAGGGAGGTCGAGGTGGCGAGGAGGCGGCGGGGCGATGCGGAAGCTGCTCAGGCGGGACGCAGAGCTCTGTTTGGGCGTGCTGGCGGACTTGCAGCGCTGCTCTGCGCTGGCGAGAGCGGTGGAGAGAGGTCGACCCGATTCTCATCTCTCGTTCGCTCGGGTTCGCCTCGACCACGACCTCGCTCTCGCTCCGATCAGCCAGGATGCAGCGAGCCCCGACCCTCGTGCTCTGCAGCTACCGCCAGCTCGCCGCCCCTCCCGCCCGCGCCTTCTCGACCTGCTCCCGCCTCTCGTCTCGAGCGTCCAAGGACCGCCGCGTCAAGTGGACCCCGCCCGCCGCTCAAGCCACCACGAGCCCCGGCCAAGCAGGCACCGACGCCGCACGGTCCGGCGCAGCGAGCGGCGGGCTCTTCGAGGGCGAGCCCGTCGAGGACAAGGTCGGCGAGATCACGCCCGAGGTCATCGAGCGCGAGATGCTCGACGTCCAGCACGAGGTGCGCCAGCAGGTTGGCGGCCGCGACCGCGAGAACCTTGCCGGCACCGACGTCGGAGGAGGCGGTGGGCCGTCGGCATCATCAGCGTCGTCGTCGAGCAGCCGCGCCGAGCAGGAGCCCGTCGTCGAGGGCGAGGGCGAGCTCGTCTACACGGCCACGCCGCCGTTCAACGTGCCGCTCATGCTGTCGGTCTCGTTCGTCATGTCGGTCTTCTGCCTCGCGTGCGCCGACTTTGCGCGGGTCGGCGTCGAGCAGTACGACGAGGAGACGGGCACCTACGAGGTCACGCCCGCCTGGAAGCGGTACACGCTCGCCGGCGGTGCCGCGAGCGTCGGCGTCGGCATTGCCGTCTGGGGCTCGCTCGCGCCGACTCGGCTCATCAGCAAGATGACGCTGCACCGCACGGCGTCGTCGCTCCACTCGCCTTTGCCGTTCCCTCGCGACTCGCTCATCGTCCTCGAGGTGCGCCCCGCCTCCTTTCTCTCTCCCTCTTTTATCCCACCTGACAGGTCTATCTCTCTCCTGCAGAACCCGTTGAGCCCGCTCCTGCGCAAGCTCGGCCAAAAGCCGCGAGCCGTCCCGCTCTCGCGCATCCGCCTCCTTGGCCCCATCTCGGCGTCGGCCAAGCCCTATCACCCGCTCATGCAGGCGCCCAAGAGCAAGCGACCCGGTGTGCGTCCCTCTGTCTCCCTTCTCTCCATGCGCTCGAGCCCGACTGACCCTCGTTTTGACCCCGACAGCGCATCGCGACCCTCCTCGGCCCCCTGCGCGACAAGTTCATCGCGCCCTCGTCGCCCGTCAAGGCGCAGCCGACGCCCTGGAACAACAAGCGCCTGTCGCACTCGCCGTTCGTCATCGAGGGCGACCGCGCGAGCTACTCGCTCGCCGTCAAGCGTGCGCCCGAGCCGTTCAGCGACAAGGGCGCGTGGTGCAAGGACTGGGACGCGCTCGAGCGGGCGCTGCTCGGCGTCGACGAGACCAAGTGGACCAAGCGGTAGAGTCGGAGCAGGGCGAGCGGGTGCAACTCTGTGCCGGCCGCGTCGAGATATCTGTGTGCGAGCGAGCGAAAGAGAGGCGGTGCCCCACCGGACTTTTGGCGCGATCTCGTTCGGCGTGCCGCAAACGGCCCAGGTCGAGATTTCGCCATCAGTCAATCTCGCCCTCGCTCCTCGCGCTCGCCTCTCAGCCCAACAACCAGCTGCACCCAAGCGCGTCCTCTACTCGGCTCGACAGGCTCCCGCACGCCACGCTCGCGCCCTCCTGCTCTCGCCCTATCTCGCCAGCCATGTCGTTCGTGTTCCGCGGGTACCGTGCGTCCCTCGTCCTCCCTCTCCCCCGGTCGACGCGGCAGGGAAGAGCTGACCTCTTGCCCGTGCAGTGCGGCTGCTGCAGAGGTACACGCTGGCGACGCAGATGGGCACGAGTGCTGTCACGGCGTCAGTCGGCGACCTGATCTACCAGACGCAGTTCGAGGACAAGCGGTTGAGCGAGGTCGAGGTGCGCCCACTCACTCTCTCTCGCTCGCGCCCCGCCGTGCACTGAGCCTGTCAAGCTGACTTGGACTGGGCACACGACAACAGTGGTACCGCACGCGCCGCATGTGTATCTACGGTGGCCTCGTCTGGGCGCCCATCTCGGTGCGTCCTCGCTCTCTTCCCCCCTTCGCCCGCCCCGTGTCCTGACTCGCCGAGCTGACCTGATTCTCTACTCCTGCACGCAGAACCGGTGGCACACTCTCGTCCTGAACCGCATCAACCTCCAGGGCCGCGTCAAGAGTGAGTCGCAGCCGCGCCTTCCCTTCCCTCCTCGAGGTCCGCGGTCAACTCGTCAGGGCGCGTCGCGAGGTGAAAAAGAGCGAGGCGGCATGGGCAGCGACCCGAGTCCGGTCAGGGAGAAGGTGGCGGCCAGGGCGGGCGACTGGGACGTCCGGGAGCAGCCTGCCGCAGCACCGCCTGGACCTCTTTTGCTCGCGCCATACTGACTCGAGCTCCTCTTTCCTCGCAGCCGTCCTCGCCCGAACAGCGATCGACCTGTCCTTCTTCTCGCCGTTCGCCACCTGCCTCTTCTACACGTCGCAGGGCGCGTTCGAGGGCCGACCGCTGCGCACGCCCGCCGTCCCCGACGCGCCCCAGGGCATCTACGAGCGGCTCGAAGAGCGCCTACTGCCGACGGTACAGAAGCAGTGGGCCGTGTGGGGCCCGGTCAACCGTGCGTCCCGCTCTCCTGCCCCTCTCGTCGTCGTCGTCGTCGTCATTCGCGCTCGGGCCTGACCTTCCTTTTTGTCCGCTCTCTCGCTCTCCTGCCTGCCTCTCCTCGTCGTCGTCGTTCGCCAGTCATCAACCTGAGCGTCATCCCCGTCTACGGCCGACCACCGTTCGCAAACATGGTGAGCATCGGTTGGAACGCCTTCCTGGCCGCCGGCGCCGCTCGAGGCGGCATTCCTCCCGGCGGCAACACGATGGAGCTCGAGACGTCTCTCGCAGCTGCCGAGGCCATGGAGTGAAGCACCCTCCTCCCTGCGCTATATACCCCGACCGTCCCTCGCACATAGAACAGACACTGCCTTGTCGAGGCGGCCCGTCGTCCCTCCCTTTCGTTCTTTTCTCGCACTTGCAACATCAGTCACTCTCGTTCCTCGCACTCTCGAGCTCGCCGGACCGTACAGAGAGAGAGAGTCATAGTCTCTATAGACAGCGAGCGACTGCTTCTACGCTCGGTCGGAGGACGTGTCCGTGCGAGGATGGGGAAGGAGCGACGAAAAGGAGAGGTCCGTGCCCGAACCAGCGGGTCGGCGACGAGGGAAGGAGCGAAAGGGGGTAACGATAGAGAGGGAGAGGGGCGAGGGTCGCTCTAGGCGAGGTTGGCGAACCCGACCGAGCTCTCGCCGGCGTTGAAGACCGTGTAGACGTTGCGCAGGAAGCTGTCGCCGACGATCCACGCCTCGACGCCGACGTCCTGACCGACGATCGACGCGACGCACCTCGAGCTCTGCGTCTCGAGAGAACTGTGAGTGCTGCAGGCGCGAGAGAGAGAGAGAGAGCAGAGGAGCAGGACGCACGCCGAGCTCTGTGAGGCCGAGGTTGAGGTCTGCGAGGGTCCGAGCGAGGTTGACGTGAGCGCGTGGCCTCTCGCCTCGCGCGAATAACGATCGTCATGAAGAGAGAGAGCTCGACGCACACTTGCTCGGGATCTCGTACGAGACGCCGCCGAACTCGAACGCGGCCTTGAACGGCAACGAGCAAGGGTAGCTCCAGTAGCCGTTCTGGAACGGCCTGGCGCCGCGCACCCGCCTGAAGAACTTGGCGACCGAGGTAGGAGGACCCTGCGGGCGAACGAGAGCGTCGTGAGCGTCGCGAGGGGGAGAAAGAGCGAAGGAACGAGGGACGCACGAGGACGAGCGTCGTGCCAGTGTCGATGATCATCTGCTCGGGCGCAAGCTTGATCCCGTTGGCGCTTGCTGCACCCTCGACCTGCCAGTCTGCGGGCGCAAGACGATGCGAGTCAGGTCGGCGCTGCGAGAAGAGAAGGAGCGAGAGGGGAACGGCGAGACGCACATCCGGCTTGCGTGACGGGCGTGTACGTGAGCTCGCCCGAGTACTTGGCGTCGTCGAGGCCGCCGAGGTACAGCTCGCCCTCGTCGGTGTCGCCCAGGACGAACGAGAACAGGTTCTGCGACACGTGGCCCTCCTCCCACAGCGTCTTGAAGAACGGACGCTCGCCGAGGTTCGAGATCGTCTCGAAGCCAAGGCCGAGGATACCATCAACCGGCGTGTCGCCAAAGTCGGTGCCCATGTCGTCCACAGCGCTGAAGTGCTGGGAGGACGCGCTCAGGCCTGCGACCGTGACCGTGTCGGTGTAGACGGGGCCCGACACGGTCGAGCCGTCGCCGTACGAGATCTGGAACGAGTCGGTCGAGTTCTCGGCGGTCGACGACTGGCTCGCGTCGAACGTCGTGAAGCCCGAGACGCCCTTGCCCGGCACCCACAGGTCGGACGAGCCCGTGTCAAAGTCCTGCAGGCGCCGCGAGTCAGTCCGGGTCACACGGAGTTCGTCGACGAGACGAGGGTGATGAAGAGAAAGAGGGGGCGGCACAGAGAGGAGGAGGAGGGAGAGGGAAGAAGAGAAAGCTTCGACGCACAATCGTAAAGTCCTGCGGCGGCGTGCCGATCGAGATGGTGCCGGCCCACAGGTTGCCGTCGAGGTAGTTGGTGAGCGGGTTGCGCTGGCGCTTGTGGAGCTGGAGGACCTTCTCGACGACCTCGGGGCGGGCGAGCGCGAACTTGGCCCACTTCTCGTACGCCTCGAGCGAGAAGCCGGGCAGGCGCTTGCCCGTGCGCCAGTGGTACCGCGACGCGCCGGCGGAGTACTTGTCCTGGGTGCGCGCGACGGCGTTCTGCAGGTTGTCGAAGTCGACTACGCCGTTCTCGAGCGTGAGGCGCAGGCCGGCCCAGGCGACGCGCCGGTTCGTGCGCTTCGACAGCGCGATGCGCACGCCGTCCTGGCGCGAGTACGGGACGCGCTCGTCGAGGCGAGCTGGGCCGGCGGCTGCGTCGGGGCCGGACGAGGCCGAGGAAGAGGCGAGGGCGGAGGTTGAAAGAGCGACGAGGGCGCCGAGGGCGCAGGTGGGGAGGAGCATCGAGACGGCTCGCTCGTGGGGACAAAGACACGGATACGGACACAGAGAAGGGAAGAGAGCGCAGCCAAGCGACGGCAGCAGCCGCAGCGTTGTTTGCGAGAGGTTGGAGGACCCTCTTTCGCGCTTGCGGGCTCGACGCGTCGCTAGCGTCGGCGACGCGGGGAGGACGCGGACAGAAGCTGCCGGGCTTCTCCCGAGCCCGCAGCAGCGGGTCGGTGCCGGCGGCGATGAGCGCGAGCGGACCGCAGTGTGCGTCGTCGAGAGGCGGGTGGAGCGAGCGAGCGAGAGGGAGGAGAGCAAGCTGGCGAGCTGCCGCGAGGCGGGGATTGGTCGCCTGCAGAAGTTTCGCGAGCGGCCACTGAACGCAGCTTGCTCTCTGCTGCTCTGTATCTGCTTCTGAGCGAGAACTAGCTCGCGAAGGAGGCACAAGAGGCGAGCCCGCTCAGGCCACGTCTCGAAAGGGTTTCTCGCTCGAGCTGAATTCCTCTCGCCAGCGCATCGCTCTCGGTCGACCCGCAGAAAAACAAAGAGATACAGGTCGAGATGCTCTACGGCGCGCCTGCGCTGCCGAGTCTCGAGAGGGTCGTGCTGGCGAGCGTCGGCGGGAAGAAGACGACCGCGAGGCTGCTCGAGCCGGTCGTCGTCCATCACACGCTCGATCGTCGGGTCGATGGGCGCGAAGAAGGATAGACGGTCAAGGCGAGGGCCTGCGAGAAAGGTGGTGGTCAGGACTGACGAGCGCGACGTCGACGACGAAGAGGAATTGAGCCGGCGCACCTCATTGACCTCGCTCGCGTCGTCCGGCACGCATTGATGCCGTCGCTCACAGCGTGCGACGCCGTTCTGCGGTCATGATGGACGGCGCACGCCTCACATGGCGACCTTGAGCGCGACGGACGACGTGACGAGGCGGTCGAGCGTCGCCCTCGCGTCGTCCGAGCCCGCCTGCAGGCCCTTGAGCGCCGTGTCCTGGTTGAGCTTGTACACCTGCACGAGCAGGGGTGCACGATACCGAAAGTCAGGGCATGCGCAGGTGCAGAGAGAGAGCACAGGGGGAGAGAGAGAAGAAAGAGCGCGAGGACGGACCTTGCGAACGGCCTTCTCGTCGAGAGTGCCGCCCTCTGACCGTCCGAGCGCCTCGAGCGACACGACCTCGCCCTCGACGGCTGCCGCCATGCGCCGCAGGACGTCCTCGGCCGCCGTGCGCTCGCTCTTGGCCGTCGCCTGACCCGTTGACGGCGCGATGTGGACGAGGACGAGCGACGCGGTCGAGGGCGAGAGACCAAAATGCTTGAGCGAGTCGGTGATCTGTGTCGGGTGGCAGGAGCGCAAGTCAGCTTCCTGAACTCGCAAGAGAGCTTCGAGGGCCAGGGTCGAGGAGGGAGCTGAGGAGGAGAAAGGGGGCCAGCTCACGTTCGTTCCCGGCTCGAGCATCCACAGGACCTCGGAATGAAGCGTCTTGGTCTTGAGCGCGCCGTCGGCCTGGGCGAGGAGCGCCTGCTGCACCGCCGTGAGCAAGTGCAGCCTCGAGGTGATCTGCGGTCGGCGTGGACGAGGGGTCAGCGCGCTCGCTCAGGCGGGGCGGGAGGGACGACAGAGAGAGAGGGAGCAGGGAGCGCACCATGCGGGCATCAACGAACGCAAAGTCGACAGCGGCGCGCTCGCGGTTGCCGGCTTCATCTTGAGCGAGGGTTGACGCCGAGACGAGGCGAGAGCGCAGCGCGGCCGCGTTGTGGATTGGGTGGAACAGGGCGAGGTGCACTGTCGCCTGGTGGTGCGGCAGCGGGTACGTCTCCATGGCGACGAGCGAGGACGAGGACGCGAGCGACGAGCGAGCGGCTCGAACTGCGACGGGCCGCGGCGGCCGCGGCGTAGACTCCTCCGACGTCGGACAAGTCTAGGCCCGTTCGCAGAGAAGCGAGCCGAGCGCACGCCTATGAGGGCGTCGCCTCGCTCTCGTGCTCACGAGGGACGCTGCGAGCGTCGCAAGCTCGAGCCTCTTGCAGAAGCAGAGGCGGACTGCCGGATCTCGCGCTCTCAGGCTCGTTCTCGACGGCAGAGCGACGCGCAGCTCGTCGAGGAAAGGCGGGTGCACTGCAAGCCGCTCACCCTCGCTCCTCCTTGACCCCAAAGTCGTCGTCGCCGCTGTCCTCGTTGTACGTCTTCCTGCCCTTCCTCGACGCCGCCGCCCGCCGCGTCGGCCTCCTCCCGCCCGCACCGCTGCTCACGACGCTCACGAGCGCCGGGTCGTCGTCGAGGCCCAGGGGGCCAGGCGAGCCGGCGAGCGACGAGGGCCCGGGCGAGGCGGTTGGCGAGCCGGCAAGGTTCGAGACGGACCGGGCGTTCGAGGCTCGAGGACCTGCAGGCAGACGACGAGGGTCAGTGAGGCTCGAGGCTGCGTTCGACGCCGCCGCCTGCGACCGACGACGAGGGAGCAGACGAAGAGGAGAAGCCGCAGACGCACCTTTCTTGCCTCCTCCACCCAGCTTGGCCTTCTTGCCCCCACCCGGTCCCTCCTTGGGCGTCCCTCCCCTCTTCTGCCCCGCCGCACCGCCGCTCGCCGACCCGGGCGTCGCCGCGCCACCGACCGCAAGCTGGCTCGCCGTTCGACTGAGCGCCGACGACGCCGGGTGCCCGTGCGCCGCCGCCGTCGAGTCGAGCGCGCCGTCGGGCGGGGTCGCGTCGCGGGCCGAAGGGCGCGGCGGCGGGACAAAGAGGACGTGGGTGCGAGAGGGCACCGAGCTGATCTGTGACGGGCAGGGGGAGGAAGAGGGGGGAGGCGAAACGAGGGTCAGCTCGAGGCACCTCGAGAGAGAGAGAGAGAGAGACCGAGAGAAAAGGGCGAGGGGACGCACCATCTGGCGCCACCACATCTCGACCTGCTCGTCCTTCTTGCGACCGTTGCGCGCCGCGCGAAACATGCACTCGCGCGCGTACTCGCCGCAGCCCTGGACGATCATGTCGACGGGCACGGGCGCGTCCTGGTCGAGGCCGGCGGCGGCGCCGTCGAGTCCTTGACCCTGCGGCGCCGAGCGGGGCCGGCCACGCTTGAACATGGACGGCGTCGAGGCGCGCTCCGAGGGGAAGACGAAGAAGGAGAGGAGGACGTCCTGCGCGCCGAGCGGCTGCGGGACGTGCGAGTGGAGGGGCGAGTAGATGTAGTGGGCGGGGAGGATGAACTGCTCGCCGCCGCTCAGCTCGCGAAACTCGAGGACGAGGGAAGGGTGGGTCGGGAGGGGTGCGGCGGACGAGTCGGCGGGTGGTGCGGGTACGGGTGCGGGTGCTGGAGGAGGAGGGGCGCCGGCCTCTTCTTGGCGCATGTCGTCGATGTAGCGCGCGAGGCCGCTCAGCTCTTCAGGCGAGGCTTGGCCCGACGCGGCCTTTTGGAGGATGGCGGCGAGGGCCGGGTCGGTCTGGGACGCGGCGTTGAGGCGGGCGATGAGGGCGGGCGTGATGGCGGCCGGGTTGAGGGTCGGGGCCGGTGGCGGTGGCGGTGCGGTCGCTGCCGGTTGGGCCCACTCGCACAGGTACAGGCGCGTGTCGGGGAACGAGTGGGGTCCGATGGCGAGGTTGGCGGTGGCGATGTGCTCGAGCGAGTGGGGCTGTTCCGAGATGGTGCCGGTGCGCGGGCGCGAGGGCGACTTGAAGATGGCGAACGTGTCGAACAGGAGGGTCTGGCGGCTCTGGTACAGCGAGTCGATGAGGGACAGGGTCGGCACGGGCTCGAAGGCGAGCGGCGGAGGAGCGGCGGCTGTGCGGGGGGAGAGAGAGCGAGTCAGTGGGGGTTCTGCCGGAGCTGCAGAGCGCAGTGACAGGCTTGCTCGTCGTGTCGAGGGTGCTGCGCATGGCTCTCGACGGGTGAGGGGACAGGTGAGGGAACCTTGTTCTCTGCGACTGATGAAGCTCGGCGGGGTGTGCCCGAGGGCGTGCGGGGACAGGGGGCTGGCTCAGAAGGGACAACAGACTGACCCTGCATGAGTCGGGTGGGGGCCTGGAGGCCGGGTCGAGGTTGGCGCGAGTCGAGGTGGTTGGAGTCGAGGGCGAGGCGAGGTGAGGAAGAGGGCGAGGTCGAAGGTGGGTCGTGGGACGGGGTGCGCGCGTGCAAGTGGGTCGCAGGAGGCTGCCGAGTGGTGCTAGCCCAGTCCAAGTGGCTCTAGAGCGGTGAGGACGAGAAGGGTCACGTCGGGTCGCGGGTCAGCTCCCAGAGGTGTTTGGCTCGCTCGTCGTCTCTCGCCTTGCCACGCTGTACCTGTGCTGTACAGCCTCGCACTCGACCACCCGCCATGGACTGGGCAAACGCAGGACTCGGCGTGCGTCCCCCCCTCCCCCTCGCCCCCTCGTCCACGCCACTGACCTCGCCCTCGCTCGCCCACACAGTTCAAGCTCGCAGAACCTCCTGCATCCTCGACAAGGCGCAATCAACCACCCTCCCGCTCGGCCCCGGCACCCCGCAAGTCGCAGCAGCCCAGGCAGCGCCTCCTCCGCCCCGTCGACTCGGTCCCCCTCGTCACCCCTCGCCCCTCCTCATCTGCCGCACCGAGACCGACCCACACGCAGTCCAAGCTGTCCCTCGCACCCCCGCAACGCCCACCGCTCGCCGACAAGCGCAACCGCCGCGCTTCGCCCCCGCCCTCGTCCCGCGACTCGAACACCAAGGCCAAAGGGCGCGCCCTCGTCCCCGACAGCGACGACTCGCCCGCTCAGCCCGCACCAAAACCCGGCTGGCTGTCGTCCATGTTCGGCCGCGCGCCAAGGCCCCGCCTTCCCGGCTCGTCGTCCGCCTCGTCCTCGACCCCGTCGTCCGCCGCTCGCCCGACCAACCTCGGCCGCGCCATCCTCCACCCTGTCCACCCTCGCCGCGGCCCGACCATCGACTGGGACGGTCCCGAACTCGCAGCCGACGACGACGAGCTCTTCGACGAGGACGCGCGCCGCAAGCGCCGCAGGACCGAGGACCGCGGCGGGTTCGGCCGCCTCGACCTGTGCGACGAGGACGTCCACGCCGGGTTTGGCACGCAGCTGGGCGACGACGACGACCGTGTGCGGCGCACCAAGCGCTCGCTCGAGATGGACGCCGGCGATGGCGAGGCCGACGTCAAGCCGCGCACGGGCCGCGACGCGCACCTCGACGCCGCGCCGCAGCACATCACGCTCGCGTCGTCGTCCTCGCCGACCACGAGCGCCGTTGCCGCCCGCTCCGTCGACGACGACGACAGCGAGCTCGAGCCCGAGCCGTCGACGGCCTCGTCCGGCTCGAGCGCCAAGCGCGACCTCCAGGCGCAGCTCGTCCCGCCGCTCAAGCGCCCGCCGCGCGTCCTCGTCCCCGACTCGGACCCGCTCGGCGGGTCCGACGACGCCGACGCCGACGAGCTGGACGGCACGGTGTCGGACGACGATCGCGAGGACGAGCTCGACGCGCTCGTGCAGCGCCTCGGCGGGGCGAGCAAGGGCGGTGCGGGCGCAAGGGCGGGCGTCGACGACTCGGGCTTTGCCGAGGTGAGCGGCATGGACGTCGAGCGCGGCGAGGAGGACGACGACGACGATCCCGCCGGCGAGCGCGACGAGACGCCGAGCCCGGGCGACTTGGCCGGCCCCGACGAGGTCGTGGACCTCACCGTCGTCCCGAGCTCGTCGCCGCTTGTCTCGAATGCGCACGAGCTCCTCGGCCCGCCTCGGCCGTCGGCTCGCCCTCCTTTGCGCCCCGACGCCGACTCGTCGACGTCGACCTCGAGCGGCGGCAGCGGCGGCTCGTCGCTCGGCCGCACCGCGTCGGGCATCCTCATGCCGCCACCTGCGCTCCCGCGCAAGCGTCTGCGCCGCGGTGCGCCGTCGACTCGCGCCGCAGAGCTCGAAGCCGAGGCCGAGGTCGAGGCGCAGGCTCGAGCGCGCGTCCTCGTCGAGGACACGCAGGTGCGCTCGCCGAACAAGGTCGGCGAGCCTCGCCAGCGACCCGCACCGAGGCCGTTCACGGTCGTGTGCGACGAGACGCAGACGCAGCTCGACGTCGACGCCGACCTCGAGCACCTTGACGTCGAGCCGCTCCCGCTCCCGCCCATCCCGCACTACCGCACCCTGCCGCGCCTCCCTCGCCCGCCCAACCTCGCCGGCTCGGGCGCCCTCTCGTCGCCCGCCGTCGGCGGCCTCGCCGCTGCGGGAGGAACGTTCCTCTCGAGCGACCCGGACCACCTCCCGCCGCTGCCGACGCCGCGCCCTCTCGCCGTCCCGCTGTCTCCCTCGCCCGCTCGCCCTGCCCCGACCGCCATCGTCAACGCCGGCGTCGCGCCGCACCTCACCGCGCCCGACACGCCGCACGACCCGGCCTGGGCCTCTCTCGCCTCGGCCTGGGCCGGCGCACGGCCCCCGAGCCCGGGCCCGCCGCGCCAGACGCTCCTCGGCGACTTTTTCGCCGTCGTGCCGGCGTCGCAGGCGTGCGCGACTGGCGGCGACGAGGGCGAGCTCGTCGAGGACTCGCAGGTGCCGCTCGGGGCGGGTGCAGGCGCGGGAGCGGCCGAGAGCGCGCTCGAGGAGGCGCTCAGGAGGCAGAAGGCGGTCAATCTCGCGAGGGAGCGCGGTGTCGGTCGAGCGGGAGCGGCGGCGCACGATGCCGGCGGCGTCGAACAAGCGGTGGACGAGGTGCTCGAGGTCGAGGTCGAGGAGGACGAGGTGCCCGACTCGGACCCCGAGGACGACGCGCCGGCCCTCTCGCCTTCCCTGCGCCGCACTATCCTCCTCTCGACCGCCACTGCCACCAGCACCCTCGTCGTCCCTCCCCCTCCCTCCTTCCGCCCTCTGCGTCCCACCGCCGCACCGACCTCCTCCTCCGCCCGCTCGACCCCGACCGCCGCGGCCGTCCCAGGCCCACCCAGTCCGCTCGGCACGCCCATCCGCAAGCGCTTCCCGCGCTACTCGCCGGGCAAGCTGCGCCTCGCCGTCGAGCGGTGGGCGGGCGCCGGCGGGCCGGCCCCGACCGCAGCGCCGGCGACGGCGGGTCCCGCGCTCGAGTCGGGCGCAACGAGCGCTCGCGACGTGTTCGGCGCGGCGTCTGCGCCGGTGCCTGGTGCGGTCGAGGGCGAGGGCGCTCCGTGCGTCGGCGAGGGCGGCGAGCAGGGTCCGAGCGCCCGGCCAGGAGCCGCAGGTGCCGACGAGACGCAGTGGGAGTCGTACTGGAGCTACCCGGCGTCGTCGGGCGAGGCTGCGACGCGTGCGGCGGGCGCCGATGAGGGCGCCGGACGTCACGACGAGCCAGCCTATGAGCTCGAGGACGACGACGACGACGACGACGATGAAGAGTCGCTCGCGCTCCCTCCAGGGTGGACTCGCAGCGCCCGGGGCGAGCTCGTGCGTGTCCCGACGCCGGCAGCGACGGCGAGGGCGGACGTGTCGGTCGAGCTGGGCGAGTTCGAGGACGAGACGCTCGCGGGCTGGTGAGGCGGTCGCTTTGAGTGCTGTAGCTCGCTCTTTTGTCGTCACTATCCGTGCAACCCTCTTCTCTCGGTCTCTGGATACGTCACTCGCGAGAGCTCACGAGATCGAGAGAAGGTGCGCGTGCGAAAGAGCGGCAAAGTTACAACATGCAGGAGAGAAAGACGACGGCGCCGGCGCCTCGAAGCGCTCACCTCCTCGCGCTCCGCTCCTCGAGGAGGTCAAAGTCGTCGACCTCGTCGTTGTAGGCGGCGATGTGGCGCTTGAGCTTGGACGTGTCGACCCAGGTGACAAAGTCCTCCATGTTGCGAGTCACGAGGAAGGCCGGGTCCGTGATCGTGTCGGGTCCGACGCGAACGTGACCTTGCTCGACGTACGTGACAGCCTGTGGACGAGAGCGGGGAGGGGCGAGGGCGGAGAGGGAGAGGGACGAGAGAGAGAGTCAGTATCACGCTCAGGCCGAGGGAGAGAGGGCGGGAGACGCACCATCTTGACCGTCTCGGCCATCTTGAGGCGGACCATGACGACGGCGAGCCTCCTCCTGCACAATGCGCCGACCGTGACCTTGCCCTCCTTCTTGCCCTGGCCCTCGACCTCCTTCTCCTTGCCCTTGAAGCCCTTGACGACGGGCGCGTCCGAGCCCTCGATGTCGCTCATCTTGGCGCCGCGGTCGAGGATGCCCATGTCGTACAGCTTGGACAGGAGCATGTCCTCGTACTTGGTGCGGAACGGGTCGGCGGGCGGGAGGCGCGACACGAGGTGCGACAGGCGGCGGACCTGGCCGCAGATCTTGTTGTACGTGTGGTAGTCCTCGCTGCGGCGGGGAGGAGCGCGTGCGCGGTCGATTTCAGTGCTCGTCGCGTGTGCAGGCCCGAGAGACCGAGAGAGAGCGGGCGCACCGGTTCTGGATGTGGTACCGGCGCATGACCTGGATCTCGCGCATGCCGGCGTCGCTCTTCCACTGCATGAAGTCGACCTTCTTGAGGAGCTTCTGCTCATGATGCTTGAGTTGACGCATGGCGAGAGGTGGCTAGCGGGGTGACGGGGTTGGCGGAGAGGGTGGCTGTTGGAGGAGGAGCGCAGGTCCAGGAAGCGACGAGGGAGGACGACAGAGGTAGAGGTCAGTCCTGGGTCGCTGCGGGAGGCAGAGAGGATGGACGCACAGCTGTGTCGGTGGTCGAACTCTCAGTGTCGAGTGGTGGACGAGAGGTGGACCGAGAGTGTGCCGTGAGCTGATGAGGCGGCTGGTCGAGGCTGGGGCGACGACGGCGCGACTTGGTGGCTCGAGAACGGGCTTGGTAGGGTCCAAGGGGACGACTGGCGGGCTCTGGGCAGCAGCTGGGCTCGCTCGAGGGATGTGGAGCGAGGGTCGAGCCGTGAGCTTGGCCTGGGCGAGCGCGAGCTTCCTCCGTTCGTCGTCGTCGCCTCTCTCTCTGCTTCCAACCACTTTCACCCCGACTTCACCTCGCCCTGCTCTCGACGCAGCCGTGCACCACATCCTCGCCCCCAACCCGCCCTCCAGCAACCGCCCTCGTCGTCCCTCCTCTTCCTCCTCGACCTCGCCCTCGACATTCTTTCCCGCCCGCACCAGTCGCCCGCCTGCGCGCACGCACCCTGTTCGCCAGCTCCGTCAGCGGTGCAGTCGCTCTTACTGCTACAACGAGGGCCGGGCACTCGGCAGGGTCGAGGGGTGGACCGAGGACGGTCGAGGTTGGCGAGGACGACGCCGACGACGACGAGGACGACTCTCGAGCAGCAGTGATGACCAACACAACACATATTAAGCTCAACAGTCCTAAGGGCCTCTTCAGCCTATTCGTGTGGACCACACTTCTGCAATCCTGAGCTGCTCAGGTCGTCCCCGTCGTCGTCGTCGTCGCCCTCTCTCTTTTGTCGTCCCTCCCTTGTCTAGCTTGCAATTCTCTCGTTCGACGCATTTGCCCGGGTGGCTGCAAGAGAGCGAGAGAGCCGGAGCAGAGAGACCGGTCGTGATCGACGAGCCCTGCTTCTCTGGTCGACGAGGACCGCTCGCACCTGCTGCTCTCACTGCTTCCTCTCTCGCTCGCTCGATGCAGGAATGCGACCGAGGTACACTGCTCAAGTTGCACGTTGCGCGTTACTGCTTCTCAGACCGCGAATCCGGCCGCGCCGGCGACCGCTTGTCACAAGAGCCCGCCGACCCGGCACGCTCGAGCCTCATCGACCCGCTCTGAGCGTCCCAGCTGTCGGCCCGTCCCCTCAACGCCGCCTCGTCGTCGCCGTCGACGAGCGCATGTCCGTGACCGAGCGCGGGCAACCACCGCATGCCGCTCATCGACGCCTCGACCATCTCGACGCCGTGCGCCGCCGACGACGACGGCCCGCTCTCGGGCCCGTCGAGCTCGACGCGCAGGCCGTGAGCAACGTTGCCGCCGTGCGTCGAGCCAAAGCCGTACCACGCCGTGTCGAGCGCGAGGTCGAGGTCGTACGCGTCGCCGAGCGCGCTGCGCTCGTCGAGCGACGGCGGCGCCTTGCGCCACGACCGCGCCTTGTCGCCGCTGCTGCTGCCGCTCGAGCTGCTCGGTCGGGGCGGGAGGGCGGCCGTCGGTGGCGGCGGCGGCGGCACGAGGTAGCTCGGGCCGGGCGCCGGGCGCTTCTCGCTCAGCTCGACGGCCTCGTCCTCAACGACGACGTCCTCGCGCACGACGGCGGCCGCAGCGTCGTCTGCGGCCCACCCGGGCGAGCCAGGGTACTTGGGCGGCTCCTCGACGCGCGACGTCTTCCAGTCGCGAGTCGTCGCCCGCGACGGGTCCGTGAGCGAGATCTCGGGCGGGAACGGCAGGAAGGGGAGGACGCGTCGGAGGATGTAGACCGTGTGCGACCCGCCGTCGAGCGACCGGAACAGGATGAGGATGGCGACGACTGTCGACAGGGTGCCGTTGAACCAGCACGCGACGAGGATCTCGACCTGGAACTGGGCCGAGTTGCTCGTGATCGAGAGCGGCGTGACGCCGAGCCAGAACGTGAGGCCGGCGTTGACGACCAGCATCAACGAGATGGCGATCGCGCTGTACAGGCGGTTGTTGCGCGCCCAGGTGAGGAGCTTGGCCTGGCGCTTGGTGCCCTCGAAGAACTCGTCGTCGAGCTGGGCCGTGATGTCGGGCTTCTTGGCGGCCGGCGGGTCGGCGCGCACTTGCGAGCGCAGCATGTGGATCGTGCGAGTGAGGTGGGCGATCTCGAGCGAGGCGCCGATCGCGTAGACCACTGCGAGACGAGGGAGACGGAAAGGAAGAGGTCAGTGCGCAGCTCCAGGTCGTCGACCGAGAGAGTCAGAGAGCGCGCTCGACATACAGAAGGTGGCGACGAGAACGATGCCGAGGAAGATGTAGCCGGCCCGGACGAGGCGCCAGTATTGCCGCATCGTGTTGGCGAACTCGATGCCGCTCTGGAAGAAGGGCAAGAGGCGAGGGATGTCGAAGCCCTTGGCCGGCGTCCACGCCGCGTCGGCCTCCCGTAGCGTGTCCGAGAGCGCCTCCATGTCGCGAAAACCGCGGTTAAACTGGCGCGCTGCGAGGCAGAAGAGGACGACGGGCGGCGTCCAGGCGAGGACCGGGACGGCGAACGGGAGCGTCGACGCGATGACGGTCTTGAGGCGGCTCTCGCGGTAGAAGGCGCCCTTCTTGCGGATATACCTGCGGGCAGGAAAGAGGGTAAGCGAGGGCGAGGGGCGAGGGAGACCTGGACGCAAAGCGCCCGAGCCGGGTGAGGTCGAGAGAGAGAGTCGCAGAGACGTACCACGCCGAGAATGTCGCCCACGTCTCGCACCAGAAGCCGAGCCACAACGGCGCGATCCAGCCGGCCTGGATGCCGATGTAGTAGCGCGGGAACGGCTCGCCCTCGGCGATGCGGATGGCCGTGACGGCCGACAAGATGCCGATACCGGCGTAGGCGAGCGCGCACAGGCAGTAGATGACGGACAGGTTGGGGATGAGGATCGTCTTGTCGAGGCGGTGGAGGAGCCACAGGCGACCCTGCTTGAGGCGGAGCGCGAGGGCGGCGAGGAGGACGAGGATCGAGCTGCGTGAGGGGCCGAGACGGGCCGAGTGAGCGACGTTGGTGACAAGACTCAGGAGGAGGAACGAGAGAGAGAAAGGCGGACGCACAGGCAGAAGAGGCCGATGAGAAAGTACAGCTGCGGCTCGAAGCCGCCCGCGACCGACGGGTAGAAGATGCCGCGCAGGACTCGCAAAACTGGAGGATAGGGCGAACGACCGGTGAGGACCTCGCTCGAGGTCGCGTTGAGGACCTGCTCGGTCCACTCGAGGATCCACTGCGCCGACGGCGGCAGAATCAAGGAGAGGTTGAGGTTGAGGCCGGCGGACATGGTCAAAGGACGGTGCGACGGGTGCGGGACGTCCTCGAATGTCGAGGCACTGCAGGACAAGGGTCGAGAGGAGGAAGAGAGAGTCAGGGATGGAGGACGAGGCGAAAGAAAGGCTGCTCCCGACCCTTTGCCGGGCCTCCTCCAACCTCTTCGACTCGGGATCCGCCTCGACCCGCTCGCGAGACACTCGTGCCGGCCTGCAGATCCACTTGACCGTCGACTGGGCTTGATCTGAACACGAGTATAACCGTTGCGAGCCGGTGAGACAGGCTTGCCCCGCTTTGACCACCGACGCACTCCTGCGTTCGGCAAGCTGGACCACGAAATGCGCGGTCTCGCCTCGGGGCCGTCGCGACCCAGCACGAGGGTCGAACAGGCCGAGCGCGGCGAGTCGAGGCCGGACGGGCGCATGTAGCGGTGGGGCGAGAGGGCGGAGGAGGAAGCAGAGGACCGAGCGAGCTAAGCCGCCTCGTCGACCGCTCTCGGCGCGCTCGCTCGCGGCCGTGCCTGCGCAGGACGATGAGAGAGGAACGAGGGAGAGTTAGCGACGTCTGACGGACACCCAGGCGTGGAGGAAAGGGAAAAGAAGAACGACGACGTACTCAAACAGGCACCCCGTCCAGATCGAAATCTCTCGCTCGCTCGCTCTCCCGAGTCCCGCACAGGTCGTGAACGAACGTCGTGGCACCCACCAGGTAGTGCAACCCCTCGAGACGACGACGGCCTTGCACCGTCGGCCCCGTCGTCGCCCTGCCGTCCCTCCTCGTCCCGGATCCGTCTCTGCGCGCCGCTCACGTCTCGCCTCGCTCCCGCGCCGTCGATCCCGACCCACGCCCGCGCGTCCACCCATGCTCGACGTCGAGCGGTGCCACCTTGCGGTCGTCGTCGGCCCACGAGCTCGCCTCGCTGAGCGCGACCGGGACGGCGTCGACCGAGCCGTCGAGCGCGCCGTCGTACTCGTGCTCGCCGCGGCCGCCGAGGTCGCGGTCAAAGTCGTGCTGGGTCGTATTCGGGAGCGTGTGGATGGCCGAGCGCTCGACGAGGGGCATGACGCCGGCGGCGGCGTAGGCCGAGGCGAACCGGGGCGGCTCCGAGGTGATGATCGAGCGGGACGAGGGCGACAGTGAGACTGACGGCGGGAAGGGCAGGAAAGGGAGGTGGGAGCGTAGGAGAGAGAGGAAGGGCGAGGTGGTCGCGTCGAGGGAGCGGAACAGGAGGAGAAGGGCGACCAAAGTCGAGAGCAGGCCGTTCAACCAGCTGCGGGGGAAGAGACAGTCAGTCGTCGGCGAGGGCAGTACAGGAGAGAATCGAGGACGCACCACGACACGAGAATCTCGACCTGGAACTGGCCGCTCGGGTACGACAGGTCGAGCGGCGTCACGGCCTGCCACAAGTCGAGCGCCGCGTTGACGAGCAGCATGGTCGCGATGCATGCCGCCGTGTACAGCCGGTTACGGCGCACCCACGCGAGCAGCGCCCACGGCATCTGGCCGTCTTGGTCGAGCTGGTCGGCCTCCAGCTGGGCGAGGACGTGTTCTGGGAGGGGCCCGTGCGGCATCTCGGACGGCGGCTTGTCGGCGGCGCGCCGGCCGGGCGAACGAGCGAAGGCGGCTTGACGGGCACGCGCACGTAGCTGAGAGACGGTGGCCGACAGGTGCGAGACCTCGAGCGAGATGGCGAGGAGGTAGATCTGCAGCGCAGGGAAGAGTAAGTTCCTCGTGCTGGACGAGAGAGGGCTCAAGAGAGAGGTGGACGCACGAGGAACGTGAACAGAAGCACGGCGGCGACGTACGCGTAGCCGATGCGGGCGTCTCGGGCAGCGACCGTGAGAAAGTTGCCGAGCTCTGCGCCTGGGACGAACAGCTGCGCGAGCTGGCTGATGTCGAGCTTGTCGCCCGATCGGTACTGCTGGCCCCACGCGCCGAGCGTCGCCGTGATGTCCTCCGAGATCTCGAACGAGGCGTTGTAGTCTTGCGACGAGCGCGTGAAGAGGATGGCTGGCGGGACCCAGGCGACGACGGGGAGGACGAGAGGAACGACGATGGCGAGGACACGCTTCGAGATTGACGGCTTGTAGTAGGCGCCTCGAGCGCGCACATACCTGGGCGGACGAGGGCGTCAGGAAACGAGTCTGCGGAAAGGGCCCGAGAGGAGGAGGGAAGGAGGTGACGCACCAGGAGCACAGACAGGACCACAGCTCGAAGTACACGCCGAACCAGATGGCGCCGAACCAGCTGCGCCTGAGGCCCTGGTAGTAGGCCTTCTGATCGGCTCCTTGAGCGACGTCGACCGACAGGACGATGAGGAAAAGACCGACTGCGGGGCTCGAGCGGGTCAGTAACGCTCGACCTGCTCGCGTTCAGAGACGAGGAAGAGCTGGACGCACTGCCTTGGTAGACGAGAGCGCACAGGCCGTACAGCGTCGCCGTGTTGGGCATGACGAGAGTCCCGTCGATCCGAGCGAAGACCCAGAAACGACCTTGCGCAAGGCGCAGGCTCAGGCCGAGAAGGATGACGATGGTCGCGCTGTGAGCGATTACCCGGTCAGTCCTTGTTGAACAGATAGTCGAGTGCGCGAGGCAGGGAGAAGGGGAGGGAGAGGGAGGACGGCGAGGAGGCGAGGGAGAAGGAGAGGAAGAGGACGCACAAGCAGAAGAGGCCGAACAGGAACCACAGCTGGACGCTGAACCCGCGTGGCACCTTTGGGTGGTACAGCAGGAAGATGACCTGCTGGAGGAAGCTGTAAGGCGACTCGCCCCGGCCCACCATCTCGAGGAGCTGGCCGTAGGCGCCGGCGATCCACTCTGTGCCCGGCGGGATGAGCGACGTGCCGCCGCTGCCGCCAAAGATGCCGCTCATTGTCGTCGGCGGGAACGAGCGAGAGGGCGCAGAGGGAAAAGGAGGAGCGGGACGAACGCCTCTCAGGATCGAGCCCTCGGCCGCGAACGCTCGGTGTAGCCTTCGTGGGACTCAATTGAGCTCGACAGGAGGCAGCCTGCTGCGGTCCGCCGGACAGAAGAGTCCGACGAGGCTCGTGCGGCGAGGCCCGTGCCGGCGGACGGACAGGTCGATCGCAGCCTGCTCTCGACTCGTCTCGACGCGCGTGGGCAAATAGGTGAGGCGACAACGGGTTGCAAAGTACAGGTAGAGGGGGAGGAGGAGAGAGAGAGGAAGGGAGAGACGGCTCGCACTGAGACTACGTCCCCTCGCTCCTCCTCAAGGCGGTGCTGGCGGTACCGCCGCGCTCAGATAGTCGGGATGGCGGGAGCGAGTGGTGCGGGTGCCGGCGACGGCGGCGCAAGGTTCGGGGTGGACGAGCGCGAGGCGAGGGAGGGTGATCGGGAAGGGGCGACCTCGGGGATGTCGGTTTTGAGGACGCGGTTGTTCTTGCGTTTAGGGTTGGGAGCTGCACGACAGGTGGGCGACGACTGACAGTCAGTGACACGTCGAGAGGAGCAGGAGAGAGAGAGAGAGAGAACAGGACGCACCGCTCGTGTTCTCGGAGATGTAGAAGCGGCGAAGGAGCATGATGGCCTCCTCTCGCCGGTACCCGCCGACGGCCGGGTACGGCGGCGCGTACAATAGTCGAGGGCTGCAGAGGCGGGACAATTCAGGTCGTGTACTCGAGAAAGGAACACGAGGGGAGGACGAGGACGCACTCGGAGTGGATCGACTGGACGCCGCCCGTGCCGCCAAAGCGGTCGTTGGCGCAGCCGTAAAAGACCTTGTCGATGCCGACCTGGCGCATGGCCGACGCGCACATGAGGCAGGGCTCGACCGTGACGTACAGGGCGACGCCCTTGAGCGGCGTCTGCCACACTTTGCGCTGGGCCGGGTCGTTGGCGCCGCCCGAGACGGCGAGGACGTCGTCGAGCTGAGGGGTGAAAGGGCGGACGAGCTGGGGCGTGACCGAGTGGGAGCGGTCGGGGAGGAGGTGTCGCAAGGCGTCGAACTCGGCGTGGAGGGTTGCGTTGCGGCCCTCGTTGGTGCGGTTGCGGCCGCGGGCGACGATGCGGCCGTCGTGGACGAGGACGCAGCCGACGGGGATCTCTTTTGCGTGAAGCGCTTCTTCTGCCTGTGTGGGTGCGGATGCGAGTCAGTCAGGGAGCTCGAGAGGGCGTGCGGTGGTGCAGGGACGGGAAGGAGATGAGGAGCTCACCATGAGGACGGCCTCGTCCATGAAGGCGAGGTCGGCGTCGCTCTGGTCCTCGCGCATGATCATCGTGTTGTCCATGCTGGGCGGTGGCGGCACTGGTGCGTCTCCCTCGGTCGGGGGAGAGGATGGGAGAGCGAGAGCGGCCGAGCAACGGAGAGCGAGATGCGACAGGCTGTCGCTCTCGCACAAGCCACTCGTCGAGGCGTGCTGCCGCCCAGAGAGCCTCGGCAGCGATGGACAGAGCACTGCTGCGGTCCACCACGCGCACCGCCCGCACAGCGGCAACCCGCCTCGTCCTCCCTCTCCCTCCTCGGCTCGCCAGCACCCGACCGCGGCCGACACCGTCTACAAGGAGCTACGCCTCGGCAGCGTGCCCGCCCCTGTCGCACCCGACTCGACCGCTCGCCCCAGTCCAGAGCAGCTCGTCCAGCACCGCATACGGCCAACCGCTCCCGTCGACCCACCCTCACCTCCTCGCGCCCGGTCAACTCACGCCGGGCATCTCGGCCGCCGAGTACGAGCAGCGCAGGCGCAACCTCGTCGATCGTCTCGAGGACGGAGCCGTCGTCGTCATCGCTGGAGGCAAGACGGTCTACTCGTCGCAGAACATCTTGTGCGTCTCTGTCCCTCTCTCGTCACTCCCTTGCCGCCTCGTGCGCCTTGACTGACCCTCTGTCCTCGCAACAGCTACCGCTTTCGACAACGCAGCAACTTCTGGTACCTGACGGGCTTCGAGGAGCCCGACTCGGCGCTCATACTCGGTACGCCCCCTCTCGCCTTCTCGCCGTTCTTCCACACCCACTGATCCGACCTTCCTTCATGCAGAGAAGGACAGCTCGGCAAAGGGCTACCAGATGACCCTCTTCTGTCAGCCCAAGGAGCCGTACGACGAGCTGTGGAACGGTGCGAGAACTGGGCTCGACGGCGCGCGAGCGATCTTTGGTGCCGACGAGGTGCGCACGCTCCCTCGATCTCTCCCGACATAATCAGGAATCCCTCACTGACTCTTGAACTGCAGGCCGTCGACGCGCACGTGTTTTCTCGGCGCCTCGAGCACATCCTCGCCTCGAAGCCCGACAGCCCCATCTACATCGACCTTCCTGCCGTCTCGCACCTCGCCCTCTCCCGAACACGCCAGCGACCCGCCAAGTCGCGTTCCCTCATGGACTACCTCTCGCGTTCGGGTGCCCAGACCAAGCCTGACGACGTCGACGAGGTGCTCAAGGTGCTCGACAAGCGCGACGTGCGCAGCGCGGCGGCCGAGGTCGAGCGGCTGCGGCTCATCAAGAGCGAGGCCGAGATCCAGGTCATGAGGAGGGCGGCCGACGCGAGCTCGGCTGCTCACGCCAAGGTGCGTCCTACCCCTTCCTCAACCTCTCCTCCTCTTTTCTCCCCGTCTCGTAGGGCCCGACGCGCTCGAGCAGGCCGCGTGCATCGGCCCTCCTCGACGCAGAGCTGACTGACTTTCTCCTCGCCCGCAGGTCATGCGCTTCGCGCGCCCTGGCCTCACCGAGCACCACTTGACGTCGCACTTCACCTACCACGCCTCGCTCCGAGGCGGGGCGCGCGAGGCCTACGTCCCCGTCTGCGCGTCGGGCAAGCAGGCCCTGACGATCCACTATCTCGACAACAACCGGCCGATCAAGCAGGGCGAGATGGTCCTCCTCGACGCTGGCTGCGAGCTGGGCGGGTACGCGAGCGACATCACTCGTGCGTCTCAGAGCCTCTCCCTGGTCCTCGCATGGCGCCCTGAGCGACACAGTGATACTGATGCCTCGGCGGGTTGCCCACTCAGGCGTCTTCCCGGTGTCGGGCACGTTCTCGACGGCGCAAGCCCACCTGTACGAGGCGGTCCTGCGCGTCGAAAAGGCGTGCATCACGCATTGTCGCGCGTCGGCCGACCTCTCTCTCGAAGAGCTGCACCGCGTCTCGGTCGACCTGACGCGGACCGAGCTGCGCGACCTCGGCTTCAACCTGCGCGGCGGCGACCTCGAGCGGGTCCTGTACCCGCACTTCCTCACGCACCCGCTCGGCGTCGACCTGCACGACACGATGTCTTTTTCGAGGAACGAGAAGTGCGTCCCTGCCTCCCTCTGTCCTGTCTCTCGACGCGGGATCTGACTTTTGCCGTCCTCGCCGCGCAGGATCCAAGAGGGCATGGTCATCGTGCGTCTCGCGCTCTCCCTTACTCCCGTCTTCCTCACGACCATTCTGACTAACCCTTCGCCTCCCTCTTGCACACCCGCAGACGATCGAGCCGGGCGTGTACGTGCCACCGCTCGCCCACTTCCCGAAGGGCTTCCACAACCTCGTCGTGCGCATCGAGGACGAGGTGCTCGTCGGCGCCGACGACCAGACGGTGCTGAGCGTCAACGCGCCCAAGGAGCTCGTCGACGTCGAGGCGTGCTGCCAGGGCATGCTCGAGGGCGTTGGGCGGCCGAAGGAGGTGTGGGAGGACTGAGCGAGCGGCTGTCGGGCGGCGCGGCTGTCGGGAGGGGGGGCCACCTTGTAGAGACTCTCGCTCTCGTAACGCGCATAGCGTCGTCCTGGCTCGAGCTGCGGCGAGGCAAGCGCAAGCTCTCCTCGAGCGTGCGAGAGAAAGTCAAGTGGGAGCGCAATGTCAACGCGCTCGAGGTTTTGGCCTCGCCGGCCCCGGTTCGAAACCTCCTCGCCCGCTTCGCCACTCGACCTCGACCCTCGCCGAGCGAGCTGCGGCTGCCTGCACCACGCGACCAAGCCCACTCAGCGCCAGCGAGCACCCCCGCGCCACCTTACAGCCCCGGCACCCCCTCAGCACGCGCCCTTCGGCACCTCCCTCCCTCACCATCTTTCGCCGCGATGGCTCCGCCTCGCCGCAGCTCGTCTACGCGTGCGTCGACCGCCACGATCCAGATCTCCGACTCTGAAGACTCGGACTCGGGCTCGGCGCGGCGCAGCAAGCCCAGCACCGCCTCGACGAGCGTCAGTGGAGGTGCGCCGACCCCGCGCCGCAAGGCCATCAAGCCGCCGCCCGACAGCAGCAGCGACGCCGAGGACGCCATGGACGTGGACCAGGACGAGTCCGCCAGCACACCGGGGTGCGCCCAGCTCTCTCTCTCTCTCTCACCTCCCCTTCCTCGTCGTCCGGACACTGACGCTGGTGACCGAAACTCGCAGCCGCACCACGCCTCGCCGCAAGTCGGCCGCCGCCGCCAGCAAGAAGCTCGTCCCCGTCACGTACAAGCTCACCGACACCGAGGACGAGGAGCACGCCGTCAAGGACCTCGACACCGCCTCGTCCGACGAGGAGGTCAAGCCCAAGCCCAAGCCCAAGCCGACTCGCCCCGGGTCGAGCAACAAGGGCAAGGGCCGCGCCATCATCCTGTCGAGCGACGATGACGAGGACGCCTACACGCCCAAGAAGGACGAGCCGCAGGACGAGGACGAGGACCAGCTCATGAGCGACGCCGCCGCCGACCAGGACGAGGACCAGGACCCGGGCGTCCGCAAGGCGCACGAGCTCGCCAAGAAGCTCAAGAGCACGCTCGCCGCCGTCAACAAGGACAAGAAGGGCAAGGGCAAGGCCGTCGACGCCGACGAGCTCGCGAGCGGCCTCGTGCGCACGCTCAAGGGCAAGGGCAAAGCGCGCCCTGTGTCCCCGCCCTCGTCGTCGTCGGGCGACGCCGGCGCCGTCGACGAGCGCAAGCCGACGCAGAAGGAGCGCTCGGCCGCCAAGGGCAAGGGCAAGGGCAAGGCGCCGGCTCGTCCTCGCAAGATCGCTCCGCCGCCGGACAGCAGCGACGACTCGGACGGCTCGGCGTTCGCCCCGGGCGAGTCCGACACGGGCTCGGACTACGACGAGCTCGCCGAGGACGACCACGACGCGCTCGACGACGACCTCGGCAGCGGGAGCGAGGCGCTCGACCTCGACCTCGACGACGACGCGACCGACGAGGACGTCAAGCCCAAGAAGAAGAAGAAGGCGAGCGCCGCCAAGAAGCAGGAGGACGCCGAGGACGCCGCCGCCGAGAAGGAGCTCGACAAGGTCAACGCCGAGGGCGTCGACGGTGTCGGCAAGAAGAAGAAGAAGGACAAGGTGCCGCTCCGCAAGGGCGCCCACATGTCCAAGGCCGACAAGAAGGCCATGAAGAAGCTCTCGAACGTGCGTCCCGTCTCTCTTGGTCCCTGGTCCCTCCTCGTCGGACGGCGGCGACTGACTCTGCCCTCGTGTCCTTCCCTGCAGGCCGACCGCACGACCTACCTCCTCGAGGCCAACCACCCTGAGCTCAAGACGGTCTGGGAGGACCTGTCCAAGACGGCGCTCACCCCGGTCGAGAAGGCGGTCCAGCCGGCGGGCCTCACCCAGAAGCTCTTGCCGTTCCAGCTCGAGGGTGTCAACTGGCTCATCAAGCAGGAGCAGTCGCCGTTCAAGGGCGGCTTCCTCTGCGACGAGATGGGGTGCGTCGCTGTCTCTCTCTCCCCTCCTCTCGCGGTCGACGTGCGGCAAGGTCCTGACCTCGCTCGCGCCCCTCTCGCAGCATGGGCAAGACGATCCAGACTATCTCGCTCATCCTGTCCGACTGGTCGCCGTCGCACCCCAAGGGCTCGACGCTCGTCCTCGCGCCGACTGTCGCCATCGTCCAGTGGAAGAACGAGATCGAGAAGTTCACCAAAGGGTTCAAGGTCCTCATCTTCCACGGCACCAACCGTCTGAGCAACGTCAAGGAGATGGAGAAGTACGACGTCGTACTCACGAGCTGTACGTCCACATCTCGCCCTCTCGGTCGTTCTCGTCGTCGCCCGGGAGGTCGAGCCGGTACTGACCCAGTCGCGCCGCCCTCGCAGACTCGGTCCTCGAGTCGACTTTCCGCCGCGAGCACAAGGGCTTCACCAAGAAGGGCAAGATCATGAAGGAGGACTCGATCCTGCACAAGGTCAAGTGGTGCGTCCCTGCTTCCGCCGTCGTCGTCGTCGTCGTGGCCGAGCGCGGCTCGAGACTGACCCTGCCTCGTCCTCCCTCGCGCAGGCACCGCGTCATCCTCGACGAGGCGCACAACATCAAGGACCGCCAGGCCAACACGGCCAAGGCGGCGTTCGCCCTCCAGGCGCACTACCGCTGGTGCCTGTCGGGCACGCCGCTCCAGAACCGCGTCGGCGAGCTCTACTCGCTCATCCGGTTCGTCGGCGCGTCGCCGTACGCCAACTACTTCTGCAAGCGCTGCGACTGCTCGTCGCTGCACTGGCTCTGCACAAAAGGCTCGTGCTCGGTGCGTCCCCTCTCTCTTATTTCCGTCCCTCGTCGTCACCGTGCGTCCTCCTGACCAACCTCTTTGAACTTGCTCTGCAGGAGTGCGGCCACTCGAGCATGCAGCACACGTGCTTCTGGATGCACTCGGTGCAGAAGCCGATCCAGTTCGGCGGCGCCGCGTCGGGCCCGGGCCAGGCCGCGTTCGACAAGCTCAACATGCTCCTGCGCCGCCTCATGCTGCGCCGCACCAAGGTCGAGCGCGCCGACGACCTCGGCCTCCCGCCTCGCGTCGTCAACATCCGCCGCGACTACTTCACCGAGGAGGAGGAGGAGCTGTACCAGAGCCTGTTCCGCGACGTCCGCCGCAAGTTCAACACGTACGCCGACGAGGGAACGGTGCGTCGACCTCTCTCTCTCTCCTCGTCCCTCGCTCTCCTCGGCGCACTCGGGCTTACTCGTTGCACGCGGCGCAGGTCCTGAACAACTACTCGAACATCTTTACGCTCATCACGCGCATGCGCCAGATGGCCGACCACCCGGACCTCGTCATCAAGAGCAAGACGGCGCAGCCGATCCAGCACGCCGCCGCCGACCTGCCGCAGGAGATCATCACGTGCCGCCTGTGTCTCGACGAGGCCGAGGACGCCGTCAAGACGTCGTGCCGCCACATCTTCTGCCGCGAGTGCGTGCGCCAGTACCTCGAGACGGCCATCGAGCACAAGCCCGAGTGCCCCGTGTGCCGCCTGCCCATGAGCATCGACCTCGACCAGGACGCGATCGAGGTCGACGAGACGAACCGTCAAGGCTTCCTCGCCCGCATCGACCCGACCAAGAGTCGCACGTCGACCAAGATCGAGGCGCTCCTCGAGGAGCTCAGCAAGACCCGCACCGAGGACCGCACGCTCAAGACGCTCGTCTTCTCCCAGTTCACGACCATGCTGTGCGTCACCCTCTCGCCCTTCTCTCGTCCCCCTCGAGCGTCGCGCACTGACCTCCTCGTCGCCATACGCAGCGACCTCGTCGCTCGCCGCCTGCAGCTGAGCGGGTTCAAGTTCGCGCGCCTCATGGGCACGATGACGCCGACCGCGCGCGACAACACGATCAAGCACTTCTCGACCGATCCCGAGTGCACCGTCTTCCTCATCTCGCTCAAGGCGGGAGGCGTCGGCATCAACCTCGTCGAGGGCAGTCGCGTCATCATCCTCGACCCGTGCGTCCTCTCTCCCTCGCTCTCTCCTTCTCCCTCGAGCGGTTACTGACGAGGCCTGTCGTCGCAGGTGGTGGAACCCTGCCGTCGAGCTGCAGGCCATGGACCGCGTCCACCGCATCGGCCAACGTGCGTCCTCCTTCTTCCTCTCTCGGCCATCCTCTTCGTGCGTCCCTGACGTCGTCCCTCGTCGTGCGCAGACCGCCCGGTCCAGATCACGCGGCTCATCATCGAGAACTCGTGAGCCCTCGACCGCCTTCTCCTCCCTCTCGATGTCCTTCAAGCTCACCCTTTCTGCCCCTTCCTTCGCCGTCGCCCCTCTCGCAGGATCGAGTCGCGCATCGTCGAGCTGCAAAAGAAGAAGGTGCGTCTGTCCGTTCCACTCGCTCTCCTCGACGACGCTCACCTTGTCTCTCGGCCCACAGGAGCACCTCGCTGCGTCCACCCTCGGCGACGACGACAAGGCTATGGGCCGCCTCACGCCCGACGACCTCCAGTTCCTCTTCAGCTGAAGAAAAGGCGTCCCTCGCCTCGTTCCCGCCTCGCTTTGCCTTTGTTTCCCTTTCCCCCGCCCTCGAGTGCGCGACGGGCTCGTCGCGTGCCGTCCTCCCTATCTGTAGCCTCTGTCTCTCTCGCTTTCTCTCTTCCCCTACGTACCTGTCACGCGCTTCTTTACGACCCGAACGGGCGACGACCGGCGAGGAGGCGAGCGAGAGGTTCGAGCGCGAGCAAGAGAGGCCGACCGAGCTTGGGACGAGCTGGCCACAGCATCTCGCATTCTCGCACGGCTAGCAGGACGAGTGGAAAGTGCTCGTTGCATAGATGTGGCACAACAGGGAAGAGAGACGAGTCTATGAGAGCGAGAGAACCCGGTCTACCTCCTCGCGCTCAGCTGCCCATCCGGCCCGAGGTCGAGCTGCACATCGACGACGCCGTCTGCTCCAGCCCCGGCACGCGCGAAGCCCGCAAAAGGGTCATCGGCGTCCTTTGCGCCTGCACGCTTGGCGCTCCTCGCCCGCCGGCCGTCCTCGCGCAGCGCTCGGGCCGCCCGCTTGCCCATCTCGCGCTCGGCCTTCTTGCCGCGCTGCTTCGGGTCGCCGCCAAACTTGTTGCGCGGGGCGGCGTCGTCGAACGAGTCGTACGGCGAGGGCGCGGTCGACGGTGAGGGCTGCGGCCCGTTCTTGGGCGCGTGCGGGAACGAGTCGCCCCACGACGCTTTGCGGGCGTCGTAGTAGGCTTGGCGCCCTTGCGACTTGGGGATCGTGTGTCGCTCGATGTCGCCTGCGAGCGAGAGTGTGCGTGAGTGACGAGGTCGAGAGGAGGCACAGAGGAAAGAGAGAGAGAGAGAGAGGACGCACCGGAAGAAGCGCAGACCTCGAGGATGATGTGCCCGGACCGCTTCTTGGGCGCAGCGACGAGACGAGGCCAAGAAAGCTCGCTCGCCATGTCGACCGGCTCCTCGACGCTGGCCTTGGGCTCCGGAATGACGACCGAAGTAGGCTCGGCGGTCGGGCTCGAAGTGGCGCCGTCCTTTTCAAAATCGGCGAGGAGGTCGACAAAGGCCGACGAACGAGACGAGGTCGCCGGACGTTGACCTCGGCGGATGACGACGTACGAGAACTTGGCGTCTTCCTCGCCTCGGGTCGAGTGCTTGGTGTGGCGGAGGAAGGCGGGCGTCTTGACGCGCTGCGAGAAGTGGCAGAACGCCTTGGTCGCCCGATGGAGCGGGCAATCGCCATCGTGAGGGCACTGTAAAGGAGCAAAGTCAGATATTGTCTCTCGGACGTCGCAGAAAAGGCCAAAGAGAGGAGGGAAGGGCGGACGCACCGGCGCGACGACGAACGAGCCCAAAGCTGGGTCCACCTCGACGTTCTCGGCCGCCTCGGGCACGATGTCCATACCGGCGTCGGCGAGATCTTGGTCAAAGTCGACCTCGACGGCGCCCCTGGCCCGGGTCACCTCGCGGCGGCCGTACATGAGCAGCTGCTCCCTCGCCTCGACGACCGTCCTGCTCCCGGCCGGCGTGCCGCGATCAATGACGATCATGACCTCGGCGCCCGAGTCCCACAGGGCCCGCACCATGTCCTTGCGCTTGTCGCGCGTCGGCAAGTCGCCGAGCGAGAAGGCGGCGAGCGCGATCGAGCGCTTGTGCTCGCTCGACTTGGGCGACAGCTGCATGCGCGCGAGCGACGAGGCCGAGGCGGGGAGCGCGAGTTGGTGCGTCTTGGCGTCGAGGCGCGCCGAGCTCGCGGCGCCGCTCGAGGCGCCGTCGTCGGTACGGCGGAGCGGGAGGGCGCCGAAGAGGCCGCTCGACAGCTCGACCATGCTGCGCGACGGGTCGAGGCCGACGTACTCGCGCGCCGCGCCTGCGGGCGTCTCGACGCCCCACACGTCCTCGAACGCCCAGGCGGCGCTGCCCGTCCCGCTGCCAAAGTCGACGAGGCGATCGGGCTGCCACGGCTCGCCCTGCGCGCCGTCTTGCCCTCGCGCGCCGGTCGACAGGAGCTCGAGGCGCTGCTTGGTCATGTCGAGGACGTGGAGGGTGGCAGCGTAGACCTGGGGCATGAGGCCGGCGAGGTAGGCGAGGGACGAGGCGGCGTCGTAGCTGACCTTGTTGTCCTGCTTGTCCTTCTGCGACAGGGCGGCGGTCGGGAAGCCCGACGTGCGGTTCAGGCGAGCGTAGAGGTCGAGGGCCGTGTTGCGGATGATCGTCTTGTCGTCGAGACCTGCGAGGGAGGGGAGGAGTCAGCTCACGGCTCGAGGGAGGTTGAGGAGGGGGGGCAGGAGGGGTGCAGTGCGCACCTTCGACAATGGCGTTGGTCGCGAGCTGAAGTTCTCGGGGAAGCTGTACGTCTCCTCGCAGGCTCTCGCCCCGCCTTGCCGCGCTCGACTTGGAGACAGCGTCCGTGCCGCCGAGGGCGCGGTCCTGCTCGGCGTGATGGGCGGTGTAGATGTCGAGGGCGAGGCGGTCGACCGTGGCAGAAGATGCGTGGCGCCTTGTCGGCCGCCCGGCTGCAGCATGGGCCGTGCGACGAAGCATGGCCGCTGGCGAGAGAGGTTGAGAGGGACGAGAGGGTGTGGTGGCGCGGCGAGCGCGGCGGCCGGCGCGATGGTGTGGGTCGAGTGCGAGCTCTACAGTGGCGGTTACTGCGTGCACTGGCTGAGCTCTCGCCGTGTGGTCGCTGAGCGACGAGCTTCGTGCAGAGGCGAGCGAGATGAAGCTCCGCAATTGGCTACGCTCGCGCACGCCGCCGCTCTCGACGACGCCGCCGTACAAGTTGCGCGCAGTCAGACTGGCTCGGCACGCGGCACGCTCGAGTGACTCTCGAAGGGCAGCATCCGAGCGAAGCCAGCTCCTGACGGCTCGTGCGCATCTTCCTGACGACCGTGCGCAGCGCTCAGAGCACTGAACCGGCGGGACGCAGCGGACACACGGCGACAGACGACGCTCGCGTTGCAGGAGAACGAGCGAGAGCGGTCGACAACGAAACGAAAGCGAGCGAAGGAAGAGGCGACGAGCGAGAGGAGGACGACGTTCCACGCCCGCCGCATTGCTCGGCACGCATTATGCCGCGCCAGACGCACTCGTATAGACGGACAGAGCGAGCTCGGGAGAGAACGAGCCAACAGGAAGAGCTGTCGCGGCTTCGCCGACCTCGGACTCGAGGGAGAAGGCCAAGAGGGCAACTCTCGCTGTACATGACAAAACAGCTCGGGAAACGCGCTCAATTGCACCGCAGACACCTGCTCGTCCGATCTGGCGCAAGCAGAACGCCCCAACCCTGCTAGATCAAGAGATAGCGTTTGAGCGAGGGTGCGCAGGATCCCCCTGTTTTTTTGTAGGTGGCCGGGCGCACGGACGGGCCCCGAGGGGCACTGCCGTGCGCAACGGCTCACCGGGGTGCGCCCGCTGCCGACTAAGGGCAAAGAGGGCGGGCGCGGCCTCGTCAGACCCGTCCTCGACGGCTCGGCTTGGTCGGCCGCCGGGACGAGTTGCTTTCACGGGGCGGGCAGCTTGATCCTCCGGGGCCCGCCCATGTCCTACAGAGGGCGTGTCGGCATCGACAGGGGCCGGTGCGAGAGGCAGGAATGGTACGAGGAGGAGCTTTCGGGGACGAGAAGGAGGGGATGCCATCGCGGGCTCGGCTAACCTGCGGCGCGAGGTCCGAGAGGGTCAGTGCGTGGTTCGGGGCGGCCTGGAGACTCGGCTGTAGGCCTTGGGCCCAAGTACGAGAGCGAGGGGGACGTACAAGGATGCAGATGAACCGGCTCGAGGTCGACAGCGAGCCGCACGCCGTGAGAAATGTCGCCCGCCGCTCCTGCGCGGCCGCTCGACCTGTAGAGGGACCCAGTCAGCTTCACTGACCACTCGAAATGCGTCTCGCGACGGCAGGTGGAGCGAGAGGAGAGGGGGAGGGGGGCCAAACAGAGGGAGGCGGGGACGACGAGGACTCACACGTCGTACGAAGCTCACAGAGCGCTGCCGCCTTGTTGAAGCGCTCCTTGCCCCTCCTCGTGCCCATGATGAGACCGCACGCCGGTCTACAGGTCGTTGCCGCCAGTCGACAGAGGTCGCCCACCGCGGGGCGCTGATGAAGACGCGACGCGCTCTGCGCCGGCGGCGGGCGCTCGCAGTGGTGCGCATGAAGCAGAAGTATGATGCCGAGATGTGCAGGTACCGACTCGAGCCAGTCTGAGCGAGTCCAGTCGTGAGGGCCGAGCGGTGGGCGGACAGACAGTGAGGGAGGGAGGCGGGGCGGCCTTGCCTCGCCGAGTAGTGGCGCGCGCTCTCAGTGCGGTCGACACCTCGTACAGGCCACTGCGGCTCTCTCAGGTGGGAGCTGTCGCACTCGCGTTCGCTTTCGATCGCGCTCTCGCTCGACAAAGGGCAAGGACGAGGAGGGGAGCGAAAACGACAGAGCCGCTGTGCATTGGAACGACCGCGGAACGACACAAGGAGAGGGAGGGAATGCGCACACGACCGAGCAGTTTAGAGCTTGTCGTAGCTGTAGGCGCAAGAGGGCGGGTCAGGCTCGGGACGAGGAGAGCAAGAGGCGAAAGGGGGACGCACAACTGGTCGAGCGTCGGGATCTCCTGCTTGAGACCCTTGCGCTGGCGGATCTGGAGGACGAGAGCCTCGACCTTGCCGCCCCTGCAAGAGAGAGGGAGAAGTACGTGTTAGTGGCGGTCGCAAAGCGAAAGTCGGCTCCGTCGGCGACGACGACAGAGGGCAGAAGGGGACGCACTTCTCGGTGATCGCACCCGGCATCGTCTGCCAGTGGTCGAAGACCTGTAAAGGAAGGGAAGAAGGGTCAGGTCGACGCACGGCAACGGCGAGGGTGCGAGACGAGGAGCTCGAGGACGACGCCGATGGCTGCTCGCCCTCGCGCGCTTGCGCGACGCCGCAAGGGTGAAGAACGAGAGACGTACCATCTGGGGGAAGCTGTGGAGCAGGGAGGGAATGAGGGGTCAATGACTGAAACTCTCGGCGAGAGGAGGGAGCGAGAGGAGGACGCACGCCTGGCCACCAGTCGCCTGGCGGAGCTCGCCCGTGAAACCGAAAGACTCTGCGAGGGAGAGAAGAGTCAGCTCGAGGACGAGGGAGAAGAGTGGAGGGAGAGAGAGAGTGGGAGAGGCGGACGCACCGTTGACGGGGAGGTACGCCTTGACGGTGTACATGGGCGTGCCCGGGCGCTGCTCCTCCGAGAAGACCATGCCGCGCTTGCGGTTGAGCGTCGAGTAGATGCCGCCGAGGGCCGTCTCGGGGCACTGGACCTCGATCTGGTACACCGGCTCCTGCAGACCCGGCTCGGCGAGGAGCGAGGCGGCGTAGACGACGCGACGGCACGTCGGGATGAGCTGTCCACCGCCACGGTGGATGGCGTCGGTGTGGAGGGTCACGTCGAGGATGTTGTAGCGCGAGCAGCGCATGATCTCCTCGGCGCACGGGCCCTCTGCGAGCGGGAGGAAGGGGCAAAATGTCAATTCGCGAACGACGATGACGACGATGCCGCCCGAGGGAGAGAGAGAGAGAGAGGTGGACGCACCCTTGGTCGCCCACTGGAAGGCGGCAACGCACGAGTCCTTGATCTCGGACAGGAACTGGACACCCTTGGTCGTGTCGACGAGGAAGTTGGGGCCCGAGCCGTCGGGGCCGAAGCACCAGATCTTGCGAGCGTCGGTGACGTCCCAGCCGTACTCGTCGGCGAGGATGCGGGCACGGGCCTTGAACTCGTCACGCGGGCCGATCTTGCCCGACTCGACCGCCTTGGCGACCTCCTCGTCGACCGGCTGCGCCTTGACGTAGAGACGGTTGTGCTTGTTCTGCGACTTGGACAGCGCCGTCATGGACGACTCGGCCTGGACCGTCTCGCGGTAGCCGACGACCGGGTCCGAGATCTTGAGGGGCACGCCGGCGTGGTCCTCGACGAGGTCCTTGAGGCAGATCTCGAGGTGGAGCTCACCGGCACCGGCGACAATGTGCTCGCCCGTCTCCGAGATCCAGGTCTGGACACACGGGTCCGACTTGCTGAGGCGCTTGAGGCCCTCGACGAGCTTGGGCAGGTCGTTGGCGTTCTTGACCTCGACGGCAACCTGCACGACGGGCGAGACCGAGAACTTCATGACGCGCATGTTGTGGGCCGTCTCGCTCGTGGTGAGGGTACCGCTCTTGAGCAGGAACTGGTCGACGCCGACGAGGCCGACAATGTTGCCGGCCGGGCAGTCCTCGAGCGGGTCGACGCGGCCGCCCATCATGAGGACGGTGCGCTGGATCGACTTGACGAAGAGGTCCTCCTTCTTGCCCGGGACGTAGTTGGGGCCCTGGATGCGGATCTTGGGGCCCGACTTGACCGTGCCGGCAAAGACGCGGCCGAACGCGTAGAAGCGGCCCTTGTCCGAGGTCGGGACCATCTTCGAGACGTAGAGCATGAGCGGGCCCTTGGCGTCGCAGTCGCGGATGGCGACGGCGCACTCGTCGTCCATGGGGCCCTCGTACAGGGTCTCGACGCGGTAGCGCTGGGCCGTGACGGGCGACGGGAGGTTGATGACGATCATCTCGAGGAGCGAGTCGCCGGCGGGCAGGAACTTGCGCATGATGACCTTGAGGAGCGCCTTGCCCTCGAGGTCCTTCTCGTCCGAGGTGAGGTTGATCTCGAGCTTCTCGAGCAGGGCCGGGATGGCGTCCTTCTTGAAGTTCATGACCGAGTCGAAGATGCGGAAGATCGGGTCGAGGACGAACTGTGGGACGGGCGACGAGGGTCAGTAGGCTCCTCTAGAGTGTGGGGGGGAGAGAGAGAGAGAGGTGGGACGCACCATGTTGAAGCCACGCTCGAGCTGCTTGCCGTCGGCGTCGGTCGCCTTGGTCGACCACTTCTTGGTCTTGGGGTTGAAATAGTTGTCGCCCCACAGCTTGGGCATGAGCTTGTCCTTGCTGACGCCAAACTTCTTGGCGTAGCGAGCGGCGAACTGGCGGAGCGTGAAGGCCCAGCCGTGGAGGCCAGAGCCGAACGCGACCGTGCCGGCCTCGGGGTACACCTGGACGTCGCCGAGGACCTCCTCGTTGTAGGTCGAGATGATGACGTTGACCGACTCGATAGTGCGGGCGAACGTCTGGTACAGGTCCTCCTTCTGGACCTGAAGCTCGAGCAGGGCGCGGTCGACCTTGTTGATGACGACGACGGGCTTGATGCGCTCGCCGAGGGCCTGGCGGAGGACGGTCTCGGTCTGGACGCAGACACCGTCGATCGTGTCGACGACGACGAGGGCGCCGTCGGTGACACGCAGGGCAGCGGTGACCTCGGACGAGAAGTCGACGTGACCCGGCGAGTCGATGAGGTTGATCAGGAAGTCGTGGCCTGCGAGGAGAGAGGGCAAGGTGGCGAGTCAGTGACGGGCTGCGAGGAGGGGAGGGGAGGAGGAGCGAGACGCACCGTCGTTCTTCTGCTTGATCTCGCCAAGGTCCTCCTTGGGGAGCTCGAAGTACATCGAGATGGCGGTCGACTTGATCGTGATACCGCGCTCCTGCTCGTCGGCACGGGTGTCCATCGCGCGCTGGTCGCCGGCCTTGGCCGAGGCGATAATGCCGGCCTTGGACAGGAGCGAGTCGGTGAGGGTCGACTTGCCGTGGTCGACGTGGGCGATGACGGACACTGCGAGGGGCACGAGAGGTCAGGGCGAGGGTCTCGTGGGACGAAAAGAGACGAGAGGCAGACGCACTGTTGCGGATGCTGCACGGCGGCGAGACATGGCGAGGTGGGCGAGACGAGAGGGTGGAGGTTGCGCGGGAGGAGGAGGGGGAGGGGGAAACGTCAGCTCGCCCGTCCTGAACGCTCCGGGTCCCGCACAGAGACGGCGGTTGCCGCAGTCGACGAGGACGCACTGCTTAGTACGTTAGCCATGAGAGCTTAGTACGTTAGCCATGAGGGTTTAGTTCGTTAAACATGAGAGCTTAGTACGTTAAAGAGAGAGCGAGAGGGTCCGGGCGACGCACCGACGGTAAAGTTGACCATGGTGACCAACTAGCGGGAGCTTGACGGGGAAAGAAGGAAGGGGGAAGGGGAGCTGGAGCAGCCGCGGGGGCGAGAGGAGATGGAGGGAAGGGGAGGAGGACAGCGAGCGACCCGCACCTGGCGAGGCGGCCGCCGCCAACACTTTTGCCTCGCGCGCGCGCGACCATCGTCGAGGCGTTCGCTCTATTGCGCAGCGCCGCTACTATTCTCTCAATACCAGCTCGTCTCGTAACCCCCCCGCCTCGCGGCCGGCTCGCAGCTCCCCCGCCCGCCGGCTCTGGTCGGCAGCTCGACCTCGCGCCCTCGCACCCTCGCTGTCGCCTGCGCAGTCGATGCGCACTAGCTCGACGAGAGGCTCGCCAGCACGCCGCGCCCGCCTGCGCCTCTCGTCGGCCCTCGTCCTCGCTGTCGCCGGCCTCGCCTCGTTCGCGCTCGGCTTCTTCCCCGTCAAGCCGCTCCTGCCAGGGTTCTCGAGTCGACAGACCTACGAGGACGAGTGTGCGAGCCCGTCTGGGCCGGGCGAGCTGCGCTCGGATGCCTTCTCGCGGTTGGCGTTCGTCGTCGTGGATGCTCTCAGGAGGTCCGTCTCTCCCACTCGGTCCCTACCTTCTTCTTCCTGGGCCGCGTTGACATACCTGCACCCCCCGCAGTGACTTTGCCCTCGGACCCGAGTCGCGCATGAGCTTCCTCGCGTCGTACGTCCCCCCAACGCCCTCTCCCCCTCCTCTCGCGGCCTCGCATTCCTGACGACGAGTGCGTGCGACTTTGCAGACTCGTCGTCGACGGTCACGCTCTACCGTACACGGCGGTCGCCCAGGCGCCGACCGTCACGTTGCCCCGCCTCAAGGCCCTCACGACCGGATCCAACCCGACATTCGTCGACGCTCTCCTCAACCTCGCCGAGGAGACGTCCAGCTCTGCAGCGCTCGAGAACGTCGACTCGTGGCTGCGACAGCTCGTCCTCTCGGTCGACGACGGCGGCGCGCCCAAGAAGGTCGCGTTCGCTGGCGACGACACCTGGCTGCGGCTCTTTCCGCAGACCTGGTTCAGCTGGCACGAGGGCGTCAGCAGCTTCTTCGTCTCGGTGCGTCCTATTTCGTCCCTCTCGAGCGTCCAGCGGCCGGGTCTTGACGCTCGATTTGCGTGCAGGACACCGTGACGGTCGACTCGAACGTGACCCGTCACCTCGACGCTCTTCTCGGACCACCACGAGCACCGGTCGCTCATCCCGTCGCGCCCTCGACCGAGTGGGACGTCCTCATCCTTCACTACCTCGGTCTCGACCACGTCGGGCACCTCGAAGGGCCAGCAAGGTGCGCTCGAACCTCCCCTGCCTCGACTTGGCGCCCACTGACCCTCTGCCTCGACAGCCCGCTCATGGCGCCCAAGCAGGTCGAGATGGACAAGGTCGTCGAGCGCGTCTATCGGTACCTCGAGCGGCGCGACGAGGCGGACGGGCAGAGGAGCCTGCTCGTCCTCGTTGGCGACCACGGCATGACCGAGGTGCGCCCTCTCGCTCGCTTTGCGCCTCGGTTGCCCCTCCAGCTCTGACCGTCTCGCAATGCCTGCAGGGCGGCAATCACGGCGGCTCGACAGAGGCCGAGACCTCGGCTGTACGTGCGCGCCCCCTCGACCACTTCTCGCACGAGCCTCTCCTGACCATCAGCTTTTCCTCGCAGGCCCTCGTCCTCGCCGCTCCCAGCCTTCGCCTCGACGAGCGCAAGCTGCCTGTCCGGCACGAGTCGCCGTACAAGCACTTCGAGGTCGTCCAGCAAATCGACCTCGTCCCGACCCTGAGCGTACTCTTTGACCTTGGCATGCCGAGGTGCGTCTAGATACGTCGCCCTCTCTTCCTCCCGGACATCGTACTGACTCGTCGTGTCCCCTCGAGCAGGAACTCGATCGGCAAGCTCGTCCGCTCTGCCGTTCAGGCTCTGCGTCCTGCCGGTGAGTCGTCCCCTCTTTTGCCCTCGACGAGGCAGCAGTCCTCAGTCTTTCTGTCGCGCAGCTTTTCTCGGCGGTCTGCAGAGCAACATGCGTCAAGTGGGTGCCGTACTCGCCGCGAGCAGTTCGAGCGCGATGGACTGGACGCTCTCGAAGACGGTGCCTGAGGGTCGGTGGACTTCCTTCGGCGCGCTCGCCGACGAGGGCTCGTTCGAGGAACAAGCAGAGGTGTGTCGGTCATCCGTGGACGGTCGTTCTGTCCTTCGCCTGACACCTCGCATGTTCGTCTGCAGTTTCTCGCAGTCGCGCAAGCTCGCCTTCTCGCCTCGTCCAGCTCGTACCACCTCCGCCCACTCTTCCTCGGCCTCGCCGTCCTGGTCCTCGCCTCTTTCGTGACCCTCATCCACGTGCGCCGCATCTGGTCGGTCGAGACGCACCGGGCGAGGCTCGCCGTCGCCGTCGCCGTCCTCGTCTTCCTGGGCTCGCTCTTCGCGACGAGCTTCATCGAGGAAGAGCACGAGATCTGGTACTTCCTGTCGGCGACAGCCTTGCTCGTGTCAACCCCGAGGTGCGTGCTTCTGCCTAGCCCTGTGTCGAGCATCCTCCTGACGAGCTCCACCTTCCCAGATCCGACCTCAACTCGACCGACCGTCTCTCGCTCGTCGGCGCGGCCGCCTCAGTCCGGCTTCTGCGCAGTTGGGCGCACAACGGTACACAGCCTGTCTGCCTCTTCATCCGCCGCAGTGCGGCCGGTACTGACGTCGCTGCGTCCCTGGTGCAGGTCAGAAGAACGTCTCGAACGTCTCGATCGCCGCCTATCTCGCCACCTCCCCTCGCCTCACGTCCGCCCTCGTTTCCCTCACCTACGTCCTCGTGTCGGTCCTCGCCGTCGTCACTCTCGCCCTCGACTCGCGCGTCATCGCTCGACAGCGCCTCCCGCCGGCGGCTCTCCTGCGCCGAGCGGCCCTGCTCGCCATCAGCGCTGTCATCGTCGTCGCGCAGAGCGTCGTCGGCTCCGCGATGCACCTGTCGACCCTCCTCGTCGTCGGCGACGAGCCGAGCGCGCTCTGGCGCGTGCTCGAGCAGCTCGAGCTTGCCGACCAGGTGTCGCTCGCTCGAGCCGGGTACGGACTCGCCGCAGGAGGATGGCTCTGGTGGCGCGTGTCGCTGCGGGTACAGACGTCAAAGAGTGCGTCTTGCAGGTCTCCCTCATCAGGCGCCCTCACTGACTCTCACGCCGCCTGCAGCCGTGCCGATGATCCACTTGTCCCTCCTCCTCATGTCGGTCACGCGCCCAACCAACGTCCCGCTCTTCCTCGCATTCTACGTCCAGCATGTCGCCCTCGGTCGCCTCGCGAGCAAGCCGTCCGCCTCGCCCGCCGTGCTCGCGCTCCTCGTCGCCGCTCTGCAGAGCTCGACCTTCTTCGGACTCGGCGGGTCGAACTCGCTCGCGACGTGCGTCGAGAGTCCTCTCACCTCCTCAATGAGACGTCCACTGACTCGTGCGCGTTACAGGGCCGACCTCTCGCAGGCGTACAACGGCCTGCGGTCCTTCTCCCTCACCCTCGTCACCCTCCTCGCCTTCCTGTCCAACTTTTCCGGCCCAATCTTCCTCTCCCTCTCGCTCCACACCCTCCCTCCCGTCCTTCGCCCGCTCGTCCTCGACTACCTCTCGGCGTTCCACGTCGTCGCGCTCACGGCGCTCGCGGCGAGCGCGACTCACTTCCGCGAGCACCTGTTCGCGCTCACCGTGTTCGCGCCCGCGGTGCTGTATCGCGCTGGCTGGTTCGTCTGGGTGCAGGTCGGGACGAACCTCGGACTGTCGAGGCTGCTCCTGGGCTGAGGAGGCGCAGGGTCTTTCGGTAGCTCGTCTCGCTCGCACCTTCGCAACTCGCAACTCGCACGGACCTCGCCTTTCCGACTCGAGCCAAAAGAGAGAGAGAGAGAAAGTGCTGCAGTACAGTCGTCTAGGGGCCGCGAAAGCCCTAATGGTCCTTCTCGCCCGCCTTGCCCTCGGGCCGCCGTGCGACCCACTCGCCTCGCCGCTCAACCTCGCGCAGGACGCCCTCGAGCTCGTCCCTGACCCTCGCCTGGCCCGCCTCGTCGCCCTCGCCGTACAGCCTCGTCCTGCCGACCATGCCAAAGTTCTTGGTGCTCGGGATGCGGAGCGCCTCGCGCTCGGGGACGAACCCGCAGCGGAGCGTCAGGTGCGCGAGGTACAGCTGGTACGCGGCGTAGCGCCCGCCGATGATCGAGGGCCCGGTCGACGTCGACGACTGGGCGAGGGGCGTCGGGGCGTAGAAGGGGTGGAGGAGAGGGTGGGGCGGGGCGGGAGAGAGAGAGGGCGAGTCGGTCGAGGAGGAGGGGGCAGGAGGTGGCGAGGGGAGCGCCGAGAGGTATGCCGCCGGGATCGAGTACGCCTGACGGTCGAAGCGGCCGTGCAGCTCGTGGAGGCAGCACGGGATGTTGAGGAAGGCCGACCGGGGCGTGCACGCGGCGAGGAGCGGCAGCCACGGCGTGAGCTCGTCGGCGTGGTTGCCGATCAGGAACGCGTCCGGCGGGAACGCCGGCGTCGAGGTCGAGAGGTACGCCGCGACGAGTGAGGGCGGGAGGATGGACGAGACGCGCAGGTCGGGCGCGGGCGAGTAGGCCGACCACGACTTGCGCGCTCGCAGGTCGAAGCCGTAGCCCGAGTAGCCCTCGGCGTTGAGGATAAAGACGCTGCAGGCGGTCGAAGATCAGTTCGAGGCTGTAGGAGGCGAGAGGCGAGAAGGGACGCACAGGAGGCCGTTGCCGCACCCGACGTCGACGAACCCGCCTCGAGGTCTGCCGCCCGACTCGGGGTACATGCGGCGCCACAGGACGATGAGCCACGCGGCGATGGCGACGTCTTCAAAGACGTGCTTGGTCGCGTCGGTCGACTCGCGCCAGGCCGAGAGCATCCACCTGAACGTGATGCGCGGCGAGTGGGCGACGAGGTCAGTGCTGCGGTGCGAGGCGGACGGCGAGGCCTCAGCATCGCCGTCTCGAGACGGATGGACGAAGGGGAGGGGGGTCGGGACGTACTTGTACTTGTCCTTGAGCTGCTGATACAGGTCCTGGACGTCCTCCTTGCCGACGAGGAGGTCGTGGTGGACGCGCTTCTGCCACCCGTCGGCGTGGCCGAGGCAGAGCTTGGCCGTGAACTTGACGAGTGCGAGTGCGGTGCGGTACAGGCGGTCGGATGGAGGTAGAGGCGCGACGAGGGGCGGTTGTGCGGGCAGAGGGACGAGGTCGATGCGGAGAGAGGCGGACGAGGGGGAGGTCGACGAGGGCAAGTAGCGGAACGCGAGGGCGCGGACCTGCGGGTGGTAGTACGGAAGGCGTCCTTTGTCGTCTTGTTGTCGCAGCTGATCAAAGTCGGGCAGGAGGAGGACGAGCGCTTCGTCGTCGTCGGCGGCGTCGTCGTCGTCGGCGGCGTCGTCGTCGTCGGCGGCGTCGTCGTCGTCGTTGTCGGCCGGGTCGCGGTTGCGCGAGTAGAAGAGGCACTCTTGCTCCATGGCCCAGTCGAACTGGGGCCTGTTGGGGAGGATGCGACGCCTGAGTCGGCGCACGCAGGTGTAGCCGTCGAGCGAGACGAGGGCGGGAGTTTGAGGAGGAGGGTCGAGGTGGTCGGCGAGGATGTCGGCGCGGAGGATGGTCGAGCTGCTGTGTTCTGGCTGGAGGGCGAGGTCGGCGAGTGCGAGGTGGAAGTGCTTGGCCGAGCAATCGAGGTCGAGCTTGACGACGGGGATCCAGTCGAGCGGCGACGAGGAGGACGAGGAGCGCAGGCGAGGGAGAGGGTTGGGCGCGTCTGCCGCGAGGGCCACTGGTTGCGGGCCTGTGGTGGGCATGGCCTCGGGTGCTCTGGAGCGCAGTCTGGCGAGGTGCGCAGGGTGGGTCGGCGCTGAAGGACGGGGGCAGTGCTCTCGCTCCTCGTCCTCCTCCTTCCCTCTCGTCCTCGTCGCCCAGGAGCCTCAGTGACCACCTCGAGCTGCTACTGGCACCTTGCCTACTGCCCTCGAGCGCGCACCCTCCCATCCAACCCCCTCCCGCCGCCGCTCGCCCCCGTCCCCCTCCTCATCTCCCCGTTCGTCTCCCCCGGCTCGGCGACCGCGCACCAGCACCCGAGCCCGCCACACACACACAGGCCAGCAAACACCTCATCCCCTGTCGCCGCCACCATGCCCCGCCGCAAGCAGCCCACCTCGCACTCGGATGACGCCGACCAGCCTCAGCCGGGGCCTCCTCGTGTCACCATCGCCGACCTCCCGCCCGAGATCGTCCTCCAGATCGTCGACCTCATCCGTCAACCCCACCCCAACCGCTGCCCGCGCTCGGCCGCCCGCAACCCGGCCGCCGACAACCTGTTCGGCCACGCCCCGGGCGACAACGCCAACGAGCCGCCCATCAACCCGGGCGAGGCCCTCCTCGCCATGATGGGCGGCCTCTTCGGCATGGGCCAAGGTGCCCAGGCGGCAGGCGGCGCTGCAGGACCGGCCCCAGCTGCGCCCGCCGCGCCTCGCCCCGCCGATGACTCGGACGACGACATGCCGCCGCTCGAGGGTGCGTCCCACCTCCCTGCACCGTTCCGCGTCTCGGCCACGGATTGACCTTTCAACTCTCCCTACCCAGCCATCCCTACGTCTACCACCGCGTCGACCGCCGCCGCCGCATCGACCTCGCGCAACCAGGACGACGACGACGACATGCCGCCTCTCGAGTCGATCGATGGCCCGACGACCTCGGTCCTGGCGCAAGCAGCTCGCGACGACGACGGCGACGACGACATGCCGCCCCTCGAGCGTGCGTCCCGCTCTCTTTCCTCCTCGGCCTTCTTGACTTTCTCACTGACTTTCCCCACCTCGAGCAGCCATTCCTTCGCCCGTCAACCCCACGACGGCCCCTCGTGCCGCCACGTCGTCGTCTGCCCGTCCTGCGCCTGCCTCGGCGCCCGCCTCGGCCGTCAACCAGGACGACGACGACATGCCGCCGCTCGAGCCCATCGACGGCTCGTCCTCTGCGCCCGTTCTCGGCGCCGGCGCCGTCGACGATGACGACATGCCGCCGCTCGAGGAGATCGACGGCGCGCCGCTCCCGGCCGACGTGGCGCGCGAGCTCGAACGGGCGCAGGCCGTCCGCGACGCACTTGGGCCCAGCCGCGACGACGAGACCGAGTGGGACGAGACCGACGAGGACGACGAGGACGACGACTGGGACGACGAGGACGACGACATGTACAGCGACGAGGACTACGACGATGCCCAGGACTCGGACGCCGACGACGACCGCATCTACGCCGACGGCCAGCCGACCGAGCCGCTCCTCCCGCTCCTGTTCGTCAACCGCACGTTCCTTCACGCGGCGCGCCGCCGCCTGTACCGCACGCTCAAGGTCCAGTCGCCCTACGTCGCGAGCCTCATGCACCGCGCGCTCGCCGCCGAGGCGCCCGCCGCCTGGACGGCCGCCGACCAAGCCGCGTTCGACGCGGCCGACGCGACCGACATCGACGGCGCGCCCGTGCGCAAGAACTACCTCGGCGACGCCGTGCGCACGCTCCAGGTCGCGACGGGCGTCGAGGGCGCCGTCAGCCTCGGGCGCGGCGGCGCCGAGCACTACGTCGGCCTCGTCGCCCTGTCGCGCAACGTCGAGACGCTCAGCCTCCAGACCAAGTTCTACAAGAGCGCGACGTGCGTCTCTCGCTCTCTCCCTCTCTTCCTGGGTGACCGCACTCGAGCCCGTCCCTGACCTCCTTTCGCTCCCCGGCCGCAGCAAGCCGCTCCTCAACGCCCTGTCGGGCCTCTCGCGCCTCAAGGTCCTCGACATGACGTCGTCGGACGGCAAGCACGCCTTCATCGTGACGACGGCGCGCCTGTACAAGCTCATGCAGCGCTCGTGGCCCGACCTCGAGACGCTCGTCGTCACCAACCTCAAGCCGGCCGAGGACGGGCCCGGGCACGAGGAGGACGAGATGTGGGACATCGTGCAGGAGCTCGAGGAGGAGGCGTGGAACGAGAAGCAGCGCTCCAAGGTCGGCGGCGGCGGCGACAAGGACCAGGGCGAGGGCGAGGGCGAGGCAGGCGCGGCCAAGACCGACGGCGGCGAGGTCGTCAAGGCCGAGGGAGCGGGCGACAAGAAGGTCGGGCGCAAGCCGCATGGCCTCACGAGCCTGCAGCTCGACGGGTTTAACGTGACGGGCAGCGAGATGACGCTGCTCCTCCAGGACGTGCGTCCTCATTTCCCTCTCTCTCTTTCTCTCTCGACCCCGCCTCTTCCGTCGCGTCAACTCTACTGACACCCTTGCCTCCCTCACGCAGTCGGCCGACACGCTCAAGGACCTCCTCTTGCGCGACCCGGGTTACCTGTTCAGCCGCACCCAGCTCGCGGCCACCCTCCTCCAGTTCGGCCACAACCTCACCGACCTCGAGCTGCGCCTCCCTGCCTCGTGGGACCCGACGCCAAAGCTCTCGGCGAGCGCGACGTCGCCCGTGTACCCGGTGCGCCCCAAGGACTACGTCGTCGGCAGCCCGACGGCCGAGCACCTCAAGAAGCTGTCGGGCTACACCTACTTCCTCGACGCCGTCCTGCCGTTCCTCCCCAAGCTCAAGGCGCTGCGGTTCGAGGGCCCGTACGCCTCGACGAGCGTTTTCAGCTTCATGCCGCCGACCCTCACGCAGTGCGTCCCCTCTCCCTCTCTCGCCTCTCGGTCCCTCGTTCCTGAACAACTCGCTCACGCTACTGTTCCTGCAGCGTCGCGTTCGGCGACTGCCCCGACATCAAGCCGAAGGCGCTCGCCAAGCTGCTCAACAAGACGGTCACGCGCACCAAGGTCGTCACCAAGCAGGAGTGCGTCCCCTTTCTCTCACGCCTTCGTCCCTCTCGCCCCGGGACGGCTCGCTCATCGTCATGGACATTCTCGCAGCGGCGCCAAGGTCAACAAGTCGTACAAGTCCAAGCCGGCCCCGGGCCTCACGTGCCTCACGGTCATCGTGCGTCCTCACCCACTCGTCATCTCTGGCCCTGCGCCCCGTTCCCGACTAACCGGCCCTCGAACGACCGCAGGGCGACGACGTCAACTGGACCGACGACGACATCGCGCCTCTCGAGCGCGCCTGTCAGCGTCGCAACGCGTGCCTGCACCTCTCGAGCGACGGCGGCGCCGGCGGCGCCTTTGTCCCGCTCGTCGGCGGCCTAGGCGGCTTCGGCGGTCTCGGCGGCCTCCAGAACATCGCCCCGCTCGGCGCCGATTACGCCAACGTCCCTGCTCCCCCCGGGGTCGCCGCTCCGCCGCCCGCCGCGCAGCCTCGCCCTGCGGCCGCACCTCGTCCGGCGGCAGCCGCGCCCGCGCCCGCACCCGCACCCGCAGCCGTGCCGACGTTCTTCCCGGCGTTCATGCCGGCGCCTCCCGCCCAGCCACGCGCTGCTGCCGCGCCCGCCGCCGCCCCTGCACCGGCGCCTGCGCCTGCCCCCGCTCGCGCACCGGCCCTGCCGGCCGCCAACAACGGCAACGCGCGCGCCAACCCGCGTCCGGCTGGTGGCGGAGGCTTCGGCGGCCTGACGGGGCTCGCGGGCATGTGGGCGTCGCGCTAGGAGGGCGCTCGCGGCGACGAGGTGGAGGAGAGAGGCGCAGGAGGAGGAGGAGGAGATGGTGGACGTAGCGCTTGACTCGCTTTCCCGGACTCGCTTGACGACACTCGCACCTGCAACTGTGACACTCTCTTTCTGTGCCTGCGTCTCGCGTTCACGCCGCTCGCCGTGTCGAGAGAGAAGCTCGTCCAAGTTCATCAGCTCCTCGTGGCTCCCTCCCTCTCGTCGTCGGCTCTCTCCTCGAAGAGAGCCGCACTATGCTCAATGCTGCCGAGAAAGCTCTTCGCAAGCTCGTCAGGGAGCAGCAAGGGCTCAACCCGTCGCAGGTCACCGAGCTCGACGGTGTTCCCTCGTCGACCGAGTTCGCTCGTTTTGTCGCCGGCAACCGGCCGGTCGTGATGCGCGGCGCAGGTCGACAGCTTCAAGTTCCGGCACTCGACCGCTGGACGGACGACTACCTCGTCGAGACGCTTGCCGAGCGCGAGCTCGAGATTTCTGCGACCCCGCACGGGTGCGGCGCTCCTCGTCCAGCGCGTCTCCTGCACTGTCGAAACCTTTCCTGACCCGTCCTGCTGCCTGCAGAAACGCCGACGCGATCGTCGACGGCGCGTTTGTCGAGCCTGCAAGTGCGCCCACTTCTCTCTCCTCGTCTCTTCGTCGCCGCTGACTTGCCTCGAGCAGACGCCAAGATGCCGCTGTCGACGCTGCTCGACCGCCTGTACGAGGAGCAAGACGTTGTCGAGGCGACGACGCCTGTCTTCTACCTTCAGTCGCAGAACGGCAACCTTGCAGGCGAGTACGCGCCGCTGCAGGACGACGTTCTGCCAGACGGTCCAGCTTTCGCTCGCGAGGTCTTCGGTTCGTCCTCGTCTTCATCTCGAGACTCTATCTGGCGCGACCTGAGGCTTTGACCCTCGCAGGACAAGCGCCCGACGTCGCCAACATCTGGGTCGGCGGCCGTCGCAGCAAAACGTCCTTGCACAAGGGTGAGCCTTCCTCTCGCAGTCGTGACGACGTACCCTTCCGTCGAAGCGACTCGCATTGACGACTTGCGCGAGGCAGACCCGTACGAGAACCTCTACCTCGTCGTGCGAGGGAGCAAGACGTTCACGCTTTTCCCGCCGAGCGAGGCGTTCTGCATGCACGGTTCGTCCTCACTCTCTCTCTGGACGAACCTATACTCTTCGTCCTTCTGGGCAGCAGCCGACCAGGTCGGACGAGCAGTTTCTGAACCTCACGCACTGACTTTGTCCTTCCTCTCTCGCCTCCTCTCCCACCTTCTCTCCTTTCTCCCGTCGCTCGGTGCTCCTATCCCGGCACCGCCACTCGCAGAGCAGCCGTTCCCGCACGCAACCTACGTCTTCGACCCGTCGACGTCGTCCTTCTCGATCCGCCGCACGGACCCTCCCCTCTCGCTCCCCTGGATCCCGATCGACCTCGACTCGCCGTCGCTCTCGGCGCACCCTCGGTTCGCCCTCGCGCGCCCACTGCGCGTCACGCTCGCGCCGGGCGACATGCTGTACCTGCCCGCGCTGTGGTTCCACCGTGTCGAGCAGGACGTCGGGCTCGGACCTCCTCGAGCGGCGGCAGAAGCGGGAGCGGCGCGAGGAGGACGAGAGGGGGTCAAGGCGGCGATTGCGGTCAACTGGTGGTTCGATATGGACTACGGTGCGCCGGTGTGGGGCCTGCACGCTCTCGTGCGGCGGCTCACAATGGCGCTCGACGGGCAGGAGGACGACGAGCCGGACAGCGGTGACGAGGACGAGCTGTAGAGCCGACTGCAACCTTCGAGACTTCCTCGGGCACGCTCTCCTGTCCTCTCTCGTACTCTCTGTGACGCTCCCGACCGCTTGCAAAGAGCGCAGACGAGGCTCGAGAGCGAACGACGATCGAGTACAGACTGGACAGCGGGCAAGAGTGCGAACAAGGGGTGGGACGAAGGGGAAGGGAGACAGTCAAGGAAGAACGTGAGAGGAACGAGGAGGGGAAGGACGGGAGAGATCGTCCGGGTCGGCGTGCGAGGGAGAAAGCGAGATGAGAGAGATCCGGGAGGGAAGGGGGAACTGCAACGAGGGGAGAGGGAGAACTCTGAGGGTGTAGACGTGTAGAGTGTAGACGAGGCGAGGAGAGACGACGAGGGAGGAGAGGAAGAGGGCCTGTCGTGCCCGACGAGCCGACGCGAGGAGGTCCGAGCGGGACGGCCGACGAGGTCCAACCGTCGCCGGCACGGGCACGAAGGGACGAGGCTGCGGCGACGGCGCGCTCAGCAGATGACGCAGCCCTTGGACTTCTTCTTCTCGCGCGGCGTCGGGGCCAGGACGGCACGAATCGCCTCGTCAAAGACGTTCTTGAGGCCCTTCTGCGTCAGGGCCGAGCACTCGAGGTACCTGTGTCGTCGGGCGCGCACAGCTTTGTCAGTCCTCGGCTCTCGGCGTGGTAGAGAGAGAAGGGGAAGAGAGAGAAAGAGGACGCACCGCACGGCGGCAATCTCGCGCGCCATGGCGGCCGCCTGCTGGTACGCGATCGGGCTCATGCGCCGCTCGCGCAGCTTGTCGATCGTGTCGCGGTCCTCGCGCAAGTCGAGCTTGGTGCCGACGAGGATGATGGGGATGTTGGGCGCGTGATGGCAGATCTCGGGGTACCACTGCGGCAGGACGGGCGGAATCGCGCGCGAGGGCAAGGTCAGTGTACGACTTGGGGGAAGGAGGGGCCGAGAGAGAGGGGGAGGGGAGACGCACCTTGGTGCGCACGTTCTCAAAGCTGGCCGGGCTGACGATCGAGAAGCAGATGAGGAAGACGTCGGTCTGCGGGTACGACAAGGGCCGCAGGCGGTCGTAGTCCTCCTGGCCGGCCGTGTCCCACAGGCCGAGGTTGACGGGCTTGCCGTCGACCATGACGTTGGCAGAGTAGTTGTCGAACACGGTCGGGATGTACTCGCCCTGCACCGCGTGAGAGGAACAGGTCAGCTTGCGGCTAGTCGAGGAGGGACGAGGAGGGACGAGGCTCGGCGAGTGGCGCTGGGACGCACGGGGAACGCGTTCTGCAGGGTCGAGTACGTCAGTTTGCGGTCCTTGAGCGGGTGTAGGGAAGGGAACGAGGGTGCACCGTGGTGTACGAGATGAGGAGGCACGTCTGGTTGCGCAACGGGCGGGCGAGTCGGCGCGTGCGGTACAGGGCGATTTCGGGCGGGCAAGAGGGACGGTGGATGGGACGCACAGAGTCAGTTATGTGGTCTGGGCACAGGTGCGAGAGGAGGGAGAGGTGGGACGCACCTTGCCGACGGCACCGTCGCCGACGACGACAGCCTTGATCGACTGCATTGGCTGGCGGGAGAAAGACGAGGAGTGGAGGTGGGTCGAGTGCGGCGAAGGAGGGCTCTTGCGGGCTGCTTGAGCTGCTCGAGTCGGCAGAGAGGCAGTCGGGCGCGGTGGGAAGGGGGACAGTCGCTCGAGTGTGCGAGGCGCGAGCGGAGGGCGAGACGGCTCTGGTGGCGGGGACGGCGCGGCGGTGGGGGTTGCTGCTGAGCTCGAAGTGGTGCTGGCGCGGCGGGCTGGACCTGTAGAGGTGGGCGGGCTGGGCGAGAGGCGCGACAGGGGGTTCGTGTCGAGGACGGCGAGGGGTCGAGGTGCGGACGGCACTCGGGGCGCAGAGGCGAGAGGTGGCGCGCGCGGTGGGTGCAGCTGAGCCGACTGGTGGGTGCTGTGCTGCTTGCGAGGCTGGTCGAGCTCCACGAGGGCGAGAGGGATGGAACCCTAAGAGGGACGCGCTCGCGCGCCCGGCCGCTCCTCCGGAGCAGAGACGACCCGTCTCGCCTTTTGTGCTCTCTTGCTTCCTCTCACAGCGACAGAGAGAGCTCATGCAGGTTGTTTCTTTTCACACTCGACTCGAGAGAGAGGGACCCCCCACCCTTTTACGCCGACTTGCCCTTGGTCTCCCTCTGCGCGTCCGCGAGCTTGTCCCAGAACAACGCCTCGGCCTCCTTCCACACGCGCTCCGGCTTGGCCTTGTCGACGTCCTGCGCCGTGATGGGCTTGCCCTGGCGCGGCTCGCGCTCGGCCACCGCCTCGGGCAGCGTCATGAGCGACGGCAGCAGGTCGTTCGAGAAGGCGTCCGACGCCTCGCGCGGCAACAGCGTCGGCAGGTGGTCAATCGACACGACCGTCATCGGCGGACCGACCGTCAGGCTGCGGGCGAGCGCGAGGGTCAGTCGCGGGCGACGGCGACGAGGGAGAGAACGACGAGGGACGAGGGACGCACCCCTCGACATCGACCGTGGGCTTGTCGAACGTCGTGTTGACCGAGTAGATCGGGATCGGGTTGTTCGGGTTGGTCGTGTCGCACGACACGTCGACGACGACGCGCAGGTTGCGCTTGTCGCCGGCCGCCTCGATCGACTCGGGCGCGATGAAGGACGGGATCTTGGACGTGAGGTAGATGCAGTTAACGAACACGTCGGCTGCGGGGCGCACGAGCGAGATGTCAGTCCGTGAGCTCGTGTAGAGAGGAGAGAGAGGGAGAGGGGCGCACCGTCGAGGATCTCCTGGAACGGCCCGCCCTTGGACGTCTCGGCCATGTCCCACTTGGCGATGTTGTCGTCCTCGAAGCCGGCCTCCTTGAAGAAGTCGACGGCGCCACGGCCGCACCGACCGAGCGCGCCGATGACGAGCGCGCGCGGCTTGCGGCCGAGCTTGGCCTCGACGGCGGCGAGCTGGCCCTTGACGTCGGCGATCAAAGCCGCCTCGTTCGGGTAGGGCTTGGTCTCGCCGAGGCGCTCCTTTTCGCCGTTGCTGCCGACCTGCTTGGCGAGGGCGAGGGTGCCGACAGCGGCGCCGGCAAACCCGGCGTGGTAGCCGAACGCGGCGACGCGGCGGCCGTTCTCCTCCTGGAGGAACTCGAGGTCGTACAGCATGCCCGTCGGCTGGCCGGCCTCCCACCGAGTGATGACGTCGATCCAGCCGCCCTGCTGCTTGTAGCAGTGGGCGAACATGATGTGGGCGTGCGGGAGGGCGGTCGTGTCGTTGGGCGGGAGCTCCTTGAGGCCGCAGATGAGCGACGACAGGGGCGCCGACGGCCACGAGTTGTGCTCGACGAGCTTGCAGCCGACCCTGTGACAGGGAGGGGAGGGGGAAGAAGGGTCAGCTCGGTGCGAGGGGACACAGGAGAGGGGCGAGAGTGGACGCACTCCTCGAACTCGGAGTCCTTGAAGATGCGCTGCGGGTCGCGCTCGACGGTGACGGTGAACTTGCCCGAGTCGATGAGCTTCTTGGCGGTGGTCGGAGTGAGCATGGAGCGGTGCTCGAACTCCTTGGTCTCGCAGCGCAGCCAGAGCTGCACACGGTCGCGCGAGAGATGAAAGAGGAGGGAGGAGGGGAGGGGAGGAAAAGGTCAGCGACGAGCCCTCGCGGGAGGGTGCGGCTTGGACAGGTGTGTGCGATGAAAGGTGGTGCTCACGTCGAGAGGAGCCATGGTGTAGTTCGAGGCGGTGGTGGGTGAGAGTGAAAGCGATGAGGTCGTCGCTTGACGTTGACTTGGCGGAACCCGCGGTTCGCGCTCGTCGTCTCGCTCTCTATCTCTCGGCCGGGCACTCTGCTGTGCGGGTACACGGCGAGGTACAGCGGCACGTCGCACACCGCTGCCCGTCGTCGCCCTCGCGCCCGTAACCCCGGCGTCGCATCTCCCCCACCTCGACCCGCCTCCTCCTCGTTCCGGCGCACTCTTGTTCGCCCTCGCACTGCTCTGCTCCTGCCCCTGTGCACCTGCTTCGACTCGCCGACATGGCCACAGCCGCCGCCGCTGCCAGTTCGGACGACGACGACGACCAAGACGCGCGCCAACTCGCTCCCCCGCCCTCGTACGCCTCGCTCGCGTCCCCGCTCGTCCCGCAGCAGGCGTTCCACTCTCAGCACGCCGACCACCCTCGCCCCGTCCACCCGGCGTTCGACCACGCGTTCGGCGACACGCTCCTCCCGCGAGGCTGCTTCCTCGTCCGCAACGCCGCGCAGGGCAAGGCCCTCGACCTCCTCAAGCACCGTGTCGACGAGGGCGCGGAGTCCGTCCTCGTCTCTCCCCTTCTCCCTCCAAACGACAAAGAGCTCACCCAGCCTTGCGCTCGCAGGATCGGGCTCCACCCGATCAAGCAGCCGCAGCTCAAGGGCCTGTCGCTTCAGCACTCGGGCTCGAACCAGCTCTTCTTCCTGTCGTGGGACGGTCACCTCGTGTCGGCAGCCGCCAGCCGAGACGTCGACGTTCAAGGTGCGCCCACGTCATCGGCGACCGCAGCGGTTTCGACGACCTGACCCTCTTCCTCGCTGCGCAGACAACCGCCTCGTGCTCACGTTCCCGCACCCGATTACGACCTACCCCTCGCCTCTGTCGCATCCTCCACCCCGGTTCCGCCTCGACGCGTCGACCTCGACCCTGCATGTCCTGTTCATGGCCGACCCGTCCTTCACCGGGCCCGACGACTCGTCCGACTGGCGCGACGACGACTACATCGTCGAGGCCGTGCCGCTCAAGCGCAAGCCCGCCGAGCCACCTCTCTGGGCGACGACGCAGGCCAACCAGATCCTGAGCGCCGTCGGGTCCCGCGCCGTCAACCTCGGAGCTCGAGTCGGCGACCTTCTCGGCCGGCGGTTCTCGCAGCCCGCCTCGCCCAACCTCGACGGCGGCCCGTCGCTGAGACGCAAGCAGTCGGACGAGCTGCCCCTGCCGCCACCGCCACCACCCGACAAGACGCCCGAGAAGGAGGTCCCGCCCGTACCCTCGACCTCGCGTCTCTCCCCTCGTTCCCGCACGTCCACCTCTCCCCTTCCCGCGACACCTCCCGCCGACGACGTCGACTCGGACTCGGACTCGGAGCCGAGCGCGTACCGCCCCGTGCGCGTCGTCCGCCTCGAGCCCAACTGGCGCGACAAGTTCCCGGCCGACGCGCTCCGGGCGGCGCCCAACACGTCGTTCGGCGTCACGCGGTGGCCCTCGTCGGCCAAGGAGCTGCGCATGTGGCGCCGCCGCCAGTGGGACGTCGTGCCCGTCACGGTGCGCCCCGTCCCGTCGAGCTCGACGAGGGTCGCCGACGACGACGGGTACGTCCTCCCGTCGGACGAGGGCAGCGAGCCCAGCAGCGGCGACGGCGTGACGACGTCGCGCAGCGACAGCATGAGCTACTTTGACGGCGTCGAGCCGTCGCCGGGCAGCATCACCGGCGAGTTGTACGGCGGCGCGAGCGAGGAGGAGGACGACGAAGCGGCCGAGATCACGTCGACCGACTTTTCGCCGCTCGCCATGAGCGCCACCGAGGGCATGCCGCCGTCGCCGTCGGGCTCGGCGCTCGGGCAGGCGGGCCAGCTCGCGGGCTTGTCGCTCGGCGGCCTCGAGCCAACGGCGGCGTCGCGCACGAGCGGCGCTTCGCCCTCGCGTCACGCCAGTGCTGTCACCTCTCCCGAAGCGCACCACCCTCTTCCGCTCCCGCCGAGCCCGCCGCTGCCGGGCGTCCCCTTCCCCTCGACCTCGACCTCGACCTCATCTTCGTCCCGCCCTATCACGCCCGAGCCTAGCGCTGCAGCTCTCGCGGCCGCCGAGGACGAGGCCGAGATGCGTACGCCGCGCCCGGACGACCATGCCGGGGCGACGGGCTCGTCGAGCGCGAGTCGGCAGTGGGGGAGGGCCGAGGGGGAGGAGGCGCGAGGAGGGTCCGAGAGCCCACTCGGCGCCAGGGGGAACGGCTCGACGGCAGCGGTGCTCGGCGAGGCGGAGGAGCAGAGCGAGCGCGAGCAGGAGGAGGGATCGGTTGAGGAGGAGCGAGGAGGTCAAAGCGGCGAGCGACTGTCGGACGAGGACGTGCTCGAGGGTCGGCATTGAGGCCTCTGCGCCGTCAAGAAACGCTCTCCTGGTAGCTCTGTGTCGGTGTCGTATTGTTACTCTGTCTCTTCCATCATGGCTGCTCTCAGTCGCCTCATCGCTCCCTCGCTCGTTCTCTCCTGACCTCGAGATTCGAGTCGCTCGTGTTCTTCTCCTTCTTCTCGTCGCGACGCTCAGACACGACGAGTTCACGAGAGAGAGAAGTGGATTACAGAGAGAGACTCGCCGCCGTATGTACGCAAGGGAGAGAAAGAGAACCGAGAAAACAAGGGGAGCCACCGACGAGCGCGCTCAGACCTCCCTCCACTCCATCCTCCGGTCGGCAATCCCGGGCGTCATGACCTCGTACTCGCTCGCGCCGTTGCCGTCGGCGAACGGGTCGGCGAACGGGTCCTCCTCGGGCTCGTGCTCCTGCTGCGCGAGCGGGCCCTTGCCGCGCTCCTCGCGCACCTGCGCCGCGTAGCTCCCGGCCGCGCTGTGCTGCGACGGGCCACGCGACGCGTCCGACGAGTAGTCGTCGTCGGACGAGTAGTCCGAGTAGTCGGACAGCGAGCCGTGGCGGTACGTGTCCTCGGCCGAGCGGGGCTGGATCGGAGGAGGGAGGGCCGAGCTGCAAGTGGGCGAGCGAGGAGGGCAACGAGTGAGTTGGAGGATGCCGGCCGAGGGGAAGACGTGGAGAGAAAGAGCGAGAGGGGGACGCACCCTCCTGTCGGGCCGAACGCGAGGTCCTGCAGATCCGGGTGCACGCCTCCCTGCGGGCCCCGGCTGCTCAAGTGCCGCTCGAGCCTCCTCCTCTGCCGCGACTGGAGCTTGTCGACCTCGCGGTCCTGCATGTCGAACGCCGACAGGCGCGAGCGGATGCTCTGCGTGTCGGCGTCGTCGCGCGCGCCGGCGTCGTGAGGCGTCGCCGACGGCGGGACCGTGAGGCCCTGCTCCTTGGCCATGCGCTTGGCCTCCTCGATCGCCTCGTCATCCGAGTCGAGCTCGGCCGGTTTGGACATGCGGTCGTACATCTGCACGGCGTTGACGATCTGCTCGAGGGAAACGAGGAGGAGGTCAGGTCGGTCGAGACGATGACGGACAGGTCGAACGAGAGAGGGACGGACCTGCTCGTTGGTCGCGATGAGCGTGCCGAGGAAGTCGCCGTCCGAGTCTTGGTCGATGAGCTGGATGTAGCGAATGAGGATCTTGCGGTCGGCCTTTGCCTTCTCGAGGCACTCTTGCACGCGCGCGTTGGTCGTGACCGACTCCTTCTCGCGGTTGACGAGTTGCAGGGCGTTGACGAGGCTGTGGGAGTCAAGCGACGAGACTGTGAGCCCGCACGCTCGACTGGGCTTGAGGGGGAGGAAGAGGGGGGACGCACCGTTGCGCCGCCTGCGTGCCCTGCCCGACCGAGGCCATGATCTTGGGCTTCTCCTGCAAGACGTACCTCGTCGTCAATATCGGTGCTCGACGGCGAGCGCGACGAGGAAGGAGAGAAGCGAGCGACGCACCTGCTCAAAGTTGAACGGCGGCCGCCTCGGCCTCGTCTGCGTGCCCGCGCGCGCCTGCTGCTTCATACGCTCCTTGTCCGCCTTGGCCTTGGCGATGCGCTCCTTCTCGGCCTCGCGGGCACGACTCTCGGCCGCCTTGCGCTCGGCACGAGCGGCCGACTCGCGCTCGTACCGCGCCTGCTGCGCCTCGTACGCCTCGGTCGCCGCGGTACGGGAGGCCTGCAGGGGAGCACTGAGCGTGAGCAACCTTCTCGTCGAGTGGGCGACCCTGCCCTACACAGGAACGACGATGGAGAGAGAGGGGTGACGCACCTGCTTGCCACCTCCGCAGCTCTTGTACAGGCCGGCGACGAGCTGCATCTTGGGGTCGTCCTTGAACTGGATGTACCAGCTGCCGAGGACGCTCATGACCTTCTTCTTGACCTGCGGCTCGGTGTTGGGGTCGCCGGCGAGGACCTTGATGCGCTCGAGAAGGCGCTCGTTGGCGAAAGTCGCTGCAGGAAGGTGAGGCCGTCAGGAACAATGAGGACTCGGCCGCTCTAGGCGAGGCGAATGGATGCGGCGACGCACTCTGGAAGCGAGGACCGCAGTTCTCGACGAGCGCCTTGAGGATGGTGAGCGAGCGCAGCTGCCCGTGGATGTTGCTGTACTTGAGCTGGTCGGGGCGAGCAGGGGGGAGGCGAGAAAGGTCAGTGCCGCATTCGGAAGAGTCCGATAGAGTCTAGGGACGACGCACCTTCTTGCGGATGGCGCGCGAGGCTTCAGTCGGGCTGTGGGCAGGCGAACGAGTCCCCCACATCGACAAGGCGAACGAGGTGAGCGCTGGAAGAAGGACGGCATCGCCGCCGTGACCAGACGCAGAGGAATGAGAGGACGCACCCGGTCATGGGCTGCAGGTTGATGCTCTCGACGAGCTCTGCGATGCCGTCGAGGTCGTCCTCGTCGTACTTGTCGAGGCAGAGGATGTCGATCAGGGCCGAGACGCTCGAGCGGGGCTTCTCGCCGAGGTTGCCGTCCTTGAGCAGGGCGACGCCGGCTTTTGCGGCTGCACGCAGGGCGGGTCGTTGTTGAGCGAGCGAGCGGAGATGTGACGCGGTGGGGAGGTGGGAGCGGAGGGGAGGGAGGACGACGAGGTGAGTACCGTGCGTGGGCGGGTGAGGGCAGTAGAGAGCCGTGTGCGCACCTGCCAACATCATCTTGGGCGGTAGGACTGGGCTGGGTGGACGAGGTGAGCGATGAGGGGAGAGCCTCTCCTCCTCGCGGCGCCAGTCCGTCGGCGGCGCGGGCGATGGTCCACAGTCTCTCGCGCGCTCACGCTCGTTCTCGGGAGAAGAAGAATCTTGCAAGAGACGGTCTAACACGACAACACAGAACCCGCAAAACCCGCAATAACACAACAGCCCTCGCTCAGCAACCGACCTCCTCGCACAGCCGGCTCCTCTCGTGCGCCCGCCCTCCCGAGCCATACCTCGGCGGGCTCGTCGCCTGCCGCACGATGACCGCCCGCTGTCGCAGCGGACCGCGGATCTTGGCGTGCCGCATCATCTCGAACTCGATCGCGAGCTGGAGGAGGTGCCGCGGGTTCGAGATGTACCGCGTCGCCGGCGGCGCAGCTGCGACTGGAGGCGGCGCCGGCTCGCCCGCTGCATTCTGAACGACGGCGAGCACTGGCGACAGGGGCGAGGGCGCGGCGGGCGCGACGGCGGGCACGAGCGGCGGGATGTCGTCCGTCGGCGGCGGGCTCGCGTCGTGCGCCCGCGCACCGGCCGCCGCCTGCGCCGCCGACAGGCTCAGGCCGCGCATCTGCATGCCGAGCGGAGCGACCGCCGCCGCCTCGACCTCGTCGACGATGGCGAGGGCCGCTGTCGGCGCGGCGGGCGGGAAACCTTTGCGCGACGACGACGCTCGCCGCAGCGAGAGCGACAGGACGAACCCGCGCGCCTCGTCGGCCGCATGCGACGGCTCGGCGGCGAGGACGCGGCGACGCTCGGCGGGCCCCCAACCGGGCGGGAGCGTCGCGAGTTCGGGTGCCGGGCCCGACGGGGTCGGGCGAGCCGACGAGAGGTACGTGTCGGGCGTCGGCAGTCGAGGGAGGAGGTCGGGCAGGGTGAGGTTGGGCAGTCGCGAGAGCGAGCGGAGGGATTTGGTGAGGAGGGACGGGCGTGACGAGGGCGAGGTGGCCGAACGAGGGGGAGATGTCGGAGGCGAGGGCGCGACCGTCGCCTGGACGACATCGGGCAGCTCGGGCGCGCTCGTGCACTCGAGCGACGTCGGCTCCGACGGCGCAGGCACCCACCGCCCGTGTCGCGGCGAGCCCTTGCCGCCCGAAAAGGTGGGCGCCGCCTGCGAGCCCGACGACGAGGGCGACAGGAGCGGGTCGGACGTCGCCGCCTTGCTGATCGACGTCTTGCGCTGCAGCGACGACGTAAAGGACGAGGGCGTGATGGGCGAGAACCACGTTGGCGAGTCGTCGTAGTCCTCGTCGTCCGAGTCGAACAGGCGGGTGCGGCTCGACGACGGCGACAGGCTCGGCGCGAACGACTGCGTGCTCGACCCGAGCGAGCTCTCGCCGCCCTCGCTGCTCCCGCTGTCCCTGCGCCACTCGCCCTTGCCGCTGCCGCTGTCCTGCTTCGCCGCCGGCCGGCCCGCGCTCTGCCGCTCGGCGGGCGAGCTGTCGCCCGCCTCGAACAGGTCGCCCTCGGCCTCGCCGGCGCAGCAGCAGCACGCGTCGAAGCCCTCCTGGGCTGGCGGCGGCGACGGGAGGCGGTACCGGCGGCGCGACACGGAGCGCGCGCGGTCGCTCGCAGAGGTCAGGCGACTCGGGTTGACGTCGTCCATGCTGGTGGGTGCGCGAGACGGGCGTGGGCGGGCTCTGCGGCGCGCGCGACGCTCGCTGTCGGTGTCGAGAGGCGGAGCTGGGTCTATCGCGCGCGCCTTGCCCTTGCCCGGAATGTGCGAGAGGAGCGAGGCTGGAGGAGGTGGGTGGGTGGCGCCGCCTTGTCGATGAGCTCGCGGCGGTGGTGGTGGTGGTGCTGGTGCTGGAGCGGGAGACAGGGAGGACCAGCCTGGGTCCCGCATGGCTGGATAACGCTCAAGAGACGGACGTCGGTCGCCGTCGAGCAGGAGGTGTGAGGGGAAGAGAGGTCGGACCACGAGGTGCTCCTCACTGAGAGCCAAGCGGCCCGCCCGGGCCCTTTCGAGCGCTTTATCGCTCGTCAATAGCTCGACCTGTCGCCCACGCGCTTGCCACGCCAGGAGTGCCCAAGCCCTCGCTCGTAGAGTTGAGCTCCCGCGTGCTGCTCGTCCTCACTCCCTCCGCCACGGACCGCAACTTTGCCCTCGTGTCCGCGCGCGCGCGCTTCCCCCGCTTCCGCGGAACGTCCGCGTGCTCGCCGAAAGAGACACAAGCGGCTGCGAGTGCTGCTCGCCCGCGCGCGTTCTCCGCTCCAGCACCCGGGCTCGCTCTCGAGTTTGTCGCCGCCGAAAGCGGCGTGTCTACCCGGCCGATTCGCCAGAGAGCTTCGAGACCTCGGAAGCACCCCGCACGCACGCGCGCGGCGATGAGACGGAGGCCGAATCGGCTGAAGCAGCGATCGCCGCTCCGAGTCGATGCACACCAGCTTCCCTCTGCTCCTGCACCACCACCACCACCACGAGCACTCGCACCGTGCTCGCCATGCCGTCTGTCGACCTCGCCGCGCCAGTACCGCCCACAGCCATGCGCGCGTGGGCCACGCTCCTCACCAAGACGAGCTACCTCCAGGGCGCCCTCGTCTTGCAGCATTCGCTCGTCCAGCACGGCACCAAGTACCCGTTCGTCGTGTTCGCCACCGAGGAGCTGCCCGAGGACGCGCGCGACATCCTCAGGCGACGAGGCATCGCCGTGCGCGACATCGACTACCTCGAGCCGCCAAAGGAGCAGCGCAAGGAGCTCGACGAGCACGATCGCCGGTTCGCCGACACCTGGACCAAGCTGCGCGTCTTCGAGATGGCTGAATACGAGGTGCGTCCCGCCCTCTCGCCGTGTGCCAGCCTCGCTCGAGCCAGCTGACCCGCTCGTGCCCCCGCCCTCAACCGCAGCGCCTCGTCCTCCTCGACAGCGACATGCTATGCGTGCGCAACATGGACGAGCTGCTCGAGTTGCCGCTCGAGGAGGGCTGGATCGCGGCGGCCCACGCGTGCACATGCAACCCGCGCAAGCTCGCGCACTACCCGGACGACTGGTGCGTCCTCGTGTCCTTCCTCCTCCTCCTCCTCCATTCTCTGCCTCGGCGTCCTGCTGACCTGCCCTCCTTCTCTCTGCAGGGTTCCCGAAAACTGCGGCCACACGTCGGCCGTCCGCACCACCCCGCTCCCGCACACGTCGTTCTCCAAGCCGACCCACACGCGCCTCAACTCGGGCCTCGTCGTCCTCCGGCCCTCGCTCGACACCTTCTCGCGCATGCTCTCGTTCCTCCACACCGACCCTCGCGTCTCGACCTACTCGTTCCCGGACCAGGACCTGCTCGCCGACTTCTTCGAGGGCCGGTGGCTCCCCCTCAGCTACCGGTACAACGCCCTCAAGACCCTGCGCTACTGCCATTCGCCCATGTGGCGCGACGAGGACGTCAAGAACGTCCACTTTATCCTCAAGAAGCCGTGGTACTACCAGCTGCCCGAAAGCGACCCCGACGCCGAGCTGCACGCCTGGTGCGCTCCCGCCCTCTCCTCTCTTCCTCGTTCCCCTTGCTGCGCTCTCTGTCGCACTCGAGACTGACTTTGGCACCTCTCTGCAGGTGGTGGGACGCGTTCGACAAGCTGCAGGCTTCTTGGGGCGACGAGCCCGGGTGGAGCGTGATCGAGGCGACCGTCAACCGCGACATTCGTCGGCCGGAGCTTCAGTAGCCTGTCGCATGATACCCAAGCAGTGTTATTCTCCTCCTCGTTCTCTCTCTCTCGTCGAGCCGAGCGAGCTGCGGCAGAGGCTGCACGCTTCCCTCGGGCGCTCGGGCCCTCGCCCTCGCTTCCGCTTTGACGGCTCTCGGGCTCTCCTCGTCGGCGCTACCGACGACCGACGCCTCTGAGGAGCTCATTGAGGCGCGATCGAGCTCGTCGCCGAGCCTTGCTCCTGTCCGTGCCTCATAGCCGTGTCCGTGGAGCGTCCGCTTGCTCCGACTGCCGGCCTCGCACGTCGAGCCCTCGCTCTTCCTCCACTCGTCTGCTCTCGCCTTTCTACATGGACCCGCTCGCCCACATCGAGGTCAAGGGCGTCCTTAGCATCCTGCCCAGGACGAGGCGCAACGGCTCCAGCGTTTTCGGCCGCGACAACCGGGCGTTCGGCTCGTGGGCCAACCAGCGCGCCAGCGACTTGGCCCCGAGTTGGGCCACCGCTTCTTACGATCAGAAGGAGTACTTCCGGCGCCACATCCAGCACATCGCCAACCAGCTTCTGGGCGAGGACACGCACGAGCGATACGAGATTGGCGAGCTCCTGGTGCGCTCGCCTTTCGCCGACTCTCGCAGCCTCACTCGGTGCACTGACCCTCCTCGTCCTCCTCGTTTCCACTGCAGCCACGCGTCGAGACGATGCGCGAGTGGCTCCACGCAGGCGCAGCCGCCCCGTCCTCCTCGGTGCGCTCGAGCGCTCTCCCTTATTTCCCCTCCCCCGTGTGCGACGTCGCCGTACCTGACCCTCCTCGTACCTTGCGCAGAACCCTCAAGACTCGAGCGTCGACTTCGTGAGCACGCTCTCTCGCTCGATCCGTTTGGCAGGACGGGCGCAGCTGACGTGGCAGCACAGCGCGGCACCTTTCCCCCTTTTCACGGCAGTCTCGAGACCGGCCAGGAGGCCACGCCGTCCAGCGACAGGGCGACGCTTGTGCACTTGCTCCAGTCGATCGTCCAGTCGACGACGCCGTCGGGCGAGCCCCTCCCGATCCTCCAGTGGCGGACGCGCGCAGCCGAGTCGCTCGCCCAACTTTGGGAGACGACGCAGCCTGCACGACGTGTCCAGTTTGCGAATCGGCTGCAGGAGCTCAACAGGCGCCTGCAGAACGGGCAGATCTTGCTCCCGGCCGACCTCGTAAGCCGAACCTTTCCCTTCCCGCGCTCACACCTCGAGCGAGCGCTCCTGACGCACTTTCCTTCCTTCCACAGCCGTCCATTCCTCTCATGCACGACTTCCTGTCGCCGCCTCAGATGCTCGAACCGCGCTGGACCGGCGGTCCGCGGGCTGGCCACCCGTGGCACTCGCTCGCCAAGGCGACTCGTGCCGGCGACGGTCGTCGCTCAAGCTCTCATCGCAGCACGGCAACGCGCAAAAACGGCGAGGACGAGACGAGCCCGTTCTGGCCTGCACGTCGGTGCGTCTCTTCTCATTCGTCGCCCGTCCGCTCGAGCCTCGTCCTGACTCTCCTTCCTGCAGGTCCGCCTACTGAAGCGTAATCGCCCTGTAGACGCAGCATGCCCTCTCCCTCTCTTCTCTCTCGTCCGCGTACCCTCGCGGGCAGCCTCTCTCTACCCCCTCGCACTCGTCTCGTACCCCCCATTCTCGTCGTCGGCCTTCCCAAGTTGATCGTTCTCTCCTTTTCCTCTCTCCTCAGCCGAGAAGGGCCGTATCGAACGAGAGAACCTAGAGAGAGAAATACAGGCTGCGTAGAGCGCGAGGAAAACGACCGACTGAGCGAGCATGGAGAGCCAAGTCGACGACGTGCGACTTGAGAAGGCCGATCTGAATCGGGTCCTCGTCGACGAGCATGAAGCGGAAGCGCACTCGAGTCTCCCCGAGCATTCTCGAGACACACAGAGATGAGGGACGGCAAAGTCAGTGCACCGCTCGACGCAAGCTACAGCGCTCCACCGTCCACCGAGCCCTCGCGGTCATGCTCCCGGCCGCTCGCCCTTCATGAGCTCGAGCGTGTCGCGGCACGCCACCGCGCCCAACGCCTCGATGAAGCTCCTCGACGATCCGCCCCCTCCCCCGACCGCCGCCGCCGCGCCGTACCGTGGCAAGTCACCCATGGCGGCGCTCTCGATGAGCTCGACGCCGCCGAGGTGGTGCCGGATGACGCGGATGATCTCGTCCGGGTCGACCTCGTCGTCCCTCGCCTTCTTAGCCCGCCGAAGCTCGTCGATGGGCCCCGAGAAGAACGTGACGATCGAGCGCAGGTTCGAGATGCACTCGGTCGCGACGAACCCGGCGCCGGACCCGCTGCGGGTCGTCGTGCTCGTCGACGACGAGGGCGAGCGCGACAGGGATGGACGCGAGGGCGAGACCTGGAGCGAGGCGAAGAAGGTGGCGCGCGTCGGCGTCTCGCGGCGGGTGAGGGCGGGAGGGAAGGTGGTGCCCGTCGGGGTCGTGCTGGCCGAGTTGCCGCTGCCGATGACGGGCGACGCGATGGACGAGATGCCGAGGAGGTCCGACAGGGCCGACAGGGTCGCGTCGGCGTGGAGGATCTCGTAGAAGAGCTCGGCTTGAGCGGCGGGCGAGGGCAGGAGCTGGGCCGCCCAGTACGTCGCGTACGACAGGGTGACGAACAGCTGCAGAACCGGCGTGCGAGGAACAGGGTCAGATCGTGGCACTGACAAGGACGGGAAGAGAGAGAGGCAGAGGGCGCACCTGCGAGATGAGCGTGTCGAGGTGCACGCTCGCGCTCCGGAGCTCGAGGCTGTGCGACACGACGAAGCTCGCGAGCGAGAGCATGGCCCGCCAGACGATGACCCAGTCTCGTGCTGCGGGGGAAGTAGGCGGGTGAGGTCGCGCTCGAGAGGCTGCAGCAGAGAGGGAAAGAGGGACGCACCAAGGCGGACCTTCTCGGCCTTGAGCTGCTGAAAGATGCGCTGCAGCAGCCTGAGGGCAATCCTGTTGGGGTATGCTGCCTGTCAGGTCGATCGAGGGGGAAGACGGGTGCTGAGAGAGGTTGACGCACGCGTACGTCTCGACGTCGAGCCGCTTGTGGAGGTTGTGGCGGAGGAAGACAACCACCGAGTCGATCATGGCCGACAGGGGTACGGCACGAGCGTCGTCTCGCTGCGGAAGCATCGGATTGCGCTGCAAAGAGGCAGAGAGACGGTCAAGATCCTGCTCGAGGAGCTAGAGACGGAAGGAGAGCGAGACGCACCTGCCTGCAGAGCCGGATCCCGCCGTCGACCTTGGTCCTCGCGCACAGCTTGCCCTCGCCCTCCTCAACCAGGATCATGCACACGACGAGGCACAGGCGGGCGTAGAGCCGGGCCCGAGCCGAACCCGCCGCGTGGCAGACGACGTACGACGTGAGCGAGATGAGCGTCTCGGACAATGGCGGTGAACCTGCGCGAGGGCGAGCAGGGTCAGTGAGGGTCTCGCTCGCATCGAAAGAGAGGAGAGAGAGAGGGAGACGGACTCGAGTCGGCGCGAGAGGCAAACACGAGCGTGCAGAACGTCTTGTTCGAGTTGAGGAGCTCGAAGAAGGGGACGAGGAGCACGAGCGGCTCGGGCGGGAGCGCGGCAAACGGCGACTCGTCGGCGGGTCGAGGTGATCGAGGCCGAGATGCCGAGGTGCGAGTCGGCGTGGTGGGGGTCGAGGACGAGGACGAGGCGGTACGGGTGAGGGCGGCTCGAGGGGACAAGGGTGGTGAGGTGACGGGCGTGGACGACTCGCCGTTGGACGACGTGACGGCTGCAGGCGTACTCGAATCGGCGGAAAAGGCCGACTGGGCCGGAGCGGGCGAGAGCTCAAGCTCGCTGCCGTTGATGGCCAAGCTCGGCACGGGTCGGTCGACCTGCTCGCCGTCGTCCTCGCCCTCGACCGCCTTCTCCTTGCCCTTGCCGCTCGTCGCCGCACCTGGAGGAGGCGGTGGCGGCGGCAGCGCGAGCCCGCCGCTGAACAGGCCGCCACCGAGGCGCAGGGTCGACCAGACGAGCGACGACAAGGACGCGGCGAACGACGCCGGCGTGTCGTCGGCGAGGGCGACGTAGGCGTCTCGTGCACGCAGGCAGACGGTCGACGCGACGTCAATGATGCGCTGTGAGAGTGCGAGAGTCAGTGACCGGGCGAGAGAGGCGGGCGTGAAAGAAAAGATGAGGCGCACCTCCATGACGCCCTCCTCGACAAAGTCCTCGATGCGGACGCCGTACGGGTTGCGCGACTCGGCCTTGTGGTAGTTGGCGAGGAGGCCGAGCAGGAGAGTCGCCTCGAACGTAAAGTGCTGGGTCTCGCGGTCGGCGATGAACGAGACGAGGGTCGAGAAGAGGTCACGGCGGAGGAAGAAGGCGCCGAGCGCGCCCTGGTTGACGGACGCGACGACGACGAGGGCGAGCTGGAGCGTGCGGTGACGAACGGGGACTGTAATGGGGAAGGAAGAACGTCAGGACTGGACTAAGAGGGAAGAGGTCCGAGAGCGAGCGCGCACGAGGAACTTGCGAGTCCTGGAGGGTCAAGTCGATGGCCGAGACAAAGTCCTGCGGTGGGAGGCACGTCAATCATGCTACTGGACAGGCGCAGGTGGGCGAGGAGAGGTCGACGCACGGTAAAGACCTGGTCGCGGCGCTCGACGCTGCCGGCGAGGACCGAGAGGACGTCCTCGCTCTGATCGGGGTACTCGCGCCCGAGCACGTTGCGGCAGAACGGAATTAGGGTCTGTGTGGGGCGGGAGAAAGAGGGTCAGTCAGGCTGCGATAGGTCGTGCGAGAGAGGCGAGACGCACCTCGATGGCGTTGGAGCGGGTGACATCGGCGGGAGGGGCCGACTTGAGGACGTCGACCGCGTTGGAGAACAGGAGCGAGACGTTGTGCTGCACGAGGGAACGCGGCAAGGGAGGCCACGCGAGGGGTGAGGATCGTCCGGGCTTCCGAGCAAGTGGGAGAGGAAGGGAGCGAGGGCGCACCTGGTACGGGCCCGCGAGGTCGGCGGGCGAGAGGCGGTCGAGGGCAGATTGCTGAACGTTGAGCGAGGGCTTGAGGCAGAACAGGTCGGCGAACCAGCGACGCGGGTCGCGCTGGAGCTGGGTGAAGAGGAGCGGGTTGTGGGCGAGCTGGTGCCACGAGTGCTCGAGTTTCGATGGCGGGGCTTTGCCCTGGGTGTTGACCTGCTTGAGCGGCGAGGCCAACGGAGGCGAGGCCATGGCCTGGGCGGTGCGAGTTCCGGCGAGGACGAGCGCGGTCAAGAGGTGGGGAGGTGGGCGAGTGATCGCGGGCGCAGCGGGCTGCGGTGAGCGCGTCGGTCGCGGTTGATGAAGGCTGCGACGAGACTGGGCGGTACAGCCAGGCCGCTCGAGGCTGTTGGCGGTGAGGTTGAGGAGGGTCGCCAGGTGGAGACGTGCTCGTCTGGCTCACCGCTCGTTGTCGCTCTCGCTCATCGCTACAGCCAGCCCAGCATGGCAGACCAGCTCGACCTTGACTACTCGGACCTCGAGCAGCAGTCAGTCCCCTCCCCTCTCGCCCGCGTCTCGCCCTCGCCCCTCCCTCTCCTCCCCCTTGTCCTGCACTTTTGCCCACCACTGTCCACCTCGCTCCCTCGCGTCGCACACCCGCCCTGCGGGCCACCAGTCACGTCCACAGTCGACTCACCAACACCCCCAACAGGTTCACCGCCGAGTACGTCTCGCCCCTCGACTCGGTCGTCATCCTCGATGGCGCTCCCCTCGTCGGCCAGGACAAGGTCGACCGCCTCGTAAAGGCCGTCCTCAAGGCCGTCTCCAAGGAGGCCGGTCTGTCACTCTCGCCCGACCAGGTCGAGATGCCCCTCGACGACACCAACACGACAAAGGGCTTCATGTTCGTCTCGCTCGCCTCGCCCACCGAGGCCCAGCAGTTCCACCGCGCCCTCCACGGTCACGCCTTCGACAAGCGCCACACCTTTACCGTCGTCCCCTTCACCGACGTCGACTCGTACGCCAACCTCGACCACGAGTACCGCGCTCCCGAAAAGGAGGACTGGGCACCTCGCGTCCGTCTCCCTCTCTCTTTCTCTCGAGCGAGCGAGCCAGGACTGACTCTCGCCTTCGTCCGCGCAACAGGAGCACTTCCGCGCATGGCTCGCCGACCCGGCCGGCCGCGACCAGCTCATCCTGTACTCGGGCGACGACCTGAGCGTCCAGTGGGCCGCCAAGCAGGGTGTCGCCGACGTCGCCCACCAGCGCAACGTGCGTCCCTCTCTCTCTCTCTCTCGTCGTCGTGGTTGTGAGCGCGATACTGACCTCGGACGCGCCCTACAGAAATGGACCGACCTGTTCACCCAGTGGTCGCCGCAGGGCACCTACCTCACGACGATCCACCTTCAGGGCGTCGCCCTGTGGGGCGGCGCCTCGTTCGACCGCATCAACCGCTTCGCCCATCCCGAGGTCAAGCTCGTCGACTTTTCGTCGTACGAGCGCTACCTCGTCACCTGGTCGCCGCGCCCGATCGAGGCGACGGGCTCGCCCATGTCGCCGTTCACCGACGACGACGTCGGCAACAACGTCGCCGTGTGGGACGTCGTCACGGGCGCGCTCGTGCGCACGTTCCCCATGGTGGGCGCCGCCGCCGACCCGGCCAACGACGCGAGCAAGCGCATCGTGTGGCCCATGTTCAAGTGGTCGCCCGACGAGAAGTACGCGGCGCGCGTCACGCCCGGCCAGCAGATCTCGGTCTACGAGACGCCGTCCTTGACGATGCTCGGCAAGAAGAGCATCAAGATCGAGGGCGTCGTCGACTTTGAGTGGGCGCCGCTCAACGACCAGGAGCGCGAGGCGCTCGAGGCCGAGCGCAACGGGTCGGCCGCGCCCGGCTCGAGCCACCGCGAGAACAAGCTCGCGTTTTGGATGCCCGAGGTCATGAACCAGCCGGCGCGCGTGTCGCTCATGAGCCTCCCGAGCCGCGCCATCATCCGGTCCAAGAACCTGTTCAACGTGCACGACTGCAAGCTCCACTGGCAGTCGAACGGCGACTACCTGTGCGTCAAGGTCGACCGCCACACCAAGACGGGCAAGACCAAGTACTGCAACCTCGAGCTGTTCCGCCTGCGCGAGAAGGAGGTGCCCGTCCAGGTCATCGAGATCAAGGACGCCGTCGTCGCGTTCGCGTGGGAGCCGGCCGGTTCGCGCTTCGCCCTCATCACGTCCAACGACCCCAACCTCGGCAACCCGCTGCCCGGCCAGATGCCCAAGACGGCCCTGTCGTTCTACGCCTACGACCAGCGCAAGGGCGACTTTTTGCCGCTCAAGACGTTCTCGGACAACAAGTCGTGCAACAACCTGTTCTGGTCGCCCAAGGGCCGCAACGTGCTCGCCGCCACGCTCGGGTCCAACTCCAAGTTCGACCTCGAGTGGTACGACCTCGACCTCGACAAGCCCGAGGGCGCCGCCGCCCAGAGCGAGCACAACGCGGCCGACGCCATCCGGTGCCTCGTCACGCGTGAGCCGTACGGCACGACCGACATCGAGTGGGACCCGTCCGGTCGCTACGTCGCCACCTACGGCTCGTCGTGGATGGGCTCGGTGCGTCCCCCTCGTCCTCTCTCTCTCTCTCCTTTTGTCGTTCCCTCACTGACTCTCTGCCTCGTCCGTCCGTCCCCGGTGTGCGCAGATGGAGCCCGGGTTCGCCATCTGGGACTTCAAGGGCGAGCCGATCCAGGAGGCCAAGGTGGACCGGTTCAAGCAGCTCCTGTGGCGCCCGCGCCCGCCGACGCTCCTCTCGCGCGAGCAGCAGCGCAAGGTGCGCAAGAACTTGCGCGAGTACGCGCGCGCGTTCGACGAGCAGGACGAGCTCGAGCAGGCCAACGAGAACAGCGAGCTCGTCGAGCGCCGCACGCGCCTCCTCGACGAGTGGAACGCGTGGCGCCGCGAGTGCGTCGAGGCCATGGAGCGCAGGCGCAAGGAGATGGGTCGCGCCGTCAAGTCGAGCTTGCTCAAGGCGGCAGAGGCCCAGCAGGAGGACGAGGTCGTCGAGGAGTGGGTCGAGGAGGTCATCTCGGTGCGTCCCTCGCTCTCTCTTTCTCTCTCTCCCCCTCTCTTTCGTCTCTCGTCCTCAGCAACTGACCCTCGTGCCCTTCTCGACGCCCTGCAGGAGACGGTCGAGGTCCTCGCCGAGTAGATAGAGAGTCGGTCGCGCAGAGCAGGTCCTTGCATTGTCACCAGCTGTCTTCCTCGGGTCCTCCCACTTTCTCTTTGCACGAAAGCCTTCTCGAGCGTCTCTCTGTCTGTCTCTCGTTCGTCGGCAGTGAGAAATCGAGGGATGCGGCGACCAGCGCCGTCTCGTTGCACACGCTCCCTCGCCCGCTCAGCCGAGGCACTCGATGACCATGTCGAGCACCTGCTCGAACGTCTCCTTCTCGGCCTCAGTCACGCCTGCGTCGTCGTCGTCGTCGCCGAGCGCTGCGCCGTCCCGCTGCGCGCGCTTGAGCCCGATCCCGAGCACGACGGGCCGCTGTGCGCCCTCTCCCGCGGCCCCGAGGCGCGCAAAGATGGCTGCGCCGACGTGAAGGGCGTACAGGTCGTGGAGCGAGGCGATGTGCGGGGACGGGGCGGCGCCAAAGAGCGGGGTGAGGAGGGTCGAGGGGTGAGGAGCCGGGCGAGGGACGGTGCGCGCGGTCGAGGAGGACGCTTGAGGGGGCGGCGGCGGAGGTGGGAGGGCGGTGAGGGCCGAGGGAGGTGCCGTGACTTGGATCTGAGTGGCTCGAGGGTCAGTGCGCCTGGGCGAGAGAGGGTGGAGGGGAGGAGAGGGGACGGACCATGGCTCCGATGCGGCCGAGCTGGGTGACGATGACGAGGACGCGGTCCTGGAAGATCTGGACGACGACGTCGGTGTGGATGCCGTTGACCTTGCGAGCTCGCTGAGCGGTCGGGATGGCCTGCGGTGGTGGTTGCGCGCGAGGAGGAGGGGCCGAGGCGGAGGGGTCGAGGGGCGGTTGCTGGTTCGGAGTGGATGCGAGGTCGAGGTTTGCCGTGTCTACGAGTGCGCTCATGGTGTGCACTGGCTCTGGCGAGGCGGGTGGGAGCGAGAGACGAGCTGGATTTGTTCTCATCTCATCTCGTCGCGCTCCTCTCCCTCACCTCTCACGCACTCACCTGCTCGAGCTGCCATGGTCACCAAGCGCAAGGCTGCACCTAGCCCGCTCCACCCGCCCGACCGCCCGCTCCTCGCACTCGGCCTCGAGGGATCCGCCAACAAGCTCGGAGTCGGCCTCATCCTACACTCGCCGCCAGCTCCGAGCACCGCCAGTGGCTCGCACAAGTCCCCGACAGGCGACTCGGCCACCGTCTCGATCCTCAGCAACATCCGCCACACCTACGTCACCCCGCCAGGCGAGGGCTTCCTCCCCTCGGACACGGCCCGGCACCACAAGCGCTGGATCTCGCAGGTCGTCGCCAAGGCCCTCGAACAGGCCGCCAAGTCGATGCACGACGTCGACGTCGTCTGCTTTACAAAGGGCCCCGGCATGGGCGCTCCCCTCCAGACCGTCGCCCTCGTCGCGCGCACCCTCGCCCTCCTGTACAACAAGCCCCTCGTCGGCGTCAACCACTGCGTCGGCCGTGTGTCCCACTCTCCCTTTCTCTCCCGTGCGTCCCCCTGCTCACCCTCTCCTTGTCGCGCACAGACATCGAGACGGGCCGCCTCATCACGTCGTCGCCGTCGCCCATCGTCCTATACGTCTCGGGCGGCAACACTCAGGTCATCGCTTACTCGCAGCAGTGCTACCGCATCTTTGGCGAGACGCTCGACATTGCCGTCGGCAACTGCCTCGACCGGTGCGTCCCTCGTCCGCCCTCGTCTCTCCTGTCCCTCGAGCGGCGCTCACCCAAACCTCCCTCTCGCAGGTTCGCGCGCATCATCGGGCTCAGCAACGACCCGAGCCCAGGCGCCAACATCGAGAAGGAGGCCAAAAAGTGCGTCCTCTCTCCTCTCTCGTCGGCCTCGAGCGCTCGGTCCAGTCGTCCTGACCTTGCCCCTCCTCGCCCGCTCGCAGGGGTCGCCGGCTCCTCCCGATCCCGTACGCGACAAAGGGCATGGATATCATGCTCGGCGGCATCCTCCACGCCGCAGAAGCCTACACGCGCGATCCTCGGTTCCGCCCCTCGTCATCATCGTCGTCGTCGGCGACCTCGGGCGGCGCGGCGCCGGGACCTGTCTCGCAGGAGGAGCGGCGGCGTCGAGCGGCAGGCGAGGGCCCGCAGGCGGCGCTGCAGGACATTGGCCTGTCGGCTGCGCGACCGGCGGCACCTGCACGAGGCGGCTCGAGCGCGGCGTCGGCGGGCAAGGGCACGGACCGTGCTGGACGAGCTGCCGGCGAGGACAAGGAGGAGGAGGAGGACGTCATCACGCCGGCCGACCTGTGCTTCTCGTTGCAGGAGACGGTGTTCGCCATGCTCGTCGAGATCACCGAGCGGGCCATGGCGCATGCGGGAGGGCGCGAGGTCCTCATCGTCGGCGGCGTCGGCTGTGCGTCCCTCTCTTCCTCCACCTTCTGCGCGCGCCCTCCCATCGAGAGCGTGTACTGATGGCGAGCTCGACCCGACGCAGGTAACGCGCGGCTGCAGGAGATGATGGAGATCATGGTGCAGGAGCGAGGCGGCAGCATCTTTGCGACGGACGAGCGGTGCGTCCTCTTCTCCTTTCGTCCTTCCCTTGTCGATGAACCTCATCTGACTAGATTGAGTGCACGAAACAGGTTCTGCATCGACAACGGCATCATGATCGCCCACGCCGGCCTGTTGAGCTACCGCATGGGCTACGAGACGCCACTCGAGGAGACGGCGTGCACGCAACGGTCCGTCCTCAGCTCTCCTTTCTCGCACACTCTCCCTCGCTCGTCGTCGTCGCCGTCTCGGCGTGCGTTGAGCGCGTTAAGGTCGCGAGAACGACGAGCTCACCTTGCCGCCCCTGCAGGTTCCGAACAGACGAGGTCCTCGTCAACTGGCGCGCATAGTCGCCCTCGCCCTCGCTCTTGAGCATACCCGACGCCGCTGCAATGTACTTGAGCACCGCGCGACAGCCTGAGTGCCCTTTGCTGCGCCTTGAGTGCGCGTCTCTCGTGAGACCAGGAGAGGCGGGTCGGAGAGGTCGTTCTTGCGAGCTCGTGTCCTCTCAAGCTCTGTATATGTACTGGAGAGTGCAGTCGATCCGGGAGAGAGCCGTACGACTGCTGTGAGCAGCGCAACGCCGAGCGAAAGTGCGCCCCGCCGCCCGCCTCCCTCTCTCGCCGCCCACAACTCGACCCTCACGACTGGGCTCGGGCGACACGGCTCGTCTCGATGCTCTGATACCTCGGCAACTCGATCCTACTGCGCCCGCACCACCGCAAGCGGTCGCCGCCTGCGCAGAGCGCGCGGCGTCTTCATCAGTAGCTCGCGTCGTCCCAACTCTCTCGACTGGCGGTAACGGTTCATGGGCCTGTGGGCGTCGTCGTAGAGGACTATCACAGCATCAAGGAGACTACTGGGCCAGGCGAACGCGCTGTGCGGGCTGTGGGCGACTGGTGCGTCCACCTCCTCCCCGCCTCCCCGTGTTTGGCACCCGTCTCCCTCTCCCCTCGCCCCCTCTGCCACCTCGCGACGCGGTACAGGGGTCTCGATGGACTGGATCGGTCACCTTACAGGCGGAACGGCTGCGCAAGGCGAGCAGGGCGGTCCTCTGGGCGGCGCGAGGCGGGCTCTCGACCTCGAGGCGGCTCGTCTTGTCCTTTGTACGTCCCGCGCACTCTCCCTGTCCCTTGCAGGACCTTCATGTGGGTCTGTGCTCCGCGCCGAGCCGCGCACTGACCCTCTCGACCTCGCGCCGCAGGTTAGTCGCGCCCTCGATGGCACCTCCCTCTTCTCGGCCCCGAAAGCTTCCCCTCGCGCCCTTGCTGCGCCGCGCGATGGCTCTCCTCTGTTCAGTCGAGCTAGCTTGTGTCTTGAGAGCGAGCTTAGACTGCCCAGATGTCCGCCTCGTCGTCGCACTCGTCCCGACGGCCGAACGAGTCGAGCCGTCGCGGACGGGTCTTTACGAGGCCGCGCCCGCCCTCACGTGCCCCTGAGGGCAGCGGGCGCACTCTGGTGAGCCGCTCGTACGGCGCGCACCCCTGCGGAGCGCCCGTACGCCCGGCCACCTGCTGAAAACAGGGGGACCCTGCGCACCTTCTCTCAAACGCTAGCTCTCGATCTAGCAGGGTTACGGCCTTCTGCTCGTGTCAGATCGGACGAGGAGGTGTCTGCGGTGCAATCGAGCGCGTTTCCCGAGCTAGTTTGTCGCGTAGAGCGAGAGTTGGCCTCTTGGCCTTCTCCCTCGAGTCCGAGGTTGGCGAAGCCGCGAGAGCTTTTCCTGCTGGCTCGTTCTCTCTCGAGCTCGCTCTGTCCGTCTATACCAGTGCGTCCGGCGCGGCGCACAGCGTGCCGGGCACTGTGGACGTCGCGAACCTCGTCCGTCTCTTCGACTTGCTCGTCGAGCTCGTTTGCCTTGCTGCGCGCAGCATCGCAGCACATAAAGTCTCGCAGGTGGTCTCTGAGCGACTGACCGAAATCTCACCGGTCGATGTCGAGTCCAGTCGAGCTGCAGAGTCGAGGAGGTCCGAGCGCTTCAGAGCGCTTCCCTCGAGCGAGTGGAAAGCTGTTCAGGTCAAGCGAACGTAGAGCCCGTGTTGCCGTCTAGTGATGGTGAGCGGCCTCAGCTTCTCAATCTCGACCGTGCGGCATTCTCTGCCGAAGGAGAGCAAGCTCTCGAAGCGAGGCGAGGCAACTTGAGAAGGTCGCTTGCACCTCTCAGTTGTCGTTCTGGCCGACACCGTGGACGCAGCTTTCCTCTCCTTGCAGCGAGATCAGACAGGAACGCGCATGAGATTACGCTCGAGAAGATCTACCAGAAACGCCCGTGCGCCGCGTCCGCCCTGCGCTCCCACTCGTCCTTGTCGAGCCCGTACCGAGCCGCAGCGCGCAGCCCGAGGAGCGGTCGCGGCGCCTTGGCGAGCGATTGCTCCCTGGGCGCTGCATCATGGCGAGCTGGGTCGAACCGAAGGCTCGTTGCAACCGAGCGCATGTGCAGACCGAGTGGGTCAGAACCGGGCGGGGTCGGCGGCGCCGTCGACGACGCCGGGTGAGCCGGCTCGAGGCCAGGCGAGCGGTGGGGAATGTGCGGCGAAGCGAGGAAGATGCGCATGTTCTCGTACGAGGGCTGCGGGGCGGCCAGGCGGTCAGTGCGAGGACATGGCACTGAGGGGGGAACGTGCAGACGCACAAGGATGTCCGGGTTCGCTCTGTCTACGGCCTGCAGCGCCTCGTAGAACAACTCGAGGCTGCGCTTGAACGCCGACCTCCTCTCTGGCGAAGCGCTCCTCCACGCTGAAGAGAGGTACGAGCACGCGTCGGTGCCCCACGCTTTGACGACGTGATGATGGTCGGGGAAGATGCGGTGCCCGTCCCGCCGCGAGCCCTTGACGATCCTGAGGACGGGGACCAGGTCGCTGTACTTGGGGCCGAGGTGCTCGACAGGGCCGTCGCCTGGCGCAGGAAGAACGCCTCGCTGCGCGTAAAAAGAGGCGTCAGGACCGGCGTACTCAGATATGGAGCAGGAAGCTGTACAAGCGCACGAATTCGTCGCGAGCGTATACGGGGGTCGGCGGCATGAAAGATTGAGGGCGAGGGTGAGAGGTGCAGGAGAGAAAGAGCTCGCAAACGGAGAACCACCGACGCCGGAGCGGTCGCTGCGGACGCGCCGCGGACTTTCCGCTGTGCGAACCGGCTGTAGGAGCGGCGAGATCGACCTCGGGCGTGCTCTGAGCTGTCCGGGCGGGCGAGGCTTCAGAGCTCGAGGGGTCCGAGCGGGCTCACAACTTGAGAAGGCCGCGTCGTTGCTGCTCGCTCGCCGGCGATGGCTGTTCCGCGCGCACGCCTCTCAGCTCTCGCATCTCTAAAGAGCACGTAGATGAGGCAAGAGGACCACCAGGGTCTATTGCGTGCGAGGGGAATAAGGCTAAAAAGGGGAAGACGGCGACGAGGAGTGCGCGACGAGGCAAAGAAAGGGGTGCGAGGGGAACGAGAGTACATGGGGATAGTGTGTGCAGAAGCTCAGAGAAGGGCCGGGAGCTCGTCGCGACGGCGGCGCGAGGCTGAGGGAGGGAGGCCGAGACAAGGTCAGTCCGGCTCGACGAGGACGCAGAGGAGGAGGACGCACTGAGGCTCGTCTTCATGGCGGCGTAGACGTCCGAGGTGAAACCGCGCGAGTCGAAGACGAACCTGCCGGGTCGAGGAGGGAGGGCGAGAAGGCCGTCAGTCCCGGGCGCGGTGGCAAGAGGAGAGAAAAAGGGACGCACACGCCGCCGAGGCCCTCGCGCATCGCCCAGATCGTCTTGCCCTTGACGCTCTGCGCATCGTCGTAGGCGATGTAGTGCCGCTTGGCGGGGCTGAAGAGGAACGGCGTCTGGGAGCACGTGTCGAAGATGCGCTCGTAGCCGTTCAGGCCCTTCGAGCCGTCCTTGCTGAGGAGCTGCGTGAGGGGCACAAACAGGAGAGTCAGTGGAACGTCGAGAGAAACGAGAAAGAGGAAGAGGGGACGCACGCCCTGAGAGATGAGGTCGCGGTACTGCCACTGCCCAGTAAAGGCGGCCGTCGTCGTCCCGCACTCGTCCGTGTACGGCGCGTTCGAGTCGCCCGGCGCACCCTTGGGCGTGACGCCCGTGACGCCCTGGTATGCCCGGCTCTTCCACTTGCCGCCGCTGACGTCGATCTCCTTGAGCGTCGACGAGGTCGTCGTGAAGGAAATCGCGTAGGCCGGGATGCCCATGAGGATCTTGGCGGCAGGGAACCCGCGACTGGTCCACAGCTTGACCGCCGTCTGGACCGACGAGTCGCTCGCACACTTGCGCAACGGCGCGTTCGGGCCCGTCGTGGGCGACCAAGGACCGGCGATGTCGTACAGCATGAGGTTCAGGTAGTCGAAGTACTTGGCGTAGGGCGCAAAGCTCGCGAGAGGTGCGCCGTCGGGGCCGAGGAAGCCCTCGGTCGAGACGGCGGCCGTGATGAGCTTCGAGGTGCCGAGCTTTTGCCGAAGCACCTTGAGGAACTGCAGCAGGCGCGTCGAGTCGTCCTTGTTGACGCGGTTGCACCCGATTCCTCGGTTGTTGGGGAACTCCCAGTCTGCGGGACGAGAGGGAGGATCAGCAACGGGAAGAGAGGGAGGGGAGAGAGGGCGGGAGGAGGGAGAGGAAGGGGTGGACGCACCGAGGTCGACGCCGACGAAGCCGTACTTGTCCATGAAGCCCTTGATCTTGGTCGCGAGCGACGCCTGCTTTGTCGCCGAGTCGAGGAGCGAGCTGAAGTAGATGCTGCCGGACCAGCCGCCGAGCGAGAAGACGGGGCGGACGCCGTGGGCCTTTGCCTCCTTGACGAACTCGGCGATGTCGGCGGTCGACTGGTCCTCGGGGACCTTGAAGCCGGCGGACGTCGTCACAGTCACAAAGTAGTAGGCGATGCCGCCGCTCTGCCACGGGATCTGGGCGGGCGCTTGGTCTGCCGAGTTGTAGGCCGGCCAGTACTGCGCGCTGCAGGATGGGAGGAGGCCAGTCAGCACTCGGGCCGCTCGTGCAGGCACTAGGACACGACGAGGAGTGGGACGAGTCGCTCTGGCGCGGCGCAAGGGCTCGGCGAGGTGCGGAAGAGGTGGGAGGTGGGCAACTGAGGGGGAGGGGGGGAGACGCACATGATGGGGGCGGTGGCGCTAGCGAGCGCCGTGCAGGACGCGGCTACGACAGCCTTGAAGGCGAACGATGGCCTCATGGCGGTGCTGGTACGAGTCGAGCGTCGAGGAGGGAGAGCGAGGGTGATGAAGTCGAGTTGGCTGATGAGCTCTTGGCGCGTCAAGATGGGCCCGTGACGGTGCCGGGTGCGTGACCGAGGGCTGGACGACGGCGCGAGAGAGCACGTCGAGGTGCAGGCGAGAGCACAAGGATAGCGAGACGAGGGGAAACGAGACGAAGAGGCGGCGCGGGCGAGACGGAAGTTCCGCACAAGGGGAAGCTCTCCTCTCGTCAAGGCGGCGCGTGCGGGTGGGGTACGGCGACGCGTGCGCACGAGAAGAAGCCCGAGCCCGACAACCACTCGATCGAGCAACGAGCGGACGATGTTCTAGCGTCCGGACGAGCGCGTGCCGAAGGTGCAGCGACGCGCAGAGGCGCGGCTTTGTGACGAGGGCCAGCTCGTGAGCGCGCGCCTCTTGCCGCCTTCGAGCCAGTGCACGCGCCACCGAGAGATCGCAGCCAACGAAGAGCGGCGAGAGCGAGCGCGAGGAACGAGGAGCAAGCTAAACTCTCGGCGACCTTCTCAAACTGCGCAAGCTCTCGTCTTCTCAGCCCACGGCGTCTGAGAGCGTGAGACGAGGGCGACGCGACGAGAATGCGATTGCGGGTAGTAATACACGAAATGAGAGGGATTCTACGAGCTACAGCGGGCCCACAGGTTGACGGCGAGGGCCTTGAACGGCTCGACGACGGGCAGGTCGGGCAGAAGCGCCCACAGGCGCACGGCGACGCCGTAGTAGACGAGGGCGAGGCCGACGATCGACAGGGCAGCAACGGCGAGCGAGTACGAGAGGGGAAGGCCGAGGGCGCGCAGGGCCGGCGTGACCCAGTGAACGGGCCAGGCGGCGAGGAAGGCGGCGCGGACGACGACGAAGAAGGCCTTGGCCACGAGGTCGCCGGCGGGACCGACAAGGCTCGTGATGGGCGATGGGCGGGCGAGGCGAGTGCGCAGGCGCAGGTGGTGGTCCTCGAGGGCGCGAAGCTGCGAGAGACACGAATGGCTGGGTCAGTCGACCGTCTCGAGACTCGCCGAGAGTGCGCAAGGAGACGCACCTTCTGATAGTCGGTCTCCTCGATGTCCTTCTGCGTCGCCTCGACCTTGTCGACGAGCCGGTTGATCTCGGCGTCGACCTTGTCCTGCTCGGCGGCGACCTCGCGCGCACCCGCATCGAGCTCGTCGGCCGCCCGCGTCAGGTCGCGCACGACGTTCTCGAGGACCCGGAGCGGATCGGCGTGCTGCATCGGCGAGAAGCCCGACGCTCGGCTGACCTCCTTGGGCCGCGGCGGCGCGAGGTCGCTGTGCGGCGGGACAACGTTGGGCGGGAACGCGAGCGTGTGCGACCGAGCGCGCATCTGCTGACGAGTCGATACGGGCTCGGTGACGTGACGGGCGTGCGCTTGGACGGGATGGCGGTCGCGGCGCGGTCGACGAGCGTGCAGGGACGGCTTGCGGGGCGACGACGCGCGCGACCGTGAGCCACGGGCTCGCTCGTCGTAGCTCGACGCATGCGACCTGCTCGAGCTGGACGACGTCGACGACGACGACGACGACGACTCGCTGTCCTCCGAGTCCGAGTCGTTGCCGGACCCGCCGCTGACGTCCTCGCCCTCCTCCTCGAGGTCGCGGCGCCGCTTGACGTGGGCGACGTCGGCGAGTACGCTCGCAGGGATGCGTGGCGGGGCGTAGTACGACGAGAGGCGAGTCTCGGCCGTGGTCGACTCGGCGTGCGCCGACAGCTCGTCGAGGCAGGAGCCGAGGGTCGCGATCTGCTGCGGCAGCGAGTCGTCGAGGCGGGCGACCTCGATGCGGACCTGGCGGAGAGCACTGCAGGACGAGACGCCGAATGTCAAGAGGCGAGACGAGGAGATAGGGAGCAAGATGAGAGAGAGGGCGGGCGCACCTGTTGAGCCGCCCGAAATCGTCCTCGTTCAGGTCGACGACCTCGCGAGGCTGCCGCCTCCTCCTCCTCGTCGCCGCCCACTCGCCCTCGCTGTCGTCCTCCTCGTCCGCCTCGGCGATCTGGCTGCGCCGCAGCGCGCCGTCCGTGTTCCGCCCGCCCGGCCCGCTCGCCGCCGACCGTCCTCGACCGCCGCTGCCGTACAGCGACGTCGTCGGGCGTACCGAGGGCGGGTAGGCCCACGGGTCCGGGTACGTGTCGAGCGACGTCTTGAAGCCCTGCCACGCGCTCTGGAGGATGCGATTGCTCGCGCGACGCCAGGCCTTGCCGCCCGCCGCGCCGCCGCCCATGAGCGCCTCGTCGCCGCTCGAGCGCATCTGCCCGTCGCTGTCGAACCCGCTCGGGCGCGTGACGTCGACCGACGTGTTGTTCTTGCGCAGGTAGGGCCGCTCGAACTGGCGCCGAGCGGCGGCGCCGGGCTCGCCGCCGCTGCCGGGCGACGGCAAGCCCGGCTGCGGACGCCTCGACGGGCTGCGTGCGGCATAGTCCGAGTCGGACCGCCCTTGCGCCGGCGAGTCGTGCGCCTGGCTGTCGAGGGCGGTCGCGCTCGCGCTCGCCTCGTCCATCGTGCGCCCTCGGATGCGGTCGAGGCGGCGCGAGATGCCCGACCGCAGCGCCTCGGTCGTCGAGTGCGACCCTCGATGGCGCGAGGTCGTGCTCGAGGCGCCGGCGCCGGCGCTCGAGCTGAGCGGGAGGTCGTCTCGGCTCGCGAGGGCGGACCCGCCGCGCGAGTACGGGCTGTTGTCGCTCATGAGGCCGACGGCGTCTCGACCGAGGAGAGGTGACGGGTGGTGGACGGGCGATCGAGGCTGGGCCGCGCCGTTCGGGCCCGTCGAGAGGGACGTCGAGCGGCGAAGCGGCGAGCCGGGGTACACGCCGTCGCTGCTGTGAAAGCTGTGCTTCGAGCGAGCGAACGGCGCGCCCTCGTACGACGGCTGACGAGGCTGGAAAGGGCGCTGAGGGGGCGAGACGGGCGAGGCAGGTCGCGGGAGCGGGCTCGACCGGCCGTCGGTCGTCGCGAGGCTGCGGGCCGAGGCGTTGCCGTTGCGCGGGTACGGCTGCGCGCCGGCGCTAGTCGAGGTTGACGCCGAGGCGCCCGTCGGAAGCGCGACAGGTCCTCCTCCTG